GGGGGGGAGGGGAGAGATTTTAAAAATAAATTTCAAGATTAAAAAAAATCGTAACGAACGATGTCACTGTTGGATAGCGAGCGCCTCGGTTCGAGCAGAAACTTATCCGCGCTAACTTGGCCCCTGTGGTGCTCAGACGAGAAAGGGTCCGAGTGGAGAAAACTTTACTGAACTAAACTCACGCAAAAAAACTACTTTTGTTTTTACAGGGTAAGGCCCCAATGAGCTGTATATTGCTCTTCATAAGAAGCCACCTGGCTGTTACAAATGATAGCTCAACGCAGTGGCTTTGTCGTGTGGAAGTTTATAGCAGGCAGATGATCTCAACGAACATTTCTAAATATGGAGGGGAAAAAAACGGAGGATTCGGAGAAAAAAATATCCACACGACCACGGGGAGAGAGGAGAGAACACGCAAACTCCAAATATACAGGCGTCAGAGTCGGGATCGAACCCACGTCCTCTAGGTGAGGTAGTGAACATCTCGCCACAGACGCAGAAAGTGTGGCACAGAAAGAAGACTTGGAGAGGTATGGAGAGACAGAGACAACGAGAAAGATACAGCCACAGAAACACGCACACAGACAGAGGCTATGGAGAGATATGAACACGAAGACACACACACACAGACAGGAGATATGGAGAGATATGGAGAGACAGAGACAACGAGAAAGACACAGCCACAGAAACACGCACACAGACAGAGGCTATGGAGAGATATGAACACGAAGACACACACACAGACAGAAGAATATGGAGAGATATGGAGAGACAGAGACAACGAGAAAGACACAGCCACAGAAACACGAAGACACGCACACAAACAGAGGCCATGGAGAGATATTGAGAGAAACACGAAGACACACACACACAGAAAGGAGACTTGGAGAGATATGGAGAGAGAGAGAGACAACAAGGACAGCCAGACAGAGAGAAACGCAGAGAAGTGATATATGGAACGAGAATGGTCTTATCAAAGTTCTACATTGCTTAAGTTTCATGCTCAACACTTACAAAAATATGGCCCATCATCAGTGAAGTTTGCCTCAACTTGAGCGTGACTAATGCTGATAGAAGTCAGGCGTAGCCCATTGCTGGTTACGAGTCAAATAGATGATGATGGAGTGGTTTCGAGGTAAAATCATTCTGGCCTTCCGCTCGTCCCGGATATTCCACACCTCCTAAATCTTTATAACGACACTAAATCTGATAGACAGCGCGTGTAATCACGCTGCTGGCTACCACGTACTTTACGAAATAAGTCCAACACACACACGCACATACGACACGTAATCGAATACAATTCACTTGTGTGTAAACAGGCAAAATTTAGATGAAACTTATAAAGTTTGTGCAGATAAAGTCACACACACAACGGGGTTGACCTTGAGGCGGCCATGGTGTTTAATTGTCGTAAACAGGTTCAATCTCTTTGTAATACCGTACCGTGCCAACCCATACGATTTACCCCGTATTCTTCGGTTCTGTCGGTAAAGTCATCACGTAGTTAGAAATAAAATTAAACAAATCACGACGTTTTGATCGCAACGATGACGACCGCTTGTGTTGCGATCGAAACGTCGTGATTTGTTTAATTTTATTTCTACCTACGTGACTTCACCGAAATAACCAAAGGGTATGGATTCCTGCAGTCACGAAAGCTTCAAATCAAGATTGATTACCCCGGATTCTTAGACAGGAAACTGAGTTTTCAGGTCCACACGGCGTACAGCCGTTTCACTACGGGCAACCACTTTGTGGGATGAACGTTGAGATTTATAAGGGGCGCGGGGGTGACCAATAAGGCCTGAATTGGTCTGTAATAAGGTAGGGCACCGACAAGGGGTTGACAGAAATACGTAGAATGACAATCCCCAACAATTAGAGCGAGGATTAAGAACGAGGACATTGCAAGTCAGCAGCGACCTCATGTGGCCATGGCAGTGTGCGTGTGACACATCGTCGTCGCCACCACCACCACGACCAATCTCGTCATTTATTCATGAAAGGCGTCCGGGAGCCTCGTCCCACGTGGAGATGGAGCGACGACAATCAGACGCTAAGGCGAATCAGATTCGTGGGGGAGCGGTGCTGGGGGCGGCGGCTCGCGGCGCGCTGCATTCACGGTTCCTGCTCGCGGCCAACGCCGGTGACCATTACATTACCTGCACCGGTCCTTGGACTCCCCTGGGTCGACTTAGCCCGTAAATGAGTACCTGGTGCGGTGTGTTCAACATCGCCCACTGGGGAGACAAAGGCGGCCGGCATGTGGCGCTGGCCACCCACCCCCACGCGCGCCACCGTGCCGGCCCTTCACAGGTGCTGCTTACTCGCTCACGGCTCTTGCCCCAACAGTCTGTGGAGGCTATAGCGGAGGACCTTTGTCTTTGTATTCGAGCGTGAGCCACCGAAGGTGAATGAAAAGCCCACGAGGCCCTCAGGAAGGGCAATGTTCCCCACGACACCGATGAAGAATGGCACAGTGTCACGTGGTATGTTTATTGCGTGTGGAGGCTGCCCTGGGATTCTCTCGCAAGGAAATTAAGCTAATTGCGTGGCAGCGCTATCGGTCATACTTTAATAAGGAAATGTGCTAAGTTACTACGCACCGTGGCAATTATCTATTGAGCTTTCATTTTTTTTTAATTGACAGTTCACTTTGTCCGGTGCGTAACGATGTGCATAAACGATAGGACCAAGCTACACTTCACCTCCAACTCCGAAGGACGACATTATGAGCTCAAGGCAAGTATGGGTGTATCTGCCCTCCAGTGGCACCCCTTAGGATCGTTCCTCCTGGCTAAGCCCTCATTGTATTCACCCTACTTAAAAATCCCTGCTGAAAAATCCCCAAGCGAGTCACCTTCTTCCTAACCCCGAGTCTCCTACAGGAGCGATTGATTCGATGCAGCCATTGAGGTTTGTTGGCCAAACCATCGAGCTCCCTCCTCCACCCACGAGGACTTCTAGCAGAGACCCTAACGGGGCAGGGTCTAAGACCGGCGTCGTTAACCGAAATAAGAATACTAGCCGACGGCCCTTAAGGAATAACACGTCACAAAGCAGCCCTTAAAGGAGCCCGCGGGTTTCAGACCTCTGGTCAAACGGGATCGAGGTGCCACGTGACGAACTACTCTAGTTGGCCTTCGCGGATCAAGCAGTTAGCAAGACCCAGCTTAAGTTTCCTGCGGTAGCCGATGGTTAGACACAAAGTCGTTTCATCGGTACCCCCAACATTCTGCAGACACCTGACAACAAGTTCAGTCTTGCCCTCGATATTTCCAAATTCATGTTGGCATTTACCTGTACATGTTTGTTATTGTTTCAGAGGATACAAGTCTCACGATTTTCGTACATGCCAATTTAATAGCTAAGGCTCCGTTCCTGGGGCGATCGGGCCTTGACGATGGGACGCGTTGTATCTGACAATAAGAATCTATAGAGCTATTTAAATCTGACCTGAAAACTCTCCTCTTTAAAATTGAATTTTCCCCATAGTGTTGATCGTTAACACTGGCTGTCTTATTTTCTGCTTTCCATACACGGCGCGTTGGGATCCTTGGATGAAATGCTCCTAACAAATGTAAATTAGTCTTTGTTTAAACAGTGAGTGCTACATTACCAAAATATTGACCACCTCATTACGTGGCCTAACCTAAAAAAATCAATGATTAATAATAAACGTGTTTACAAATGAGGAGCAAATGAATGTCCCAGTAGACTTGATGCATACCATTGTACAGAATGGAAAGCAAACCCTCATGGGAATGTACACATTTAAGTTTAGTGGACTCACTTTACAAAACATTGGCTGGTGGAAGCATTTGCAAGTGAACGGTATACAATATAATTTTGCGCCGAGGGTTGCAGCTGGCCATCGTTAAAACCGCTGACAATTGTACGATGGCAAGTTGCTTATGGCATTATCTTCATAACTCTACCACGATATTTATAAATGCACGCATACTAAGGAAAACTAAATTTACGTTAGGCTTTGCAAAGGATTAACTAACGTAAAATTCAACATTTCTTGATTGCAACATTTTTCTCATGAATACCAATGCCTCTCTGGGTCATAGATTTCTCATGTTGAAATATGACACCGTGTCCTGATTTGACGAGTTCTGTTCTAGAGTGGAGCGCTATGAAACCATCAATTCAAGTTTTAATCACATCCACGGCTAACATCAGTGGCAAGCAATATCTGAACTGGTCCCACACTCCCAACTCCATTCACCAACCTTCACTGCCCAGCATACAATGATAGGATGGATACATTTCTTATACATCCATCCAAAAACGTAATACACTCATGACCTGGAGACAAATGTTGCAAGTTCTTTCCATATTTTTACAAATGCATTTTGGAGTCACAGCAATAAAGCATCCATAAGCTATGCCCGTCAAAACTCCACAGCCGTACTAAGATTTATCTTGAAAACTTACAAATCGCAGCACGTCCACGCCACAGGGCTCTTAAAGAGAAATAATTCCGTTTTTAAAAATTGGAAGTTACTCACCTGAAACGAAAAGGAAATCTATTTGATTGTATTCCTTCAACTTCTCAGTGCGAACCGGGCAAGACATCACACACCGAATGTCACCTTGAGAATTAGACGTTAGTGTCTCGGAATGGGGGCCGATCAGTCTGGATCGTCAGACTTCGGAGTCCAAATCGATCCAAAACACAACTTAATGGTCTGTAAACTCATCAGTCATTTCACCTTAACGGATTCAATTGCTAAGTATTGAGTAATAACAGCAGGTGGTGTGCGGAGTTTAATGTCAGCATCATCAGCCGCATTGCCCTTTGGAAACGGCTTGTGAAATGAAACATTTCTTGGAAGCAACATTGTTTCCTGCTTTCGGACGACAGAATGCCATGGCGGCCACCATTATTAAAGGGGTCCAAGTAATCAACCACGAATACGGCAGTCAATTCATCCACTCAATCGACTAATCACACGTCAGTGTTAATCAAAATATACACAAGACTCAAATAGGTGGGCAGAGCAGTACTTTATTTCAGACCAATATACAGTTATGGAAAAGAATGCTTTTTAAATATCATTGATGATTGTGACCACTTTTTTCAATTGTATAACCGGTGAACCCAGCAGTGTGCAGCAGTGATGCCCAGAGTGGTCATTTGTGATGCCGTTTTATTGATTGCCTGAAAACAAAACAAAAAACACACAATCATCTTTTATTTCACCATCACCTTTTCAATCATCTGATATGCAACGTCAATGATGATTCCTTTACAGCTAGCTACAAAATTCGATCACTTCTTCAGAGCTCAATTTTTACAACATCTGGCTGGCTAGACATCCTGGCCAAGGTATCCAGTCTCTGACTTTCCAAGCATAGCTAAACACATTCAGTGCATGTGTAGCAAATTGTATTTAATTGACCAAGTCAATTAAATACAATTTGCTAACTCAAACTCTATTCCATTGGAAACCTCATTTGCCAGTAACAAAATATGATAATTCGTTTTTTACCCTTTTATCTGGCAACAAAACTGACACCTTTTTTACAAGGAGTCATGTTTACTTTGACCACAATACCTGCGGTCGGAATGCAAACAAAAAAACAACTCTGATAATGTATGTGGCACTGTCCTTGAAATTGATTGGTCCACACCCGAGACAGCTTTCTTTAGAGCCTCGTCTCACATGGTGTTGGACCAGACAACGCCAAAAGGCGCACAACTCAAAGGCGATGCACCATCAGAGTATGAGAGCTCGGGGTAAGCATTTACACCAATGTTTACATCAATGTACATCAATGTAAACATGACTCCTTGTAAAAAAGGTGTCAGTTTTGTTGCCAGATAAAAGGGTAAAAAAACAATTATCATATTTTGTTACTGGCAAATGAGGTTTCCAATGGTGTAAATGCTTGCCCCGAGCTCTCATACTCTGATGGTGCATCGCCTTTGAGTTGTGCGCCTTTTGGCGTCTTCTGGTCCAACACCATGTGAGACGAGGCTCTAAAGAAAGCTGTCTCGGGTGTGGACCAATCAATTTCAAGGACAGTGCCACATACATTATCAGAGTTGTTTTTTGTTTGCGTTCCGACCGCAGGTATTGTGGTCAATGTAAACATGACTCCTTGTAAAAAAGGTGTCAGTTTTGTTGCCAGATAAAAGGGTAAAAAAACAATTATCAAACTCTATTCCCATACAACGTTGGCTGGCTCTGTCACCTGTCTAAGGAATTGAAATAAAACGTGAACGTACCCATTTCACTTGCTGTCAGGCTCGGCGCTCTCAAACACCCCCGCTTTCCGCATGGCCTCAAACTCCTTCAGGGCATCGTAGTTCTTGTAGAAGTTGGCATACGCTTGCTTCCTTGGCTCCATCACACCGTACTTCAAAAACACACATACACACAAATAGGTTTGTTTATATCAGCAAATGGGTTTCAGTTGTCATCTCTTCATATTAGTGGCATGTTTTCTGCAGGTACTCCCTTGTCTCCCCACATACAAAATATGCCTTAAAATGGATATGACAATGCACTCTAATGCACGATTCCTTTGATCCAAATGACAAAGAGTGTTGCAGTTAGTGAGACTTTGCTAGATAAATGATGTTACTTCAAGGGCTGTGTTTGCTTTATGGACCATAACTAACAACTGGCCAAAGGCAATGCTCATAAAACAAGTTAATAAAAGTCACATTGGTATGCCTCCTCCAAATCATTTAACTTTACGGCTTTGCCGTTATCTATAAATCATTCTCGTTGTATAAAAACCTAATTGCTTCCATTGATCAACTTAAAAAATGTGAAATACTGTAAGGAGTCATACACAAGACAACAGTGGAGTCAAAGCTAAAGGTTGACAAAACAAAAATCACTTGCCTCGACTATCAATCTAGCAGGGAGAAATGGGAAAATGATTTATTTCGAATGAGCCAAATGCAGGTTAATGGGGCCTTGAGTAAATATGTTTAAATATTTGGTTCATGTACTTAGTTGAGAGTTATCCCTGGGCAAAACCTATTTTAAAAATAAGCACCACATGGCCGATGCTCATGATGATGCTGATGAGGACGGCTATGACAATGGTAATGGATACAAAGTACATAGCTGCCAAAATGTTTTTGGAGGCCTGGGGCAAAATGACAAATGAGGCCCGAACTGAGGGCCCATTCTTGGCCTCTCTCTGAGGCCCATTATCGTTTTTATGAGGACCCCCCTAAGATCTGAGGCCATGGACAAACAACCCAATCTGCCTTCCCCAATCTGTGGCCCTGTCAAAGCACAACGACAAAACAAAAAAATGCGTTATTTGGACAGAAGTGGTGATGACGGATGGCAAGTGTAAGCACCTTGTATCCGAGGGCTGTTAAAATGGAGAGGCCGAAGGCGATAGGGAGGTGTATACGCAGCCGCTTGCCCAGATGACCACGCATCTGAGGCTTGGCCAGCCTTGCCACGACGCCCGACATCTTGCACTGCAACATAAGCCCCGAGGGGGCATTACGTTAAAAGAAAGCAAACGCACACGACACAACCACTCAAAGCCAGGCACTCGCCCCAGAATATTAAGTATGCTGCAGAAGCTCCCTGAAAATAAACAACTCAACAAATATAAAACAAAAAAACGTCCAGCTGGAACACCACTGACATGCTAATCAAGCTGCTGTCATTCGACACGGGAGGCCCTTGACCACAAGTTCGACTTACGTGGTCTGCCAGTGGTGAGCTTGCACTCTCTCGTTTGTGGACATTTCCTAAATAAATTAGTAGAGTCATCGATATTATTTAACAAGAAATATACATATAGTGCAGCCATTGTACGGTTTATTGCTCACGCTACTGCGAGAAGGGCTTCTCTACTCGAGGGTGCTCTGGAGAGGGTATTTGACCCACACAACCCGCATCTGGCTAAAAAATATAACAGAATTCGTAATCGCGGGGATGCGCACAGGAAGTAGCATTGTCTATTTGCCGCAATGTTTTGTTTAAAGTAAAATGACACACTCACCCATATATGGACTCGTTTTGCCTACATTGCAGATTCACAGCGCTTTATGGCAGTAGTATTTACATGATTTATCCGTAAACAAGATACCACTAATCAGGAGGCCTCTACTTTTCGGCTACTCAGAAGACTCGGTGCCTTCCACGTTAGTCTGCAATATACAGCAATAGACCATTCAACGCATAACGACGCAATGTCCGATCCACAAATACGATGGAATCATCGCAGCGATCCACTCCGCTGCTCCTGACTCGGTTATCTGGCTTTACCACCTGAATGTAAAATTGAGGTTGTTGCTCTGCATCTACATCGGCCATACGAAAAAAGTAATAGAAAGCAAATTCTGTAAAACCAATGACTCAGTATCATCCCAGTTGGCTTCCTTCATCAATTAAATGCTGCCGAATTGCATAAAAAGCGATTGATAAATTACTACGATGGATTACATCACATTTAATATACATCTCACTCGGGGACAATGAGCAGCTGGGAACATCACGTTAAGTTAATTTCGCTCCAACTCTTGAATCATAATAAGGGGGGAACCCCCAAAAGGAGTTTTATGCAAACAGCTAAAGGTTATTCAAAAACCATAGGGCACAATCGGGCGACATTTATTTTTTGTAACTAACGCTTTTCAGTCATTTTGTCAATCCACTGCTAGATGAAGGCCTCCTCCTCCCTTGGGTCATTGGGCCATGTTTCACGTTGGTGAATGTGGGTGACCCAGGACTGCTTCAGAGACATCACTCGCCACTTGTGTTAGCCGCGAGGAGGAACCGCGTCAGTGGTGAACACGTTCAGCCTTTGGTGCTACAATGACGCACAGTTCCGGACCCTGCATATTATATAGCGTCCGAATACATGAATGTACGGTAAAACGTCGTATTTGTTGCAACATAAGATATTTTCATTGCACGTGTTCTTACTTAAATTTACAGCTCAGAAGCCACTTAAGATATACACCGATCGCCGCGTTCTTAAATTAGGCCTTCGGATGACCTTTACTCGCGTCTGCCTATTCGCAAATCACCGTTCCTAAATTAACCACCGCACTAAGATAAAGATCGAGCTTTTACAATAAGCTCGTGTCCATCAGCTTGTGGGAAACACGCAACATATTCCAGCAGCGTGTCTATAAGTAGCTAGTTCTGTTTCATGAATATCACGTTGGCACTGTACCACTAGTTAACGCATCGCTGGTAAGGAATGTAAACGACAGTATTCAGTGACTGTTGTTTAAAGCCAGCGGTGTTATGCGTCCTGAATTTATCATTAGCCCGCCATTAAACGTAGCCCGTAAAGGTGGTGTTCAACCCCTATAAAAGAGCCGTTCGCTCGGCCCGAGTTCCTCTCGACCTCCGGGGTTGGTCGCTCAGGCAAGTCCGTAGGCGTCGCGTGCGTCGACCAGGCCCGAACGTATTTCATTCATTCACTAACTTAATAAAGCTCCGATGTTGTTCCTAAAGCAGTGCCGTTTACGAACAAGACATTTTAAGGCGTTTAAAGCACCAATAAACGAGTACTTACGGTGTTTGTTTTAAGCGGTGAAGAGACACGGAACTCAGTGTCACGATCGGCTCAAGGTTAGAACGTCAGGCCGAGCTTCCAATAGAAGACGCGTTCGGATTGGCTGCTCGACCAATTTATAAGGTCCTCTCTGATTGGGGAAGTGTGAAGGCACGTAGGAACAAAATGCCGTTTCTGATTGGCTACGAAAGGTGAAGGTCGGCGGCTCGACCAATGAGCGCTCCACAAGTGGGAGAATTGGGAATGTATCGATTATAGATTTGAAGCTTTCATGACTGCAAGGATTCATATTCTTGGGTTTTATTCGCTAAATCACGTAGAAAAAAATAAACAAAATAAAAGAAAATAATTAAGTCAGCGTTGACTTTTCCACCTGAAGAAGGAAGCTTGTGTTGCCTCCGAAACGTCGTGATTACTGTTACATTGTATTTATGGCTTAATTTTGGTGATTTCTAAAAGTTATTTGGTTTGGCCATGTTTTTGTTTAATGTAGTACGGAGTTAGACTGATGGCCTTAGTCTAAGTTTTCTTTTTGTTGTTGTTTGACTGCATCCCACTGGGATTATTGCACACAGCGTTGGTGTACGGTGCTATTTCAGGAATATTTAGATGTTTTTTTTCCAGGATTTTCTGTTTGCACATGCACAAAGTCACTTTAAGATATTTTCTTGTTCATGTTTTTGTTTTTTTGTTTGTTGCGGTTGAACCCGATTCAAGAGCCGAATGGCTCCAGGGCTATACCAAATAAATGAAACTATGAAACGTGACTTTACCGAATAAAACCAAAGAGAATATCGATTGCCAACTTTTTTTGGAATCGATTCTCATTTCAGAATGCAGGAATACAATTTCAGAATGCGGGAATACAATGTCCCACCATACAGAAACAACCACTTGACACTCCGATCAAAATCATCACACTGCCATACATAGCAGGCGTTACCAAAAAGATTTCCAAAATTCTAAACAAACACAAGATCCAGGTTCGATTCAATACAGCACACAAAATCCGTGATGTGATCCCATCCGTAAAGGATGTCATCCCTGACTTACAGTACCCCGGTGTTTACAAATTGAGTTGTATCTGCGGTGACTGCTATATCGGGGAGACAAAACGACATATTTCTGACCGAATTCGCGAGCACAAATCAGATTTGAAACACGGCAGAACGAATTCGTCGGCCGTAGCTGATCATTGCCTCAACACAGCGGGTTCTCATATTGTTTTCTCCGATACCAAAGTACTATGCAAACCTCCCGGTTATTACCAAAGATTTGTCCATGAAGCCATGCAGATATAAACAGACACAACTTCAACCAAAATAATGGTTTTAAATTAAGCAACCACTGGAAAGATGTCATAAACCAAGTCAAAACTTTAGCTACCTTATAAGCACACAGCATATTCTTTCCGAACGTTTCCTTTTTTGTTTCCATTTTTCCATTGCCCCCGTGCAGTGATCCACCGCATCCCCCGCACCGTCAACATAACAAAAAACGGATTAACTTAGCCCCCGCACTCCATCAATGTCCCCTACTTGGCTCCTCCCCCCCCCTTAACCTGTATTTAAGCTCGAGGCTCGCAGAGCCTCCCCACTTGATGCAGCGATCTTGCTGTGACTGTTCCACCTGAAGACGGAAGCTTGTGTTGCCTCCGAAACGTCGTGATTTAATTGTTTTATTTTATTTTACCTACGTGACTTTACCGAATAAAACCAAAGAGTATGAATACTTGCAGTCACGAAAGCTTCAAATCTAGAAATACAATTGAGTTACAATAGAATAATCTAATTTTTCACATGGATAAAACAAATTGTTTTTTTTTAAATAGGAAAGATTTTTTTTATCTAAAGATTGATCGTTAAGGATGGATCGATGGATTGAAAACGCTTTCGCAAAAACGACGATGCGTAAACGTGGGCCGGAGTAACGGAGTGCTGCCCGGACAGCAACGGGGTCAAGGTTTTTTTTTCCCTTAATTTTGCAATTGTTTGGTTTATGCCGCACGGACTTATCTGTGCCGATTTGTTTAGTAGAAAGGTTGTCTTTTTCAACGGTTTTATTTACTTGGATGTCAATTCTACAAAGTCCCTTTAACGTTCCATGAACCCCCATATATGGTAGATTTGCGCATTTTCTGTTAGAAAAAAACTCGAACTTCGTAATTCGCGAAGTTATCCCGGATGAATTTAGCTACTAGTAAGTAGCATGCTGCGATTCCCACGTCACCCACAAATTCTTCTGCGGGTTCATGAATCGCACGGCTCATTCCTAACGTAATTCTCAGATTGCGGTCTAACCTCCGCGATATTGCCCCCCATATTAATGCAAAGTGATCAATTAAATCTATAAATTACGAGAAAACTCACAACAAAGATTTGTGCAGGCCGGAAAACATATCTTCCAGCACTCAATTATGGACATTACATCTACAAAAGTGCTCAGCTTTGTCCAGACCACCAGCTCAAAATAACTAAACGAGGCCTTTTTGTCACAACCACTACAAACTGTTAGAGAACGTGACCATCGTAACATGCACGCGTGAAACGAAGGCAACTGTCGACCAGTTTTGTTCTTATTCGTATTCAGTCGAGTTACCATCCATCTTCGTCTGCCTCTGAGTCGTGGCAAGGAGTACAACTCTGGTTGCTGCTACTCAAAGCGGTGCACAAATCCACTTCACCACTACTCTCCACCTCTGCTGTTAACCGTCAGAATATTGTCGTGCGATAAAATACAATTCACTCGTGTTGTTTTCGTCAAGTTTCACGTTTCATGCCCGAATTCCCTCCATCAAATTACAATTGCAGTCTCTCTCTGCATCTCACAGCAACTCCGCCGCGATTAATGCCAGAGCCTCTTTAGCCTCAAAAAGGGAAGGAGAGCTGAGTTCTCGTTGCATTAATCAAGTGTTTTTTAACACCATACCCAGGACAATAAGGATTTAATATTGGAATTTATTTACATTTAACGCACTCGTACAATATAATACAATTTTAAAGCACATTTAAAATAACATTTTAATCTGACAATTACATTTTAGTCAGTGGCTTGCAACGCGTTCTTTTCAAGGCAAGCTACACTGAAAGTCTTCATTCAAAAATATATTTAAGCAGCAGGCACCCCGCATAGACGACTGTAAACAGGTATCCACCATTCATCACATCATATTTGCAACCTTGTGTAAAACAGCAAGTGTGCAAGTAGCCTTCAGGCATCAGTAACTTTAAAAACAAATCTATATTTAAATAAGCATTAAGCCCACTTACCACACATCAGAATGTTATAATACAACTTATATGTCAGAATTGCATTAAACCATTAAAAAGATTGTATGTACTGTTCGTAAAAGTTCAAGTATATGGCTATTGCATTGTTAAACAGGAAACAATACAGCTGTACGAATACATCTGAAATCTGAGCGTGGGTTAATCTCTTACGCTTAATTTACAAGCCCACACACATCCCATTGTAAACAGCTTCATTCATTCTTACATTGGTATGGTTAATCATTACACTAACCACCAAGACACAAGCAAATATAAAACACTTTTGCCCCAGAAACATTGTCTCGTCAATGCAGTTGGCAATCATAATAGTACTCTAATTAATTTAATCTTTCATGGGGGCATTTAACAGTTAAGGCACAGATGGGTTTTATATTATAAATATGGACCTCAAAAGGCAGTTGGCAAGATTTTTCTACAAACGTGAAACAGCTTCCAGCATTGAAGCGTTGGTCTCTGTACATCGTTGGAACAAGCAGTCTACAAAGATGTTCATGCAATGTTTACTACTGTTGCACACGTTATTGCGTTAACACTGACAAACAAGGTATTGTCTCAAATTCTGTCAACCAACCTCAATCCTAGCAAGCGGAAAAATAATCTATAATTGCCCAGTGTCTTTCTTCTTGGTAAATCTCTGGGTGGGAATGAAGGCACATGTAGAGGAAACAATTTAGTAAAATCCTGGACATGAAAATGGCATGGAAAGCAGAAATCCTAAAAAGTAACTAGCCCAGTGATAAGGATTTAATAAAATATACCCCATCTTAAAAAAGGGGTATAATGGTACATTTAATTGTTATATAGTTTGTGCTTTTTTGGACAGCCCTGCAAGAATATTATTTTGGCTGCACATTACAGAAATATCACACGTACCAAGTTTCACATTTTACATACATTCTAAATAAGTGGCATCACACACTTTGACAACTCTTACCACAACACTGTCCCACAAAAAAATAATTCAAGACGTAGCATGTAAAAAGAAATATATGAACAATTTTTTTTTGTCTTGCAGAATGTTTTTTTCAACTGTGCACCCTACACGCTGCTTGCTGGTTGTAAGTTCAGTGCAATTTCATTAGAACACATGATTCGGCAAGCACTGCAAGGACGTTTTTAAAACATGAGTGTAAAGGAGAACAGCGTGACAAATGAACTGTGACATTACATAATACTGAACCCCAAGGTTCTTCAACTATGAAGGCTTTGGAGTGTCCTGCCAAACTATTGCCCAGTAAGAGAGGTCTCGCCTAGGCAAAGAGATACAGAACAGCGAGTTGCTAAAGAGCTTAGAAAGAGCTGTAAGCAAGCGATAAAGATTCGTGAGATGATGAACACGACATACAGACAAGAACATTGTAGACAGTCGGTTAATTTAGTTGCAGAATCCTGCTGTATACCACAGAAAAGCAGAGATCAAACGAGACCTCTATCTCATTCACCACTGTCCTGGAAAAACAATAGAATCAACTTCACTCTACAAGCAGCCATAGTGAATCGAAGACAGCGAATCGGAGCCGGCAAATTAGAGCCGTTGAAGGTTGCGGCGGCTGCGCCTGCTGCCTGGCAACCCGCTCCCCGCTGCTGTGGTTGCGCCACCGTTTGACGGCGTCGCGCAGCATTTGCACATGCCACGGTACGCACACAGGCAACGTGTGCAGAAGTCGTAGGCGCAGGAGCCGTTTGTGCAGAGAGCACGTGTGTGAGAGCGCGTGCAGCGCGCCGGCCAGCTGCAGCGGTGACACACGCGGAGATGCTCGTCCTGACACAACTCCCGTGCTGCCTGCGAAACCAAAACAAACATTTGATTTTTTTTGGGTTCCATCCAAAATCCCCATTGCTCTGACGTGTTTTCGGCACGATGTCCGACGTTTCATACCACGTGCTAGGAACATCTTAAGGAATTGTTCTTGAAGCTCCCACCATGGGAAGCAAAACATTGGGGACATCATGCCAAACCACACGTGAAAACGCATCGGAGAGCCAAAGAGCACAACTTAAAAAATAACCTGCACATTAGTATTAACCTGTTATATCGGGGACACGGTATATATGGCCACATTATATCAAAGACAGACTATATCAGTGTTCTTCATTGCAAGGCCCGTGGACCACTGGCAGCCCCCTGGTGGCCTTTAGTGCGACCCCCGACAATACAAATACGAAAATACCCCATCATCACGCTTTCAAACACAGTGGTTTCAAATGTGTGACGGCCCTCATACTGATGTCTTATTGGTGAAAGTGGCCACCCTCTGAAAATTAGTGAACAACACTGGACTATATGCTGAGTAGGGTCTCATCCGGTCTCATTTCCCAACTTGCCTTAAAAAAGCGGCTGGCCCTGTCAGCTGGCTCTCTTGCGGCACCACCACTCTTTGTTTCCGTAGCCCCCGGACCCACAGACTTGCTTCCCCGCGATGCGCGATTTTGTCGTTTCAATAAACCGGTTGTAGATAAACTCCCATTCTCTTTCATGTCATGGAGGCAGCGGGACATGCGAGTCTATGGAGCGAAGGGAAGGTGACGTAGGGAACATTGGGGATGAAGAACATTGGGATGAAAAACATTTCAACAAAAACATCCAAAACCCACAATGTTGACGTGGTTATGATTATGGTCAGCATAAGAACCAATGCTCGAGTAAGTTTTAACTATTTATAAGTTGGTTTGACCGATTCTACACTGAAATAAAAGGCTTTTGCACATACAGAATTTTAGTGTCGAGTTATTAGCGAATCCACTGTGCGTCGAATGATTCACTAATAAAAATTTAATATTGTGTTCTTAAATTGTTAATGGAACCCAGATCACACTTTAAAAACGATGCAATGTTGTTTCGTTTGTCCCAATGTGTAAACATCTTCTGATTAAAGAGAGGCGATAAGAACACTCGTATGCATTTTTCCAGTTGTGTTCTTACAACCAGTTTCTTCAACAACGGGGCCACAGCATATCCACAAGGGAGGGCGAAGAGATAATTTAATGTACAGGAGGCTAGATGGATTATTGGCATCGAGAGATCACGATAGATAGCTTGGGAAATCCTTTATCCAGAAGTTGCGAGATCATGGCTAATGATGATAACGAGAGACCAGTTGAAGTTGCACCCACCTGCTTGCTGGCCGCACTCCGAATGAGCCAGTGTTTGCGCAGTGTCTTCCTCTCATAAGTGACGATCTCCTGCCACTGCTTGCTCACCACCAGCACCCTGGTTACAAAGCCAAGAGAGCACACTTCAATCAATTTACACGGTAATTAACAACATGACAATGTTATGGCAGTTGTTTCCAGTGATCACTGCCTGTAATGAAATTACTATATACAGTGAAACCTTGGATTGCGAGTGACTTGGTCTGCGAGACGAACAAATTTTTTTAAATAAATAATAATTTGATAAACACGCGATGTCTTGCAATACGAGCAGTACGTACAGTATACGCTTTGAGACTGACGCCATCCAGACTGCCACTCTACGCCCAACCTTATGGAAGAGGTAAGTGGATGACACTTTTGTCATCTGGCCACATGGCCGGCCTGCTCTAGACCAATTCTTCGACCACATCAATCCCATACACCCAGCCATCAGATTTACCATGGAAGTCGAAAAAGATGGCAAGCTACCTTTTTTGGATGTCCTAATAAAAAAGAGACCTGATGGTTCAATGAGCCACTCCGTCTACAGGAAAGCTACCCATACGGATGCTCACCTGAAACCGGATTCCCACCACCATCCATCACAGAAGAATTCCCTCATCAAGACTCTGCACCATAGAGCCCAATCCATATCCGACCAGGAACACATAGCCAGTGAACTCAAGCACGTACACCAAGCTCTTAAGGCTAATGGTTACTCCGACTATACAATCCGCAAAGCTATCACTCCAACCATGAAGAAGGACCCTCTTGAGGAGCCTTTCAAAACCATCACTTTACCCTACATCGTGGGGATCACAAAAAAGATCTCAAAAATCTTGAATAAACACAAGATCCAGGTCAGATTCAACACATTACATAAAATCCGTGATCTGGTTCTGTCTGTAAAAGATGTGATTCCGGACATACAGTACCCTGGCGTCTACAAACTAAGTTGCCTCTGTAGTAGAAGTTATTGGAGAAACCAAACGACATGTCTCGGACCGCATTCGTGAACACAAAGCAGACCTAAAACACGGTAGGACCAACACCTCGGCCGTGGCAGATCACTGTTATAATTCAGTAGGCTCACATGACATTGACTTCGCCAAGACAGAGGTTCTTTGCAAGCCATCTGGCTACCATGAGAGATTCGATCATGAGGCTATCCACAAATACAAACACAGGGACAATTTCAACCGCGAAGATGGATTCTGGCTTAGCAATCATTGGAAGGATTTGATAAACCATTTCGGGTCTTAATTGATTGTTCACGCTTACGGTGGCTTTCAGACCGCATCCATTATTTTCGTCTCCCCCCTCCTCTTTTCCGAACATAGATGGACTCGTCCTTCTGAACAAATTGTCAAATCGCTCTCCGTGGTGCTAACGTTAAAAATAACTGCCACTTTTTTCTAATTTTCTTGCTGTGGTTTTCACACCTGATGATGATTGCTTGTGTTGCAGTCAAAAAACGTCGTGATAATTTTATTGTTTATATTTTTATTATTTCATTGTTTCCCTTCTACGTGACTTTACCAAAAGAACCAAGAATATAAGGTATTTTGTATTCATCATTTTTATATGAATACAGTATTTTTTGTCTTCTTTGGTTCTTTTGGTAAAGTCACGTAGAATGAGAATAAAATAATAAATTGATAAAATAAAATAACACAATAATATTCTCACGATGTTTCGGCCACAACACAAGCGGCCTTCATCAGGTGAAGGGGGCGAGACTGTCTGGTAGGACAGCGCTGGAGTCCTACCAGACAGTCTCGCCCCCTTCACCTGATGAAGGCCGCTTGTGTTGTGGCCGAAACGTCGTGAGAATATTATTGTGTTATTTTATTTTATCAATTTATTATTTTATTCTCATTCTACGTGACTTTACCGAAAGAACCAAAGAAGATGAATCATTGCAGTCACGAAAGCTTTAAATCGAAATTTCAGTATTTTTTGGTTGTGGAACGAATCATCTGAGTTTCCATTATTTCTTATGGGGAAATTCGCTTTGATATACGAGTGTTTTGGATTACGAGCACGTTTCCGGAATGAATTATGCTCACAATCCAAGGTTTTACTGTATAAGCCACTATGAAAATTGTACAACAATGGCATGGAGTGATAGACTTGTCTAGATAACAGCAGAAAATTGTGCAGCAAATATTCAGGTGAATATTTCAAACAAGAATTCCCTAAAACTACCCAAGTCTATTATGGACAGGAAAACTACATTAAAAGAAAGATTATGGGAACATGGAAGCACGAACGGTGAGACCGTGAGGCAGGCCTATAAAAAAAAGGTCGTTTGAAATTGTGAACCAGGATATGAAGGACTGTTAAGTGGACATGGATGAGTGAATACAAAGATTCAAGAAGGCATAATCCACATGATTGGGAAAAATGTTTGGAGTAATGGGAGGATATGGCCTTAAGCAGGAGAAAGTACATTTTCAGAAAGGTTTGGAACAGGAGAGAACAGCAATTCCAATGGTTGAGCTCAAGCATATGTGCAGTGTGCTCACCTGGCGACATCACGGGCTGGCAGGTGCAGCAGGACCTTTTGAATGACGTGTCGGAGGTCGCGTGCTACCAGCTGACCGAGAATGTCCACGTGCTCCTCGCCCATTTTGCGGCCGATGAGGTGGACGAGGCGTGCTCTCAGTTCAGGGTTCACGAGCGCCGAGGGGTTCATCATCGCCTGCCCCCCGTGGCTGGGAGTGCTGCACGTGGCGTCGACGTTCAGGCGCTTGTGAACGCAGATGGCGAGCTCCCAGGCAAATCTGACGGTGTCACCGAAAAGAATGTCAGATATAATAAAATTGGTGACCGTCATCACCACCATCACTATTACCACAATGCTCACCACCAACACTATCCTCACCACCACCTAAAGTAACCAAATTACAGTACACAGAATCACCCAAAATGCACCCAATGAAACAAAAAGTCTCCTTCAATCAGACTTTAAATAATGTCATACAGCACCGTTTCACTGCCAAAATAATTTCGTTCAATTGCACACAAAATAAATCGCTAACAATAACCCAACAATCACCTGAGTGCAGGTGTGTGCGCCGCATTCGGTGCAGGGACACAGCGCGAGCAGACCCTGGCTCCACCTCCGCAGTCGCCACCGCCAACTCCACCAATGCCCGACGGCTCGTGAACATGGCTGCACTTGAGCGCGAATCTGGTCAAAACCCGACACGCGCTTCCACCTGTAGCAGCTTCACCCACCGCGGCTACACGCTCAACACCCTCGCTGGCTGTGCCACAGCCTGGAGGAATCTCTTGCAAAGAAGCGCGAGTAAGTCTTCGCGAATGCGAGCGCTTGTTGGAATCTCTTCTGGGTAAAGTGACGTGGTCGTACACGCTTAACGAATGTTCGCACATTGGCTCGTGCCCCCTGCCTCCTGCAGATTCAACGTACGGAGGCTTTGAGAAGTCGGGGCGAGTCGTGGCGGTCGGTTCCATTTTGGCTGGCTTCTTCGCAGGGCTGACAGGATAATGCCTTAAACTCCGGCGACAACCACCGATGCCCGCACCTGTAGCGTCACCTTTTGGCTCAAAGCAATCGTCCAATTCCATTAACTTGTCATTTCCTGTGGTCAACTCAGGTTTGTCGTTACTGGAAGAGCACGAGGCTTCGCGTGGCAAATAGTCCTCATCCATCAGCCCTACTCCCGAGTCTCTATCTCTGCTCTGAGACGCTGCTCCAATCTTAGGCATAAATATACTGGCAGGGGAGGATAAAAACACCTCCTCCATGGAAGGAAAGAGAGCTTCATGGCTGCTTCGTTGTGTACGAGGACCAGAGCTGAGTGTGCTCAGCTCGGCAGTGTCGACAAACAGGATCGGCACTGCAGCAGGCATTGCAAAGGATGTCTGGGGATGTCAGTCTCTCCTTGGCCTGCCGTTGTTTCCTCCTCTGAGCAAATCTGTGAAGGTAGAAGGGCAATAAAAACAACAAATTCAGAAAGTAATTTTGTAACTGTTTATCAGCTTTAACGTCACACTAAATGGAAGGCGAATTGCTTGCTTCATTGATAGCGGATGGTACAATTGTGTTTAGCATGAGGCTTAAACGAATGAAGAACATTTTGTATGACTCTTTCCCGAGTGAAACCCGTCAAATTTAAGTGCGGATATTCTAAAATGTATATATTTTTTAAAAATAGACTCAATTATATACAGTACGTGCCAAGCTCAACTTTGTCCCCTCTAGAATATCAGAATGTGTTCCTCAGTCACGATCGTCCACATCCACGACATACGAATGGATGCACAAATGCCAATTCTTGTGCTGCTAAACGTGACTCAAAAAATACTATGGTTACATAATTTTTTTAAGTATGTTTTCATTACAGTACCCGTTTGTGAAAGTTACCTTCCAATTGGAGACGAACCTAAAACGCGACACAAAGGCAGTTTATCTCAGCCGGCGCAAACTAGTACATTTCACAACATTACCATTATTAACCCAACTATCACACGAAACTGGGGAGAATGCATGCGAGAGATTGCTATTTACCGATATAGAGCTTATATTCGGTGTTTAATCGATAGATTAAACCACCCGCAAAGCAGCAAATTCAACGTAAATCCAAATCGCGAAATGGAGGAACGCGCTTGCCGCCTTTACAAGGGCGAGTTCCCTCATTTAATTCGTATTTTTTGTTAAACATATACACACTCGCATTCACTGACAGACAGCACAAACGAAAGGTAACAATGTCAGCAAAGCGTACTAAATATGTACATATTCTAAAACAATACGCGTTGCTGAATTTTCATTTGATTTCGCGAGCGAAGGCGTCAAGAAAATGAGCGCCTTTTTTTTGACCCGCCAAAAAAAAAACCTGGACGGGGCGCCCCGTCTCGCAGCGCTCCCTCGCCTCCTTTCAATTAACTCGACACCACTACGCCAAAGTACTCACAACTTCACGACGGTCGCCGAAACACGTCTCACTTTGTGCACTTAAAAAAACACTAAGTATCAATTGTGGTTCACGGTAAGAGGGTTATCAAGTGCAAGCGCGGGATCAGCAGTCAATTTCACAATAGCTTGTGCCATTGAAACCGCTGTCAACGTATATACCTAAATAATTAATTTGCTTTACATTTACAATAAATGTATAATGCATTCAATAATCATTTATTTTACCTCACGTTAATTCACCACGACCAATATTCAACGATCTGCTTCTGTATATAATGAAAGAATGCGGCACCAAGGCCGCGAGCAAGCCTTACGTTTATCCTAGCGGCCTTTACCGGTTTCGGGGCGAGGTTTCCCCGGGAAATGTCGGGCTCGAGGGGTCGGTCTTCGAAGTCGACGTAACGAGGCGATCTATTTGCACAAACTTCTCAACGTGACCCGTGGGGTTGCAAAGCATTCGCTGGAGGCCATGTATTTAAGTTTTTAAAAAATAACCCCTCAAGTGTTGGAAAATAATTCAACACCGGGCAAGCACAGAGCACAGCTGCGCGCGGGAGAAATCCGCGGGCAACTCTGAGCCTTTTAAATTTGGAGCCCACTGAAGCAGCGACTCCGCCCCCAAGCCCCGAAGGCGCGTGACGTCACAATCGGCGTATCGGCCGGCGCCATCTTGGATAGGGATGTTGTTGTCAAGGGAGGACGAAACCCTTCTCACAACTCCTTCCCTATCCAAGATGCCCCCCCCCGCCTTTCTCACAACTTCCCCTATCCAATATGGCGCCGATACGCGGCTTCTGGTGGAGGGGGAGACAACCCCGGGCGATGTCACCGGCGGGTGTCCCGCTCATTGCCATCGGGCGGTTGTTAAGGGGGTGGGGGGGGACATCAACCTTAGCCAAGATGGCGGATGCATATCCTCGTTCGCGATTGGTTTAAACATAATTAAATAAACTTGGTGGGAGTGATGGGGGGACGCCGAGAGAGTCGGGGGGGCGCCTTAATATTTACATTGAACTGCCCATATAGGACTCACCACTGTGATCTCTACATTGGGTCAAACTTAACGTCTCTTAATGTTCGACGGCTTGTGCACCAGATATTATTTATTCACGCTGTGCTTACAAAAAATTCCGCAGACTACCTGCTGGATCTCCTCTCTGTTTTAAAGAACAAATTTGACCTCAAGTCTTCGCTCATTGACCAGCTTCACATTCCCTATTGCCGTACAAAAGCCGGAGGAAGGGCCTTTGCTATTGATGCCCCCAGGGTCTGGAATGCTATTGCCAGTAAACTGCAACATGAATCACTACCTATGAGATCTTCACTCAAAACTGCTCTAGAGGAGTTGTACACCCCTAGCTGCCACTGCTATTCAGTGGCCTAAAATATGGCTCTAGATTTTGGTGTTATAATTTATTTATGTAGTTTATTGTTAAAAATTCGGTCACAGTCCCTATGATCACTGTTACATTGCATTTATGGCTTTTATTTTGGTGATTTCGAAAACGTTTTTTTTGTTTTGGCCATGTTTTTGTTTATTGTAGTACGGAGTTAGACTGATGGCCTTAATCTTAGTTGTCTTGTGGTTGTTGTTGTTTGACTTGCATCCCACTGGGATTTTTTGCACACAGCGTTGGTGTACGGTGCTATTTCAGGAATATTTTGATGGTTTTTTCCTGGATTTTCTGTTTGCACAGTCACGTAGTCACTTTAAAATGTTTTCTTGTTCATGTTTTTTGTTTGTTGTGGTTGCACCCGATTCAAGAGCCGAATGGCTCACAGGGCTATACCACTATGAAAAACTATGAAACTAAACTATGAGAGGGTGGGGGAGGGCGCCGAGAGGGTGGGTGGGGGGGGGGCGCCGAGAGGGTGGGGGGGGGGGCGCCGAGGGGGTGGGTGGGGGGGCCGCCGAGGGGGGGGGGGGGGGCGCCGAGAGGGTGGGGGGGACGCCGAGAGGGTGGGGGGCGAGAGAGTAGGAGGGGGGCCGAGAGGGTCGGGGGGGGCAGAACTTCCGGTGGGTGACGTCATCAGGCCCAATGCGACAAATCTCACCGCCCGAGTTTACCCCCTCCCCCCCGCTTGCCGTGACTTTGTAAACTCCCCTCTGGCATTTCGCGCTCCGAACAAACCACCACCAGACAAAACAAAACAAACTAAACCGACGATGCTCTCCACTTGGACGTTCGAAGCCTCTCCTTGCCCTCCCCTCGGCGTGACGCGTGAACCCACGCGTCATCAGAACCCCCTCGGAGCAGCAGCAGAGGCGGCGGCGGGGGGCGTGGGCGTTGTAGGACGCGGCCCTCCAGTTTGTTGATCGCCGCAGACGCGCGGGGTGGCCCCCCTTCAGTCGCACGTCGGCGGCCGTCGAGTTGGCGAACGGTGACCAAACGCCCCCCTGCCCCCCCCAACACCTTGACATATATATTTTTGTTTGGACGATTCACATGCGACGTTGAGGTACGTGCCGGAACCCCGAGATTCTACGTCGGAGCCGCACGAACGCAAGGGGGTGGTTGTGTGCGCGCTCTGGCCTAGTCCCCAATTGCCAGTGAAACGCTCGCGCGTGGAGGCCGCGTCTCGTTGTTTTGGTTTCCTCTCGCGACTTGCTCCTTACATTCCGTCGTGCGGATTTCACGACGCGCGCGGCAAGCGTGTCGCGCGTACGCGTGTCTGCATATAAGGCACGTTGTTGCACGCAGTGTGTAACACGTCGGCTTTCACGACCGATATTCGTAATAAAGGTTTTTGGGTTGTATGTGTCTGTGTCTTATACGCAGCGTAGCACACGGTGGACTGCACGCAACGGCGTCTGTTGACAAGTCCGGAATGCGCCAGATCTCGTTTGAACGCGCACGCTAAGCGGGTCATGAGCCTGGTCAGTGCTCTCGTGTGCTTGGATCGATGAGGGGTGTCACGGTGGCTAGGAGATGTTAACTCCCTCGCCTGGTGTGCAGGAGGTCGTGGGATCAATCCCGACCCTGACGCCTGCTGCTGTACATGTGGAGTTGCGTGTGGCTAGGAGATGTTAATTACCTCGCCTGGTGTGCAGGAGGTCGTGGGATCGATCCCGACCCTGACGCCTGCTGCTGTATATTTGGAGTTTGCGTGTGGCTAGGAGATGTTAACTACCTCGCCTGGTGTGCAGGAGGTCGAGGGATCGATCCCGACCCTGACGCCTGCTGCTGTATATTTGGAGTTTGCGTGTGGCTAGGAGATGTTAACTACCTCGCCTGGTGTGCAGGAGGTAGTGGAATCGATCCCGACCCTGATTCCTGCTGCTACTGTATATTTGGAGTTTGCCTGTGGCTAGGAGATGTTAACTACCTCGCCTGGTGTGCAGGAGGTCGTGGGATCGATCCCGACCCTGACGCCTGCTGCTGTATATTTGGAGTTTGCGGTGTCTCTTCCCCCCGTGGTCGCGTGGATTTTTCTCCGGGTCCTCCGGTTTTTGCCTCCATTCTTAGAAGCATGCGTTTTAGACTATTTGGCTGCTATAAATTTACACGCGATAAGCCGCTTTGTTGAGCAATCATTTGTGTCGCTTCTGAAAAGAGCCACATAGCTCGGTGGACCTTACCTGGTCAAATAATCAAAAGTGTATTTTTAGAAACACTGCTCGACTATGGAATTCCCATCTTCCCTTTATCCCAAGCTGGTACAAGCTCACGTGTGCTCGATTCAACTCTCACCTATTACAACCTTGACATGTAGGCCTGTGTTCATAAACTTGTATTTTAAAATCATAATCGTGCAGCGGTTGGCATAGGCTGCCGCGGAGATACACGGTGGAAAGCAGAGATCACTTCATAAACATTACGGTAATTGTACCATGCCATGCTCCACGCCTTCACCAACCCACAATGACCACCGTGGTGAAGTATGGTTGATGTGGGAGGTGGGGAAGAGGGCTCATTTGTCGTAACATCGCATATACGTGTAAGAGTAAACAAAAGCAAAGCCTTACCGATGATGGTGTTGATGATAATGGTGTTGTTGATAGTATTAATAATCTAATAATGTATTTAATTATCTAGGAAATCCACTTATCCAGGAAAGTCTTAGGACTCTTTTTTTTACCAGGAAGGTCGTGCGTTGGGGTTTTAAAGATGTTTTCGGCCAATTAATGATGTTTATTTCGTCGAGTGGGAGGAAACCTACATGTGCGAGGGAGCAACACTCTATCCCCGTACAGATGGTAACAAACTGCGATAATTTTACTTGCTGTACTGCTTTCTCCTGGAAAGCCAGAGTATGGCATCTCCTCGACGCCCACGGAAAGGGAGTTTAACAAAATGTGTTTGTGCGGTGATCCACCAAACCTGGCTGCCTACACAGTGCTGGATTGCAGGCGTGGTGACCATTACACTTGACGCTCACTGCCCTTGTGTGTGTGTTTGTTTCCACGCAGGAACCCACCCAGTGAGGGGGAGAGAGGATGAATTACGTGGGGCAGCTGGCGGGGCAGGTGTTCGTGACGGTCAAGGAGCTTTACCGGGGCTTGAACCCAGCCACACTGAGTGGCTGCATCGATGTGATCGTGGTGCGCCAGCCAGACGGCTCGTTGCTGTGCTCGCCTTTCCACGTGCGGTTTGGCAAGCTCGGCGTGCTGCGCTCCAGGGAGAAAGTGGTGCGTGTGCTGTGCGTTTACAAAGTGCACCTGGCCTGGCACAGGCGCCGTGGTGACGTCACCGCCACTGAGTGGCGGATGGTGTAGGTTTACATTAATTCGTGTTTGGGGATGCTGCTGTCGCCACGGCTTAATGATTCGTACGTTGGACTTGCATTGCAGGACACTCAACACGTTTGTCAATAGCAATGCCTCAAAAAGCATTGCATTTTTTCAAATATATGCAAATAAAGTAATGTAATGTTCCGGTTAATGCCCTGCTTCATTTTTTACGTCGCTTATTATATATTTTTCCTTTCAAGGCAGCGTTATTAACGAATGTATCGAGTTTGTTAATTGTGCTTTATGCACCACTGCCAATGCAGTAGCAGCAGCGTCGCCAATTAATTTTCAGCACAGGAAGAGGTCGCCGCTTCGGTGCTATCTCCCGAACGCGACATCTGAAGCTACGGGGAAACTTTTTGAACGTCTTGAGATACAGCGCCTTTGTTATATAGCCTCGCGCTTTAAAAATAGCGTGACTCCAAAAATGCACTCGTCACAATTCGTAATTAAAGGAGGGGATCGATACACATGAAAGCGACACCACGCATGGTGGGTCACGAGGAGTGGAGTTTGGGAAACGCTGCAGTCTTGCCGAGAGCTGGCCTTTGTGGATGCTTTTTGCGTTTCAGGTTGACATTGAGATTAATGGGCGTCCCGTGAACCTGCACATGAAACTTGGGGACAATGGAGAGGCGTTTTTCGTCGAGGAGACTCAAATGCAAGAGGCAAGTAAACCTTTCTAAACATACATTTTAACGCTTTCCGACTGAGGTTCAAAGCGATTTATGAATTAGCGCTGTCCATCCGTCCGTGTGTAATACAGAGGTTGGGCAGGGGGGGGCTTTTGGAAGGCATGGTATCGCTCCTAAATCTCATCCAACACGAGTTAAACTTTACTGTTAAATTGTGTTCGCATTCGGATGTATCCTTCTGCAAATCGGCCAAATCGATCACAACATGGAGATGTAAACAATATTACATGCTTTGCTTTTGTTATAGTATGTGGGAGAATCGGAGGCATAGTGGTAAGTGCACAATGCTGTCAACCCCCCGGCCACTTGATTTGAATTCCCAACGATGGTTGACATCAGTGGCAAGTAATATCTGACCAGTCTTGCCCACCCCTTGATCGACCTGCACTGACTAGTCTGGTGAAGTATCGTTAAATAATGCCCAAGACTGACGATGCATGGGGAGCAGAGGGCATTGGTAGAGGGCATTGCAAATTACAAATTTTGTAACGCGCTGCACAGTTTCCGTGCATTCAGAGGCGTGGGAATCCACGGACAAGCGGAAAGGCAGCCAAAACCAGAACCAGCAATTGGACAAGCTTCCTGGCTCTGTATTGGAATATTTGGCCAACTAATTTTATTTTGTTTTGATATCGAGTGCGAAGTGAGAGGACACACTTTTGAGCTTTTCTGAACATTGCCCAAACATAAACATTGTCTGAGCATGAACAAAATATTAAGCATGGAGGAGAGATGGACGAATCAATCTTTTGCCCATACAGTGTTGTTAAATAATATATTCATGTATTAGTGGGCTAGGCAGAAGAGGGCACTGCAGCAAAGCCAGATTGTTGTACTGTACGTATATGCTCCCACATCTCTGCTTCCCACCTTCAACTCGCCACTGATCAGCGTGGTGAAGTATGGTCAAATAACCCCCACTACCCATGCAGCACGGAGATACCCTTAAATAACGGTTTGTCCTCACGCCATTGCCTGTTGCCATTGTGCTATTCGAGGGGTCTGGTTTGTTGTTTTCACTTGGGTTTGTTATTCGAGGGGTCTGGTTTGTTGTTTTCACTTGGGTTTGTTATTCTTATCTATTCGTACATTTTGGTTTGTACTCGTGTTTTGGGTTGTTCACACGACGTGGCTGGCTGTTCTCAAGTTTGTTATCCAACGCTCGCGTCTTGGGCCATCGCGGTTTTGTTCTTCCCGTCCTCACGTTGCGGTTTTAGTTGTTAGACCGTCCTCTGCTGTGCTTCTCCCGCAGAACATGGTGCCGGCTCGTCTCGTCACGTCCCCGATCCCCTGTTCGGACAGGGACGAGGGCGAGGATGATTCCGACGACATGGAGATGGAGCCGATCCTGGGAGACGAGGATGATGAAGACATTGGCAAGGTCCGAGACTTGCCGGAGGTGAGTGACACGGCAACACGACTGCAATCAGCCCGAGCTGACTTACGTCACCGGAAATGTATTATTTAACATTGATACATATACATGTTTTCGTAATATTTTCGATTTATCTTGTGACGCAGTTGTTTTTGTTGTTATTTCTGTTTGCTTCGTTGCTGCACTTTGTCTTACTTTTGCACGTTTTGGTGACCCAGGCCACCCATGCAAGTGAGACTCTTATCTCGTGAAACAAAATATACTTGAAACTCTGCCTCATCCAGCGTACATATTAACTCTTTCTATTGTGAGCCTCGCATGAGCAGAGCACAATGGCTGTTGTGACACGCTTAACAAACATCTCTTATCTTGTAGCTAGATATCGAGGCAGTGTCTCCCAGGCTGGTTGACACAGGGTTGAAGCTTTGTCAATGACAACAAGAGATTTTAAAGTGACTTCAGGCAAACCCAACCTCTGGTGGTTCAGTCACGATAACTAGAGCTACGATGCTACCCCTGACATTCACTTGTAGTCCTCCACATCATCTTCGACTTTAGACTCACGTGGGTGAAGCGTGCACCCACGAGATAAGAGCTAATTGCTTTTTGGCTCGTGTTGACAAAAGGTCATTTAAGCTTGGTGGAGTTAAAAGGAAAAATATTCGAAACGTATGTAACTATATAAAACGTATAGTTTGTTTACATTACACCACGCCCAGCCACCTTAGTCTCCCCGGTGCTGATGTACGCGCATCGCATGACGTTCACTTGCAAGGAACAACAACCCGCTTTTCTGTTTGTTCCTCCCTCCACCCCTCCCCCATCATCAGCTGCTGGCCGGAGAGGCTGCTTCCTGCGCGAGCGTGCCGGTGCCGCTCCTATCGCCGCCCTCGGCTTCCAAGAAGCGGCGCAAGCGGCGGCGCAAGTCGAAGATGGACACGTCCGGGGGCCGCAGGGAGTCGGCCACCACCGCCTCGCACGACGGCGAAATCTTTGCGATGGAGATGAACTCGGACGAGGAGGCAGCGGCGACCTCTCCTGGGCTCAGGTCTTGCTGCGCTCGTGTGCGCGGCGCCGGCCATGTCGATACTGCCGCCCCACCCCAGCCCCTCCACCCCCTGAATCCTTCCACAGCTTAGCGGCCGCGTGCATTTGAGCTGATGCGGTGTCCCTTGGTGACTGTCGCAGAGATGCGAACGCCACCCCGAAAAGCACTTTTGAATAAAGTGTTGCCGTCACGTCACCAACTTTTGTTGCCGCTTCGCGACGTTGCCCAGTCACCTCGGCCGGCCGTGTGATGCAGAAGTGGATAAGTCGCAGAACAATTCAGCGGCAACGTTTGCGGTCACCCTGTTAAACCAGAAACGCAGACCTTGTCCAAGCCAGTTCACTGGTGAAAAACAGGACTTTTAATCTCCTGGGAAGACTTAGAGATTTCCCACGGGCAGCTTTAGCTCTTGTTTCCACTTGTAACTGTTGTTTCCGGTTGAACTTAGTGATTGCTAACGTTGCCGTTGATTTGTTCTGTGATTGCGTGTTGCTGAATTATTATTTATCTTTTACAAATTTTCTCTCAACACGCGCTGCAGAAACAGCTCCTTCCAAGTGAATAGCGGCATGGAGGCTGCGTTCTTCTCAGGCGTCCCAGTTCACCCGCATTCCGACGGCGACTGGTCCCCACTGCAGAGGTACCCACCCATTCTCGGCAAAGATAAAGATCCCCCCTATAGCCTTAACAGACTGTTGGGGGCAAGTGCTGTTAGCGAGTAACACCTATGAATTTTGATTTAGGAATAGGGCTATTGGCCAGCGTAGGGTTAGGGTGAGGGTTAGTAACAGGTGTAGAGTTAAGCATAGGGTTGGCCTTGGGTTTATGACAGGTTTTAGTGTCAGGGACAGACCAGAGTTGCATTACAGTTAGTGACAGGCTTAGAGTTTGAGACACGGTTAGTTTAAGGACAAGGATATCATTATGGTGATAATGGTAGTTAATTGCAAGTCTTTGCTGAGTGATAGGGTTCATGGCAGGCACTAAGACAAGGTTAGGCGTGATGACAAGCCTCGGTTTGAGAGCCAGGGCTGTGTTTCTCGATACTCAGTCTTAGCGGTCAGTCCTCCTCACTCTTTGGTTATTTCGGTAAAGTCACGTAGGTATAAAGTAAAACAAATAAAATCACGACGTTTCGATTGCAACACAAGCAATCATCATCAGGTGGGAAAACCACAGCAAGAACATTTTTTTTGCTGAAGTGGGAGGCTGTTAAAAGCTCTAACAGATGTGTGAAAACCCTCCCCGTAGAGGCGGTTCAATCTAGATTTGAAGTTTTCGTGACTGCAGGGATCCATGCTCTTTGGTTATTTGGGTAAAGTCATGTAGATAAGAAAGAAAAAATTCTTGCTGTGGTTTTCCCACCTGATGATTTATTGCTTGTGTTACACTCGAAACGTCGTGATTTTATTTATTTTATTTTATACCTACGTGATGACTTTACCAAAAGAACCAAAGAGTATGGATCCCTGCAGTCACGAAAACTTAAAATCTTGATTGGTCTGTCCTCCGTCACACTCTGTGATACTTACCGCACCCCCCACCCCACACAGCCCGTCCTCGCTGCGTCCCATGTCACCCAAGAGCGACTCGGAGCTCGTGTCTAAGGGGTCGGAGAACGACCTCCTCCGCAACATGCAGTGGTCCTGGGGGCAGCTGCCCGAGAGAGCACAGGTGACTCGCGGTTGTTCCTGCTGCTGCTTTTGTCCCAGCAGTCTCTAGAATCTAAATTATTTAGAGGCAGCAAGGCTGGGAGACTTTGTGTGAGAGTGTGTGTGCTCCTGGGTGTGTGTTTATGCCTTTCGTGATGCTGGCCAAACAACCTGTTGTGTGTCGTGCCGGCCTTCATAGGTGCTCGCAAGCAGCACATGCCCCTACAGTCAGTTAATATGCTATACGGGGGATCTTTTTTGCCTTTGTGTGTACGTGAGTTTGTGTGAGCATGTGTATGTGCATGCAAAGCCTTCACCCAGCAGCAGTGGATAGATCGTGGCGGCTGCTGCTATCGCCACCGGTGCTGCTGATTGTGTTATCGTTCACGCTCCGCCTGCCCGTCCGCAGCTGATGAGCTTGGACATGGAGGACGACGAACCCCTTGTGGTCGACATCATCGCCCCGCGCGACACCACCCACTTCCGCGTCATCTTCGAGCCGCCAAACTCCTCGGGCGACACCGACGACGACATCTTCGCGCCGCCACCGCCACGTGCCGAGCCTCCCGCCTTCCGTCCCGCCTCCTCGCCCGACGACGACGACGACGACGACGACGACCGCGAGGAGGATGACGGCAGGGGCGGAGGAGGCGGAGATTACGGCAGGGGCGGAGGAGGCGGCGCGACGTCGGGGGGCGAGGCGGAGGGGGACGCGTCGTGCTGGAACGTGCTGTGCTCGTCGCCGCCGCCGCAGCTCACCAGCCGGCCCACCGTGCGGCCCGAGACGCTGCTCAAGCCCAAGGCGTCGCCGCCGGGGCGGAGGGAGTGCGGCGACGGGCGGCCCGAGGAGCCGGCCACGGCGCAGCCGGGCGGACGCACGGCAGAGAGCGGTGCGGGCGGTGCGGGCGGTGCTGGTGGGCGGGCGTGTGTACGCCCGCCGTGCCAAGATTGCGTGTGCACACATACGGGAATATAAACTTACATCCTGTATGCACACGTAGACATGTACGGCCCCCTTTAGCAATCTGCTGATGATGAGTTGCTTGACCACACTACAGCAATGGTGGTCAGTGTGGGTTGGTGAAGGTGGGAAGTGCAGATGTGGGAGGATTTTTTCTCATTTTTCTATAATGGATGCTACTTTCACGGACGACTGGTATATCACATGACTTCTATGGTGATGACGACTCAGGAAACCCCCGCACCAACGACCTTATTGGTTCCTGGTCGACGGGCGCAAGTCGAGCTGCCGTTAAGTCGAACCCTCATTTCCCATAGGCGCAACGTTATACATTGGGGTTCCGTTCCTGGAAACCCATTGCATGACGTAAAAATACCAAAATCTACCACGAAAATAAATTAAAATAACCCTAACAAAACATTTATTGTAACCGAACATGACTTTTACAAGCATTTATTAAATAAAAACAAAACACATTTGAAAATCCTTAAGTACTGTTCTGCATGTGCATCGCATTTCCTCTTCTCAGACGTAGCGAAAGGCGAATTTTTTTTCTAAATTTGTGGAAAATGTCCAAACAACTGAGCTTTGCGAAAGAGATGCGTTCCCTCTCGGCGCAGCTGCAGGCTTCAGGGCTAGACTCGACATACCCATACGGCAGAAGAGCAAATCAGCACCAACTGGCACTGGGTCAGCGCATGACATGCGCAGACTCGGTGCCAATAGACTCGGCGTCGGTAGCAGTCGTTAGGCGGTCGTAGATCTGCGTTCTGGTCATTACTGTGGGGGTCTTGTACTTACTGTAAGAAAGCGGAGGGTCGCAGGTCAGGGGTCACCTGTATTGTGTATTGATAAAACTGATGGTCCGTGTTTGCAGTGCAAGGCCTGCACTGCTGCACTCTTCATCATTTTGTGCGTCTCGATAAACTCGTAACAAACGGTGGCCTGGTGGCTCAGAGGCCAATTGAAGATTCTCAGAGGTGACATCCGCTTCCATGGGCCATTCTCCATCACGAAGGGTTGCACTGCTCTGCGAGAAATCTGTATCGATTTTCCGGCTCGTGACGTTGAAGTAAATTTGGGGGCTTCCGGGGGTGGAAATAATATATTTTCTTGCATTACATTTTTTTTTATGATGCTGTATTTGGCGATCAGAAGCTGGCTTCATGGCACTATCGGACCCAGCCGGATCGGTGGGGCCAGACGTGGCACCCGGCGAACACCCAGAATTGGCGGTGCCGCTCCAGCTCGAGTCGATGGATGCCAACGAGACCAAAGCCCTCTCCAAGGCCGAGTCGCCCGTCCGGAAAAAAGGCACGGCCCCTTCTCTCCGTTTTGTGTCAACTTCTCGTGCCCACCCCCCCCGCCCGAGCCGCGCAGTTGTACATATGATGAGCGTGCTTGGAATGCCGTGATCGTGTTTGTGACCGTGTTTTGCTCGTTTGTGTTTGAAAAGAGGTGGGAAAACGCAGCCAATACCTGGGGCAGAGCGATATTTACCTGGATGAGCTGTCGAGATTGGATCCAGTGGAAGCTGCCATGTACTTTCCCAAGAGGTAAACTGACTTTCGTCATATCGTAATCATTATCTTTCCCTTCATGTTGCTAAGTGTTAATATCATTATCATCTTCCCTGTTATCTTCATCACCATTATCAGACATCCTCGCCACCACCACCCATCGTCATGCTATTCATTGTAAAGATCAATGTCATCATCGTCATTATCATCTTATCACTATCATCATCTTACTCATCGTAATTATCACCTCCCTCCCCGTGTCCGTCGTTCCGACCACCAGCGAGGGAGAGCCGTGCCCCCCAGGTCGGGCTGGCGAGGTGGCCGCCGTGCCAGCCCGCTCGCCCTCCCACTCACCGCAGTCAGTGGGCAGCGGTGCAGCCGACAGCGGCACGGAGTGCCTGTCGGACTCGGCCCAGGGAGACGCCTCCACGGTCGCCCTGTCGCTGTGCGGGGGTCTCGCCGAGTCCTGCAACATCTCGCAGGGTGAGGCGCGCGACGGACACATGGCTGGTGGTGCTGGTGGTGTTGGTAGTGGTGCTGGTGGTGCTGGTCGTGCTGGTGGTGGCGGTAGTGGCGGTACTGGTGATACTGGTAGTGGTGGGAGTCATGGCAGAGGCAGTTTCGGTCGTGGCGGTGGTGCTTGTGGTGCTGGTAGTGCTGGTAGTGCCGGCGGTGCTGGTGCTATTGATACTGGTGGTGGTGGTGATCAAGGTGTTGCTGGTGGTGGCGTTGGTGGTGATGGTGGTGCTGATGGTGATGGTGGTGCTGACGATGATGGTGCTGTGAGTCGTGGCAGAGGTAGTGGCAGTAGTGCCACGGTGGTGCTGGTTGTGCTGGTGGTGGTGGTGTGTGGCCGACATAGTTTGTGCATTGTGCTATGAACCCAGCAACCCGAATTAGATTCCCACTCACTGCCAACATAGGTGACATATGAACCAGTCCTGACCTTGGGTCAACTCTTCTTTAAAAATGAGTACCTGGTGCGGTGTGCAAACAGCTTCACTGGGGAGACAAAGACGGCCGGCGTGGTGCTGGCCACCTACCCCCTCGTGCTGTACTGGCCTCTTCATAGGTGCTCGCTAGCAGCACTTGCTCGAACAGCCTGTGTAGGCTATACGGGAGCTCTTTGGTGCGTGGCGCATGGCACTTAGTAGTGGCTGGGCTATACATAGCGTCTCAAGATCCTGTATTCACACAGTGGATGTTACGCGTGGGAGATACAAAGCCAAGTCGGTCATCGGCAGAGGCGAAAAGGCCTTGAATGGGGGGCAGGCGTTTTACAGCGCGGATGTTTGTTGGACCTAAAGTGATCGGGTGATGATTCGCCGTTGAAGTTGTGCGGGGCGGGGTGTCGTGGTACCCGTGCGCCTGTCTTGCAGAGAAGTTCGAGGCTCACAGGGTCTCCTTCCAGCAGTTCCTCGAGAACCCGGCTCTCATCGACGACCTCAACCTCGTGGTGCTCATTGGAAACAAGTAGGCCGAGGAGGGCGTTTTATTTCGCAAGCGTCCCGTGTTTTACAATCCACCGTCGTAGCAGGTGGCACACCGGTGGCGTTTGCGTGGGTGGGAGTGCGCTTGTGTTTCTACGAGCCCCAGCCTGTGCCTGACGGATGTGTCCCGTGTCTGTAGGTATTACAACTGGGCAGTGGCTGCACCGATGCTCTTGTCAATGCAGGCGTTCCACAAGCCCCTGCCAAAGGTACCAGGCCCCAAGAGGCAGGCGTTGCGTCGCTGGGTTTCCGTGATCGGTGAACACAGGGGCACGCGCGGAGGACCCTAGAAATTGAAGTTATTTTACGATTACTCTAGATTACCCACGAAAGCCTTGCCGTGTCTCATGACTCACTTTTCAGGAGGGTCCTGCTCAGTTATTTTTGAGTTAACAGCTTGGGAGGTTCGGAATAGAACACAGCCAGAGAAGGGTGGGAGACATGGGTGCAGGATGGAGGAGGATAGGGTAAAAACAACAACAAACACTTGGAAGTGTGGATTATAATATATTTGAATCTGGGGCCCTGAGAAAATGAGGACATTTGAAGAACGTTAGCAAATCATGAATTGAGAATCGACGAAAGATAACTTTTTTCTTCGTAAGCATCAAGCACCAAGCGTGTCCTCAAGCAGTCGAACGCATCGACGTAAACCGATTTGTACATGGACATCCCTTTCGCAAATCCACTGCTGGATGAGGGCCTCCCCACCCCGTGCGGGTCGTGGGGTTTACTTGACCGTGCTTCACCACGCCGGTCGGTCGGCACGACGTTCAGTGAATGCGGGCAGCATAGACTCCCGGAGCCTACTAAGGACTCGGCAGCAGGTTCCGCAGCGCTGGCGCCGTAGCCGACTTCGACCGATGTGACGGCGCGGGTGGTTTGGCGATGTCGTTTGCCTGCAGCTGGCGGTGGAGGCCCTGATGAAGGAGAAGATGCCCAAGAAGAGCAACCGGTGGTGGTTCTCGTGGCGTCGCAGAGACAACTCGGCCAAGGCGGTGAGGCCGCACGCACGCACGCCCCGGCCCTCCACGGCACAGTCGGCTCGTTTAGAAGCCGTCGGTTTGATGTTGATGAGGTTATAAAAAAAGACGGCCGGCTTATCGGCAGCGTGATCACGCCCCCCTGTCAAATCGTGCTGGTCAGTGGTGGTTAAATTGGGGGGCGTGGTGGTGGTGGTGTTGGTGGTACATAGGATAGCCGTGGTTGGGCATCGACCTCTGGTCTCTGGGTTTGTAGCGCGACGAGCAAATAACTACACCGCCGCTTACCCACTTAGAAAATGATTTACTACCAGTGGTGACATTTTAACGAATGAATGAAGGAATAAACAAATGTTCAATCTTTTCGACAAACCCTCGGTGCTTCCTGTCCCACCCCCCCTCGCAGGAAGGGAAGAGGGAGCAGCTGCAGCCGGATAGCGGACTGAGCGGAGAGCAGTCGGGACAGTCTGACACGGGGATCCGGTGAGGCCCTGGCCCGTCACGGAACAACGGCATCCACGCTCTCCCCCCCCCCGTCTAACTCCCCCCCTCTAACTCCCCCCCCCCCCCTGTCTAACCCCTCGTCTAACCCCCCCCTCGACAATTAACAAACCCTCGTCTCCTTTCCCCTCCAATCACCACCCTTCGTCGAATCTCCCCTGATCTAACTCTCTCATCATCTCACCCCCCTCGTCTAACACGCTGTTACTTGACTACCCTCTTGATGTAATTAACCACCCCCCCCCCTCATCCAACCACCCCCGCCTGAGCCATCGCCTCTCATCTTGACACCCCTCGACTGTGTATGGATGTATGTTGAACTTCTTTAGCACTGTACATCACCAACGGTGCCAATCGGAGGTGCGTAGGAAGGAAAACAAACTAAACACAAAAACCAGTTCTAACAAATCTAGATTTAAAATTGCATAGCTCCAGTCGCTTCCTAATATCGGAAGGCAGAGCGTTCTAGACGGCCGCAGAAGCGCATCTGAATGCGCGCGCTGCAGTGACTCGCCGCTTCTCATCTTCTCACCTCTTCGCCGCCGCCCCCTCCCCCCACCTCAGGCTGCAGGACGACGAGTCGTCGTCGTCAAGTGAAGACGAGGAGCTGGGCCCGGTGCCGCGCGCCGTGCCACTGCTGGAAAGGGAGCCCCACGTGATCGCGTTCCGCAAGTCCCTGCGCCTCTCCTCTGAGCAAATTGTACGTGGGTCCCCCTCCCGCACTCCCCCCCCCCCCCCCCCCCCCCACCATACGTGCTCCCCACCCCCCATGGTCGTTGTCACAACCGGAGCTCGGTTGCTACCTCGAGCATCTTACAGGTCGCCACTGTTAGGCCGCAGAAGGATGGCACCCCACCGGTAGTATCCACAGCCATAGCGAAGAGGTCTATTGGATGTGGTGTGCCGGGCTGCGGAAATTGTTTCCGGGTAGGCCACGCGGGCAAACGTGGCAAAAATTAATCCCTGGTTGGCGGTGGTTGCCCCAAGTGTCGGCTAGCACGACAGGAGGGGTGCTGATGTAGGGGGCCTTAACTGACTTGGGGGTCTGTGGGGGGGCGAGGAGTGCGGCGGGTGGGGGAGTCGGAGCCAGGATGAGGGCTGATGCGACAGTGCAGGCGTTACAAGTAGGAGGCAGTCGGTGGCTACCATGAAGAGGAGCTACATCTGGGGAGCTAGGACACGGGGCAGCTCTAACAGAAGCGAGGCAGCGATGGCACGGTGTGCCGACCTCTTGACCCTGGCCCACGGCTGACCGACCGGCCGGCGTGTGCAGGCTCAGCTGCAGCTGAAGGAAGGCCCCAACACGGTGAGCTTCAGCGTCACCACGCAGTACCAGGGCACCTGCCGCTGCGAGGGAACCATCTACCTGTGGAATTGGAACGACAAGATCATCATCTCCGACATCGACGGCACCATTACCAAGTGAGCGACGCGTGTGCATTGTCCACCGGGGCCTTTTGGATTTAAAAATAAAATAAAATGTTTTTAACATTTTCCGCCCATAGTAATCCTGGTCGCGCTGTTGTTGTGCAACATGTTATGAGATGGAGTGTCCATTTGGGTGGCCCACAGCAGTGTCACCCGCCGTCTTGGGGGCGGTGACACGGCCCAGTGGTAGCGTGTTTGCCACTTGTTGCACAGGTTTACAGCTCGAATCCAGCGTTTGCCCTGGTTAATTCTCTGCGGGCGTATTAACCGTAAACATCCTGCACGTTATCTGCCTCTCAGTGGACGTTATGTGCCTGTGTCATGGTCCAAATTTTCCACATTTTAAATTTTTACCTGCAAATTATTAACTTTTGATGACACATCATGCATCGCTCCTGCTGTGAATACTTGGCAGGACCCTCCTGAAAAAGATTCAAGGCCTCGAGCTTTCCGGGATTAAACAATCGCGTTCGGGAATGGCCCACGGAGGCGGACAAGGCAGAGTTTACATCCCTGAGAGCCACCTTAGGGGGCAGCACTTTCCCTTACAGGAGACCGTGCGCTGGCGGCAGCCGGCGTGCTTTCACCACTCTCGTCAGCCTCTACCTCGCGGCCCTCTTACATTTGTCTTAGGGTAAATTTCTGCAGGGAATTTCCAAAGCCCCTCCATCTGGTGTATGAGAGAGAATGTTAAAGCCCTCATTGCATCATTCAGCGTGCGACCGTGGTCATCCAGAACAAAGACCGTACAACGTTTCATGACGCAATGCTCCGATCCACAAATACGAAGGAGACATCGCAGCCATTTGCTCCGCTGCTCCTAACGCGGTTATCTGGCTTGAGCACCTGAATATGAAATTGTAGTTGTTGCTCTGTATCTCCATCAGCCATACGAAATAAGAAATCTCTGACGATGTCAAAGCGTTTACAGTTATCGATACCTCGTCTGCAATCGGAGAAGAGGCCTGTGCACTGGACAGGGTAGAAGGATCTTGAACAATGATCCCGGCCCTAAGGCAGGGGAACTCGAAAATTTGGGCATTTGAATCGATTGGCGGTAGCCCGGGTCACCGCAAAATATTGGTGGGCCGGGCATAGTTTAAGGTTTTTTTCTGGGAGCATCGCTAGTACTATCCTGTCCTGCCGGAGGGCGACGCTGGGAGCGATGATGACGACGATGTCGATCCCGCCGTCTCGCTCCCAAAGAAAAGGGTGGCCGCCCCCGTAAGAAGCAGAACGTGCTGGGGAATGACCAGACCAGCATCCTGATGTACTTTCAAAACAAGCAATAAACAGCCGTTGCCATGCACAAATCCCCAGCAGCCCCCCTTTTTTATGGGTGTTTTGCGTTTGTTTTTTATTTCTATATTTGGCGTGCATATCGGGCTCAGTGACATCTCCCGTCTTCATAGGCCTTCTGGTTTCGGAGTTATGGAGGTTTTGGCACCCCCCCCGGGTCACGATTGTGACCCGGGTCACCGCCAATCGATTCATTTACATGAGATTTTTTTTTTCCCGTAGGTCGGACGCGCTGGGGCAGATCCTACCGACGCTCGGCAAAGACTGGACGCAGCAGGGAATCGCCAAACTCTACCACGAAATCCACAAGTATGCGGACTGCCGCGCACACCCAAACCCTCGAGATTCTCACACCACCGAGTTCCCAGCGCGAGCGTCACATCGCCGACTCGCGCACCAGACCAGACGAATAATCTGTCCCCCACCAGCAACGAACAACCGTTCATTCCCCCTAGGAACCGATATTCGGGAGCGTTATTTCCCATACCGTATCTTCGTATGCCCTCATGTTTTATGGCTCCGTCGGCTCCGCAGGAACGGGTACAAGTTCCTGTACTGCTCTGCGCGCGCGATCGGCATGGCGGGAATGACGCGCGGCTACCTCAACTGGGTGAAGGAGAAGGGGACGGAGCTGCCCCGTGGCCCCCTGCTGCTTGCGCCCAGCAGTCTGCTTCTCGCCTTCCACCGGTGAGCACTCAACCGTTCGCTCACTCAAACTCTCGCCCGCTCGTGTGCTCTCGCGCGCTCATTCCAGGGGTCATCCACCCGCTGGACGACTCACCCACGCGGTCATCTGCTCGCCCACTTATTCACCCATTCACTTAATAGCTCACCTACCCACTTACCCGTTCACATATTCGATCAACCGCTCACTCATACGTCTGTTCAGTCAACCGCTCACCCACACGCTCGTCTGCTAATCCATTGAATCGACTGCCCACTCGCTCGCTCACCTACTCGACTTCTTACTCAATCACTCACCCATCCACTCACCTTCTCACTCGCTCGTCCGCTCGCCTACCCAATTGCCCGCTCACTCGATCATTTGCCCACCCACTCGCCTGCTAAACTTTTCACCTACCCGTCCATTCGCCCCCTTTCCCGATGGCTCATCGACCGCTCGCACGCTCGGGGCGTCCACTCGCTCGCATATATGCACCGTGCACTCGTTGTGCCTGGTTTCCCCTGCAGGGAGGTCATCGAGAAGAAACCAGAGAAGTTCAAGATCCAGTGTCTGGCAGACATCAAGCACCTCTTCAGCCCGCACTCCGAACCCTTCTACGCCGCGTTCGGCAACAAGACCAACGTAAATGCCCGGCTCCCGCACGGCGGTTTGCACATGACGATGGCTGAGTGACCATCGTCAATATCGTCGGTGCCTCTCTCGCAATACGTCCTGCAAATTCAAATGAAAACGACGCTCCACTGGCGATATTTTTCTTATGTTTCTGTGTGTGTATGGGGAGCGGTTAGCGCTACGCTGCGCTACGCTGTGTTACGAACCCGGCGACCGAGGTTCGATTCCCGCTCATGGCCAACACCAGTGACGATTATCTGAACTGGTCATGGGGCTCCCCTAAGTCGACTCAGCCTCAAATGGGGAGACAAAGGCGGCCGGATGTGGCGTTGGCCACCCATCCCCTTGTGTGCCGTGCCGGCCTTCATAGGTGCTCACGAACAGCGCTTGCCCCAACAGTCTGTTACAGGCTATAGCGGGGTGTCTTTGTGCTCGCGTGTGTATGTGTGTGCGCGTGTGTATGGGTGTGCGTGTGTATATGTGTGTGCGCGTGTGTATGTGTGTGCGTGTGTGTATGTGTGTGCGCGTGTGTATGTGTGTGCGTGTGTGTATGTGTGTGCGCGTGTGTTTCTGCACGACGCAGGACGTGTTCGCGTACAAGCAGGTGGGTGTGTCAGAGAACCACATCTTCACCGTCAACCCAAAGGGGGAGCTCATCCAGGAGCACAGCAAGGGCCACAAATCCTCGTGAGTTGGTGGGGGGGGGGGGGGGGGGGCACGGTGATGTTGGTTGATAAGGGTGACTCGATTCAAACGTCAGTAATTTTTAGTTTTTTGTTAACATTATCTAGAGTCAGCGCATTGCTCCCTTTAGGCCGTTTAGTTGTTGCAGAGCCGACATTCATCAACCAAGGTATACAGGAGGTCGTGGGTTTGATCCCCACCCTGACACCTGTATATTTAGAGTTTGCATGCCTTTCCCCATGGTCACGTGGATTTTTTTTCCGGCTCCTCCGGTTTTTCCCTCCACATTTAGAATCAACGTCACGCATTTAGAGCATTTGGTTGCTATCAATTTCCACACGACGATAAGCCATTTCGTTGAGTCATCATTTGCGACCGCCAGGTCGCTTCTGCAAAAGAGCCACGTAGCTCCGTGTGCCTGACCTGGAAAATAAAAAACAGTTTTTCTCTCGTGCGTGTGCGTGCGCGTGTGCTGCAGGTACAGCCGCCTGGGCGAGCTGGTGGAGCACGTGTTCCCTCTGCACCATCGCGAGTCCACCTCCGCTTTCCCCTGCGCCGAGCGCTACAGCGACTTCACCTTCTGGCGGGAGCCCATTCACGATTGCCTCCCGGAGTGCCCACCGCCCGAGGAACCGTGACGACGGACCCCAAAAACACCCCACCACCACCACCCCACCCATACCCCCCCCCTCCCAACCGTGCGTGTACGTGAGCGGGGGCGGGGGGGGGGGGGGGCAGCGCCGGCCGGCAGCGGGCTTGTGAAGCCGGCGGCGACTCTGGTGTCCGATTCGCCCGCGGCTAGCAGCGGTGGCGAGCGATATCCGGACAGGTGCTCCCCCTCCCTCACGACCCCGGCCCTCCCCTAGGTCAACTCCGCCTTAAAAATAAGGACCTGCTGCATTGTCGAAAAACATCGGCAATGGGGAAAGGAAGGCGGCCGGGCCGTGGTGCCGGCCACACCGCCCCTTCCTGCGCCGTTCTGGCCTTAACGGGTGCTCGCTAACTGGTGAAGGCTACACGGGGGGCGGGGGTGGTGGGTGGGGGGGAACTTTCGTCAATCCGCTGCAGGGCCTCCCCCCCCACTGTCGCCCGGTAACGATAGTAATTGAGCAATACAGGTAACAGCAAAGCACAGGGTAACATAGTAACAGCCAACAGACGCAGGCAATGAGAACTCGATAGAGTCGAGCGCGTCGCCTACGCGCGAGTCAGTCTCGTCCTACCGCCCACGCGGGTCCGGGGCGCGGCGACGTGGCCCCCAGGGCGGCCGCACGTTCTCACCGCTTGTTGTCGACGCTGCCGCCGCGGCGTGCATTACCCATATAAATACTCTCGCGCGCGCCTGCTCCACCGCGGACATTGCAAAGATCCCGAGGCGTCGTTAGCGAGGGTGGTAGGGCCTTCGTGTGCCCGCGTGAGGTTCCGAATTTGCCAATTTTTTTTATTACTTTCAAAGTTACCGAATTGCGTAAAGCCACATTGCAACGTCGCCCGATCCTGGCCGACTGGTCGTGTGTGAGAGGTAGCGCCACCCTCATCGCCTTGCGCTATTAGAATGGTGAGAATATCTTACCATGACTAATTTTTGATGTACAGTGCAAACAATACGAATACGATTGAGTCCATAAAAAATTGACTTAAAATCGTGACCCTGAATCCTAATAATTTAGCAAACGGGATGGGGGGGGGGAAGAGGGAGGTAAATCGATGCTCACAAGGGGTGTAACAATTCGTCAGGCGCGTCGATTCGTAGCGATGAACCGTTGAGTTTCGGGGTCACGATTGAAGAGTCGATTCTTCGGTGGCACCCATAGTGGCGTGAAGGTGTCCTGTCAAATAATTACAACAAATACGAATTGAAAAAAAAACATCCATTCGTAAGAACGCACGTGATGATTCAGTGCAGGCATCGCGAGTTTCAGAATCTACATTTATGGCTATTAACTTTGGCCTACGGCTACCTGCACTCACGTCGGAAGTGACGCACTAAGACGGGGGGGGAGGGGTCGGCAAACAAAATAACAAAAAGACGCAATAATTCGAATTCGGTACAACTTCAAGAGCCGCTATGCACTTGAATTACGAGCCGGTGAGTCCTCATTGAATAACGGTTCTTTAAAAGATCCGCAGGTTGCCGACCGCCTGCACTAAGGTCATCGGCACATCGCAGGGGCAGCAGCAGCAGCACACAGCAGCGGCAGCAGCAGCTTTGCGATGCAGTCGCTGCTGTCCCTCGACCTCGCATACTGGAAAGTGTTGGCACGTATGTGCCCGCATGTGCAATGTAGGAGCTTTGTTTAGCTTTTAGTTTTAACGATTTTCGGGACGGGTCGCCGTTAAAGGCCGTGGCCGTTGCGGTTTGATCGAAATCGGCACGTCAAGATTTTCTCGTGCAGCTTACCCTGCAGTGCCTCATCTTTCTCAAGAGAGCGTGCGTTGTTTCGGACCAAATGCGAGACGAGAGGTGGGAGACGCGAGAAGGGGGGAACAGTTTGAGCACACGTATATGTTTGTCATAAAGGGGACGCTGGATGTAACGCTGCCACTTCGTCGGATGTTACTTTGCGTTGGCATCGAGGGCGTCGTAGGATTTCTTCCACTCATTGCCCTTTGTTAGGTTTTTGTTTAAATATATGTAAAACTTTATTTTTTTGGAAAGCGTTTATCGGACATATGAGACGTCACGTCACGGTTGGTGAACCGCCGTTACATTTCTGTTGATGCATTGCCTTGTTTGTGTTGCCTCTTCCATGCCGAAATACATGATACCACATTTCGTCATTTTCTGCGTGTGCGCCTGCGTGTGTGTGCGGGAGTGGGGAGCGGTGTTGGAGCAGTAGCGTGCGGCACTACGAAAAATGAGTACCTGGTGCGATGTGTAAACATCGCCACTAAGGAGACAAAGGCGGCCGGGTGTTGTGTTGGCCACCCACCCCCTCGTGTGTCGTGCCAAATTCATAGGTGCTCGCTAACAGCACTTGCCCCAACAGTCTTTTAAGGCCATACGGGGGAATTTGTGTCTTTATCTTTCTGCGTGTGAACCGACTAATTATCAAACCTGTGCCACGGTGCCAATGACGTTATACAAATCCCGTCACACACAACAACAACAACCGCCATTCGCCACTAAGTGGCGGTGACGTCACCACGATGCTTGTGCCAGGCTATGTGCACCTTAAGGCCACGTGAAGTGTCGAACGCCCGCTGGCAGGTCACGGAGCAAGCCCAGGTGCCACGGGTCGACTGGCTGATGCACCACCTGTGCCCCCTACTGTGCCAACTTGCTAACAATAACACACACACAACTGACGCACCTTTAATTTTTAAATACAGGGGAGAAAAGAGCGTCTCAGTGCGGAGAATACGGCGACTGTTCGTCTTTCAATTATTCCTGGGCCACAATGTGGCATCTGACATAGCTGTATTCTCGGGCCTGATCTGGCCCTTTCTCGATTGAATAACATCTGTCTAACCTAAATAACACTGAGCTTAAGCTCTACAATACGACCTTACACTGGACCTAAATATGTCTTCATATATACGCAAATATACATACATAGAACTTTAAATGTGTAACGTACAAACAAAAAAAGCCTTCGTGACGATGTGCGTTTGACCGATGTGGTCCTAAATACGTGGACGGTTTGACTCTGTTGTGGTGCGGCCTTTCTTATCCCCTTTTTACTTTTGAGGTCACGTGGTAGCGCTCACTTGCGCAATTCATCGCAACGATGGTCATCAAGTCCTCGGTTGTGTCGCGTCGTGTGCGAGTGTGCACGCTCCCCAGGTGTCTGCTACCCGAATCAACATCGCTAACGGTTAAATAAATCTCCGTGCCCCAAGACAGGGGAGCTCTTCCCTGTGTTTATCCCAGTGTGTGCGTGCGGTGTTGTGGGGAGCGGGTGGCGGAGCAGTCAGCGTGCTGCGCTACGAACCCGGTGACCGCGTCATTATCCTTCCAAAGATTGTCACGTGGCAATCGCGATTTGATCATTCTCACCGATAGGATGAACCAATTTAAAGAGTAAATTTCTTAAAACCACGAGGCCATCGTATCGCTACACCCGAGAACCCCACTAAATCAGCGGGTGGCAGACACGTGGATTCTAACCGAGGATTGTTTTCAGGGGCGTTGCCGGGCTCGATGCTTGCCCGCATGACACAACCTCAGCCCCACGAGCCACAACTCCGGGCCCACGTCTCTTTATATTTTATTTTGTTCGCTTGGAAGGTTGGCCTCGTGGTTGCTGGGTGACAGCTTCGCGTTACCACCACGCCGCAACCTTCCCCGCGATGAACATCACACCCAGGTGGGGCCACGGGGTGGGGCTGCTGTGGGTGGTGGTGGTGTGGATGGTGGTGGTGTGGGTGGTGCCTCAAATGAGAGGACGCGCAGAATTGAAGGACGCGTGTGTTTTTTTTTTGGTCAAACCGCAAAGCTGGGATTGCAAGATTGGGATGGAATGGCTGGGATTTAAAGAGATTGAGATTGCAACAGTGGCGTTGTAAGACTGCAAGCGTTTGGCAATTGCAAAAGCCTCGTTTCAAAACTGGGATTTCAAGAGACTGATTGCGGGACGGTGATTTCAAGAGACTGATTGCGAGACGGGGATTGCAAGACTTGGATTGGAAGAGGCTTACGAACATATCGCTGGCACCGGGGAACTATTGCGAGGCCGATTGATTCCATACACCACCTGCCCCTGGATCGTCTGACAATTGGTCCGACGATTCGGGGGAAGGAGCGTTCGCTATTTCGGCTGCTGAGCGCGTGGACAGCGCCGGATCGTCGAGATTCTATGGGCAGTGGTTTGAGACTGCGTGTGGAGGGCCGGGTTCGGATTGGAACCTACTCCAGCAACCAGCAAGGGTCCTGGAGGAGCTAGCGGGTGAGAGGTCCCATCGTGACCACCACCATCATCCTCGTCGGCTGCTCATAAAATCTGCGTAGTCTTCATCTTTGCTGCCTCCATCATCATCTTCATCGCCTTCGTTGCTGTGATTGTCTTACCTTTGATTTCCCTTTATTGTTTAGCATAAATATAGTTTCGTTTAATTGTGTTGTTGTTCTTCATACTTTATTGTTGTAATTGATTTATTCGGCTGTTAGAAATCCTTTCAATTTTGTTTCTTTCATCGTCATTGCCATCTCTTGTTCTTGGTTTTCCTCTATATTTTAAAATATCTTCGCTGTTTTTCATTGTCATATATTATTTTTATCAGCATCATATTTTATTTTCGTCACCATCATCATCATCACCACACTCGTCATCACCCTCTTCGCATAATCATCGCGATCCAGAAAACTAACCACTGATTGGCGCGGTTGGCTACGTACGGTGTGAAAGAAGTTCAACTTACATCGCACGTGCACTCAAAGCAGTCACCATTATTTACAACTCCAAAATCCAAACACAAACCACCACCACCACCACCTCCAGCACCACCAGTACCACCTCCAGCAGTAGCACCAGCAGCAACAGCATCACCACCACCTCCAGCACCACTCAGCATCACCAGCAGCACCTCCACCAGCACCACTCAGCATCACCAGCAGCACCTCCACCAGCACCACCTCCAGCACCACCAGTACCACCAGTACCACCTCCACCAGTAGCAGCAACAGCATCACCACCACCTCCAGCACCACTCAGCATCACTAGCAGCACCTCCACCAGCAGCACCACCCCCCCCCACGCCAACCGAGCACGATGGCCAAGAAGCGCCTCATGTCGGAGAACGAGTTCGCCACCGAGTACTCGCTCGAGTACTCGGCCGAGCGCGCCGCGTCGCACCGCGGCGTCTTCGCGTGCTGCTCGCGCCTCGTGCCCTTCGTGCGCCTCACCTTCGAGCCGGCGGCCGTCGAGTCGCTGTACCAGGGCTACTTCCGACGCCAGCGCGCCGCCACCCTCACCGTGCTCGTCGCCTTCGTCGCCCTCTTCGGCGCCTACGTGCTGGCCACGTGCGCCGCGCTCTACTCGCGCGAGAAGCTCCCCTCGCTCGTGGTGGCCGCGCTCGGCGTGAGCGCGGGCGCCCCGCTGCTGGCCCTGACGCGCCGAGGCCTCGTGGCCGAGCGGGCGGCGCCCTACGCGGCGTGGCTCCACTCCGAGGTGCTCCTCTACGCATACCTCGCCTCGTACGCGTCCGGCGGCAATGGCGCGCAGCCTGCCGACGCGCTCGCGTGGCGCGTCTTCTTCACCTTCGCCCTCTTCATCTCGATGCCCCTCGCGCTGCCCGCGCTCTCGCTGCTCGCGCTGCTGCCCAACGCCCTCTACATCCTCGTCGTGGCGCTCGCCGCCTCGCTCCACGAGCCGCGCGCCGACACGGAGCCCGTCACCCTCGTGCTCCAGGTGGCCCCGGGCGCGCGCGCAACCCCTCTCGGTGTCCCTCTGCACGTTCGTCCCTCGGTCCGTCTGTCTGGCTGGCTGTCCGTCTGTCTGGCTGTCCGTCTGGCTGTCTGTCTATCGGTACGTCTGTCTGGCTGTCCGTCTGTCTGGCTGTCCGTCTGTCTATCGGTACGTCTGTCTGGCTGTGCGTCTGTCTGGCTGACTGGCTGTCAAGCTGGCTGGGTGTCCGTCTATTGGTCTGTCTGTTTGTTTCTCTGTCCGGCTGTCTGTCTGTCTGTCGATACGTATGTCTGGCTGTCCGTCTGTCTGGGTGTCCGTCTGTTGGTCCGTCTGTCTATCAGTTTGTTAGTCTGTCTGTCTGGCTGTCCGTCTGTCTGTCTGTTGATCCGTCTGTCTGTCCGTAACGGGGACCGTGAGGGTGGCGGTGGGGTAGGTGGGGAGGGGGTTATGATAAGTCTCGTCATGTCGATCCAAATTCAAATGAAGCGTCGCTGTCAACTGCTCTACCCATTCCGCGACTTTTCCCGACAGGAAACTGCGTGGCCGAATCGATCAAAGGAAAATCATTGCCCGCAACCCTTAACCGCGAGGACTGCGTGGGTCTAAATCGACCCCCCACCCTCCTCTCTGACCCTCGCTTGCCTGGACCCCTTTGTGTCCGAGCCCCCAAGTTGCCCATCGCAGAACTCGCGCGCCCGGCACTGCCGCTTCGAACGCGCGCCCTTGCGCGCACGCAACCGTCACTCGTGCCAATTAAATACATCCCAGGCAGTAGCGTGGGGGGCAGTGGGGGGCGAGGGGGGCAAGGGGGTGTCTTGCCCCCCCGCCACCCACCCTCCCTGGTGGCCAAAGCTACGAGTTGGGACCCCCCCCCCTTTGACCACCACCTTGAGATTTGTTGTCGACTATTAGTGACTGATAGTGTTAGTGACTGATAGTGTTAGTGACTGATGGTGTCAGTGACTGATGGTGTTAGTGACTGATAGTGTTAGTGACTGATGGTGTTAGTGACTGATGGTGTTAGTGACTGATAGTGTTAGTGACTAATGGTGTTAGTGACTGATAGTGTTAGTGACTGATGGTGTTAGTGACTGATGGTGTTAGTGACTGATGGTGTTGGTGACTGATGGTGTTAGTGACTGATAGTGTCAGTGACTGATGGTGTTAGTGACTGATGGTGTTAGTGACTGATGGTGTTAGTGACTGATAGTGTCAGTGACTGATGGTGTTAGTGACTGATGGTGTTAGTGACTGATGGTGTTAGTGACTGATGGTGTTAGTGACTGATGGTGTTAGTGACTGATGGTGTTAGTGACTGATAGTGTTAGTGACTGATGGTGTTAGTGACTGATGGTGTTAGTGACTGATGGTGTCAGTGACTGATGGTGTTAGTGACTGATGGTGTTAGTGACTGATGGTGTTAGTGACTGATGGTGTTAGTGACTGATGGTGTTAGTGACTGATGGTGTTAGTGACTGATAGTGTTAGTGACTGATGGTGTTAGTGACTGATAGTGTTAGGGACTGATAGTGTTGGCGACTGATAGTGTTGGCGACTGATAGTGTTAGTGACTGATGGTGTTAGTGACTGATAGTGTTAGTGACTGATGGTGTTAGTGACTGATAGTGTTAGTGACTGATGGTGTTAGTGACTGATAGTGTTAGTGACTGATGGTGTTAGTGACTGATGGTGTTAGTGACTGATAGTGATAGTGACTGATAGTGTTAGTGACTGATAGTGTTAGTGACTGATGGTGTTAGTGACTGATGGTGTTAGTGACTGATGGTGTTAGTGACTGATAGTGATAGTGATAGTGACTGATGGTGTTAGTGACTGATAGTGTTAGTGACTGATGGTGTTAGTGACTGATGGTGTTAGTGACTGACAGTGTTGGTGACTGATAGTGTTAGTGACTGATGGTGTTAGTGACTAATGGTGTTAGTGACTGATGGTGTTAGTGACTGATGGTGTTAGTGACTGATGGTGTTAGTGACTGATGGTGTTAGTGACTGATGGTGTTAGTGACTGATAGTGTTGGCGACTGATAGTGTTGGCGACTGATAGTGTTAGTGACTGATGGTGTTAGTGACTGATAGTGTTGGTGACTGATAGTGTTGGTGACTGATGGTGTTAGTGACTGATGGTGTTAGTGACTGATAGTGTTGGCGACTGATAGTGTTGGCGACTGATAGTGTTAGTGACTGATGGTGTTAGTGACTGATAGTGTTGGTGACTGATTGTGTTAGTGACTGATAGTGTTAGTGACTGATAGTGTTAGTGACTGATAGTGTTAGTGACTGATGGTGTTAGTGACTGATAGTGTTAGTGACTGATAGTGTTGGTGACTGATAGTGTTAGTGACTGATTGTGTTAGTGACTGATAGTGTTAGTGACTGATGGTGTTAGTGACTAATAGTGTTAGTGACTGATAGTGTTAGTGACTGATAGTGTTCGTGACTGATAGTGTTGGTGACTAATGGTGTTAGTGACTGATAGTGTTAGTGACCGATGGTGTTGGGAGGCAGTTACAGAAAACCTTCGTCCTCAAACTCAACTCATCATCATCGTCCCTTGGGGGTGGGTCGGTAAAGTTGAGTAACAGACAGTTGAGGCTGGGTGCTGCCTCGTGATTTGTTGCTAAAGCAACTCGCGTGATTGTGGTGACTGGACCGAGCGCGTGTGAGCTATTGAGGCGCCCCACTAAACACGAATTTTCACTCTAAACAAAACACTGTATCCACATTGTATTTGCCAACTCACGACCATCTCCCCTGACCTCAACTCTCCAACTCCCAACCCTCAAAGAGAACCAATCACTTCACCTTTCCCCCTCCAACTCTGTTATCGAAACCCGACTCCCGTGACCGTGACCCGCACTCTAACCGTGCCCCCCCCCCTCCCCACCGCGCAGCTGGTGGCGGACGCCCTGGTGCTGCTGTGCGGGGCTCTGGCCGGGCTGCTCGCCTACCTCATGGCGGACCGCAAGCAGCGGCGAGCCTTCGTGGAGGCGAGGCAGTCACTCGAGGTGAAACTCAGCCTCGACGAGCAGAGGCTGCAGCAGGTGAGGGCTCCCGCACCATCCCTGCACCACTCCGCAACACCCTGCACGCACCTGCATCCTCCTGCATCACCCTGCAACCACCTGCACACCCCCCCCCCCCTGCTCCCCTTGCATCCTCCTGGTCCCCCTCTTCCTGCATGCACCCACCTGCAAGCGCTTCAACTCTCCTGCACCGTCAGGCGCAGCCTGCACCCGATCCTGTACATCCTGGTTGTGATGCCCTAGGGCCTAGGGCGCAGGGAGCGAGTGTGTTGGGGTAGGTGTGATTCTCAGGTCGGGTCGATGATGCAAACGCTGCACAGGCAGTAAATGCTGCCTCTACGGATGTGATGGTGTCTGTATTATTATTTTTGGAAATATCACTCACTCACTGGCTCCCTCTCCCTCTCTCTCTCACTCACCAATGCACTCACCTACTCGTTCGCCTATTAACTCGCCAACTCTTCCCCTTATTCAACTCGCTCATTCACTCACCTACTCGTCCACCAGTTCACTAACGCCCTGGGCGATTTACTTACCCACTCAACCACCCCCCTAACCAACCACTCACCCCCATTCCTCCCTCCCTCCCCTCCGCCTCCTTCAAGTTGTCAAGCAGATTGTTTATCTCTATGACACCTGCCTTCACTTCTCTCTCTCTCTGTCAACATCTTCCCAGAAGCTCCTTCGTCAAGCAATCTCCACCGTAGGACGTGCCCGATCGATCCACGTCTTCTGTCTTGTCTGGCTCATCATAAACACGCGGCACCACCATCCCACACACAGCGCTCATCCTACACACAGCGCTCATCACACACACAGCGCTCATCCTACACACAGAGCTCATCCTACACACAGCGCTCATCACACACACAGCGCTCATCACACACACAGCGCTCATCACACACACAGCGCTCATCACACACACAGTGCTCATCACACACACAGCGCTCATCCTACACACAGCGCTCATCACACACACACAGCGCTCATCACACACACAGCGCTCATCACACACACAGCGCTCATCACACACAGCGCTCGCCACAAATGAGCCACAATACCACCTCGCTGATCTCGTCAAGGAACATAAAACCATCAGTCACGCAAACTCCGATCATCCTCGCAGCAGCAGCGGCTCTTGGCTCTCCGTCGAACAAAGACGGCGCTCACCGCATCATCGCGCGGCGCTTTCAGACGCGCTTCTGCGGCCTTCTGGAACGTTCTTCCTTCCGATATTAGGAAGCCACTGGAGCTTGTACACTTTTAAATCATCATTTAGATTGACAAACTCATTTCTTTAGAACTGCTTTTTGTCTTCCCCCCCTCACCCCGCACCTCCGATCAGCGCGGTCGGCTCCGTACCGTGCGAAATAAAAGTTGAACGTGTACACAGCGCCATCGCCTAGCATCCTTCCGTCCTCCTCCATCAACCTTTCACCACCCAGGATGTGCCTAATCCGCATTCTTCTTCCTCCTTCGGATCATTGTCACGAGACGCGTCTCCTCCTGAACCAATGTTCAAACTGGGTGGACGATGTTTTTAGACAGAGCCCGGCCAGGCGTCCTTTTTGTCGTGATTGCGCGCCCCGCCTGGCGTTTAACAACGCGGAGCAGGCAGCCTTCAGCAAGAGACCATGGCCCAGATCCAATTTATCTTTGGGGCACGATTGGCAGCTAAACAAGCTCCAAAAAAAATTATAATAACAATAACATTGCGCGGTATAAACAATCTGGGTCTTCGGTTGCGTGCCCGTTTGTGTGTTTCCGTTCGCGTATTTGTACACGCGTGCCGCTGAATATCCTCACAACATTTAGGCTCCCTTATTTCCCTGGCTTGCCAGGTTGTTATTGAATCCTATGACTGTACACTGGAGGTGGGCGTCCTCTGTGCTGTTGCAGGGGCTGTATGGGGTGAGGGGAGGAGGGGTGGATGTCACCGGAGCCAGGGTAGGGAATTGAACTCCCAGAGCCTCCCTCGGTGGTGTCAACGAGGGATGAGAGCGATCCTAGGCACCCCGCACGCTACAGACGCAACCACAAGCAGATCTTATCGGGGATTCTTTTTTTATTACAACGGCCCGGGTCGCCAAGTAGCCCAGTAACAAACAGCACTTTTGATGTTGTGAGGTCAAGGCTCTGTTCCTTGGGGCGAATTGATGAATTAGTGAGTGAATGATCATTGAACGAATAAGCCGAGTGATCAATTGAATGCGCGAATGAATGACGGCTGCGGGCTCAGGCTCAACGTCTGCTCTCTCTCCTGAATGAATGAAAAATTATTGCACTAAGCGAACAAGCGAATTCGTAAATGAACCAGCGAGAGAATGAATGAATGAAAAATGATTGCACTAAGCGAACAAGCGAATTCGTAAATGAACCAGCGAGCGAATGAATGAATGAAAAATGATTGCACTAAGCGAATTCGTAAATGAATCAGCGAGCGAATGAATGAAAAATGATTGCACTCAGCGAACAAGCAAATTCGTAAATGAATCAGCGAGCGAATGAATGACGGCTGTGACGCCAGGAACGGCTCCTGCTGTCCATACTGCCGCATCACATCGCGGACGAGATGCTGACGGACATCAGGAAGGACAAGAGTCAGAACGACACGCAGCAGTTCAGCAGTCTCTACATGTACCGCCACGAGAACGTGAGGTGCGTGGGGCTAGGGGGGGCTGGGGGGGGGCTGGGGGGGGCCCTGTGGGGGGGGGGAGCTTCGGATGGGGGGGGTGACGAGAGAGATGATGGGCGAATGGTCGTCATGTGTGTATGCTGAATTTCTTTCGCGCCGTACGGAGCCAACTGCGGTGGTGATGATGATGATGGGTAACTTCCGCAGTGGTGATGATGGCAACGATTGTTTGTAGTGGTTTTTGTTGTATTGTTGTTATTATTATTGTTGATGCTTCTTTGCGTGTTTACCCAGGAAGGCATCACCGAGTCACGTGACTCTTTTTTCAGGAGGGTTCTGTCAAGTTGCGTTAGTCGGGATGCGATGGTTGCCGTGCGTTATTAGGTTGAGTAACGGTGCATAGTAAGGTGATGAAGCTGATTTAGTAAGATTATGATCATGATGCTGATAAGGCAATGGTGATTGTTGCATCTTAAGACAATGATGGTATTATGTTCGTTGGTGTTGATGATGATGGTGGTGGTGGTACCGGGGTAGTATTCTGTTCGCTGGTGTTGATGATGATGGTTATGATGTTTATGATGGTGGTGGTGTGACCAGGGAAGTATTATGTTCGTTGGTGTTGATGATGATGGTGGTGGTGGTACCGGGGTAGTATTCTGTTCGCTGGTGTTGATGATGATGTTGATGATGATGTTTATGATGGTGGTGATGGTGTGGTAGTATTCTGTTCGCGGACATCGTGGGCTTCACACAGCTCGCCTCCGCGTGCAGTGCGAACGAACTCGTGCGCCTGCTCAACGAACTCTTCGCGAGGTTCGATCAGCTGTCCGACGTGAGCTCACACACTCACTTACTCTCACACACTGCACACTTACATACAACACACTTTGAGAGCAGACTATCGGGGCAAGTGCTGTTATTAGTAAGCTTTATATTTGCATTATTTTAACATGGGATCGAGCATGGGATCGAGCATGAGATCTAGCATGGGGTTTAGCATGGGATCGAGCATGGGATTACGCATGGGATCGAGCATGGGATTGAGCATGGGATCGAGCATGGGATTAAGCATGGGATCGAGCATGGGATTGAGTATGGGATCGAGCATGGATTGGAAATCGCTATTCTATAGATTATTGTTCCATAACTTCTTATTTGGGCAAGCACATGATTCGGAATAACCATTTGTGGGCAGGTCACATGTACTTTATCTTGTCTTAATTTAGGCCTCCATATTTGACAGACCCATGCTATCGCTTTGCAGCGTTGTGTTTCACATGGTCTACAGTAGTTTCACATTAGGGGAGCGAGGGGGGGGGGTATTCTCACAGCCGAGTATAGTCTGTGTAGAGGGAGCGATGTTGCTATGTGGTTGTACCCAATTATATTAAATTGTAAATGTTTTAACTTAGGATAGGTTTGGGTGGTGACGCTGGAACACACGTGACTTCCTGCTCCTTTTGAAAGACGTCACGGGGTCTTGAGCGTCCACTCTGAGTGAATGAGCGAATCAGGCGGCACGTACGGCTGGTGAAGAGTCACACGGCAGTGTTGACGAGGGCTGCCGCTGGCCATCGAACCGTGAACCTCTGCGACTAGGCGATGAATAGTCGACCGCCTGGCCAGTCTCACCACCCCGCACCGCACCAGTAGTTTGGTGAACTCTTTTAGGTTTTAACTGACCTTGGTCAGCAATTTGACAAATGCCAAGCGAATAAAATAAATAAATTTAGCGAATAGGAATCGGCGCAAGAACAATTGCGTCACGTGAGTAATCTAAAATATTGCATAAAACACTTTGTCGATGTTCATGAATTCATTCCCTGTCGCATAAGTTGACATAGGCAGATCGTTTTTAAGACCGCTCAAAGTACAATTACAAAATAAATTTAGAGAAACTTCACAGATATAGGGGGTGACCATTGCACTAATATGTAAAGGGACCTGGGATAGACGTCATGATATATGTATGGAGTGTGATTCTATTCTATTCTTGCGTGTGGCAATGTGCCCAGGAGCTCAATGCCAATATTAAGCTCTTGCTAGCCACGAGAGGGCTTCAGGAGAGCGAGAGAGAGTGTTGCTGTTTCTCCTTTGTTGGAGGAGCGCACACCACAGTGGGTTGCGATGTGGCCCATAGTTTGGGTTGCATGGCCACAGTCCCGCAATTGCGGCTCGTGTAAATTTTAACTTGAAACTTTTGACTCGAAACGGCGTGGTTTATTTTATTTGTATTACTGAAAGAACGAGCAATACGTCTACATTATAGACTGCCAGTACGCTCATTCAGGTTAAGAACCAGGCTGCAGTCTACATTATAGATTGCCAGTACGCCACTCAGTTTAATAACCAGACTACAGTCTACATTATAGACTGCCAGTACACTCACCACACTTAATAACCAGGCTACAGTCTACATTATAGACTGTCAGTACACTCACTCAGGTTAAGAACCAGGCTACAGTTTACATTATAGACTGCCAGTACACTCACCAAACTTAGTAACCAGGCTACAGTCTACATTATAGACTGTCAGTACACTCACTCAGGTTAAGAACCATGCTACAGTCTACATTATAGACTGCCAGTACACTCACCAAACTTAATAACCAGGCTACAGTCTACATTATAGACTGCCAGTACACTCACTCAGTTTAATAACCAGGATACAGTCTACATTATAGACTGCCAGTACACTCACCAAACTACAGTCTACATTAGTGTTTTTTTAATTAACTTTATTTTTATTCTTATTTTTCTATCTACGTGGCTTCACCAAAAGAACCAAATAATAAAAAGAATATGCTGCTCGCGTCTTTAATTTTCCATTCATGAAGGAGATGCTGCCCATCGGCCCTGTTCATGTTCTGATGCGGTTGATGGTTCGAGGAGGAGGAATGTCAAAGCCAGAGGATGTGTGATGATGTTTGGGTCTCGAATTATGATTGGTGATGATGATGATGATGGTGACGACGACGATGATGCTGATGGTGATGAGGAATCTGTGGGCAGAATCACAAGCAGCTGCGCATCAAGATCCTGGGCGACTGCTACTACTGCGTGTGTGGAGTGCCCGAATTCATCCCGGACCACGCGGTGTGCTGCATCAAGATGGGCCTCGACATGGTGGAGGCGATCTCGTGAGACACACAGACAGACAGACAAGGAGAGGGAGGGGATGGGTCAGAGAGACAGACACAGAGAGAGAGAGAGAGACAGGCAGAGATAAAGCAAGAGAGGTCACAAGAGATGCGGAGGGACCGAGACGGGGAACGCAGAGGGACAGAGAGATGCAGACAAGAGGGGAGAGACAGATGGAAAGGCAGAGAGACACGGGCAGACAGGAAGGCAGAGGGACAGAGAGACGCAGACAAGAGGGGAGAGACAGATGGAAAGGCAGAGAGACACGGGCAGGCAGGAAGGCAGAGGGACAGAGAGACGCAGACAAGAGGGGAGAGACAGATGGAAAGGCAGAGAGACACGGGCAGACAGGAAGGCAGAGGGACAGAGAGACGCAGACAAGAGGGGAGAGACAGATGGAAAGGCAGAGAGACACGGGCAGGCAGGAAGGCAGAGGGACAGAGAGACGCAGACAAGAGGGGAGAGACAGATGGAAAGGCAGAGAGACACGGGCAGACAGGAAGGCAGAGGGACAGAGAGAGGCAGACAAGAGGGGAGAGACAGATGGAAAGGCAGACAGACACGGGCAGACAGGAAGGCAGAGGGACAGAGAGAGGCAGACAAGAGGGGAGAGACAGATGGAAAGGCAGAGAGACACGGGCAGACAGGAAGGCAGAGGGACAGAGAGACGCAGACAAGAGGGGAGAGACAGATGGAAAGGCAGACAGATACGGGCAGACAGGAAGGCAGAGGGATAGAGAGACGCAGACAAGAGGGGAACAAGGCAGACAAGCAAGAGAGGCAGATATGAAGGGGAGAAAGCAGACTTAGAAAGCACAGAGGCACAGACGCAGGATGACAGGAAGGCGATTCGAGGGGAGACATTGAAGGCGAAGGCGGAGGCACAGGGAGGCAGATACGAAACCAGAGAGGCAGGCAAAGAAGACGGGCAGGCAGGCATATAATGATTTGACAAGCAAGGACTGCCATGTCATAGAGATGGCGGGCAGGCTGAGACGAGTAGGCAGGGAAACAGAGCAGGCAGGCACAAGAAAGCAGTGAAAACCCAATTAATAACGTCACGGATTTGCACTTGCACCCAGGTGCATGCGCAATGATTAATTAGCGCCGTAATTACTCATTAACCTCTCAGACTAAACGGGTTTCTGAATATGAGCGCATTATAAAAAAAATGGTGTTGCACATTTCATCACTTTGCTGGGTGCAGTCTCAATTGGTTAATTAACCTTTGTGCTCACTAATTGGCTGAACCAGACCACTCACTGGACTTAGAATTAACTCGCCAAGTGCTTTGCATTAAAACTGAACGATTAGAAGCGACGTTCTGTTATGTGATAATCTCACGACGGTGAGTTGTTGAATCACTCACGATGTGTCCACAGTAGGGAATCGAACCCAGGTGGCCTGGATTATAGTTCAGTGAACCCGGCGAGTGAAGTTTGTTTTTTGGTCACAGCTACCGTCAGTGACGAATATCTAAATCAGTACCCTTGCCTTCCCTAGATCGACTCAGCCTTAAATGAGTGCCCGATGCGGTGTATAAACAACATCACTGGGAAGACAAAGGCGGTCGGGTGTGGTGCTGGCAATACCACCACCTCGTGTGCTGTTCGGGCCTTCATAGGTTCTTGCAAACAGCACTTGCCCCAAAAGCCTGTTAAGGCTATACGGGGGATCTTTGTCTTTCTTGTTGCCACTAACAGCGCTTGGCATAACAAAGACAAAGATTCCCTCGATAGCTTTTTAACAGATTGCTGGGGCAAGTGCTGTTAGCGAGTACCTATTAATGCCACAAAGGCACACGATGGTATGGGTGGCCAACACCGCGCCCGACCGCCTTTGTTTCCCCAGCGGCGACGTTTACACACCGCACCAGGTACACATTTAGGGCTGAGTAGACCTAGGAGAGGCCCAGGACCGGGTTCTGATTCCCCGTTACCTGTGTTGGCCGTGAGCGGGAATCGAACTCGGGTCGCCGGGGTTCGTAGCGCAGCGTAGCGCTAACCGCTACACTACCGCACCCAAGTGACGGTGACGTCACCACGGCGCCTGTGCCAGACTAGGTCCACTTTGAGGCCACCGCGTGAAGTGTCGAAGGCTCTCGTTGACAAAGGAGGGTCACGGGACGGACCCGGCAGGTGCCGCGGGGGCCGGCCCGACCGAGAGAGAGCTTGCGCGCGCGACTGACATCTCTCTCTCTCTCATCTCTGGCAGCTGCTATGTAGTGACGACTTCGTCACACTTGTCTTGAGATGGTTTATTTATTAAGGAGCCACGTGCTCACACTGGAACAGGCAGAGACCCCCAATGCAACAGCCTCGAGTCTCCCATGCATCTCCTTTATATACGATGCGAGGCCACGCCCCCATTCCCGAACCTTCTCGCTGGTTCTAGACCGCTCGCTCCGTCACCTGGCCACGCTCCTATTCTCGATCATTCCCGTGGCCAACAGTCCATTCGCACTGCAGGCTGACTCCCATGTCATTACCTCACGTGGCCACCAGTCCATTCTCACTGCAGGCTGACTCCCCTGTCATTACCTCCCGTGGGCACCAGTCCATTCTCACTGCAGGCTGACTCCCCTGTCATTACGTCCCGTGGACACCAGTCCATTCTCACTGCAGGCTGACTCCCCTGTCATTACCTCCCGTGGCCACCAGTCTATTCTCACTGCAGGCTGACTCCTCTGTGATTACAGCTACGTGCGCAAGATGACCAACACGGACGTGAACATGCGAGTGGGCATCCACACGGGCTGCGTGCTGGGCGGAGTGCTGGGCCAGAAGAACTGGCAGTACGACGTCTGGTCCACCGATGTGACGCTCGCCAACAAGATGGAATCGGCCGGAATCCCAGGGTTAGGAACTTCCAGAGCGTTTTAATTTCAACTCTCTCGTGTGAGCTCACACTTTGGTTCTCGTATGCCCTAGGCACGGTGCCAACTGTGGCCTTTTGGATAATACGGCCCTGGTGTGTGGGTGAGTGGGTGGATAAATGAGCGAATGAATGAGTGGGCGAGTAAGTAAATGAGTGAGTGAGTGGGTGAATGAGTGGCTGGGGGAGTGAGTGGGTGAATGAGTGGCTGGGTGAGTGAGTGGGTGAATGAATGAGTGGGTGAGTGAGTGAATGAGTGAGTGGGTGAGTGAGTGGGTGAATGAGTGAGTGGGTGAGTGAGTGGGTGAATGAGTGAATGAGTGAGTGGGTGAATGAGTGGCTGGGTGAGTGTGTGAGTAGTCCCTCGACACAGTGCCTACTGTGGCCTTTTGTATAATACGGCCCTGGTGAGTGAATGAGTGGGTGAGTGAGTGAACGGCTGAATGGGTGGGTGAATGAGTGTATTAATGAGTGGGTGAATGAGTGAGTGGGTGAGTGAGTCGATGAGTGGGTGAGTGAGAAATCCCTCGGCACAGTGCCTACTGTGGCCTCTCTTTAATCCTTGTATTATGACATCTCGAAGTCGATTTATGCGTGTAAAGCTGTACGGGATCGAGTTCTAGATTGAAAACTTATTTCATTTATCACTGCTTCTTGTGTTTAGTTTGTTGTCCTTCCCTCCGCATCCGTGCGTTTGTGCGTTGAACTTCCTTCGCCCCGTACGTAGCCAACCGTGATAAACACCACAATAAGCAATTCTAAAGAAATTCGTTTTCAATATATGTTTGAAAGTGCACGTGATTGCGCTGGTCGTGACTGCCCTGCTCGTGACTACGCTGGTCGTGACCGCCCTGCTCGTGATTGCCCTGCACGTGACTGCCCTGCTCGTGACCCACGCTGCTCGTGACTGCCCTGGTCGTGACTGCCCTGCACGTGACTGCCCTGCACGTGACCCACGCTGCTCGTGACTGCCCTGCACGTGACTGCCCTGCTCGTGACCCACGCTGCTCGTGACTGCCCTGGTCGTGACTGCCCTGCACGTGACTGCCCTGCACGTGACTGCCCTGCTCGTGACTGCCCTGCACGTGACCCACGCTGCTCGTGACTGCCCTGCTCGTGACCGCGCTGGTCGTGACTGCCCTGCTCGTGACTGCCCTGGTCGTGACTGCCCTGGTCGTGACTGCCCTGCACGTGACCCACGCTGCTCGTGACTGCCCTGCACGTGACCACACTGCCCCCCGTAGGCGCGTGCACATCTCCCAGTCCACGTGCCAGTGCCTGCACGGGGAGTTCGCCTTGGAGGCCGGCAACGGTGGCGAGCGGAGCGACTACCTCCGGAACAAATCTATCATCACCTACCTCGTGGTGCCCCCCGCCGAGGGGGTGAGGGCGGCGAGAGGAGACGGCCACGGGGGGGGGGGGGGGGTTTGATGGTGGGGGGGGCGGTGAAGGGGTGAGGAGAGGGGGTACAAATTTTCGCACAGAGGGCCCCCCATAACGGGGGGCTCTTGGATGGTAGAATAAGGGGGGTGGGGGGGGGGCTGTGGGGGTATTCTGTGCCGGGCCTCCCAAGAGCGCCTGGGCAGCCCTCATACAAGAGGCGTGGGGGAAGTGACCAGTCAATGGAAGGGTGACTGCCTAGTAGGTTAGTACTAGTGACTAGTTAGTAGGTTAGTACTAGTGACTAGTTAGTTGGTTAGTACTAGTGACTGCCTAGTAGGTTAGTACTAGTGACTAGTTAGTAGGATAGTACTAGTGACTAGTTAGTTGGTTAGTACTAGTGACTGCCTAATAGGTTAGTACTAGTGACTAGTTAGTAGGTTAGTACTAGTGACTAGTTAGTAGGTTAGTACTAGTGACTAGTTAGTACGTTAGTACTAGTGACTAGTTAGGTTAGTACTAGTGACTAGTTAGTAGGTTAGTACTAGTGACTGCCTAGTAGGTTAGTACTTGTGACTGCCTAGTAGGTTAGTACTAGTGACTAGTTAGTAGGTTAGTACTAGTGACTAGTTAGTTGGTTAGTACTAGTGGCTGCCTAGTAGGTTAGTACTAGTGACTAGTTAGTAGGTTAGTACTACTGACTAGTTAGTTGGTTAGTACTAGTGACTAGTTAGTTGGTTAGTACTTGTGACTGTCTAGATAGTTGGTTAGTAGTATTGACTATCTAGTTGGTTAGTACTAGTGACAGACTAGTTAGTTGGTTAGTACTAGTGACAGACTAGTTAGTTGGTTAGTACTAGTGACTGTCTAGATAGTTGGTTAGTACTAGTGACTGTCTAGATAGTTGGTTAGTACTAGTGACAGACTAGTTAGTTGGTTAGTACTAGTGACAGACTAGTTAGTTGGTTAGTACTAGTGACAGACTAGTTAGTTGGTTAACATCAGCAATGAGACGAGGCAGCCCGGTGAGGTGCTAGCCACACTAAGCCCTCGTGCCAGCCTTAATGGGTCCTCGACAACAGAATTGTGCAGGCACTTCCCTGTACAGCGATAACATTGAATCATTGCTGGGTTTCATTGTAATCACGTGTGCACATGTCACGCTGTGTGTGTGTCTGTGTGGATGTGTGTCTGTGTGTCTGTGTGGATGTGTGTCTGTGTGGATGTGTGTCTGTGTGCATGTGTCTATGTGTCTGTGTGGATGTGTGTCTGTGGATGTGTGTCTGTGTGTCTGTGTGGATGTGTGTCTGTGTGTCTGTGTGGATGTGTATCTGTGTGGATGTGTGTCTGTGTGGATGTGTGTCTGTGTGGATGTGTGTCTATGTGTCTGTGTGGATGTATGTCTGTGTGGATGTGTGTCTGTGTGGATGTGTGGCTGTGTGTCTGTGTGTCTCTGTGGATGTGTCTGTGTGTCTGTGTGGACGTGTGTCTGTGTGTCTGTGTGTCTGTGTGTATGTGTGGACGTGTGTCTGTGTGGACGTGTGTCTGTGTGTCTGTGTGGATGTGTGTCTGTGTGTCTGTGTGGATGTCTTCGTCTTCGTGGGGAGCGGTAGTGTAGCGGTTAGCGCGACAAACCCGGGGACACGAGTTCGATTCCCGCTCACGGCCAACAGCAGTGACCATTATCTGAACCGGTCCTGGGCTTCCCCTAGGTCGACTCAGCCTCAAAGGAGTACGGTACCTGGTGCGGTGTGTAAACATTGTCACTGGGGAGACAAAAGCGGTCGGGCGTGGTGCTGGCCACCCACCCCCTCGTGTGCCGCGCCGGCCTTTATAGGTGCTCGCTAACAGCACTTGCCCCAGCAGTCTAATCAGGCTATACCGGGGGATCTTTGTCTTCACGTGTTTGTCTTTGTACACAGGAGGTGCTTGCTGTGACAGCACCTGCACCAAACGTCTGTTACGAGGCTATGAGCGAGGATCTCTGTCCTTTAACACGCAGGAGACGCAGATCACGACCCTCAGTGACAAGTCATCGGAGCTCATCAAAACCCGGGATGGACCACCTGGACCACGTGCTGCAACCCCTTCCGCTGCAGGCCAAGGGGTGAATCCACCGGATCGCTGAGACAGAATAGGCCAGGCTCAGAGAATGGGCCACCAGACAGAGCTACGCGTTTTACGTGGTAGCCGCTTCTGTGAAGGGCGCTGTTAAGGTGCACCAGATGACCAATCTCGCCACAAATAATCTGGCTGTCGCCTGATGAAGCTAGTTGTAATTACTGGCGAAACGTCGTACTCGGATTGTACATGTGGTGGCTTGGCTCTCCAACACACCGGTGTGCTGTACTAGTATACTACACTATACACTACACTACACACTAGTGCTGTACTAGTGACGAAATGGCCACGTTCTGTTTACGTGACAACCCTTACTAGTTGGCTGTGTCGGGTGGTGACGAGTTTAACGACACATTTATTTACGCGATCTAACCCAAAAAAAACTCTATTATGGATGATATTGGTCGCGAAAGTCTGCGTGTTAAACCAATCTCAACTTCAGCCGGGATGATGGCTTCCTGACTCGGATCGCTAGAAGCCAATCGGAATCAGAATCTCTGTTTTTATCCTGTGAGAAATCCGATGAGCTATGAAGCTCTTTGTTCACAGATGTCCAGTAGGGGAGGGTCAGAAAGTCACGACAACAAACAGTACACAATCACTTAAAGCAGTATTAGGGGATCGGTTGATTGATTTCTTCATCACGTGTTGATTCCCCACCTCCATCTCTCTGACCATTGGCCAGTCACTTGCTCGTCGCTCATTTATCGCTACTACCACGGACATTGAGCACCACGGATTTGATGCCTTCAAACCTCCCCCAAAAGGAGTCGCCGGACGAGATTTGCCATTTTTCCCTTTCGCTCAGACCGTGTTCTCGAGCCGCGTTTAAAGGCATCGCGTCGCAGGACGCGACATTTCTCCTCCTCCTCCTCCTCCTCCCCCCCCCTTGTTGTCCTTGCGCCGTTTTCCTCCGGAGACCCCCCCCCCCTTGCCCGCAACCGCCTCCCTTGCCACGTTCCTGATAGAACCCTTCGCTCAGTGCAACGCCGGTTGCGTCCGCTGCTTCGCCACCGCTGTTCGTTGCAGTGCCGCTTTTGTCGCGGACAGAAAACGCTGGGGCCCCCGCGTTCGGAGCGACTGTCCCGGTTCGAATCGCTGCGCCTCCAATCACGCCGCGGGTTGGCTACGTACGGTGCGAAAGAAGTCCAACGAACACACGTGCTGCAGTCATAATAACGAACGTCAATAAATGAGCACGTGGACGGCTGACGTTCTGGCTGGTGACTGCGAGTTTCTACGTGAAGCCCTGGCGGGTGACCTAATTTAATCGGTAGTTCGTCCTCGCCAAGCCATCGTTCCTCCGGCTGTCGCGGTCCGTCGCTCCTAGCCAGCCCTCCTGCATAGGCAAACAGTGGGGGGCATACACAGACGTGGTGGGGGGGCTGTAACACCATCATAGGAGGAGGCGACACTTTCACGTGCGTCTTGTTAATGCGAACGCAGCGGCCACTCGGATCGCGTCGACTCAGTCGCCGATGCTATCGCCGGTTCCTCTTTCCCGGTCGAAGTTGGCGGTGGCGTCGCGAGCGCGGTCACGTCCCCCGTACAGCCTCCATTCCCTATTGCCATGCCCCTGTGATACATTCCCACCTCCTGTCGTTTCATCCAGAATCCCCGTTATGTTTACCTGCGTGTCCCCCCCCCCCCGTGCGTTATTGCCGTTGCGTCATCTCTACCCACTCATCCCCCCACGCGCGCACGCGCGAGTCTTTAAATACCAGCCGGTCAAATGTGGCGACCCGACGCACCACATCCACTATGCCCTCTCGCAAGCACTGTAACTACGCGTGTGTGTGTGTGCCATGGGGAGTGGTAGTGCAGCGGTTAGCGCGCTGGGCTGTGAACCCGGCGGGCCAATTCGATTCCCGATCACTGACTCCAACACCTGTGATGATTATCTGAACCCGGTCCTGGGCCTCCCCTAGATCAACTGAGCCTCAAATTAATGCCTAGTGTGATGTGTAAAAAAACACATCGCTACTGGTGAGACAAAAGCAGCCGAACGTGGTCCTGGCCACCCACCAGCTCGTGTGCCGGCTTTCACAGGTGCTGCTCGCTTAACCGCACCTGCCCCAACAGTCTGTTAACGCTATACGGGGGGATCTTTGTCTTTGTGTTCTCCCCGTGCTGTCCCCGTGCGCCGCAGGGCGCCGACGCGCTGGTGCTGAACCGTCGCAGCCGCGTTCACCCCGAGGGCCCGGGCCCCGACGCTGCGCCCGCCTCCTCCTCGTCAGTGGAACCCGACCTGAGTGGCCTCCTCGACGCGGCCCTGGCGGCCAGAGAGACGGCCAGGACGTACGTACAACACAAAGACAAAGGTTCACCCACCCCTCGTATAGCCTTCACACACCGTTGGGGCAAGTGCTGTTAGCCAGCAGCAGCAGCACCTGTGAAGGCCGGCACAGCGCACGAGGAGGAGATGGCCACACGCACACCGGCACCGTGCCCGCTCGTGTTTCACACAACACAGTGGTACAGCGATACGTTGCCCATCCAAGCGTTATCCAGGCTCAACCCTGCATATGAGTGTACCCGGTCCGTTCTTGTCTCTCTCCTTCCCGCGATCGTAACGAGAGAAACAGGGCGGCTAACAACGGAGAGAGATCTGATAGATCTGATGAGAGCGGGCGCACGTATTCTACTGGACGAGCGGACCATCTGTGGAAAAGAGCTTCATTGCTCTACGGATTCCTCCAGCGTCAATAAATATTCCGATTCCGGGTGACTTTTACCACGGGGTGTGCGGGCAGTGCCAAGGCAAACGCGTGGGACGTGCGGCGTCTAACCGCGGCTTGTCCCGCAGTGCGGAGGGACGACAGACGAGCAAGGTGACCCTGCGCTTCGTCGACTCGGAGCTGGAGTCTCGCTTCGCGTCCGAGCGGGAGCCACAAAGCGGGGTGGCCGTGGGATGCTCGGTGCTCATCCTCCTGCTCACCTTCCTCGCCAACATCCTCATCTCGCCGCAGTGAGCCCCCCGCGCGTCGCCGCCGCTGGCACTTTGACGGACCGGGACTGGAAATCGTCCCCATGGCTTATGTGAACGCACACACACCCAGGGGGCCCATTTGGTGCTGGTTCCAAAAAATAAAATGCGCTGGTGAGGAAGGATCTTTGGGGCTGCAGAATATTGGGACTTAATGCCAACTGAGAGCGTAAATAAGGAAATTAAGCGTACACATTAAAGGTAATAAAATATTTGGTCGAATTAGAAAAATGTTACTTTGATCACATCTAGCAATTTCCCCACACAGAACTGGCCCATCCACCGGCTCTCGGAATGGGCCGAACCCACCGGGCATTTGCCCTCTGCACTGCTGCCCTCTGTGGCCAGTCCGGGCCTGGCCACGGGTCATCCATCCCGTCGTCTTCGCAGGGGTCCGATCAAACCGGACACCGGAACGAACCGCTTTCTTTGTTGAGCCGAAAACGGAATAGCCGAACCCAAATTCCATGTTTTTCTCCGGAACTAAATGTATGTATGTGTGTATGTTGAACTGCTTTCCCACCGTACGTAGCCAATCGTGCTGATCGGAGGTGCGGGGGAAGGACAACAAACTAAACACTAAAAGTAGTTCTCAAGAAATTCGTTTTCAATCTGGAAAATCTGATCGCAAGTGGTAAACAAATAAAATAGCGCTTTGTAGCCACGGTGTTTAAAGTGGAAATGGCCATGATCCATCGGCAGGTTCCACCGTTGTTACCCATCCCAGGACAAGGCATGTCAGCCGTGGTCCCTGGGTTCTTACCCGGAGTTCAACCTCGTGGTGAGACCTGGCGACGATGGGTTTACCCGAACCGCACCTGGAAATGGACCGGTTCGACTCCCTAACCGCCATTTTTGTTGTCACCATCGTCACTTTCAACATCAGCATCGTAATAGTGGTCACCGCCACCATTACTTCACCTCCTGATTTGCACGGTTGGCGACGTACGGTGCGAAAGAAGTTCAACACACATGCATCCAGTGCCGGATTATCGCAGTAGCACAAGTAGCTACATGTGTAGTAGCTACATGTGTAGTAGCTACATGTGTAGTAGCTGCATGTGTAGTAGCTACATGTGTAGTAGCTACATGTGTAGTAGCTACACGTGTAGTAGCTACACGTGTAGTAGCTGCACGTGTAGTAGCTGCACGTGTAGTAGCTGCACGTGTAGTAGCTACACGTGTAGTAGCTGCACGTGGAGTAGCTGCACGTGCAGTAGCTGCACGTGCAGTAGCTACACGTGTAGTAGCTGCACGTGTAGTAGCTGCATATGTAGTAGCTGCACGTGTAGTAGCTGCATATGTAGTAGCTGCATGTGTAGTAGCTGCATTTGTAGTAGCTGCATGTGTAGTACAAGTAGCTGCATGTGTAGTAGCTACATGTGTAGTAGCTACATGTGTAGTCGCTACATGTGTAGTAGCTGCATGTGTAGTAGCTACTTGTGTAGTAGCTGCATGTGTAGTCGCTACATGTGTAGTAGCTGCATGTGTAGTCGCTACATGTGTAGTAGCTACATGTGTAGTAGCTACTTGTGTAGTAGCTACATGTGTAGTAGCTACATGTGTAGTCGCTACATGTGTAGTAGCTACATGTGTAGTAGCTACATATGTAGTAGCTACATGTGTAGAAGCTACATGTGTAGTAGCTACATGTGTAGTCGCTACATGTGTAGTAGCTACATGTGTAGTCGCTACATGTGTAGTAGCTGCATGTGTAGTAGCTACATGTGTAGTAGCTGCATGTGTAGTCGCTACATGTGTAGTAGCTGCATGTGTAGTCGCTACTTGTATAGTAGTTGCATGTGTAGTAGCTACATGTGTAGTAGCTGCATGTGTAGTAGCTACATGTAGTAGTAGCTACATGTGTAGTAGCTACATATGTAGTAGCTACGGGCCCCGCACTTTCAAGGGCCCCGCGCTAAACGCTTTCAAGCTATCAATTCCGGTTCAGTTATTCTGCACTTGCTCTATGACTATAGTACTATACTACCTTCAACTTTTACGAACGACTGGGTGTTTAAGGTGAGCGATTTGTCGTATTATCTGGCTGTATAGCAAATGAAAAAATACAATTACTTTACTATGCCAGTTAAACATTTTGTATTAATATTTACGTTTTTTTTTTTATTTAGGGCCCCTTCATAACATATGCTACAGGCCCCACACTAGCTTAATCCGGCACTGCATACAACATCATCATATTAACACGTAGGCTTTCGCGACCAACATCGTCCATAATAGAGTTTTTTTGGGCTTAGATCGCGTAAACATATAAATGTGTCGTTAAAACCCGCCACCATCCGACACAGCCAACCAGTAAGGGTTGCCACGTAAACAGAACGTGCCAATTCGTCACTAGTACAGCACACCGCCACGAAGAAGGAGAAGACTGGCATTGGTCCATGAGCCCAGACCAGATATTCCACCTGTTGGCACCACCCTGAGCGACGCCGTCTCTCTGACGGTGCCAGTCTCACGACGAGCCCAACAACGGCGACTTGAAGCGAGCGGTGGGTGGTGGGTCAACCGCCTCGCTCTCGTTGGCCGCTTAAATACACCGGGGGGCCTGAGGTGTTTACTGCCCCCGTGGTTGTTGCTTGCCGTGGCCCACGCACTGCACAGAGTGCTGTGCAGTGGCCACTCGCCGGCAGTGCAGGAACGCGAGGGAAGAGCGTCGCGCGTCGCCACGCAACGGGGTACGGCTGGGCGGAGGACCTCTGCTCCAAGGTTGCTCGCCGCTCCCTCCGCAGCCCGTGATGTCAACCGCGCCTTCTTCCCCTGTGACCGCCCTCTCTACCCTCCTCGCCCTCCTTCCCCCCTCCCCTCCCTCCCTCGCCCTCCCTCCCACCTCGCCCAGGAGAGTTGCTCACCGACCAAGCCACAACCCACGCACCTCCTCCTCCGCTCTATCCTGTGGGCTAATGAGCATCCAGCCCCCCAGAGTGCCCCCTCCTGACTGCACCGCCCACCCCCCACACCGCCCCCCTCACTGCTGATAAATCGCGGGGGGCAGCGGGCGAAGTAGAGGGACGGACACAGCCACTCACGGCCTGCTCACCTCCGATGGCGAGCGAGCGAGCGATCCACTCGCTCCCGCGTCGGACTAATAACCACGCGTCCCGGCTAGCGAGAGAGAGATTCACATCTTTAAGATTCGCATCCCCAAGGGAGATTCACGTCTTGCCGAGGCTCACCGCCCTGGCGGCTTGCCTTGACGTTGGCGACTGAGACGCGAGAGGGGAATGTGGCGCGCTTCTGCCCAGGATCGGGCGCGGAGTTTGAACTCACGGGTGAAGTTTTTCTATCGACTCGCTCCGTTGGCTTCACGCAGTCGACTCTTCGCAGATAATTCCCACAATTTACCCGCTCCCCTTGCCACCCGCCCGTGCGCCACCTCCGTGCCGAGGTTAGCGTTTACACTGACGACGCAATACGTCCGAACGTACGTTTCTCATGTCTGTTCGCGTCTTCCTCCGGTTGTGCCCTTGGAGTGCGTGGTTCGTTTCAATGTTTTGGATAAAATATATATTTAGATTGGGAGTCAAATAAAACAGAGAAAAAAATCCGAATTAATCGACAACGTGGGACGGGCCGTAATAGCGACATCCGCAGAGAGATTTTTTTTTTAAAATGAGGCCATTACGCGGGCACGCCCCTGGAAGCACGCGCACATTAAGAACACGGTTTAGTTAATGTCACCGATATTAATTAGCAATTGCGCTCTAAATTAACCGTGAACGCCGCCTTGCCGGAGCGGGGGACCGTGCACGTGACCCGGCCGCCTCGATCGCACCGCTCCGTTCCAGGTGCTGTGTTCTGGCTTTGTGCCTTCGGACACAGAGAGGCGGAGAGGCAGATTTAGAAACTTCCCAAAGCAAGGGGGTGGGGGGAGGGGGTCGGGAGGGTGGAGGGAGGGGGCCCATTCCACAATTTAAAGACTTTCAGCCATGGTCCTACAGTAATTAATAAAAAAAATATATATATATTTGGATAAATATGAAAATAGAACAATGTTCGGGGTCTCAAGGGGAGGGGGATCTGCCACCATTGTTCCACTCTTGCCCGTGATGGCAGCAGCAATGCGTTCTTCAGCAGCTCGATGCCAACATCGAGGTCTGCTGCTGGCCACGACGAGAGGACTTCAGCAGAGAGAGAGAGAGAGAGTTAGTGTCGTGTCGCTGTTCCTCCTCCTCCGTTGAAGCAGCGCAGACCACAGTGGGTTTACTGTGCGGTTCATGGCTTGGGTTGCATGCCCACAGTTGCACGGTGGCTTCTGTTTGTGCATCTCCATGGGCCTCTGTGTGTCTAGATTAGTCTCTGTATCTGTATGTGTCTATGGGTTTACTATATGTCCCCTTAGCTTGGGAGGCATAGTCACAATCGCACGACTGTGGCTTGTATCTTTAATCTTCCACGGACTCTCAGACACATTTATTTGGCCTAAAAACCGGGTGACCTAACCCTTGGGGGGCCCTGCCTGCCTGCCTATACCCAATCAAAGACGGTCACCGCATCGCACTGCTGCCAGATGCGCTTCCCGCGGCCGTCCGGAGCACCCCTAGGAAAATCACTGGAGCCGTGCGCTTTTAAATCTACTTTGAAAACCAATTTCTTTCGATCTGCTCTTTTGTATTTAGTTTGTTGTCCCCCCCCACCCCCGCCGCACCTCCGATTAGCACGGTTGGCTACGTACGGTGCGAACGAAATTCAACGTGCAGCACACACGTAGCCCCTCTCTCACCTCCGATGCCCCCCTTCCCCATACGTTTGAAGGCTGATCGCCAACTACGTCACCTTCGTGCTGGGGGAGACGGTGCTGGTGTCGCTGACGGCGCTGCTACTCGCCGCCGTCTTTCCCAAGGTGAGCGGCTTGCCACCCTCCCGCCCTCCCCCCCTCTCCCCTCGAGCGTGACGTGCGGACACACGGGAAACCTCGGTCGGTTTGGAGCCGCCGATCTGGTGTCCTCCGCCACGCGAGCCGCAGCGCCTCGTGAACCAGCCTCGTGCCGCGCAGGGACAGCTGCCACTGGGGGCGGGGGGTGCCCTTTGAGGTGGGGGAGCTGCTACGTGCCGCGCGTCACCCGTCAAGCGCACTGAGAACGCCACCAGCGGGTTGGGCGCCCCATGCAACAACAACAACAACAACTGATGACTTGGTTATCGTTATTGTTGTTAATACGAAATCTGGGAAAGCTGGGTTTAGCGTGCTAGCTTTCGGTGTCCCTCGGTCCACTCTGCCCTCCCAGCGGAGGCGTCTTTTCAGTTGAGGACCGATGGAAAATGTGTGTACAGACGCGAGGCACCGCTGGGACGATGTGTCGAGCGCCTTGCCTGTGTATAACGCCTCCCTGCATCGCTTTATATTTAGCACGAGTGTGTGTGGGTGGGTTGTGCATTTGTGTGCACGTGTCAGTACGTGTACGTGCGTGTGGCTATGGAGAGTGGTGGTACAGTGGTTGGCTCACTGTGCTGTGAACCCCCACGACCTGAGTTGGATTCCCCCTCCCGACCAAAAATAGTGGTGAATGTCTGAACCAGTCCTGGGCTTCCCCTAGGTTGACTCAGCCTTGTGTGCAAACGGCGGACGGGCATTGTGCTGGCCACCGACTCCCCCGTGCGGCGTGCCGGCCTTCATAGGTGCCCGCTAACGGCACTTGCCCTGATAGTCTGTGGACGTTATACGGGGGATCGTTGTATTTGTTGCGGGTGGTGCATGTGTGTGCGTAGATGTCTGCTTATTTTCTGTGGTGCTCGCGTCGTCGTTATTGCACTGCACTACGAACCTGGTGACCCGAGTTCTATTCCTGGCCACGGCTAACATCAGCGGTGATTATATATTTGGTTCTAGGCTTCTCCGCACACTGTTGAGCTTCCGGAGTGCGATTTCCAAATCTTCACAGCTTTGAAATGTTCAGGGGCTCCCCAACAAACATCCCCGTTGTATACTGAACAGGGTAACCTCCGCCACCACGTCATCTCGAGGACTCCGCTGCCCTCTGACCCCTTGACGAGCCACACGGCCACCTCGAGCACGCACGACCGGACGCGAACCGCTGAATTTGAGAACCGACGGTCGTCTTGCGCCACGGTGACGCGCGTCCGTCCGTCCGTCCATCCCCCCATTCTGCCCGTTCCCCCCCCCCCCTCCGCCGGTTCCCCCCATTCCGCTTGATCCACTGTTCCCCCCTCCCCATTCCGCCTCCCCCCCGGTCCACCTGTCCCCCCCCCCACCCCCGTTCCCCCCATTCCGCTCGTTACACCTGTGCTGCCCCCCCTCGTTCCACCTGTCCCCCCGCCCCCGTTCCCCCCGCGCGAGTGCGCAGCTCTTCAAGAGGAAGCTGGCGCGACTGTCGGCGTGGGTCGACTCGACGCAGTGGGCGCGCAACTCGTGCGCCGTCACCGCCGTGCTGGTGCTCATCGTGGTGGAGATCGCGAACATGGTGAGTGAGTGCGTCACATCCCCCCCCCCCGCCCAACACGCCGATCCGTCGCACGCGGTAAACTCTCACGGCGGCTGCCCTGTCGGCTTCTCAACGGTCACGTTGGCCCGGTAGCCCGGCGTATAAAGCTACAGGCGCGCGTCGGGAACATTCTCCTACTCCTCCGACGGCTCACAAATGTCCGACGTTTCGCTCCCACGTGCCGGAAGCGGCCCCTTCAGTTTCCCGACGACGGAGCTCCCGGCGCGCGCGGGGCGAGACGTCGGACGTCTTGCCGAAGAACAGCGAGCGGTTCGACCGGAAGAGCCGTCGACAGAACGGTCGTTATGATAAATTGGATTTTTTTTTTGATACAAGTGTGAACTGGAAACCCGGGTAACCTTGTGTCCGTGAGTAAAACTTTCCCACACGCTCATGCGGTGGCCGCGCCATCATCATCTGTGCTCTCGCATGGCCGGTATTGCGCAACGATCCGCGACCCTTCCCAGCTGAGCCCCCGATCGATATCACCCGTGCTCACCCGCCTGTGTTTTTTTACGAGAAAAAAAATCAAACGCCGCTAACGACCCGGAGCCAACGCCCAGCGGTTAAGTTCGCACCGTTTCATTAGCGAGGTCTCCTGTCTCCGTTTCATCGCGCCCGCTCAACCGAATAATTTCCTCTTCATCTCCGGCGGCTGAGCGTGATCTTGTTTTTTTTTCCCACAATGTTGTGCCAAACGTAAGGGACTTACATAATATATTTATCTTCTTCCCCCAATGTTAATCTGTTGTTGTGCCATCGACGCCATGTCATGGGATTTCTCGCAGATCAGTGCAACCCTCCCGACCGATTAAGCTTCGGGTGCCGCGGTGGCGAAATGTTAACTGCCTCGCCTGCTGTGCAGGAGGTCGTGGGTTCGATCCTCACCCTGACGCCTGCTGTATATTTGGAGTCTGCGTGTTCTCCGCGTGGCTGCGTGGATTTTTCTCCGGGTCCTCCGGCTTTTCGCTCCACACTCAGAATCAACATCACGCGTTTCGAGAATTTGGTTGCGATAAATGTCCACGTGATAAGCCCACTTCGTTGGGCTATCGTTTGTGGCAGCCAGGGCGCTTCTGGAAAAGAGCTACACAGCTCTGTGGGCCTTAATCTCGGTATAATAAAAAAAAATGTTTAGTTTATAGTTTAGTTTATTTCTACACAGAAGCGGATATCACAGAGCTACATCTGAGATGCCTTCAAGGGATCTGTGGTCCACACAGAAGGGGGGCGGCACGTTCCCACCCACTCGGAGCGATGCTCACCACGTGACAGTCGGACCGATGTTTTTTCACTTTCAGAGCTGAAATTTTGCCAATTTAAACGCCCAACAAATGCAGACATTTAGCGACCGGGCCGCAAGCATTAACTCGTGACACTCGAAACCCCCGGTGTTCATCATGGGCGCCCGAAACCTGGATTTGAACCCACGACCTCAGCAGCGGCGACTCAGTCCGCCAAGCCACCGGGCTACTTAGGCAGTGGCGTAGCGTGCGTGGCGTGGGCTCTGGTGTAACCCCCCCCCCCCGCCCCGTCCAGTTTCCTTCTCTTCGTTTGTAGGCTGACTTCCGCGTGCAGTTGCACCGCCTGCACACTCGACGGCGAACGCCGGGGCGAACTCGCTACTTTTACGAGCCCGCCGTGGGGGGCTTGAGGAGGGGGGGGGGGGGGCGCCCTGCGTCAGGCGACGCGTCTCGCCGCCGCAGCGGTGACGGCCGTGTCAAACTCTCAACTCTCCGGCCGTGACTTTTTAATTTGACGGCTCTGTGGGGGCAAGGGGGATGGTGGTGATGGTGGTGATGGTGGTGGTGAGTGTTAAGGGTCTTCGCTCGTTCGGGTGATGGCTGGAACAAAATACTCGTGACAGTTGTTGGGCCGCGTGGTGGCGTGGCTGTCGAGTTGTGGAGGGCGCAGGCCCGTGCTATTGCACTGCGCACCCCGGCGATAATGCTCCATAATGTTCGAAGGCTCTTTTCAGTCGGGTCTTCAATCGGAATGACCGGCCAGTTCGTGTCTCGGGGAGCGTTTTGCGTCGCGTGGAAGCGCAGCGGAGTAACGTGAGAGATCCCACGCATACATGGGGATTACACTCAAGGGCCAGTGAAGATGGGTCTGTGAACCCATTCGCCGCTCTGCCATCAGGCTCATGCAAAGCGGTGGGATCGGAGGCGTGCGCCCACCGTGCCGGGCTACACAAGACAAAGATCCCCCGTGTAGCCTTGACAGACTGTTGGGGCAAGTGCTGTTAGTGAGCACCTACGAAGGCCAGCACCTCACACGAGGGGGTGGGTGGCCAGCACCACGCCCGGCCGCCTTTGTCTCCCCAGTGGCGATGTTTACTACACACCGCACCAGGTACTCATTTGAGGCTGAGTCGACTTAGTGGATGCCCAGGACCCGGTCAGATAATCGCCACCGGTGTTGAGCCGTGAGCCGGAATCGAACTCCGGTCGCCGGGTTCTGGGCGCAGCGTAGCGCGAACCGCTACGTACGCACTTACACAACGGCACGTGCACTTTACTGGTCTATAAAGATCAAATCACCCGGGGTCATGCGACTATTGCTCAACGTAAGCCACTTAACCGCTCACGCTTGTTACTCCGCAATTGGATTGCGGAGCGGTTTTAAGCACCCCCGGCCTACGAATTCCGCGACCGCCGTCGTCGCCGTAGTCGTCGCCACCACCGCCGTCGTCATCGCCGTTGTCGTCATCGTTGTCATCGTTGTCGTCGTTGTCGTCGTCCTCGCCGTCATCGTCGTCATCGTTGTCATCGTCGTCATCGTCATCGCCGTTGTCGTCGTCATCGTCGTCATCGTTGTCGTCATCGCCGTCATCGTCGTCATCGTTGTCATCGTCGTCATCGTCGTCGTCGTCATCGTTGTCATCGTCGTCATCGTCATCGTCGTCCTCGCCGTCATCGTCATCATCGTTATCATCGTCGTCATCGTCATTGCCGTTGTCGTCGTCATCGTCGTCATCGTTGTCGTCGTTCTCGCTGTCATCATCGTCATCGTTGTCGTCGTCGTCGTTGTCGTCGTCATCGTCGTCATCGTTGTCGTCATCGCCGTCATCGTCGTCATCGTTGTCATCGTCGTCATCGTCGTCGTCGTCATCGTTGTCATCGTCGTCATCGTCATCGTCGTCCTCGCCGTCATCGTCGTCATCGTTGTAATCGTCGTAATTGTCCTCGCCGTCATCGTCGTCATCGTTGTCGTCGTCGTCATCGTTGTCGTCGTCATCGCCGCCTGCCACCATCGTTATTTCAACGCCGCCGCCAAAAAAACGTAGGCGGCCATTTTAACCGACTGCGTTGGGGGGGCGCGCGTGGGGGGGGGGGTCACCCTGCGGACGTCACTGACGTCAAAATGCCGGCAGGCATGGCCTTGCAAACTTCGCTCCGATTGGCCGCTTGGTCGTCCCAGAGACCGAGGCCATTCACCTTCCGACCAGACAGAACCTTCCACAAGGCTCCCTCCCATTCCCCTCCGCTGGATATTAAATGAGGCCGCCTGGGTGCTCATTAGCGCTCTCGCTAATGAGCCACAGAGAGCCAAAAATTGACGCTAAACAGGGATTGATTTGCCCCGTTCCGTACAGTTGTTGCTTCAGAATGATTTCAGGTGTGGTGGCGGTTGTTGTTTGTCCTGGCGCTCGTTGCTTGTGCCGCTGAAGTGTTGGGGTTTTTTTATTGTTTTTGGAATCTAAGAGATGTACAATCCGAAGGTGGCACCAGCGGTGTGTTATTTTTTTTATTGACGCTGCCAAGCAACGATGAAAATTTCACTCGTGGAGTGATTCAAAGATTTGGCACCGATTTATAATGGCAGTCGTTGAGTTATTATCAACGTGGAAGCCGATTTATCATAATTATTCTCTTAACCGCGGTGGTTATAATGATAATAGTTAAAGGGATACTGATGTCATTAGACCTCCTTTGCCAGTACCAAAATGTAATAATAGGGTTTTCCCCTTTTTTCTGGCAACAAAACTGAAACCTTTTTACAAGGATTCATGTCTGTATTAACCACAATACCTGCAGTCAAAATGCAAAAAAAAACCATACTATGATAATATATGTGGCATTGTCCTTGAAACTGATTGGTCCACACCAAGGGACGGCTTTCTTTTGAGCCTCGACCCAATTGGTGCTCGACCAGTACGCCTTTTGGCGTCACCCTATTATTATATGGGATACTGATGGTAATGTTTTTTTTTCATATTGATGGTGGTGGTTTGACTTGGGCTGTGATACATTTAGAATTCATCACAACGTGTGCTGATGTACTATCCACCATCAGCCATGCTCGATCCGCTGCTGGTTGTCAAATGTCTACTGAGTATTGATGTACCAGCCACCATCATCATCAGCCACGCTCGATCCACTGCTGGATGTCAAAATCTGTGCCGAGGGTTGATGTACCAGCCACCACCATCATCAGCCACGCTCGATCCACTGCTGGATGTTTAATATCTATCCACCCACCGTCTACCTCACCCACCCCCCCCCACCCCCGGTACAGCTGTCCTGCTATGCGGGCACGGGCAACGCGTCGTGGGTGACGCAGGGCTACCTGAGCTGCGGCGGGCAACCGGCCTACCACACCACGGCCGGCGTGCTGGCGCTGGTGGCGGCCGCCATGCTGGTGCAGGCCGACCACCTGCTCAAGCTGGGGCTCATGGTGGCCGCCACGGGGAGCTGGGCCGCCCTGCACCTCGCCGCGTGGGGCTCGCTGTTCGACGCGCACGACAGCGAGCGCGACCGGTGAGCTCTGGCGGGCGGGCGGGCGGGCGGGTTTCGGGTCAGGCTCGGGGTCTTGTCTTCATTCACCCACCACCACCACTACCAGCAGCAGCATACGTTCAGGGTTGCGGGAATCCGCATCGGTTGACCTGTGAGCTGTTGGGGCAAAGGGCTCGAGCTAGGGTTAGGGAAAACCACAACCGTGACATGTTTCCCCCAGGCATAGAAACGTGGAATTTTCACCGCTGGCTTGAGTGGTAAAATGCTCGTTTTTTTTCTGCAGGGAGACGCTTTAAGGATAGATTTGCGCTGAGCGAATGTTGTGTTTAGTTTTGTTATCCTTCCCCCCGCACCTCCGATGAGCACGGTCGGCTGCGTACGGTGCGAAAGAAGTTCAACGTGCGTGAACACGGGGTTGCAGGAATCCACATCGGTTGTTCTGTGAAATGCCGCCCCCCCTCCCCCATCACAGGAATGTGTAAGTCGACATGTCATGTGACTGGTGAGCTTTGGGGCGAAGGGTTCGAGCTAGGGTTAGGTTTAGAGAAATCCACGTTGTGAAATGGGCATCAAAGAGGAGCTGTACCCCTCCCTGGGTTCCCAGGAAAAGGCGGTAGCAGGTGAAGTAATGTAGACTTCTCCTGCTCCAGCGGTATGGGATAGTGTTTCTGCATCTCACACGTGCATGCTCTGGTTTCCTCCCACATATACTCATTTGCGAGATGTTAACTACCTCGCCTCATATACAGGAGGTCGTGGGCTTGATCCTGACCCTGACGCATGTCCTCCCCGTGGTCACGTGGATTTTTCACCGGGTCCTCCGGTTTTTCCCTCCACATTTAGAAACACGCGTTCATTTGGCTGCTATAAATGTCCACGCGATGATAAGCTACTCCATTGAGCTATCATTTGTGAAAGGTCGCTTCTGAAAAAGAGCTACATAGCTCAGTGGGCCTTACACCTGATAAAATAAAAAAAACAATAGTTGATAGTTTAGTTTAGCTTTATTAGAGAGCGGCCCACAGAAGTGGATATCATGGAGCTACATCGGAGATCCCTTCAAGGTTTTAGTTTTCCACCTTCATTTGTAGAGGACCACAGAGCTTTGGCAATTGTTGGTGCCCGCTGCTGCTGCCTTGCCGCTCGTCTGTGGTTCCACCTGGCACCTCCGACTCTTCTTCTCTCTACGAGAGCGAGCGAATGCTGTCCGGTGGCTGTGGTGCAGCTGTAATGACCGAGACGACAGACCCCTTACATGCCATGGTGCGCGCGCAAACGGACGGTCGGGAAGGGTGTCGAGGCCTCTGATTGGTGCAGCGTGGCCTCAAAGAGGATAGTTTAGGGTCAGAGACTTGAAACGATTGGAGCTGAAATTCAAACGTAGAAGGCGGTGGGGGGGGGGGCTAGTTGACCTTCAGGGGAGACGGTTGACAACCGTTGGAGAAGGAGGACGGGGATTGGCCGAGAGAAATGGGGTGAGCGAACCTTCCAGAAAGGGGGCTCGAGGGATATGAAAGGGGATAGCGCAAGGGGAGGGGACGCTTGGGGGGAAGACGAAGTTCGGGCCTTAAGGAGAGTGTCCGTGTCCAACTATGGAGGCTCGAAGTAAAGCGAAGAACGTGTGCCAGTCGTCGTTACACAGAGCTACAAGTTAAATTATTATTATTACTGCGTTTATTACTCTCCCTGATCGATGCCAGTGGGCTGTATTTGTGTTGTTTCCACCCGTGCAGACTCGACTTGGTCCCAACCAAATACTCGTCGTGCGTCACGCTGCTGCTCGTGCTGCTCTGCTTTCACTTCTTTAACCGGCACGTAAGTGACCTCTAACCCCGTAATTTTTTTAAAATCACATTTTATAAGAACACTTTGAATTTATTTTTTTATATCAGTGCACGCGTTACTTTTTGTTTTGCCTGGACAATATTTTTTCAGCGTAAGAATATTTATACTGCATGAGGAATCCGATGAGCTGCAAAGCTGTTTTCACAGATGTCCAAAACAAACAAGACAACACACTATAGCAGTGCAGAGTACAGGAAAGGCAAACAAATCACAAAAGCAAATACAACTAAACCATCCCCATACTACCAGGCAAAGCCCACTACGGTATTAATTCGTTTTTTCAGAAGCGACCTGGCCACAAATAATTCCTCAACAAAGTGGCTTATCACGTGGAAATGTATAGTAGCCAAGCACTTTAAATACATGTTTAGAAATGTGGAGGGAAAAACCCGAGGACCCGAGAGAAAAATCCACACGACCACGCGGAGAGAGAGAGAGAGACACCGCAAACTCCAAATCTACGGATGTCAGAGTCGGGATCGAACCCACGACCTCCTGCGTCCCACGCAAAGTAGTTGGAGCTTCTCTTTAGCCGGGGAGAGAGCGGCAGCTGTTGCGTCGTGCAGCGGGTGTCGGCGCCACGCCGATCGGCGACGACGCCTCCCCGGAGTTCGATCGGCACGTCCGGGGGGCCCTTCCGGGGGGCCCGTCCGGAGGCCCGCAGGTTCCCGTGAATCCGTCCAAATTCATTTTCGCAAACATTTCGGTCTGCGGCAGGGGTCAGTCGTAGGCGCCGGTCGCGCCGACGACTTCACGGTTTCGGCGATTCGAACGTCTTCTCCTCCTCCCCGTCTCTGCGCTGCCCGCGTGGCTAATTGCCGTTTCGCTGGCGATTGCGTTTCTTTTTTTCCGAAACACACCCCCCCCCCCCCCGCGGCGTGGCGGCAGCGCCGTGCTTATGGTTGTCTCCGCCACCTGCAAGGCCGGTGCAATGGGTCCGAGGGCCGGTTGCGTAGACCGAAACGTGGGCGCTCCCGACGTTCAGTAAACCGTGCAAGTCAATGACGGTGGCCACCGGTCAAGAGTCATAAATGAACGGCAGCACTGCAAGAGGGATGGCCGCCGTGGTGCAGTGCACAGCCGCACTGGAGTTGCAATTCGGAGGCCGCCGGTTTTATCTCCCGGCGTGGCAGAGTTGAAACAACGGTACGAGTGTCTCAAACACCGCCACCGCCTCTGTCCAACCTAGCAGTGTCGATGGGTTCATCACAGTCAGTCTATGATTGGCAGGTCGCGTACGGTCGGGTAAAGTGTGGGTACTCCCACCTCTTCCAAGACGTCTGGCCAGCGTGAAAGAGGAGGCCAACATGCAACTTTCGACGGGCGCTCCAGAGCTGCCTCTAGTGGAGGCCCAACTGCAGCCTGTAGCAGCATGAGCCAGCGATTGCAGGGCTGCACCTTTTACCTTATACAATTTTTTAACAAAAAAATTACTTTTTTTTTACACCGTTCCCACGTGACTGGCCGCCGAGGTTTCTCTCGCTACACGTGGAGAGTCTCGACGAGTCCCCGCCGCGACTCCCGTTGCGTTCGCTTGCGCGTGCAACAACGCCGGCGTTGGTGCCCCCACACCTCCCTTGAGACGCCACCGCCGCCGACTCCGTGAGCCCCCCCCCTCGTGACAACTGAAGGGCATTCGATGTCGACAATGTTAAGTCAGTCGCTGGATTGGCTTGTTTACATATTTACCGATTGACCAGTTAACCGATTGGCTGATGAGATGATTGCATTTCATTCACTTACTGGCTCACTGACCTAGTTGACCTTTTGTCTGATTGCCAAATTGATTGATTAATTGAGCATATGCTTCACTAGCTCACGAGTTAACCCAATTGATCATCCACAAAACAATTCCCCCAGGCACAAACTCCACACGAATGCAATTCGCATTTAGTATGAGGCTAATTGCATTAGGCACGGGGTGGAGTGGTGGTGTAGCGGTTAGTGCACTGTGCTATCAATCCGGTGACCTGATTTGGTTTCCTGGCCATGAACCAGTCCTTGACTAATTGACCCATTGCCCAATTGACTGATTCATTGACAATTTTATTTACCCGTTGACTGATTGACCGATTGGTCAATTAACCATTTGATTGATTAATTCACCATTTCATTGATAGCTGATGTAACTATTGACCAATTGCTTGACCGGCTGGTTCGGCGACTATTTGATTGACTTTTCGCTCAATGACCGAACGTTTGTTCCGATTGACCAACCGACTGACCGATGATCTGACCAAACTGACCATTTGGCTTTCCGCCTAGGTCGAACAGACGGCCCGCACGCTCTTCCTGTGGAAGCTGGACCTGGCGGCGCAGAAGGAGGAGGTGGGGACGATGAGGAGGTACAACGACGCCCTGGTGGCCAACATCCTGCCCGACCACGTGGCCGCCCACTTCCTCAGCGCCAACAAGCGCGACGACGTGAGCAGGGACCGTGGGAGGCCAGGCCGGACCCGGGCCGTGGGGGCCAACGGGGGGTGGGGGAGGGGGCACAGATAATGATCGCGATATTGACAACAATAACAGCAACACACGTTTTGAATCATATAAAACTAAACTGTGAACTATTTTTTCGTCTACGAAGACCCACTGAGCTGCTTAGCTCTTTTTCAGAAGCTACCTGGCCACAAGTGATAGCCCAACGAAGGGGCTTATCACGTGGAAATGTATAGCAGCCAAATACTATAAACGCGTGATGTTGATTTTAAATGTGGAGGGAAAAACCGGAGGACCCGGAAAAAAATCCACGTGACCACGGAGAGAAAGAGAGACATGCAGACTCGAAATATACAGCAGCAGGCGTCACGGTTGGTAAAGAACCGACGACCTCCTGTACATATATTCTTGGTTCTTTCGGTAAAGTCACATATAAGGAAAACAATTAAATAATAAATTGCTCCATATTTTTATTCTTTTATTGTTGCCCTTCTATGTGACTTTACCGTAAGAACCAAGCATATGAATCCCTGCAGTCACGAAAGCTTTAAATCAAAATTTGACCTCCTGTATACCAGGCGAGGTAGTTAACATCTCACCACGTGCATCGCCGGTGTGATTTGGTCTCCCCAAAAAATGGGTGGAGGAGGGTAAAAGCGGATGGGGGGTTGGTGACCAGGGGGAAGGGAAACGTGGCGGGAGAGAGGAGAGAGCGGATACCACATGTGGCTCAGCACCGACAACTCTTGCCCAGGGACAGCCGGGGTCTCGTCGTCGGTGCTGAGCAGGTACAAAATTCCAAACTAGGTGCCAACCGTACCCCCTGACCTTTGACCCACGGCTGTCGTACATACGAATGATGTTGAACTTTTTTCGCACCGCGCGTAGCCAACCGTGCTAATCGGTTGGCCACGTGCCTCATCCGAGGCTCCGGCCGTCGCTCCCGTCCCCACGGGGGGGGGGGAGGGGGGCACCGTAACCGTGCCGACGTAGCCCCCCCCCCTCTCTATAATTAGTCACCGTCTTCGTTAGGCCTCGCTGGGCCAGGTTGCGGAGGCACATCGTGGCTTCGGGTGCCGCTGCAGGAGGTACGTCAACATTTTCCCTTTCGCACCGACCGTGCTAATCGGAGGTGCAGCGTTGAGTCTATGGGTGGCAGTGTTGAGTCTATGGGTGGCAGTGTTGAGTCTATGGGTGGCAGTGTTGAGTCTATGGGTGGCAGTGTTGAGTCTATGGGTGGCAGTGTTGAGTCTATGGGTGGCAGTGTTGAGTCTATGGGTGCAAGTGTTGAGTCTATGGGTGGCAGTGTTGAGTCTATGGGTGGCAGTGTTGAGTCTATGGGTGGCAGTGTTGAGTCTATGGGTGGCAGTGTTGAGTCAATGGGTGGCAGTGTTGAGTCTATGGGTGGTAGTGTTGAGTCTATGGGCAGTTTTTGAATAAAGGTGTCAGTTTTTGTGCCAGTTAAGAGGGTAAAACCTATTCCTATATCTTGTTTCTGGCAAAGGAGGTCTCATGATGTTAATGCTCACCCCGAGCCCTCAATACTCTGATAGTGCGCTGTTTTTGAGTTGTACGCCTTTTGGCGTCTTCTGGTCCAACACCAATGGAGACGAGGCTCTAAGAAAAGCTGTCTCGGGTGTGGACCAATCAAATTCAAGGACAGTGCATATTATTATCAGAGTTGTCTTTTTTGTTTGCATTTTGACTGCTTGTGTTGTGGTCATTGCAAACATGATGCCTTGAATAAAGGTGTCAGTTTTTGTGCCAGTTAAAAGGGTAAAACCTATTCCTATATCTATGGGCAGTGTTGAGGCTATAGGCAGTGTTGAGTCTATGGGTGGCAGTGTTGAGTCTATGGGTGGCAGTGTTGAGTCTATGGGCAGTGTTGAGTCTATGGGTGGCAGTGTTGAGTCTATGGGTGGCAGTGTTGAGTCTATGGGTGGCAGTGTTGAGTCTATGGGTGGCAGTGTTGAGTCTATGGGTGCAAGTGTTGAGTCTATGGGTGGCAGTGTTGAGTCTATGGGTGGCAGTGTTGAGTCTATGGGTGGCAGTGTTGAGTCTATGGGTGGCAGTGTTGAGTCTATGGGTGGCAGTGTTGAGTCTATGGGTGGCAGTGTTGAGTCAATGGGTGGCAGTGTTGAGTCTATGGGTGGTAGTGTTGAGTCTATGGGCAGTTTTTGAATAAAGGTGTCAGTTTTTGTGCCAGTTAAGAGGGTAAAACCTATTCCTATATCTTGTTTCTGGCAAAGGAGGTCTCATGATGTTAATGCTCACCCCGAGCCCTCAATACTCTGATAGTGCGCTGTTTTTGAGTTGTACGCCTTTTGGCGTCTACTGGTCCAACACCAATGGAGACTAGGCTCTAAGAAAAGCTGTCTCGGGTGTGGACCAATCAAATTCAAGGACAGTGCATATTATTATCAGAGTTGTCTTTTTTGTTTGCATTTTGACTGCTTGTGTTGTGGTCATTGCAAACATGATGCCTTGAATAAAGGTGTCAGTTTTTGTGCCAGTTAAAAGGGTAAAACCTATTCCTATATCTATGGGCAGTGTTGAGGCTATAGGCAGTGTTGAGTCTATGGGTGGCAGTGTTGAGTCTATGGGTGGCAGTGTTGAGTCTATGGGTGGCAGTGTTGAGTCTATGGGTGGCAAAGTGTTGAGTCTATGGATGGCAGTGTTGAGTCTATGGGCAGTATGTATTACGTTGAACTTCTTTCGCACCGTACGTAGCCGGAGGTGCTGCCGTGCCGGTGCGGCCCGGCTGCGCCCTTGCTGGTTGCGGCCGCCTGGGGTCGTAGGTCAGCGCGCCCTGCACGCTCCGTCGGGAATGTTTCCGTGGTAGGGGGGGGGAGGGACGCCGAGTTTGCACGAGCTGCCCCGATCGAAATTGTGTCGTCGTCATCATCGGCCGCGGTCGATCCACTGCTAGACGCCTCTCACTCCAGCGCCCGGCCTCTTCTGTTGACCATTGCCCCGTGCAACGAAGCACATCCGCTGCGTGGAGCACGTTGGAACCCACCGTGTAACGGGCTGTGTGTGTGTACGTGGGTGATGCACACGCGCTGCCCCCAGCGGACCTCGGTAAGTGCCGTCACGGTCCGGCTCGCGGTTAAGGGGCCGCCCATAAATGACGTCACGCGATTTTGGACCCCTCCCCCCCATCGTCACACGGCGTCACAAAAAGTCAGACCCCACCCCTCAAATATGACGTCACAAACCTCTGCCCCCCCCCCAAAAAAAAATATATCAAACATGCTTCAAATCGCTTTTAATTATTGTCATTGTAGTGCGTATTTAATGTGGCGCTGCACTCTGATGTTGTAGGAGAAACATTTATTAAAAAGTCTATTGTATTAAAGTTGTGCATTTTGGTGTGACGTCACATTTTTCAAACCCCCCCCCTCGTCACACATCGTCGTGCAGGAGCTGTACAGCCAGTCGTATGACGAGGTGGGCGTCATGTTCGCCTCCATCGCCAACTTCTCCGACTTCTACACGGAGGAGGGCATCAACAACGGGGGCATCGAGTGCCTTCGCTTCCTCAACGAGATCATCTCCGACTTCGACTCGGTGCGACGGGGCCTGCCAGCACGCGCGCACACACACACACGCGCGTACACACACACACGTACAAACACACGCGCGTACACACAAAGATACAACAATAACAACCGCCATTCGCCACTAAGTGGCGGTGACGTCACCACGACGCTTGTGCCAGGCCATGTGCACCTTGAGGCCACGTGAAGTGTCGAACGCCCGCTGGCAGGAAGTCACGGGGCAGACCCAGGTGCCACGGGTCGACTGACTGAGATGACTGAGATGACTGGCTGATGCACCACCTGTGCCCCCTACTGTGCCAACCTGCTGTGCTTTAGCCACTCGGCACTCCGCTCGTTGTTGTGAGCGTCGCTCCTCCGCCCCCCCGTTGTTGTTGGAGGGCGACTGCCTCCAACTGCCCAGTAGCATCCTTCACGAGCCTCCTCCACAGAGGCCGATCTTGACACCGCTGGTACCAGTCATTGGCAAGTCCACTCAGCTCCACGTCCTCCTGTACCACATCACTCCATCTCTTCTCTAGCCCGTACACAAAGATACGTACACACACACGCGCGCGCACGCGCACACTCGTACACACGCACACACGCATACACACACACGTACACAAACACGTACACACACACGTGCACGCACGTACACACCGGCCACATGTACACACATACACACACACGGCCACACACACACACGCGCGTCCGGCATCACGTCTGCCCGTCTGGCCGTAGGGGCTCTCTCTGTGCGTGTGTACCTGTATCGTTTGTCTACCTTTCAGCCTGCGTCTCCATGGCAGATTTCAGCCCTGCCTGTCTGTCCGCCTGCATTCCTGCCTTCAGTCAAGTCTGTTTCCATATCTGTCTGTCTGTTTCCATATCTGTCTGTCTGGTTCTATGTCTGCGTGTATGCCCATATGCCGTGCCCTATTCATGCTCTTCATAAGTCTATCTACGTGTACTATGTGTGTCTGTCTAGCTCTCTGTCTCTCTTGCTATCTGCTTGTCTGTCTCCCTTCCTGCCCACCCACATGTCTGTCTGGCTGTCTAAATATAAGTCTCTCTGGCTGTCTCTTTTTCACCTGTAGGTTGTTTTTTTGTTATACGGTAAGAGAGAATGTTCTCTGTTATTTATCTCGGGTGTCAGCCACTGCTGTCACTGCCAGGGCCTCTTAGCGCGGAGCGAGGTCGTGAATTTAGTTGACGAATATCTGAACCGGTCCCGGGCCTCCTCTAGGTCGGCTCAGCCTCAAACGAGTACCCCCGGTGCAGTGCATAAACATCAGCATTGGGGAGACACAGGCGGGCGGGCGTGGGTGCTGGCCACCCCCTGGTGTGCTGCGCCGGCCTTAATAGGTGCTCGCTAACAGAACTCGCCCCGACAGCCTGCTAAAAGTTGCCAGAACATTTCTCCCTGGAGAGAAGCTCCCTCCCTCCTTCACTCTGCCGTCCGCATGTGGAGCCGCCTCCCTGAGGAACGCATCGGTGGGCGAGATCACCGATTCCGGTCTTCAGGCCTTCAAATGCCGAGCTCGCACACGTGGGGCATCTCCTAACCTCACCGTCTTGAGTGTTTGAGCTGCAGTGAACCAATGGTTATGCCAATTAGATGTACTAATGCTGGATATGGCTATCGGTCACAATTGCACCCAATAAATAAAGAGTTAAAGGGGGATCTTAGTTTTTGATTTGAAGCTTTCGTGACTGCATGGATTCATCTTTCGGTAAAGTCACGTAGAAGGGAAATAATAAAATAATAAAAATAAAACTCTTAAATTATCACGACGTTTCGGCCACAACACAAGCGGCCGTCTTGTGTTGTGGCCGAAACGTCGTGATAATTTTATTATGTTTTATTTTCATTATTTTATTATTTCCCTTCTACGTGATTTTACCGAAAGAACCAAGAAAAAAAAGGGGGGATCTTAGTTTTTTCCCCTTCAAAGGTATTTTAAAGTCTTGTTGGGCCTTCTGTAAGAAGATGGGTTCCTCACCCTTGGTCTTCTCCTCCCCCCCCACCCACGGGGTGTGACGGGCCGTGTCGGCACAGCTGCTAGATGAGACTCGCTTCCGTTGCATCACAAAGATCAAGACGATCGGCAGCACTTACATGGCGGCGTCTGGGCTCAACCAGAACGAAAACACCGTGGAGTACAGCAGCAATGAGAAGGCGAGGCCTGACGCACACACGCACACGTGCACACGGACACGTGCACACAGACACGCACACACGCACACGTGCACGTGCTCACAGACACGCACACATGCACACACAGACACGCACACATGCACACGTGCACACAGACACGTGCACACAGACACGCACACGTGCACACACACGCGCACAGACACGCGCACACACACACGCACACAAGACAAAGATCCCCCGTGTAGCCTTAACAGACTGTTGGGGCAAGTGCTGTTAGTGAGCACCTATGAAGGCCGGAACGGTACACGAGGGGGTGGGTGGCCAGCACCACGCCCGACCGCCTTAGTCTCCCCAGTGGCAATGTTTTTATCCACCGCACTAGGTACTCATTTGAGGCTGAGTCGACCTAGATGAGGCCCAGGACCGGTTCAAATAATCGTCACTGGTGTTGGCCGTGAGCTGGAATCGAACCCGGGTCGCCATATTCATAGCGCAGTGCGCTAACCGCTACACTACTGCTCCCCACGCACGCACGCACACACACGCACGCGCACACGCGCACGTGCACACACGCACGTGCACACACGCACGTGCACACACGCACGCGCACGTACACACACACGCACACGCACGTACACACGCACACACACAAACAAACTTAAAAACCAGATCCTCGTCATTACTGGTTTTTCGTGCCAGCGTGCACGAACAGCCACAAATAAAGTCAAAGTGATTTCCCTGCTCAAATCATTCACCCACTCACTCACCCACTTACCAATTCACTCACTCACCCACTCACCCATTCACTCATTCACTCACCACTCACCCATTCACTCATTCACTCACTCACCCACTTACCAATTCACTCTTTCACTCACCCACTCACCCATTCATTCACTCACTCACCCGCTTACCAATTTACTCACTCACCCATTAATTCACTCACTCACCCACTCACCCATTCACTCATTCACTCACTCACCCACTCACCCATTCACTCACTCATTCACTCACTCACCCACTTACCAATTCACTCACTCGCCCACTCACCCATTCATTCACTCACTCACCCATTCACTAATTCACTCACTCACCCACTCACCCATTCATTCACTCACCCACTCACTCACCCACTTACCAATTCACTCACTCACCCGCTCACCCATTCACTCATTCACTCACTCACCCACTCACCCATTCACTCACCCATTCATTCACTCACTCACCCATTCACTCATTCACTCACTCACCCACTCACCTGTTCACTCATTCACTCACTCACCCGCTCACCCATTCACTCACTCTTGCAAATGAGACTGCCCTGGAACTTGCTGTGCGTGGGGAGCGGTGGAGCAGCGGTTAGCGCTCTTGTGCTTACAAACCCCGGTGACCTAAGCTCCATTCCCACTCACTGCCAACACCAGTGACGATTATCTGAACCAGTCCTGGTCAACTCAGCCTCAAATGAGCACTTGATGTAAACATCAGCGCTCGGGAGACAAATGAGGCTGGGCGTGATGATTGGCCACCCACCCCTTCGTTGTACCGTGCCGGTAACAGCCCTTGGCCCAGTTGTCTGAAAAGGCTGTACGGGGGATCTTTGTCTTTGTGCGCACCTCCAGGAGCCAGGCACCCGCGTGCGGTGGCAGCACGTGGCGGACCTGGCGGACTTCTGCCTGGCGCTCAAGATGACGCTCATGAACATCAACTGCCAGTCCTTCAACAACTTCATTCTGCGCATAGGTAACGAGGCCCTTCGGCCCCGTGAACGACGTGGGAAACCCCGCGGCCGCGGAATTGTTCGCTTTGACGACACGCCAAAGGGGCGCGCGGGCATGGCGCGCGCGAGGGCTCTCGCCGCTTCGTCCGTTGGGCCGGCGGTCCCAGCGACGAAATGGCCACGCGTTCAGTTCTTTCGAGCTGGTGGTCTGGATGAGGCCGAGAGCTCTTGTGAACGTGCAGCGCTGCAGGCCCTCCCCCCCGCGCGCGTTTGTTAACGCCCGGCATGGGTAGCGTGGGGCCACAACGCCTTGCGCCTTCCGTCGAGTCACGGAGCTCGCTTTTTACGACAAACGTCTACCAGAGAGGGTGCTTTGCCTTTGAATGTCTGGGGCAGTTCGCCAGGACTATGTCAAGCAAGCCTGACCGCTGATGAGACACCCAACGTTGAAACCGGTCGAAGAGTTTGCATGTGTTGAACCAATGCTGCTGGGATCGCGCACTCCTGCCAGATGGCCGTGCGTCGAATGGGTTATCAAAAATACTTTTTTTATGCAGCCGTTAAAGAGTTCGCCGAATGGCAAGAGTTGGAGGCGGTAGAATCGCCACGTGTCTCATGGACTCCCAATGGCCTGCCCCCCCCCGCCCCCCCCACCTATTTTGCGTCGATGACTGCGCAGGTTTGAACAAAGGCCCGGTGCTTGCCGGAGTGATCGGCGCCCGCAAGCCTCACTACGACATCTGGGGGAACACGGTCAACGTGGCGAGCCGCATGGAGTCCACGGGACAGCTGGGCAACGTGCAGGTTGGCGCTCATCGGCACCCTCGCCTTAGCTCGGCCAAATTTCATCTCGGAAAGTGGAACGTGCCGCTTTGTTGACGGAATGTTCTGACGAGACCACCTCGTGCGAGCACTGCCGTTCTGTTGCACGCAGGGACACACTGCTCTGCAAGCTTTCCGAGTAAAACTAAAAACTATGAAACTATGTTTTATTTGTACCAGGTAAGGCCCAGCTAAGCTATACGTAGCTTATTTTTTTTCCAGAAGCGATCCTCGCTATCACAAACGATCGCTCAAGCAAGTGGCCCATCATCATTATCACGCGTTAATTTAGAGCAGCCCAAATACTCTAATTGCGCGACGGTGATTCTAAATGTGGAGGGGGAAAAACGGGAGGACCCCGGAGAAAAATCCACGCGGCCACGGGGAGAGGGACACGCAAACTCCAAATATACAGGCGTGAGGGTCGGGATCGAACCCACGACCTCCTGCGACGGTGGCGAGATAGTTAACATCTCGCCACGGTCGCAGCGATCTATCCACTGCTGGATGAAGGCCTCCATCGCCATCTCTTGAGGCCGGGCGATGTGCAAAGCTCCGGCTCCGGCGCACGAGCCGACTTGACCTCTTTTCCGTGGACACGGTTGGGCTTCCTCTCGGGAGACGCCCCGTCGCTCGAGGGGACGGCGGGCCGGCGGTCGAGACTAACGACGGAGTCGGCGGCCAGGGAAGCGGTTTGAACGTCACCACCTCTCCGATGACCCTGCGGTGTGCCACTCTCCAACTGGCCCGACGAGCCAGTTGGAGAGCGGCACACCGCAGGGTCATTGGAGAGGTGGTGACGTTCTCGACCAAGAGTGTTTGCGATAGCCAAGCAAATCAGCGGGCTGGTACGGTGAACGTGAAGTATTCATATCCTCTGTCGACAGGTGGTGGAGGAGACGTACCTGGTCCTCAAGGACTACGGCTTCCGGTTCGTGCGCCGCGGCGCCGTGTTCGTCAAGGGCAAGGGCGAACTCATCACCTACTTCCTCAAGGGCCGGGAGAAGCCGTCCAACGGTTTGCCCCACCAGGTCAGCGAGGAGGTGTTCGAGTTCACGGCCGACTGACGTTCCCTCGCCAGGTCGCCCGCGCCCTTGGTCACGTGTTGGGCCGGTGGGGCGAACTGTCGCGTGGACCGATTATAACCAGCACTCACCGATTCGCTCCCGCCACCAGCGTGAGCCATGATCGGTGGCCTCCCTATCACTCTCCTGTCGCTACTGCCACGGCTACGGTTCCCGTGAACTTCACTGCGCTCAACCACCGCTCTCCAGGTCACAACAGCGCACTCGCTCATCCCCCTCACTCACCCACTCACCACACGGCAGGATCACTGCGCTGCTCTTTCTGCTTCTTCCCGTAAACAACCTTGCTCGCTTCGACAAACGTATTAACTCTTGATCTATTACAATGTTAATCGTGCCGCTTGTTGCTGGCCGATTGGCACTTTGGACCTTTGGGCCTGTGCTCATTGACCGTGAAGGAGAGAAAATAAATGACGCAGACTTGTCCGGCGCGTGCGCTCGCGATAGATGTGCTAGAGCATGAAGCCTCGCCACATTCCCGTTTTTGAATGACCGCCGCGGTGCGTGAACCACGCACGGTTTGCCTCGCCTGCATTCCCAGAGAGCGAGTGGGAAAACTGGAGCCTTAAACGATTGTCAGGCACTTGTAAATTAATCTTCACGTTGCGTGCAGTAAATACTTGCACACAGCAGCAATAACAATGATTCAATCCATGTCACGCCTAAATGCATCCATATCTCAAGAATATTTACCAAGGGGGTACGGGACACGACAAGGATGAAACCTAATCGTTTTTTTTTGTACCGTCAATGCCGCCTGGCTGAGGCTACCAGGGGGATATTAAATTAAAAGCAGAAGATGCCTGGTGGGGATGACTGATGATTAGCTGCTGACACATCACTAAGTCTTCACGCTGCACCGGCTCAGATGTCCACCGCTGTTGTTGGTTCCGAGCGTGATTTGGACTCGGGGTCGCCGGATTGGTAACGGCAGCGTGCCGCCCGCTCCCCACGCTCTATGTGCACGTGGGTACTTCGGAGTGAAATGTTACCTTTTTCTGTCGCTTCACGATCGCCACGGAGTGTGATCGTAAGTTAAAAAAATAACCGGTGAAACAAGACAATGCCGCTTTCATTTGTTAAGTCTCACGACAACGTCAAACACGGTCGCCGGCTAAGCTCACAGCGGTTGCGCCCACACACACACACACTGCACACACAGACACACCGCACACACACACACAGACACACACACAGACACACCGCACACACAGACACACCGCACACACACACACCGCACACACACAGACACACACACAGACACACCGCACACACAGACACACCGCACACACACACACCGCGCACACACAGACACACACACAGAGACACACCGCACACACAGACACACCGCACACACAGACACACCGCACACACACAGACACACACATACACATACAGACACACCGCACACACACAGAGACACACCGCACACACACAGACACACCGCACACACACACACAGACACACCGCACACACACACAGACACACCGCACACACAAACACACACAGACACACCACACACTAAAGGGAGGAAGGTATTAAATGTACTCGCTGCCAGTGAAGTCTGTCGATTCCAGTGGACCGTGAAACAAGGCGGCGGTAGTAGTAGTAGTGGTAGTGCCTTACTCCACGCAGCGTTCCGACGTCTCCCGTGTACATAGCCCCCACCAGAGCCCCCCCCCCCCACCGCTGACCAAAACAGAAACAAAAGTACAGGTGACCCCCGACTTACGACGGGCTCGGCATGCGATCGTCGTCCATGGAACCAATTAGGTTGTAGGTGCGGGGGGGGGGGGGGTCGCCCGTGCTGCTGAGAAGCCCCATTGAGCTGGCGTCCGGACCCCTTTAAAAGAGTGCGGCGGGCAAAACCGTAAAATGAAATTTAATTTCACGCGGAGGTGGTTGATGAGCCGGATGATTGCGTCCAGGGGTTAGCGGCGGAGTGATGAATCACCGCTCCGGTGACGATGCCTACCTCCTCCGCATCCTCCTCCTTCGGGTTTATTTGTGAATCGCGGCATTGAGTTCCAGCCACGGGTTTCTATTCTGCGTGGTGGCCACGGCCCCATGCACACGCACGCACTGTGGGAGAGCCTTTCGCTCTCCGTGTTGTCCGTGAGCGATGGCTTTCGGACGCGGTAGGCGCGGAGGGCAGCAGTTGCATTTGGACGGTTACGTGCCCAATTTGCATGCCGTTTAGAGCGCACGTCAGTTTCAAAGGTTTTTATTTTTCTCACGCAAACTGCGAAAATGTCGCACGACCGTTACATTGCCGGCAAGAATGACGTCGCAGCGGCAGCGGCCTATATCTGCACTCTTTTACAAAAAAGCACTCTAGCTCAACGGGCTCTCAGCTGATTATGTGTATATTACTATAACGACATTATACGAGAGGAATTAATTGATCTAATAGAGCAAATCTAGCAAATGTAATAATGTATTCTGAACTTGAACACGTACGTACGTACGTCCGATATGTGTTTCTGTACAGGGTTTTAGCAGTGTTTCTCCGTCTGTGACTCTCCCCCGAGCTCTATACCATTCATCTACGACTTAGCTCATAGTTAGAATAAGGGCACGCGTGGCAAGTTGGCTCTCCTTGGCAAACTGCTGTAGCCGTATTAATGACGCAGTATAAATAGTGGCAGGGCTGCAGAGTGAGCCTTTGGTACCATTTATCAACATTTGTTATGGGAGGTAGCGTCAGCACAACCTGTATCGTGGCATCATCGCCATCATCACCATCACCACCAGCATCAGCCATGATATATTCACTGCAGGGATGGACGCGTGTACGTTGATCTTCTTCCACACCGTACGCAGCCAACCGTGCTAATCGGAGGTGCGGGGGAAGGACAACAAACTAAACACAAAAAGCAGTTCGAGAGAAATGAGTTTGTCATTCTAGACGATTTAAAAGTGCATAGCTCCAGTGGCTTCCGAATATCGGAAGGAAGAGCGTTCCAGAAGGCCACTGAAGCGCATCTGAAAGCGGCACGCAATGCGGTGAGCGCCGTCTTTGTTCGATGGTCAGTCAAGAGCCACTGTGAGGATGACGACCAGAGTTTGCGTGATGATGGTTTGTGCTGCATTATGGGATGAGGGCCTCCTCCCCGAGCCATCGCCAACCCTCGCGATCTCTCAACGCGGACAAATCCATCCGACGGGCACACGCACGGTCCTTCGTGTCAATATATATTGCTGAATGACGGCCGATTGTGGAATCATTTGTATAATAAATCTCCGACCTATGCTCTATCCAAGTGCAGTCATCCCAACGACAATGCAGTTAATACGCCACGCACTTGCCTATTCCCGCCAATAATCATTTGGCCTCACCTGGTCTGCTGTTAGTGCTTTACTCTAGTGCCTAAGCTGAACACCTATTGCCTTAATGTCATTAGTAGGGGTGTGACGATGCGCCGGTCCACCGATTAAAATCCATTCTCTACCTTCACATATCGTCGTTCGTAAAAGTTGCGCTCTCAAAACGCCATTGGATTCGCGTTGGGCACAGCTCGCGCGCCGAGGCGCGTGGGAACACCACGGAGACGAGCGGGAGGGCAGCCAGAAGCAGCGCTCCCAACAGTTGGCCAAGCTCCGTGGTCCAATAATGGGATGTTTGGCCAACTCCGTCAATGGTTCTTTATACGTGCGCCGAATCGCGCGCTGTGAGAATCAACGCTCTCTCTCTCTCTGGCCAATCGCGGTTGTGTCGCAACGTTGCGATGAACCATTGAGACGGTGCGACGGGCGATGGGCGAGTGCAATAAAAACCCCGGGGCCTCAGCGGAGGCTTGTGAGACAAGTCCCACGAGAACGGTAGCAAGGCGTTGTTACATCTCGCTAGTGAACAATTGGTCGGACTAAGCCTTTTGGTTCACATATGTCGTACGTAATGTGTTCGCGCGAATCCTGTTATCACTGGAGGCCGCTTCGCTTTACCGCAACGATTGTAAAACAAAAAAAAAGGTGTTGGACTCGAATGAAAACCTTAAATCGTGGAAATTCGTCAAAGAAAATTTTTGCCGTGGAGATTGTCGGGTGGCCCGGGGCCGTGAATCGTTGTTGTACCCTGAGCCAGTGGGCGTTTTTTGAACTGAGCCAACTTTTATCTGCAATAGGTACTACAACAACAAAAAGTGTACTTGTACATATGAGGGAGGGTTGAAAGGTTTTGCGAATGAGATTGTAAAAAAAAAAGGAAGTCGCAGAAACCCGGAACAAACACGGTAAAGGTGGCCCCCACGTTGGCGTGCGGTTGGACATTCTGGACCCAACTTTGGACACAACGCTCCGCGTTTTACTGAGATTCGAACGTTTGGCTTATTCTGAAGCCTACGCGTAACAAGTGTACAATAGGCCGCGAAAATTGGCGTCAACAGTTTGCTGATGTATAGTATAATGAGAAATAATATAGCAAGTGCAATGCATTGCTTTCAACATCTTGTTCTCAAAACGTTTTGCTCGTTTGCCGTGGTGCACGTGTTAGTATGCATCGGAATATATACGTACACACAACCGCGGGGCTGGGCTCATTTGGTGAAAGGGACTCGCAAAATGTGGAAATGAACGAGCCATTGGAAGTCGTGCTTTTAAACTCGAGTCACGAATTAAAAACCTCTTCGGTGATGATGTTTTTTTCAAATAACGTGATGGGTATTTGTTTGTGCGCACTCATTTGGTGGACCAGGCTGAGAGGCATCAACGCGGTTCAATCGCAGGTGGCTGAAAGCCAGATCCGAACCGAGAATCTCGGCGATTGCCCGTTTGGCGCGTTGACCGCCGGCAACCAAGCCATCCACCTCTCGAACATGAGTTGACATCTGGAACCTTCAGTTACGTGACGGCGTTTTTTTTCCCAGCTACAGATCCGGTCCGAAGCCAATTGGGGTTTTTTTGTTTGCTTATAAACAACTGATTATAATTGCATGCAAGTGTATCATTGGTTTCTTTTATGTGTGTATGTAGTTGCTGCTTTAATGACCAAACAATTATTAAAAATTATTGAGAAAGGAATTTGCTCAGCAGAAACAATATATACTTGTTACACCCCTCTCCACATGCAGCAAACATCTTAACGATTAACCGATGAAAATATCTTCCTACACACACGAGAGACGCAATGCAATCGCATTTGTGAGAATCCATTCATATTTCACATCGCAGTCGAAGCAACATGTGAAGCACACGTCTGTGTGTAGAGTCTGTGTGTTCACCCCCTGTTGTGCATGGATTTCCCCTGGGTTTCTCCAGTTTTCCTCCCATAGGTAAACAATAACAACAACCGTCATTCGCCACTAAGTGGCGGTGACATCACCACGACGCTTGTCCCAGGCCATGTGCACCTCGAGGCCACGTGAAGTGTCGAACGCCCGCTGGCAGGAGGTCACGGGGCAGACCCAGGTGCCACGGGTCGACTGACTGAGATGACTGAGATGACTGGCTGATGCACCACCTGTGCCCCCTACTGTGCCAACACCGTCAACAACCGCCATTCGCCACTATGTGGCGGTGACGTCACCACGACGCTTGTGCCAGGCCATGTGCACCTTAAGGCCACGTGAAGTGTCGAACGTCCGCTGGCAGGTCATGAGGCAGACCCAGGTGCCACGGGTCGACTGACTGAGATGACTGAGATGACTGGCTGATGCACCACCTGTGCCCCCTACTGTCCCAACACCGTCAACAACCGCCATTCGCCACTAAGTGGCGGTGACGTCACCACGACGCTTGTGCCAGGCCATGTGCACCTTGAGGCCACGTGAAGTGTCGAACGCCCGCTGGCAGGTCACGGGGCAGACCCAAGTGCCACGGGTCGACTGACTAAGATGACTGGCTGATGCATCATCTGTGCCCCCTACTGTGCCAACCTGCTGTGCTTTAGCCACCCGGCACTCCGCTCGTTGTTGTGAGCATCGCTCCTCTGCCCTCCGTTGTTGTTGGAGGGCGACTGCCTCCAACTGCCCAGTAGCATCCTTCACGAGCCTCCTCCACAGAGGCCGATCTTGACACCGCTGGTACCAGTCATCGGCAAGTCCACTCAGCTCCACGTCCATCTGTACCACATCACTCCATCTCTTCTCTAGCCCGTGCCGCGCCCGTTTAGCCTCCTCGATTCGGCCGAACAAAAGGTGTTTCGGCATGCGGTGGCTGGGCATGCGGGCTACATGACCCGGCCAACGCAGCCTTGCCTGCCGGAGGAGCTCACCAATGGGACCTTGCCCAGATCTTTCAAGGATTTGTGAGCTCCTCACACAATCCAGCCTGGTTAAACCCAGGATGGATCGTAGGTAGGCTAGCCTAAATGCTTATAACCGGCGAAGTTGTTCCATTAGGGGGGTCCACGTTTCGCAAGCGTAGAGAAGGGAGGGAATGACCCTGGCCGAGAAGACCTGAAGCCTAGTGCGGAGCGACAGACCAGGTAGCTTCCACACAGCGTCACGCAACCGATGAAAAGATATTGCCGCTCGACTGATTCGGAATGAGACCTCTGCTGTTAAACTGGAGCCGGTCATAAGCACACTGCCCAGGTATGGGAAACTCTCCACTCTCTCCACAACTGCCCCATCACCGATTGGGAGTTGTGGGGGTGGAGTGTCCGATGGTACAAAATACCCAGGCAGGCGCTTAGTTTTGGTGGGGCTGATGGTAAGGCCCCATCTCTTAGTGGCACGCTCCAGTCTCAGCAGCAGCGTCACCAACTCCTCCTCTGAATGAACAGCTATTACCAAATCATCGGCATACATAACGTGGTTGAGCAATAGGGAGCCATCCCTTGACCGCACCCGGGCATCGATCAGCCTCCCATTATATCTGTACCAAATGGAGATTCCCCTGGTACAGCTATTAAAGGCTTCACGAACTACGTGGTCAAAATAGATGTTAAATAATGTGGGAGCCAGAGGACATCCCTGTCGTACCCCAAGGTGTACAGGGAATAGCTCTGACTCCCGGCCACATAGTTTTACCCGGGCCTGCTGACCATCAAGAAGGTCCTTAATGATCGTGAGCAGAGGGTCAGGGACTTCAAAAGCACGAAGAACAACCCAGAGCCCAGTCCTATTGATGGTATCATAGGCCTTGACCAGGTCAATAAAGCAGAAATGTAGGTCTTGCTGGAATTCCCTACACCTCTGCTGTAGCAGACGGACAGAAAATATGGCATCTGTGCAGGACCGCCCTTTCCTGAAACCGCATTGGGGCTCCGCAAGCCTTTCCTCAGCGTGCCTGGCAAGGCGATGTTGAATAATCCTTGCCAGGACCTTTCCCGGCACACTGAGGAGTGAGATGCCCCTGTAGTTGTTACAGTCTGTGCGGTCCCCCTTCTTAAAGAAGGGGACCACCAGGGCGTCCTTCCAATCCTGCGGAACCCGTCCAGTGGTCCAGACTGTTGTTATGATGTCATATAGGGCAGTCTGTGCACAAATGCCACCCTCCCTCAGCATTTCGCTTGGGAGATCATCTCTGCCCGGTGCCTTTCCTGGTCTCAGACTCCGGATCGCCTTGTATGTGTGTAAGTAAACACATACACACAGGCATAGTGGCGTCATTGGTGCTGGCGAAACATCCCAAAATGTAGCAGGACCCTCGTGAAAAGGAGTATTCCTGGGTAAACAAGTCAATGATTTGGCACAGTTCTGGTACAAGCACCACACGGTGAAGAGCAGCTGCTGATGCAGGATTCCCTCGCTCTACCCAGTGGTAGTAGATGCTTTCCAAAAAAAAGGTGGGTGCACAAAGCGATACCGGATCTGTTGTATTGTGATTAACAATCTTGCCGGCCTAGTTACTAGTTGAGGAATAACAAAAATAAACACTTATTTAAAATCTGTTTACCTGTTGTATGATCGCCAAAGCACAATTTAACTTTAAACTGTGCATTTATCGCCATTCACAAAAAAAAGGTTAAGCACGACTTTATAGAAATACTCCATCGTCATATGAACGTGTATGCGACATGCTTGTTTTTTCGCACCACTTTTTAAAAGTCCTCGAAGGCTCAGTATCTGTGACGATGACATCCCCGAGTCGACGGTGTGTGTGTGTGCGTCTCTGGCCCGTGTGGTTCCCCGACTCAGGTGGCCGGTTGGCTCCGGGTGGCTGGTGGCAATGTCAGAACATCCAATCGTGTGGCAAGTTTAATGTAAAATGTTAAGAGCTCCATTTTTTTGTTTCCTAGCACGTATTATTTATACTCGGGGCTTCATTTCAGCAGGAGCTGTCCAAGGCTGAGCTCCAGAAAATATATCCCTGTCACCGCCCACTCCTTCCCCTATGCCCATGCTGTCAGGGGATTGAGGGTTGGGTTTCCAGGAAATATTGAAAAACGAAGGCCTGTTTATACTGCATTTTGCATATTTTTTCTATTTATTTTTCCTGGATATTTATTTTCTGTTTGTTGATCGGTGTGTATTTTAACACGGCACTCTGTGTTCTTCACACCCCAGCTCTCCTTTGTGAAGGAGATTGTTCTCTCAATGGGACCTCACTCGGTTGGAAATAAAGTTTGTGTACGCGCACATGTACAGTACTCGCTCGCCCTTAAATGTCCTCCACCACAGCGGTGGGACATTTTTATTCACATTTTGCAAGGTGCAGCATGCCCCTGACGTTTGCAAGGTTGAGTGTTTGGCATTGGACCCGGTGCCGATTAGAATGGTTGGCTATGTACGGCGCAAAACAAGTTCAACATACACACATACAAGGCATTAAGTTCAACATACCCACATACAAGGCATTAAGTTCAACATACCCACATACAAGGCATTAGATGGGCCCGCTCCTGTTCATTTTCCTCTCTCTGTAGCCCGGTGGCTTGACTCTCTGGCCCATAGACCCCAGAGCAGCAGCAACACCTCCATGGTCCATAGCTATGCCACTGGGTCTTATGTTAGGCCAATGGGTCTCTACGTAAGTCCATGGGTCTCTATGCGAGTCTATGGGTCTACATGCGAGTCGATGGGTCTCTTTGTAAATCCGTGGGTCATTATAAATCCGTGGGTCATTATAAGCATATGGGTCTCAGTAGCGGGAGCCGGTGGGGGGGGGGGAGTTGGCATGGGCCCCTCTCTCCAACATAATCCCCCCTCTTCGCAGCTCAGCACCTGGGCCCCCGTCCAGCAAGTGGGCCAGTTGCGCGCCGCTTGCACGCTCACCGGCCACGGCACGGCCACCACAGGCCGTGAAGCCACGGCGTGGAAACGACACGGACGTCTCTCTGTTTTGGTTACGCGCGCGGACGACGACGTTGCGAGAGAGAGCCGACGAGACAGCTGTCCCCGCGGGGTTTTAATCAGCAGCTTGTTGTTCTTTGTTTTGTTCACGTTTGCACCCAGCCGATGAAGAGGGGGGAAGAGGCACTTTTCATTGTTTGAATTGCCGATTTAATGTTTAGTTTTTTTTTCTGCGCCGCTCGCCCGCCCCGTCCACTCGAACACCACTTGTAAGGCCGTTGTTGGCAATGTACACAGCAACTGGGCACAGTGCGACGTACATTTCTGCAACGGGGTTTTAACGCGTTGTGTTTTTTTATCGGTAGCAATTCCGTTAGGCGTGCGTTGCTAAAATATTTTAAATGCGGTGTCCGTGATAGTTGTGTGTGTTGCGTGCGTGTTGATGGTGAATTAACGATCCTTTTCACGGTCACCCTTTGATTTCAGGCACGCGATGATAACCAACGGAGCTGTTTTTATTCTTTAGCTCAAACAGCAGCAACAATAACGGCGGGTTTCGAACCAAGCGCGTCGCGAGCGGCTAACAGCGACGAAAGGGGATTAGGAGGACATTCGGTCTCCAGCGTTCACCCTCCCCGAGGAGTGAGATTTTTTTTTTATACATTGGGGCCACGCGCGCCAGTGGCGCATTTGCAGCGCCATCACCGCCTTCCCTCTGCGTTCGCGCGGCTTCCAGCCGGGCAGTCGCACCGCAACACCCACTTTGGGGCACCCGCAATTCATTGTTTGATCTTCATCATTTACAGCCCTTTGCGTCGATCCGCTTCTGGATTGAAGGCCCTCTCCCTCCCGCGTGCCGTTGTGGTCACGTGGGGATTGTTTGAGCCTTACCTCGCCATGCTGGTCAGCGTGGGTGTGAAGGGGGTGGTGAGAGCATAGACTCGTTCAGAAACTCACCCACCACCGATGTTAGCCGTGCACACGAAAATGTAACTTCTGGTTGCGGAGTTCGTAGTGCAGTGCTCTTACCGCTGCTCTGCTGCTCTCCCCGCATGGCACATATATGTACTATAAACTATGCAAATATTTTTTTACATTTTACCAAGTAAGGCCCACTGAGCTATGTAGCTGTTTTTCAGAAGCGACCTGGCTATCACAAATTATCGCTCAACCAATGTGGCTTATGACGTGGAAATGTATAGCAGTAAAATACTCTCAATTACGCGTGATGTTGATTCTAAATCGAGAGGAGAAAAACCGGAGGACCCGGAGAAAAATCCACACAACCACGGAGAGAACATGCAGACTCCAAATATACAGCAGGCGTCAGGGTCGGGTCGAAGCGACGACCTCCTGCATACTCGCCACCGCGACTGCGCGTGTGTACGGTACGTGAACACACACACACAGTCGCGTGTGTTCACGTGACAAATACACCGCGTTGGCAGCGGTGTGCAATTAAAACAAGCACACTCGGGTGGGTGGTGTGGGTCGGTGGTGAGGGGCCGTGGCCAGGACTTAGATATCACTCACCGCCGATGTTATGCATGGGCAGGAATTGAACTCGGGTCACCAGGTGTATAGTGCAACCGCATCACTACCGCTCAACCCCGAGGCAACGGGGCGTGCACGCATCGAACCGTTTACTGTGAGTAGAAGTAGGAAAGTTCCACGCCGGTTGTAAAATCCTCCCTCGTGCCCATCTCTGTTGGCAGTGATGAAGTTGCACATTACCAGGACCATTCCATTCACGGGACGACCTCTGTCGACGTTTACGCAGTGCCGTTCATCAGGTGGTGCTCATGGCAATGAATGGTTAAGCCAAACCCTGGCCTCGATTTTAACTCAAAATTTCACGATGCGGACCCCTACCATTCTACCAACGGAGTGACATCTCGACCACGCCTGTTCAAGCATTGCCCATTACGTCTGTGTGTGTGTATGTTGAACTTCTTTCGGACCGTATGTAGCCAACCGCGACAAACTAAACGCAAGTAGCGGTTACGGCGGTGGCGCTGCTATCGAGTGCGCAGGCGATGCAACTGAGCAGGGGGCCTACCGGTTAGAGGGGTCCAGGTGCCGGGCTATAATTAGACGGGAACCTGGGGACTAGGGGGGGTGGGAACGGGGAGTTGGCCACTTCATTCCTTGCACGAGGGCCCGTCATGCCAGCCACAGCCCTCTTGGAGCACAGGCGACGCATTCAACGGGGGTGACGCATTCAACGGGGGTGACAAACTCAACGGGGGTGACGAACTCAACGGGGGTGACGCATTCAACGGGGGTGACAAACTCAACGGGGGTTACGCAACTCAACGGGGGTGACGCACTCAACAGGGGTGACAAACTCAACGGGGGTGACGAACTCAACGGGGGTGACGCACTCAACAGGGGTGACAAACTCAACGGGGGTGACGAACTCAACGGGGGTGACGCATTCAACGGGGGTGACGAACTCAACGGGGGTGACGCATTCAACGGGGGTGACAAACTCAACAGGGGCGACAAACTCAATGGGGGTGATGCAACTCAACGGGGGTGACGCAACTCAACGGGGGCGACAAACTCAATGGGGGTGATGCAACTCAACGGGGGTGACGCAACTCAACGGGGGCGCGGGCGACGAGCACGGTCGGCGACGCCACCCCACGGCGACGGCGCCTTCATGCCGTGGCGTCGGGCGGCTCCAGCGCGCCGACGGGCGAGTGCAGGCCGAGTTGCGCGCGGTGGAAGTGTCGGTCCAGTGCCCGCCGCTGCTCGGCCACCTCCCGGCGCAGGATCTCGAGTTCACGTCGGAAGCGCAACACGGCCCTGCGGGAAGCACGCGCGGGCGTCACGACAGCCTGATCCTCCTTCCGATGTTAGGAAACCGCACTGGAGCCGTGCACTTTTAAATCACCTGGATTGAAAACGAATTTCTTTACAACTGCTTTTTCGTGCTTATTTGTTGTCCTTCCCCCGCGCCTCCGATTAGCGCGGTTGGCTACGTACGGTGCGAAAGAAGTTCCACATACGTACACACATCTGTACTGGCAGATCGAGCATGTTAAACGCATGTACGCTGAACTTCTTTCGCACAGTGCACAGGTAACCGTGCTAATCGGAGGTGCGAAATACCCTGAATGACCATCAGCATCATGAGCAGCCGTGAACTATCCACGGCCGGGGTAAGGGCTTCCCCGAGCCGTCGCCATCTCTCGCCGCGACGGTCCGTGCGGCGCCCGCACGCACGCCGATTTCACCACTCCGTCTCCGCGGCGGTCGTTTTCCTCTCGGAGTTTTCTCCTTTCGGCTGCCACCACTGTCGCTTAGGCTTGGGCATCGACTCCCCCATCCCGTCTCGCGACGAGTCCTTCTCAGGACCAACTTGATTTTCTCAAAGTTCACGTGACCCCTTCGACGTGCGCACGTTCTCTTACAGAGAATTGCTTGACGAAGGATGCTTCATCTAAAATGGACCCAATGGGTGACCGACGTAAAAAGTAAAAAGGTTGCACATAAAGAAGACGACCTGATGATGATGATGATGTTGCACGCAGTGATGAGAAGGAAACCGGCACGATTTGGACACCACATGTAGTATGTAAGGAACTGGAAAGAGAGGAAGACCTCACAGAGAACGGCTTGACGACAACGACGACATCACGGGAGATTGGTGCCAGAAATATGTTGCCACTCCTTGAACTCATTGCCACCAAGACACAGAGGAAAGTGGAACAACAAATGACGAAATGTGCAGTGGACACCTGCGGGCTATCTGCCCATGGATTGTGATGATGATGATGATCATGTTGATGTTCTCTAATCCATGTGTTTCTCTGTCTCTCAGTGTGATTCCAAGCGTGGGCCTCTCTGCCCCTGTACAGGAAATTTTGAACTTTCGTTCTATTGATCAAAGTGCATGTTTCTGATCTAAATGTCATTGCAGGTAGCTATCTAAAGAACAGAGTGTTCTCATCATTGATATTGTAAATGCCCTCAATTTACCCTGTAAACCCTGATCGGGTCTCAAGGCTCTCTGTCAGGATGGTCCTCGCATTCATGAGTGCTCGGTGTGTGGGACGGAAACCACAATTGTGTGTGTCTGATGAGCGTGCGTCTGTTTGTACATTTATGCCCGAATGTGTAAGTTTTAGTGTTGCCAAACATTTCATTGCATGGCCCTCCGTGCAAGAGTCTTGAGACTCGGTGAGGCTTTCCAAAACAAACAAATCACATTGTTATATATGTACGTGCATATGCGAATGTGGTAGTGGTACATACTTGAACGTGCTTGTGTATACGGCGTGATTTAAGGCATGTTTACATCGCCAGCAATGGGGAAAATCACCAAGGCCATGTGCTTCGGTCATGTTGTCACATTGATGTGTACCTAGCTCATGAAGTATAAAGAAAACACAATCCGCAATGTGTAACGTTGCTTTAGAATTGTGTACACATATGTACGTACATGCACGTTCGCACATTTAATTATGCTTTTCAGAATTTTATCGTGGCGTTTTCTGGAAGTCAACGGACAGCAAATATATGAGTCAGTGCAGGTGACAACAGCCCTTGGGCTAAATTTGTTTGTAAGATCTATATTTTTATCAAGCGTGGGGTAAAGGATGGAAATTTTCAGTCGGACGTCAGACCCAGAGCGCCCTGTTCTTGCAGAAACTCTCCCCAGAGGAAACCAGTCCCTGCCAAACTGGGACGCAAATTACGACCGATCACACGCCTCCTAATTACCGGGGTTCAGGGTTTCTGATCGAATGCCACTCCAGGTGCCCTCACTACCTTTTCTGCGGCCGCCTGATGCTCTTGACGTCCGGCTGACTCGGCTCGCGTTCATCCCGGACTCTCAGGGAATCGAGAAACTTGTCCAGCTCCTCCTGGCATCAAACATTCGTTTGGTTATAACAGATGTTTTTTCATTTTTTTTAGCTTGCGGCCTGCAGGCCAAATGTGGAGAGTGAAATACCCTTGGGGTGGCCCGCTGAGCCACGGCCCGACAGGGGCTATGGTTTTTCTGAGCGATGAAGTGATGCAAGTTTAAACTATGAACTAAACAATATTTTTTTATTTTACCAGGTAAGGCCCACTGAGCTGTATAGCTCTTTTTCAGAGGTGACCTGGCCACAAATGATAGCTCAACGAAGTGGCTTATCACGTGGACATTTATAGCAGCCAAATACTCTTAAACGCATATTTCTAAAGGTGGAGGGAAAAACCGGAGGACCCGGAGAAAAATTCACATGACCAGGGGGAGAACAACTCAAAATATAGAGGTGCCAGGGTCGGGATCGAACCCACAACCTCCTGTATACCAGGGGAGGTAGTTAACATCTCACTACAGAGAGAGACACGCACACTCCAAATATACAGCAGCAGCAGCAGGCGTCAGCGTTGGGATCGAACTCACAACCTCCTGTATACCAGGGGAAGTAGTTAACATCTCACTACAGAGAGAGACGCGCACACTCCAAATATACAGCAGCAGCAGCAGGCGTCAGCGTTGGGATCGAACCCACAACCTCCTGTATACCAGGGGAGGTAGTTAACATCTCACTACAGAGAGAGACGCGCACACTCCAAATATACAGCAGCAGCAGCAGGCGTCAGCGTTGGGATCGAACCCACAACCTCCTGTATGCCAGGCGAGGCAGTTTCCATCTCACTGCCATGGCGCCTCAGTTCAGCGACCGCGAGTCTTCCACATGGACGTGACCTGAGGCCAATAGGCAGGAGGTCGTTCACTCCGGGCCCTCTTGAAAATGACCCAGGTCCCCTTTGCAAATTGAGACGACCTTGGTCTCTTTATGAAATTGAACTTGAGCTCTTGACTATTTGCAAGGGGAACCGGTGAGTTGGTCGGCATAGCGAGGCTGCTGTGGGGGAATCCGTGTGGAGCCCGCTAGCTCAGTTCGTGAATCAAGCCGGCTCACTTCCCAGTGGACACACGGCACGAGCGAGTGGACAGTCGCACGCGTTTTCATGATTCCTTGTACTTTAGGCATAGCCAGGCGAGGGCTCAGTTTGCCACTGCAGCGTGGAAGTAGTGCCACCGTGAGGTTTTTTACTGCATTTGCAGATATGGTACCACATATCTGGCACATGTTAACCAGCATTGATACTGCCGCTACGCACGTATTGGCGATGATGATAATGATGATGACTATAGCGTTCATACGTATTGAAAGTGGCGCTTACGCCAAGGTCCGATGATGATGCTGATAATCATATGATGATGATCATCGCAGGTGTTGTCGCCAGTGATGGCAGTGTACACAAGATAAATATGATGATGATAATTACGTTACCAGCGTTGAGAAATGTCAAACGCAAATCAAATTACGATGATTACTTACACGTGCAACCATGCAGTCCATTCACTGCTGGGTGATGGGGGTTGTTTGAACATACTTCACCACACTTTGTCACTGAGGCTTTATGAAACTGGGAGCACATGTTGGGAGCATAGAAATACAGTGCAACAATAGATCTTGCTGCACTGCCATCCGCTGCCCACCGTGTAACCGACTGCACCTGTTGTTTTATGCATGGTGGTCGCCCATCCAAGCACTATCCAGGCTTAAAATCTGCTTAGCTTAAAGAGATATGACAATTTCTGACAAGCTCGGATGCGTCACAATTGATTTGGTCATTTCATTAAACAAAAAGCCACGACCCGCACAATGCCGTGCGGGTCGTGGGATTTTGGTCATCGGCAAGGATAATCATGATAACTGATAACTTCGATGAGGGCGATAACGATCGCGACAAGGGCGATGACGATCGCGATCAAGGCGACGATGAGAGCGATGACGATTGCGATGAGGGCGACGATGAGGGCGATGACGATCGCAATCAAGGCGACGACGAGGGCGATGACGATTGCGATGAGGGCGACAATGACGATGGTGGCGGCGATGGTGGCGGTGGTCACCTTGATCCCGAACGCCGCCCCGTGACCGTTTTCCGCCGCGGTCGCCGTGAGGTCCCACGGAGCCACCAGTGCCGCCCCCTCCTCGTGCACGCGGCGCCGCGCCTCCTCGCGCCGCCCCCGCAGGACCCCCTCGTCCTCCGCCTCCAGCAAGATGCTCGCACGCTGCATGTACACGTTCCCCTCCATGTCGTGGTACACCCTGCACGGCGGTGACGGTGGTGGTGGTAAGTTGACGCACGCACAAAAGCGAGGGGGGTGAATGTGTGTGTGTGTGTGTGAATGCGGTGTAGGTGTCGCGTCTGCCAGTCACTCCGGTCTGACGTGCGTCACAGCTCGCCTTGCTGGACTCGGGAGCAATGTGGGAGCTCCTCAGGGGAAGAGACAGGCACAGCATGGTCCATGGGGAGAACATGCAAGCTCCATATATGCAGGCGTCAGGGTCGGGATCAAACCCACGACCTCCTGGATACTCGGCGAGATAATTAACGTCAAGCCACTGTGGCGTCCAGAACTGGATAGGTCCCTTAAACCTCTTGCCAGAGAGCCGACATCATTCAAAGTGCGCCTATCCTGGCACGAGTTTTGTACTGATGTCTTTGCAACTTGCTGGCAAATAGCAGCTGGTGTCGACAAGGAACCTGTCATCAGGGAGATTATGTTAGCATACTTGTCAACCCCTTATCAGTGCCCTACCTTATCACAGACCAATTCAGACCTTATTGGTCAACCCATGCCCCTTATACATCTCAACGCTCATCCTACAAAGTCCCATCACAAGGGATAAACGCAAACAAATAGACACATTTTTTTTCCCCGTATTGAAACGGCTGTATGCCGTATGGACCTGAAAACTCAATTTTCCTGTACAAGAAAACGGGTAACCCGTATGGGTTGACAGGGATGTGTTAGAATAGTGAGTGGCTAGATCGAGCATGCACACTGTACATATATCTGTACAAAATCTATATCTACTGATGGCGATTCATGATAATGATGACGACAATGATGCTGCGGAAAGCCAAGAATGATGATTCTGTTGCTGCTGGCTGATGAGTTTTTTTTCTACTGCTGTTGGATTTTCTGATGAGGATTCTGTTGCTGATGAGTTGTTTCTACTGCTGTTGGATCTGCTGATGATTCTGTTGCTGCTGCTGCTGCTGCTCCTATCCGACCATGGCAACGACGGAAATGCCACCCACGAACGGACAGCCGCCGCACTCATCAATGCACGCTCGTGTTCAGACGCGTCGCTCGAACTGAAGCTGAGATCGGCACCGGTGACTTTTATGGTGTTGATGAGGAATCCACCGACCGTGTGTGTGCCTGCGTGTCTGCGTGCGTGCGTGCGTGCCCTTACGTGGCGAAGGCGTAGTTGAGCATAGCGATGAAGATGTTGTTGCAGAGGATGGCGGTGAACAGCAGGAAGGAGGCGACCAGGATGTAGGTCATGGGCGTGTCGACGGCGCACATCTCCATGTAGGGGTAATGGTCGATAACGCTCATGCGGAACATGGTGAACAGCATGGTGTCCACCGTCTGCATCCAGGGTATGCTCTCGTTGTCTAGGGCAAGAGGGCAAAGGCGCAGCACTGCAATCACTCACTCGCGCCACTGCCGGCGGAAGAGTCTCCGCTAGAGGGCGCTCTGGAGAGTATTTTGTTCAACTCTTGCACGCCGACCAGATATCTCGCGACATTGTCTGTGGTCATCCTGAAGTAGTAATAATAATATATGAAAAATAAAAATAGGTTTTACCCTTTCTGGCAATAAAACAGGAGTTAAGATGTTCAAACACCAGATAGATAGTTTTGCAAGGTATCAAGTCTGCATTAACCACACGTACTTGTGGCAAAACATGCAAACGAACACGTGGCTCTGATAATTTACACATTGTCTTTGAAACCGATTGGCCTACACCAGAGACAACAGCCTTCTTTAGGGCCTAGTCTCACCAGTGTCAGACTAGAGAACGCCAAAAGGCAACAGTACAGAGACAATGCCCATATCAGAGCATTCATAGGTCAGGTTGAGCAGTATCTATGGGACCGTTGTGCCAGTATCAAATTACGAAAAATAAGAATAAGTTATGGGAGATATTAGTAATGTGCCTGGGGATATGTTAGTAATGTTGAATTCAGCTCATCGTCAGCAATTAACTCAGCCCATCATCCCTCTGGGAGGGGTTAATAAAATAAGTGCCACGTTGTGGGAAGTCAACGGCGATTTTCCTATGGAATCAGAATCTTAATTTATTACTGGAGGAATCCGATGAGCTATGAAGCTCTTTTTCACAGATTTCAAGTCAGGGCACGGGGTCAGAACGTTACAACAACAAACAATAAAACAAACACGATAGGAGTGCAAAGCACAAGAAAGGTTTTACAAAACGCCCAAACACTACAAATACAACACTAAACCATCCCCATCCTACCAGACAAAGCCCATAGGACTATGGAGGAATGTCCATCAATGGTTCAGGGCTTTAAGAATGAGATGAGCGGCCTCGCCGTAACTCTCGCGGGCATGGAAAACTACTTGGCCTTTGGACCTCCCTTTGCTGTAAGCGCAGAGCTCACGTCGTGCGCACGAACACGTGACGCAGCCCTGCCCGCTCGCGCTCGTCTCGCGTGGGATCTCGCTCACTGCCAAAGATGATCCAGAAGGAGAAGAAGAAGGGGATGAAAAACTGCGCCGAGAGGAAGATGAACTTGAAGGTGCAGCGCACGATCTTGCCCAGCATCACCACGAAGGGGCCCAAGAAGCTGCAGTGTAAAAAGTCACAATTAGTGGCACTCGTGGGTGGGCAGGCGGGTGAGCAGACGGGTAGGCGAGAGGGTGGGCGGTTAGGTGATTGGGTTGGTGGGTGGGCGAGTTGGTGGGTGGGTGTGTGGGCGGGTGGGTGTGTGGGCAGGTGGGTGGGCTGGTGGGTGGGTTGGTGAGTTGGCGGGTGGTTAGTTGGTTAGGTGAGCGGGTGGGTGTGTGGGTGGGCAGGTGGGTGAGTAGGCAGGCAGGTGGGTTGGTGAGTTGGTGGGTGGTTGGTTGGTTAGGTGAGCGGGTGGGTGTGTGGGTGGGCAGGTGGGTGAGTGGGCAGGCAGGTGGTTTGGCGAGTTGGTGGGTGGTTGGTTGTTGGTTAGGTGGGTGGGTGAGTGGGCCCGGTGGACGGGGGGGTGGGCAGGCAGGTGGATACATGGGCAGGTATATCGGTACGTGGTTAGGCAATTAGGCAGGCAGATGAGCGGGCATGGGTTTGGCGGCGGAGAGGCTTGAGACCTGAATGCACGCATGTGCTTGAGGTTGCTCAGCCAGAGCGGGACGAGGGCGACAGCAGCCACACGCACGTGCAGCAGCGCCACCGCGTCGCCCGGGCGGATCGCGTGCACTGCATGCACCACCAGCAGCGCCAGCAGCAGCAGGTTCACCAGCCAGTCATGTATGTTCCTGCCAGCGTGCACACGAAGACAAAGATCCTCCCCCCCGGTAGCCTACATCTGGTGTTCGCGAGCACCTGTGAAGGCCGGCACGGCGCATCCGAGAGCGGTGTGGCCAGTGGGACGCCCGGGCCGCCTTCGTCTCCCCAGTGGCGATGTCTACGAATCGCGCCGGGTACTCATTTGAGGCCGAGTCGAAATAGGGGGGAAGCCCAGGATTGTGTCAGATATTTTACGCCGTTAGAAGTGAGCGGGAATTGAATGCGCACGCATGCACACGCTTACGTGCACAGACTCAGGCACACAGAACCCTTTACAGCACAGCAGGGGTTGCACGTTTCCATGCATACTGGGATGAGATTGCCGCACGACAGTTAAATTGATGTGTTTTACCTTGTGGAGCTGGAATTTAGATCAATTATGCATGTATGTTGAACTTCTTTCACACCGTACATAGCCAACGTTGCTAGTCGAAGCTACGTTCGTGTGATTCGCTTGCGCAGCCGCTGGTGACCGGCCTGCGACCAGCAACTCGCCGCACTCGGTTTAATCGCGGGTGGCTGCTGTGACCTGGATTTAAACCCAGGGGCCTCAGTGGTACCACCTTAGTGCTGTGACCCGAGCCAGCGGGCCACCTCAGAAGAGACTGTCACTGTAAATGTTATGGGTCACTTTAGTTTAGGAGTGTGTTCCTTTGCATTATAACGGGCCTTGGGCGGCGCTCATTGTTTATGGTGGCTACGCTGCTGCTGCACGTGGCTACCGCCTGTAATCCAGCACTGTGGAGGCAGCAGCAAGGGGCTGGTGGATCACCGCACACACAACACAGAGACGTTGCAAAACCCCTTCCCGTGGGCTTCGAGGAGGTGCCATGCCCTGGCTTGCCAGAAGGCAGTATAGCGAGTGGACTAATAGCTATCTGTTTCCATCTGTACGGGGATAGAGCGTTGCTCGCCTCCCCCCCCTTCCTCGCTCGTTTGGGTTTTCCTCTTAAGTGTACAATGAACGCTTATCGTTCATTTGCTGAAAAATAAATATGAAAAATTCAACCCTGTGTGCAAGACCCATCCGAAAAAAAGAGTTCCTACAACTCAGTGTGGCTTTCCTGGATAGGTAAATAAGTAAACTTGTTACGAATTATTATTTAGTGGTTCACAAGCGAGTGGTGGATATTTTTGGTGCCTACAGCAGGATCACAGGAAAGTGTCAGAGAAAGACAATGAGTTGTCAGGGGGGGGGGGGGGGTCTTACGAAAGTGTAAATTCTAAACCAAAGATTTAGCTATTACCCACTGCATTTGGCAGCATTTAAGACATGTCAAGGCATTGCAGATTGATTGCACTATTGATCCAATAGATGGTCACTAATGCCAGGACGTTTATTGTATCTGACAGCGTTTAGATGTGGTTATAAATAGGATATTGATTTTTTTTGGTTATTTGTCACTCAAACTCAAATGTTCGCTGACGGCAACAACAAAAACTCCCACGAACAAATTGTGAATCGGGGACGCTTGGGCACTCGACAATTGAAAGCACAAACGGTGTAAGATACATACCAATAATCATTCAAATAATATGATTTCACATTCCTGAGTTCTTCCATTTCCCTCCTGATGTAAACTTCTTCCTGAAATGAAAAAAGATATACACGCGCAATGCCAAACGCTGCACAATGATCTGATTCGGTCCACCATCCCCAAAGGATTGACAAATTAGGTCCCCGCTTTGCGAGATGTTAGCGGTAGTTGACTTATGAAACGACTTGACCCTGCCATAGGCAATGTGGAATTTCCACTTCTGGCTGCGGGTCACCGCACACACGCACGCTCATTTGAGTATGGAGACCCTGTAACTCAGCTTTTAAATGTTTTCCCACCAAATTATTCCGATAGTTTATCACTGGCATGGTGGAATGAGATGAAGGATTTGGAAACCTCAGGTGAATTTCGGGTGAATTGGTGACAGGAAATCAACAAGGGGCATTTATTATTTATTTCACTTCTCCCTTTGACCAGGTGAATACACGTCACACCCAGGGCCGGATTCAGGTTATGAGGGGCCTAATGCGAATGAGATGTGAAGATCTTGAGTACATATTACATATTCTTGGTTCTTTTGGTAAAGTCACGTAGAACAGAAACAATAAAATAAAAAATATATAAAATATAACACAATATTTTTTTATTATTTTATTGTTTCCCTTCTACGTGACTTTACCGAAAGAACCAAGAATATGAATCCCTGCAGTCACGAAAGCTTTAAATCAATACATATTACATATTATTGCAAAACTTTTTTTTAAGTCATCCAAAGTGTATTTATTTACCGGTGCAAAATTAACACATTTATTTAACTCAAGGTAAACCCATCAAACATAAATCACTCGCGACATTAATTTCTTCGAACTAATTTTGTTTCCAGCTTTAGCCATCACGAACGCTGTCATTGTCATTCAAGGACAAACTTTTTGACGATGGCTGCGCCACCGTCGCTCCGCTGTACCTTCAACGTGGAAACGAGGGCCTAAATGAGGGCCTATGAAAAAAACGAGGGCCTTATTAATCCGGTACCTGGTCACACCCACAGCAGCAACATGACAGACCTGGGGCCACTCGGGGTGGCAGAAGCGCAGATCTTCCTCCAGGGCGCGCTGGCATCTGCAGCGCCAGCGAGCCAGCCGAGCCCGGGACTTGCAGAAGTCCAAGATTTCGCGCACCACCTTGTAGAGCAGCCACACCCCGCACACCGTCAGCAGCACCCACTTCCACGCGTCCTGCGAGTCCAACGGGATGCAGACATCCGGTGCAGTCATCGTGAATGCTGAGGTCAGGCAGAGATCGTCATCTCAGTACACGTGAGAATGTGGTTTATTTATGGGTAGCTGCAAGCTGGATTCAAACTCAGGATCTCAGTTGTACTGGCTCAGTGCTGTGACACAGTCGGAAGAGTTTAAATCCCAGGAAGGAGTTACAGTCCATTCACATTTTAAATTGTAATAGCGAATCATTCCTCGACCTATATGAGCCTTACCAAGTTTTACCTGGGGTCATGGCTTATTTAGTATCCTTTACGTGACCAGGAGATTAAATAATCTCATTGAGACACATGGAACTTCATTCAAACTAAACTTTTTTTTATTTTGCCAGGTAAAGCCTACTGAGCAATGAAGCAATTTTTCAGAAGCGATCTGGCCACAAATGATAGCTCAACAAAGTGGCTTGGCACGTGGAAATGTATAGTAGCCCAAATACTCTAAATGCATGTTTCTAAACGTGGAGGGAAAAACCGGAGGACCCAGAGAAACATCCACACGACCACGGGAAGAGAGATATGCAAACTCCAAATATACAGGCATCAGGGTCGGGATCGAACCCATGACCTCCTGTATACCAGGCGAGGTAGTTAACATCTCGCCACCTTGGCGCCCACTAGGCGCCACGGTGCAGCGAGGGCGACATGGGTTCCATCAAATCTGTTTAAATACAGATAAATTTTTGTCTTGTGGGTTAGGCCACGTGGTGGTAGTGGTGGTTTATGGTGAAATTCTCGTCAATAACCCTCTACCTCCCGACAAGATTGTCACGCTTACGAAGGATGTTGTTCAAAGATGTTTTAAGTATGCTGAATATTTTTTTTTAAGATGCAACACATGCAGACGAGGGTTATTTTGGGAAACTGGGATATTTGGCCAGTTCAATTATTGATGGCGTGTGTGTAGAAGCTAGAGTGCAGTATCTTAATATAACCCACTCATATGTGGGATAACACTGACAGCTCTGCATAGATAGATTTAATCCATTGCCATCTCCTTAAGAAAGATATTGTTTCTCCAGGCCTGCGGTAGTGTCTCATTCTCTCCCTGGTTGGGTTGTCGAGAAGTGACGTGCGTCACAGCTTGCCTTGCTGGACTCGGGAGCGATGTGGGGGCTCCTCAGGGGAAGAGACAGGCACAGCACGGTCCAAAGTGAGATGTAAACAAAGTCCAACGCCAGGTGGAACCAGGTCGCTGCACTGCAGGACAGGACGACAGAGGCGCGCGGCGACAGAGGCAAGCCGGTAAATGGAGCGCTCGCGTGAAGCGCCGGCCAACATCAAACGATGGCACGGTGCCGGAAGGCAGAGGCGACAGCATCGGCGTTTTGAGTGAAGAAATGTGAAGGTGAATGAGTAAATATTTTACTGTCGTTTGTCTCCCCCGCTTTGGAGATAAAATGCGATGAGTCCGTCAGCCGATTGGCTTTCTGGATAGAAATTATCCAGCAGCAAAATCGGTTTAACAGGAAAACTCTCAAGACTGCGTCGACCATCAGGATCTCATCAGCAGTCAGGCCTATTAAACAGATACTGCCGGGCTGCGAGTTTGTTATTGGCAAGAACACTACGTGGACCAGACGGCCACGTTCATCGCCAAAAGCATCAATCAGTATTATGATGCCGGGTACTTTACAACACAAAGTTATGTTAAAAAATTAAGTGTCTAAATGTGCCCACATCTCAAGGCAAAGTACCAATAGGAAGGCATGCACAAATACATCTTAGAAGGGAGTAGGAATTGTTTATTATTTTTATAAATAAATATATTTTTGCTGGCAGACGGCAGCTGCGTCGCAGAGCACAATATCAGATGGACACAGTGTAAGGGAGTGGCTGCGGCCACTCAATGTGCTGCATCTGCTCTTATGTACGCAGAGAACTTCAAGATGATGTAAAACAATTATTGGATACATGGGATGGTGCTCATCTATTTGCTAGCACTGAGCCAAGTATGGAAATACCACATTCCTATGGCAGGGGCAAGTCTATCCACAAAGTGGTATTCAGTTTTATCAACTCCCCCCCCTCCCCCCGGCGAGATGTAACGCCGAGTCGACCTGCGACCGGGGATTTGAGCTCGTGACGCTCCAAATGCGATCTGCGACGCTCCGCGCCTGCGTCCGCCTAGCCAGATCGTGAAGATCGACCGACAAAATTACTGATTTTGCTTTCACGGCCGCAATAAACGCTACGGTGACTACACGGCGCACGTTACCGTCACGTTTCAACTCGGCGATGAAACACCGGGGGGGCCCCACCTACCCTCGCGGCAAAGTTTGGCCCACAATCGTGGCCGCCACAAATCTAAAAGTAATTCCGAGTTTGGTTGAGAGCAGGGGGTGGGTGGGGTGGTGAGGAAATGAGAACATGTGTTTTGTTAGAAACAGGGCCTTTGCATTGCTCTTACTATCCATAGCTGTTCCACTTCAAGTCTATGAACTTCTTGACCAAGGGGTGTTTAATGACGTCAAACAGTTGGTTCGAGACGATGAGCTTCAGCTGAAAAGAAGGGACAAAAAAAAGAAATCGGCACACCCTAGGCCAATGTCATATTTCTCAAACAGCGCAGTTCCTCAGGTCAAATTTTACATGCGGAGTCAGAGTGTGCTCATTACTGCCTCCGCTCACCGGGGTTCTGTACGTCTCCGTGTGTTCTGAAAGAAGACAAATGCAAAGATGTCGGGAACGTTGCCAACGGTTTTGGGAGCATTACCGCGCCGGCGTCTTTTTTCGCTATTGTGCGGCGTAGATATCCGATGTGTCGTCTGCGTGCCGTTTGGCAAGATGTGCTCCCCGGAACTGAATTCAAGCTTCCCGAAAACACTCACGCGAGAGCTGTACACGGTTTTATGAGCTCCCGCGTAAATAATTGCGAGACCATATGACAGGCGTTGTCGGCTGTAGACTTCAGGGTTACAAGGTGGACAGCAGAGGGTGCGATTCAACAAAATCCATAGTAATTGTACAGTACTTCTGTGCTCCTATGTCTATAGTCCCAGCCTTCACCAATCCAAACCGACCAGTGTTGTGAAATTTGGTTAAATTGCCCCCATGATGTACACGGTGTTGGGAGGCCCTCATCCAGCGGTGGATTGACAAGGAGCCCTCCACAAATGGTAAAGACTTATAGGGGTCGTCCCTTTGGGATCGATAAAACGAGTACCGCACTGTGGGAAGGCAACAACGTATGGCGCGAAAGAGGTTCAACGTACATAATTAAAAATACAATGTCCATCCCGTGGATACACTGATCCGTCGAGTGAATACAGAATTTACAGAATTTCCACCACTGATTCGGGATCAATACTGGATATACAGTAACTGCCATTGCGCATTGCTCATTTAGGCAGAGAGAGACATTTTTTCACTGGACTTTGCTAAGAACTGACAATCAACGTCCGTGGGCAATCGAAAAAATGCTTACGAAACATTTTACAAATTAATCTGGATGTAGTTCAAGGCCTATGAGACTTATTTCCTAAAATAAGCATACTGTAAATTTTGATTTAAAGCTTTCGTGACTGCAGTAATTCATATTCTTAGCTCTTTCGGTGAAGTCACGTTGAAGGGACTTTACCGAAAGAGCTAAGAATAAGCATACTGTAATTCCACGAAACAAAATTGTGTCCAAAAAGTAAGTTGTCTTTTGAGCAAGAATCCATTCCAGTGCACAGAACGATCGATCCATTACAGAGTCTTACAGATTTTCCCTCTAATTGAACACTGAACAATGGGTGAGGACAGAGCGGTGCAACTATGGAGTGTGCAGACGGTGCGACTGCACCGGGGTACATGGGCTGGGTGCATGCCAACCACGCGGCGCTACTGACGACATAAATATCTGACACGGTGTGCTTTTGTGTTTATTTATTCAGAAAATTGGACTTTTCCAAGTCTGAATGACTTCATTTAAATTCCGAATGTAGGTGTGTACGTTGAGCCTGTTTCGCACCGCACGCAGCCAACCGTGCTAATCGGAGGGTGCTCTCATAATCCACGCCCAGTGCAGGGTATTCACAAATTCCCACAGCGGATCAACGTGTCCCACGGACCAGAGTATTGTGACACTCCCCTCGACTGCCAGGGGTTTATATTTAGAGGTGTTTGAATAGCGTGTACAGTGCGCACAGCAGCGTGGTGGAATGCCTGAATGTATTAAATGTTCCCCGTTTCAAGCAATGCAAACAGGTGTTGCATTGCTCTCAGGGTGACGGAGTGGGAGAGAGAGGATGGGAGGGGGAAGGGTGGATGGGACAGGCCAATGTATGTAGAAGCGACTTCAGATAATATATACATACCGCCTCAGAGTGAATTACCGTGTCTTATCTCATCGGTTCTCGCAAGCTAAGCAAGATCCGAGCCTGATCAGTAATTGAACAAAAACTAAGCAATTTATTTTTTATTTTACCAGGTAAAGCTCACTGAGCTATGTAGTTCCTTTTTTCAGAAGCGGCCTGGCCACAAATAACATCTCAACGAGGTGGCTTATCACGTGTAAAGTTATAGCAGCCAAATACTCTAAACGCATGTTTCTAAATGTGGAGGGAAAAACCAGAGGACCCCGAGAAAAATCCACGCGACCACGTGGAGAGAGACACGCAAACTCCAAATATACAGCAGCAGGCATCAGGGTCGGGATCGAACCCGCGACCTCCTGCATACCAAACGTTGGGAGTTAACATCTCCTAGCCACCGTGGCGCAATTGGATGGGTGACCACCAATGCATGCCAGGTGTTGTAGGTGCGAGCCTGTAGGATCCAAAGCAGGTGTTTTTGAATGAGTGAAAGTTGCAGCGTAGTGCATGTTGGCCAAAATGTTTATCGGTCACAAACATAACCACTATTAGCACGGCTGGCTACATGCGAAAGAAGTTCAACACATTCTAAATAAAACAAATCACGTCGTGATTTGTTTTATTTTATTTCTAACTATGTGACTCTACGGAAAGAACCAAAGAGTATGGATTCCTGCAGTCACGAAAGCTTCAAATCAAGTTCAACACACATACAGAGCTTAGTACTGTAACACAAGGCCAACAGCGGCTTACGTAGCAATACCTGCGTTCGGCTTTGGCTCCAGGCATGTCAGGTTGAAGCATTGGTGCCGGCGAATGGGGTCAGAGTGATAGAACCGACCTAAAGCCTTATAAGCCTGGAAGCGGGGAGACGGGGATGGGGAGATTGAATGAGTGTGCATGCGCGGTGTATCACAAAAACCCTGGGCATGCTTCGCAACGCATGGGCTCGACTTAAAGTAAGCGTTCACGGTTCGCGTTCACACACGGGGGATTGCACGTCTCCTGGCGGTTGGCGACTATATTCCCATGACTAATATTCGATGCCGCCGTGCGATATATCCGACCGACGGAGGGGGGCATGATCGCTGGGTTACCCGTGTGTGCGTGGGTGTTTTCTGGCACGTCTCTCTCTCTTTTTTTGTGTGGATCTCAGCCCCCCCACCCCCCCCCCTCCTCTCCCCCCTAGCAAAGGTCAATTGGGTTCATCTCCCAGATTTATTTTGTCACGACTCCACGAGATGAAACGTCTCCCCCGTTTCCTGAAGCCTGAGTGCCAATCGGATCAACGCTGTAACAACAACATAACTAATATTGTCGGTGACTTGACCATAAAAACACCACAGAGTCGGACCATTCAATATATTTTGGGGGAAACTCCACCAGTGGCTTTGGTCCGTCCTGTTGTTTAATGTGGCCGAACTCATCAACTGGAATTCGGAAACGTCTTCAAGCTGTCTTTTTTAATTAAACTGGGTTCTCAAGTGTAGTAAGTTGATGGCTTCGGTCCAGACAGCAATGGTTGCAAACAAAAAAAAAACACCCCTACACATTAAATTTGGTTCTGCTCTTAATTTTGCTAAAATCTGCTAAATTGCAGCTCTGTGAATCTGCAAAATATCAGTTCGAATGGCATGCGACAAATATTACGCTGTGCGATAGGGCACGTGGGAAAGTCCTGTAGACCAAAGGTAACTTAAAGGGATCTCAGTGGTGTCTGCTCCCATGGGCCATTCTCAAACACGGGGTTGGGGTGGGGGGGGATGCACTGCTCTCCGAGAGAACCAAATGGGTCCTTTGTCTCACAATGTGCACCGACAGTATAATCCGAATAACATTGGGGGGAAAAGGAGAAAAATATTAAATTCAAAGGGTTTTTTTTTCTCTACAATAAGACGGTTGCAGAAGAAAGCTCACCACGGGGGGCATCTTCAGCAGAATAAGTGAGAGGCACGATTGGCCCAAGTCATCCTCTGCACTCGAGTCGGCCCCCAGGTCGAGAAGCAACTGGGCCGTTTCGCTGTGGCCTGAGCACGGAGGGACGAGAAAGGGCAGCAGGCCACTCGCACACGGCGCATTTCACACGGCGGCGTGTCCCACCACGGTGGCATCGCCTCCTCGGGGCACGTGACGCGGGCCCAGCCGCGGCGCGTTCGCCACTCGTTGCAGAGGTTCACCGTTCCAATTCCGACGGGCCGCTGCCACCCCCTTGGTTTTTTAAGTGGTGTGTATTAACAATAACACACTCGGTCCCATTTTGAAAAAAACTGCCCTTAAATTACGGAGCAAGGCATCGCCCCTGCTGTGGAAAACATGGCAGGACCATCCTGATAACAAGCCATGAGAGTCAGTGAAGCTTTTCTGGGCAAAGGGCATTCATTTATTTTATTACTCTGTACATATATACATACACATGTACGTTATTACTTATAGTCTAACGTTCTCCACCATGACCCTGTTTTTCAACAACGATTATTAGATGGGCGCCAACTGCCTTTTAACTCAATGCCTCCCAGCCACGGTTCCTTTCAACACTGAAATTTCTTTTTCACATTGAACATCATCGTAATGAGAACGGTGAGGCCTTTATTCTCAGCAAGGCGTTTCTCATTTAAGTATTTCAATCGTTCTAAATTATAATATACATGTATATATTTAAAGGAAAGTATATGATTTGACATTACTTGAACATCTGCGATTTGCTGCGTGTTATTAAGATGATCAATTAATACAGCACTATATTAAACAAAACCCACCAACTATATGAGTTAATATGCAATTTATTAACTATTTAAGGTAAGCCGGATTTAAGCCTGGTGAGTACATGGATGCGAGACTGACTGGGATTACTGTGGACCGTTGGCTCGGCCTGCTACGTGGCCAGGAGATGACCCTGGATAATTATATCAAATACCATCTGTGTGAAACATCACATGTTCCCTAAAATGCAAAAGGTTTTTTTTTTGGGTACATTTTTTGTCTCCTTCCACACGCAAAACACTCACGAACGGAACCCTTCCTGAAAAAAAAAACATCCTTGAGACCCAGTACGGATTTCCTGGGTAAATAAAAGGCATTATTATCCCTCCATTTAAGAACGAAACAAGAGGATTTCTCCACAAATCTGGCTGTCGCCTGATGAGGCTGGTTGTTGTAATTACCGGCGAATTGTAAACGTTGTAGTGGGTTTACGCACAAATGATTAGTACTGAACTAGTAACTAATTGGCATGTTTTGCCTACGTGACAAACCTTACTAATTGGCTGTGTCGGGTGGTGGCGGGTTTAACGACACATTTATATTTACGTGATCTACCCCAAAAAAAAACCTCTTATGGATAATATTGCTCACGAAAGCCTACGTGTTGAACCAAACGGCATTATTATTCACAGTAAAGGCAACAGAGTTTAAAGTGCAACCTTCAACCTTAAGTGACTCAATCTCTCTATACCATCGCTGTATTCTGAATGAGATCCATTGCCTGAAACGTTAGACCACTATATATCTTTCTACTGAAAGGCAGTGTTAATGACGAACCTTGTGAGTTTATTTAAATGTGTTTGTTATTGAACGTGTGCAGTATATGTGCATGTGCCATGCATGAAGACAATAAAGGTGGAGCAGTGGTGCAGCGATTAGCGAGCACTGTGCCATGAACTTGATGACCTGAGTTCGATTCCCATCAATGGCTAACATCAGTGGCGAGTGATATCTGAAACGATCATAGGCTCCCCTTCCTAAACCCACACTGACCAGCGTGGTGAAATATGGTCAAACAACCCTCATGAGCGACGTGGCCTTCATTCTAGATTAAATCTAGCTTGAAAACACATTTCTTGAGAACTGCCTTTTGTGTTTAGATTGTTGTCGTTCCCCCCGCTCCTCCGACTAGCACGGTTGGCTACGTACGGTGCGAAAGAAGTTCAACATGCGTACATACATTCAAGCAGTGGATTGACATCTGCATTATTTATTAAGCGTGCACAAGGGTGCCGCATAATAGCCATCGACAGAATTCCATTTCATTAAAGCTGAGGAGTAGGGCCATGGGTGAGCGTGCAAGAAATTAGTTGTGCCAACATGGCATGATGTTATCTCAGGCGGGTGTTTTCACATTCGCAGTGTTTCCTCCTAAACTGTGAGTGCTGTACCACGCACTCTCGGTAAAAAAGAAAAACAGTGTTCTTTGCCAACACTGTTCTTGAAATGAATACCTATTTCGGACGTGTGTTATTTTTGAGTAACAAGATATTGCGTTCGTCCGTAACTCTCAACCCATCAGCATGTCTGTTTTGTACAAATTCTGTTATGTCAAAGTGCCAAGACGCTATCTTTGTGAACGTTTGGTGGATAACCACATTTACTAAGGATTAAGAGGGGTGTGGTGTGGTTCATTGTACGCAATCAGAAGATGTCAATTCTTTGTGGTGGCTCTTTGTTTCCGAGTAGTGATGATATATTTCCCCAGCGATTTCATGGATTGCCACAATTAGGAATTGTAATTCAGTTGAAGAATCAAACCTTTTTTCCCAGAGTCCTTGCCTATAAACATCAGGCAGTTCAACAGGATCGGTTGAAGCAAGCCTGACTCTGCTGATGAGACACTATAAGTCGAAACCAATCCAGAGTTTTGTGTTGAACAAAATGCTGCTGAAATAGTGACGCGCTCAAAGAAGGCTGTGTGGCTCATGGGATGTGTAAAATATACTTTTACAGGGATAGATACGTGAAGGAGGTGTATTGTCTGCTCAATTTTTTAGTTTTTACGATCTTTTTTGGATCGTTGATACATTTTCATCAAATCTGTAGTGTTATTTGGTAAACAGCTGGAATGCTGCAGGGCGTCTGCAAATGTACTTTATGGGAGGTGCAGTATTAACAACCAACACCATGACCATAAACGCCTTGAGACCATTAACATTATGAGACCTCAACACCATGGCCCTAAACACCATGAGACCATCAACACCTTGACCATAAATACCATGAGACCATCAACACCATGAGACCATCAATGCCACGAGACCATCACCACCATGAGCCAATCAACACCAAGGTGTACCTCACCAGCAGTGTGTGTGTGTATTTCATACCATGCAGCACGGCCATGTGTAGAGGCGTGCGGCCCTGGCGGTCTCTGGCGTGCACGTCCGCCCCGTGCAATTCCATGGCCTTCACCGCGGCAGTCGCGCCGCGCTTTGCCGCGTGGTGCAAGGGCGTCTGCAGCTCTCCCGTCGTCCTCGCCTCCACGCTGGCTGCATCGATGACGACATTCGAGACTTCAGTAACGGCAGCAATAATGACAACGCGTAACGTGCGGGGCCCTTCTGACGATCCACTGCTGGATGAGGGTCTCTCCCCAGGCCACGTGGCACGTGGTGGTTATATATCACGCCGGTCAGTGCGGGTTGATGAAGAGGTGGGGGGGAAGCACAAAAGTACAGGAGTATTGTCATGGATAGAGAACGTCTTTGCATTATGGTGGGACCTGATATTGTCATTCAGACCTGGATTAAAGTCATTTTGTGTGCTTCAGTAAGGACTGTTTTATGGGTCCCTTCCTTGTTTTGCGGTTTACTCTTTAAAATGCAAATGTCTGGAGGATTAAGACATTTGAAATTCTGGCTATGACACTATTATACAATAAGCTGCATTTGGAAAAAAGATACAGCAAGGCCTTCGTCACGCACACATCTATTTTATAAATAAAAAATAGACCCTGTGGTATGTACAACAAAGCAGAGCAAACGGGTTTACAGAGGCGTTGCTTATCGCTGCACTGCCTCTGGCAAAAAAACAAACTGTTAAGAGCTGTGGTGGCATCATCATCATCACCGCGATACATGGGCAGGTAACCCGCAGTAGGTGTCCTCTGCACATTTAGTAATTTGTTGTTTCTACTTTCCTCTTTCTTGTGCTAATGAGCTCAAGTAGTGGCCTCATATTTCTGGCCCCAATCTCCCGTGATGTCGTCGTCGTCAAGCCGTTCTCTGTTAAGTCTTTCTCTCTCCGGTTCCTTCCATTTTTCCGAACAACAACAACACGCTTTTAATATTCCTGTTGTTGTCCATGCGACATGTGGTGTCCAAATCGTGCCAGTTTCCTGCTCATCACTGCCTCTGCATCATCATCATCATCAAGCCGTCTTCTTCTATGTGCAACCGTTTTCTTACTTCTACGTTGGTCACTCTTTGGGTCCAGTTTAGATGCAGTATCCTTCTATAGCAATATATTTATAATTCCAATAACTTACCTGCTGCGGCAGATGCCTGGAATCCATAGTTTTGAAGGAAAGGCTTGGTGGATGACGTGGATTTGTGAACCTCCAGAATCCTCTGGGTTGTAAGGTGACCAGGAGATCCAGTGTCAGTAAATGAGTTCACGTAGCTTTTCGTGATATTTCCTCAAAGATTGGGGATTTGCTCCGAGTACTCTGGTTTCATCCGTGATACAAAGTGCTCATTCAAATTGGAAACAGCTAAACATCCCCAATGTAAGCCGCTCTTGAAAAAAAAAGTCTTGACACAAACTGACGTTTTACCCTGGTATATAAATGATAATTCACTATGTAACACGATTTTTGCCCCTGGGTAGTAAGTGTTATTATTTATTTCCTTATGCCTAAAAAGTATAGAAAATGGCGATTATTCCCCACAAACTTTGCTTTTGTGACCAGGACTTTAAGTGAAGGAATGACACAAATGCACACGTTTTCTCATTGAAAATAGGTAAATGAAAAAAATATCACTGCCCTGGTCACAAAAGCAGAGTTTGTGGGGAATAATAGCAATTTTCTGTACTTTTGAGGCATAAGCAATTAGGAAATAACACTTACTACCCCTGAACAATTTTTTTGTTACAGAGTGTAATGCTACAACAGTGGGTGGCGCTATGGCAGAGTGGGTGCCACGGTGGCCAGATGTTAGCTGCCTCGCCTGGTATACAGGAGGTCGTGTGTTTTATCCCAACCCTGATGCCTGTATATTTAGAGCTTGCCTGTTCTCTGCGTGGTCGCATCGATTTTTTTCTCCCGGTCCTCCAGTTTTCCCCCGCCACATTTATAAACATGCGTTTTATAGTATTTGGCTGTTATAAATGGCCACGCGATAAGCCACTTCGTTGAGCTGTCATTTGTGGGCAGGTCGCTTCTAAAAAAGAGCTATATAGCTCAGTGGGCCTTACCTGATAAAATAAAAAAAATAGTTTATAGTTTTAGAGTGGTTAGCTACAAACCTTGTAACCTGACATCACTCGGGTGCGAGTTATGTCCACTGAATACCAACGTGCACTGCACAGAGTGATGAACTACGGCCCAACAACTCCCATTATGGGCACGGCGTAGGGAGGCCTTAATCCAGCAGTGGATTGACAAAAGGAGGGAAATTACGACCGTATTCGTCAGTGGTTCCTCGAGCATGGGGGATGGCATGTCTTCCACAGTCGGTGGAATCGTCAACACGTCAGGAGATGGACGAACTGCCTGACTTGAGATACACGTGCTCGATTGCAGGCACGGCAGGTGGCTCTGGAGGGAAGGAGTGGGCCCTGTTGATGTCGAACCGCTGCTCTTTCTTTTCATCTCTGCCGTCATGATCATGAATAAATAATACTCACATTTTATACAGCGTCATTCATGCTCATAGCATCCCAGAACGCTGTCCATTAATTATATATATATGAGGACCAACTCCCATATACAGCCAAGTAAATCAAAACCCTACTGCCAAGCAAAATAAAAAATGAATAAATAAATTAAGAAATGGCACCCAAATAAAAAGCACAAAAAACAAAAAAAGTTATCACAACATACGGCATTATTACTTTGCACTCTTATCGTGTTTGCATATTGTTTGTTGTTGTAACGTTCTGACCCCGTGAACCAACTGGACATCCGTGAAAGAGAGCTTTCTAGCTCATCGGATTCCTCCAGTATAAAGTAAATATTCTCATTTATAATTCTTGATTGAACGGTTGGGAGCTGGGCAAGCGGTGACGTTTGTGCGGTCCGCTGCGAGCCACCTACCACCGCTGTGCACCAGAACTCGCAGCACCTCCACACTGTTGGCAGTGGCCGCTACGTGCAGTGGCGTGCAGCCGAGAGCGTCAACCCCGTTGGCGTCCGCTCCCTTCGCCAGCAGAAACTCAGCAACCTTGGCGCTGTGAATGAGTGCGACCTGGCGGGCGGGAGAGGAATCAAGACGGGAGTTGGCGAGGGGTGGTGTGCGATGATGATGATGATGATGATAATCGCCGTGTCAGCTCCGGAAACGGCAAAACAAATTGTCGTGATTAGCAACAATGTCCGTTGGTAATGTGAACACAATGCTCTTGTTGTTTAATTGTGATGTTTTGCCCTTTTTAACCATGACATTCTCAGCGAGGCTCCAGACTTATTAACGAGGGTGCTGCTTAGGATGTTTGGCAAAAAATATTTAAGGTCGGGTAAGGTGGCGCACCATCAAATCACCAAGAATGTTCCAATCTCGTCCGATCTCAGAAGCTAAGCAGGGTTTTGGGCTTTGGTAGTGCTTGAATGGGCGACTACCATGCATAAGAACAAGTGTTATAGGCTGCTGTGAGGCCTGCATTGTGGGCAGCAGAGAGTCATGCAGCAAAACACACTGTTGTTCTCTATGCTCCCACATCTATGCACCCACCTTAACCAACTTGCATTGACCAGCATGGTGAAGTATGGTGAGATAACCCACGACCCGCAGAACATATGGAGGCCTTCATCCAGCAGTGGATTGACAAAAGGACTGTACAGGTGCATATTTTTAAGTCATGTTGCACTATGAAATGTTAATGAATGCGTGTTGCCAACCTGATGCAATGCAGTTTGACCATGTTCATGAGAGCAATTGATATCCGCTCCATCGTCCAGCATTTTCTCAAGAGCGAGCAAATCCAACTGTTAAAAATAAATATCTCGATTTAAAGTACAAAACTGAAAAATACTAATTATCCACGCATATGGTCAAGATGAAACCTTTGCTTGCATTTTATTGACAAAAGATTCAAACAAAATGTCAGATTCTTGGCATTGCAATGATAAGATAAGCGTAACGTTCAGAGACAGTGAAGTCACCCTTTTTAATAAACCGATATGAAATTAATCACGGAAAATACACATTGGCTATTTCAACAGCAGAAATATCACGACTAGGCGGCCGAGTGAGTATTAATTTGTTCAGCCGGCACATGACTAAACTGTTTACAGCATTTCATTATCCATTCACGTTGCAATTACACAAAAAGAGCACAACAAACAGGGCAACTGTGTGGACAGAGTAAACATTACTTGTCAACGAAAAGGGTAAAATACAACTGTCATATTTTCTGCCAGCTTTTTTAATAGACACATCAACTCCCCACAGTCCAGTGAAATATTATTTTTAAAAACAATACGAGACCGGAGCCCCGTATTGAAAACAAGGAGAGCCATCGCGGCAGTGTTGCTGGGTGTTCGTATATATATCGGGTGGCTCACGGTATAAATTATTTTATCCTATTGCTATTTTCTAGATGCGTATGCAGGAGAGTGTGGCATTTCTAGTTAAGAGGGTCAGTCGCGTCATCTTCATGTTTTATTTAATGTGTCAAGATTGGACTGCTGAGTCTGGGCGAATGCAGCAGTTTTTTTCTTCTTCAAGTCTTTAGGTCCTTAAATTAGTAATGGGTGGAGGGGGCACAATTTAAATAAAGCACATGCTGTAGTGAAATTAGCTGTCTTCACAACCTCAGCTCACTGCAATATAAGCAGACGGTCAACTGGCATCGATTGGGTTTGCTTTCCAGCATCAATTCTGGGAGCTTCAGCAGATCATAAAATGCCCTTGTCAAGGGTGATGATTGAATGCATCAGCCCACTGCACTTCTGGTCAACACAGTTTGGGCGGTTGGACATACCAGGGAGCTCTGCTGTGAGGCTCTCTCCGTTGTGTTTTCGGGTTTTGCCGCGTTGTTGTCCGGCTCAAAGTCCGACGTTTCGATCCGTGTGCTGGGAGCTTCTCCCTCCTCAGAGTGAACCTATTCCTCCCAGCACATGCAGCGAATCGTCAAGAGACTACGCCAAACAACACGCGGCACAGCCCGAAAACACATCAGAGAACTGTACACAGCACAACCGCGAGAACTTACATGTATGCTGAACTTCTTTCGCATCGTACGTAGCCAACTGTGCTAATCGGAGCTGCGCGGAAGGACAACAAACTAAACACAAAAAGCAGTTTTAAAGAAATTAGTTTTCAATCTAGATTTAAAAGCGCATAGCTCCAGTGGCTTTCTAATATCGGAAGGAAAAGCGTACCAGATGGCCGCAGAAGCACATCCAGAAAGCGCACGATGCAGTGACCGTCTTTGTTCAATGGCTAGCCAAAAGCCGCTGCGAAGATGACCGGAGTACAGCGTGATGGTTGACATAGCACGCAGAGTGAACGGCTAACCTTCTGCTCGGCAGGGTCTGTCTCTTGCTTCACGAACTCGGCAATAAATGCCCGATTGAGAGTTGGGTGCAGAGGAACGTTCTCAAATGTAGCCCTAACGGAGCCGATCTCGCCGAGTTCCATGATTCCTCCCCGCTGTTCTCCGTTGGCGATAAGCTTGAGTGTTACTGCCAGACACATGCACGCGGAGTACATCACATCAGATGATTAACATGAAAAGGGCAATTCCTGGCATTGCAATTTAGCCACGCAGCATTATTTATGCCTCGTTTACTACTGGCATATACGTATACCGCCGTTTTGATACTTATGCCGAGACGTGTTTATGCTTTGTCAGCGGAAAAGGTGGCCATCCTATATAGGAACCCCGATCACATACATATTGCGAGGCCTTCACCCAGTTGTAGATTAGCAAAGGGCTATAATTATTGTTTTATGTTAGTGTAAGAAATAATGCACGACTCTCCACACGAATCTTACGGCCTCAGATTGTTTTGCACCTGAAAAACAGACAAAGAAAGCCATTCGTGTAATAGTTTGAGCAATTGCTGACATTTGCAAATGGAAGAGTTCTGTATTTTAATAGTTAATCATATATTGCTGCGTTAATATTCGGTATATGGAGGGGGTTATTTTGCATCCCACCGAAAGGCATCTAAAAATGATTACTCTTCTAGACTTGGCGGAAGGCGGCAATGGTTTTGCTGAAACCATAATTTCTGAGCGGGAATATTGTCTGCAAATCCAGTAAAAGTGTAGCCATGAGGCACACGGCGAAAATAAAATGTCCCGTATGTTACATCCGTCGTTATATCACCACGCTTATTGGTGTCCACAGAGTATCCCACCTTTAACAAGCTCCATGCGGCCGGAAGATGATAGTTAACATCATCAAACGTGAGATTTCAGAATGAAAATGATGTCCATATCGCGAATAGGGCTGGCAGGGTGGTGGCAGTGGTAACACTTGTGCAGTGGTTCTTAACCTTTACTGCAGACTTGCAGCCCCCCCCCCCTTCCTTGGCTCTCCAATCGTTAAAAAAAATGTATGTTAATAAATACATAGAGGTTTGATGAAACAAAATAGTTGTACTTACGTGCCCGTGCTTCTAAAAACATCTGCCCATGTCTCGCACCCCCAGAAAGGGCACCTTTCAATTGTGGAGTCTGAATGTTCTCCCCCTTTTATGCGTGGATTTCCTTCTCCCATATATATAAAAAAAAACTCACCATAATCTGTAACTGGTATTGGCCCAAATATCTGGACTATTTTTACCTTAAAATAACTCTATTTGGATTACACACAGCAACGTGGCCTCCTAATGCACAACACTTGGCAGGAAACAATTGTCTTGAGACTCATGTGAGATGTTGCTGGGCAAACCGAGCGTAGTATTGATGTATTCACCCAGAACTTTTTATATTTTGCATCTGATATATATACGGATTAATGACAATTAACTGCCTTGAGTCGCAGCCTCGGCGGTAACACTTAAACGCAATCTCACGTGGATTTAATGATAGGGTTATTCGAATGAATTGAATGGTCTAAAACAACACACAAGAATCACGACAATACACAGGGAATACAAATCAGGTAGCTATCCTGATTATATAATATATATCTATTTTGAATGGTATAAGTGGGAAGGAGTGGAATATCGCTAGTATAGTATTGTATTTTAAATAGCGTAATGCTCAAGGGAATATTACCCAGTGATAGTACTGTATAGATTATATACACAAGGGCATCATTAGCAGTCTTTACTCCACAGTAGTATACTTAAACAATATATACCTGTGCAGAAAAGCAGCAACGTAGACTTTAAGGACTAAATAAATAACACACGAGGGACTGATCTTAGAGTACAGCAAGTAGGCATGGTATTGTAGTTAAACCGCACTTCAGTGCGCACGGAATAGCATTACCATACAGTAGTATACATAGACTGTATTTATAGTCTGAACCTTCTTGGCCAGTGTGGAAGAGTAGGCCAAAAACACCCTCATGTGGACGCTCTACCGTCGTCAGCAGTGGCCTGTGTGTAGGAAGTTGCAGGGCCGCGCTTTTAATTTTACAAACCTGTATCGCCACAGCGTTACTACATATTCTGCATTTATAAAACTGTCAAACATATTTCAAGCTAAGCCTGCATTAGACTTAACACAACAAAACACACACACACAACACACACTCAGCCCATGCTGCACGCACAGATAGACCCTACCTACTTTACATGCTATAACGCGAGGTGGACCCACCAACCAACTTGGGCAAACCGTACAAAGCACGCGTTGCGAGAATGCAGTCCCGTAAAAGACGTCGAGTCGGGATAGAAATTCTGTGACTAACAGACAAAAGACGCGAAAGAATACTCAAAGAGTCCACGTTAATTAGACTTCATTTCTAGACTGTACGCGCATCGAAGCGGCGCCCCGCCCCGCCGTGACCATCGGAGCCGCCTCGCTCCTCCCGCCTTCGACCGAGTCGTCTTAATCTCGGGTTTACACCAAGAGAGACGGGGGGAAAAAAGGGGCTTAGAGGCAACTGGAGGCGACAAGGTGAGTGAGGAGACTTCACACAAAGGTGGACGTTTGACGCGAGTGGCGTGCGTGCGTGTGTGTGTTTCGTTTACGGGTGACTAAAAGACGGGACCGGTCGAGGATGCCGCCGCCGCCGTCCCCCCCCCCCTCCAACACCACCACCACTGCCGGTCTCCGGTGCGACCTGACCGGCAGGGCTTGCAGGAAAGTCGTGAGGCTTCGCGCGCGCCGGTTTTGCGGCCTGCCGGATTCGCGGTCACTCTTTATTTTATCTTTATCGGTGGTCGCTGCTACCGATGGTTGATTAATGTTCGATTGTGATGATAACGCGGGGTGGGTGGCGGGGGGACGATTATGGTAACGATTGAGGGCGCTGTGTAAAAGTTGTGCAATGTGAGACGCGTTAAATCGGTGGCTTGATTTTTGAGATTAACATCTTTTCTGGTGTGTTAAGTAAATCGCAGCGGCAAAAAAGCCTCCCATTTCACTATAACGTGGGTTTCTCTCGAACGTCTCAAAATGTATTGAGAATTAAACTAACGCAATTGTGCAAATTAATTGGCAGCGCATCGCGGTGTCCACGTCGCCTGCGTTACACGTCCCTGGCACGGTGTTCCAACGTTTAATAGTTCGCGTTAAAATGTGACTTGGTTGAAGGTAATTCTTCCTTGTACACTCACTACCGTATTCACAACTTGCCACTCGGGACGAGTTGACTCTTGCTTTGTGTACTCTGCTGGTGTGTACTCTGCTGTGTTGTACTGTGTTTGCTTATAGCTGTGCAAGTAAGTGTATATACCAGCTTCATAATGAACCGTGTTCAACATATTACATCGCTAAAAACGTGCCCGCTTTAAATCGGAATCTTTAACTTGGCCTGATAGAAATCCGATGAGCTACTAAGCTTTTTTTGTTTTTGTTTACAGATATCCAGTAGAGGTATTATACATCCATGCGTCCCCACAAGATGTGTGTACTGCATGATTGTGTTCTGCACCGTGAGGTGTTATTCGTACTTCGTCTGTTATTGCGGAAGGTGCAAGCGTGCATTGCTTATATTGTATCAGTGTTTTGTAAGACTCACCTCATGGGCTGTGCACAGCTATTGTGCACACTTCTTACGCGCCGTGTTGTGTATTAGCAGCACTGTGCGTGCTGTGTTGTGTAACGTTCAATGTGTGTCCTGATGCAATAACTCTGCTGTATTTTGTGCACTCACTCCCCTGTGTATTTGTCTATTTCAAACTGCTTTATTGCGTCTAGTTTATCGTCCCCATCCCCACACCCTACGATGAGCACGGTTGGCTACGTACGGTGCGAAAGAAATTCAACATACAGTACGCGCGTGCGTGTGTACACTACTGTGTACAGTGTTTGTCAGTGCACGGAATTCACATGAACAAGGCGGACAGGAATGTGTGTGTGTGTGACCCGTTGTATCATACTCTGCCAAATGTATTATGAAACTGACGTGATTGCTGTTGCACATTTTTAGTGTGCGGAGAAATGTGCCACAGACTTTTGTGGAGTTAAATCTATGGGGGAGTTTGGGGGGGGGTATTTTTTTTTGCTCGAAATTCTCAATATCGTTTGGCATATTCTTGGTTAATATAGAATTGAAGCTTTCGTGACTGCATAAATTACTACACTCATTGTGTTTTTTTTCGGTAAAGTCACGTTATGTAGAAAATTATATTAAAATAATAATAATATTCTTGGTTCTTTCGGTAAAGTCACGTAGAACGGAAACAATAAAAAATTAATAAAAATTGTTTCCGTTCTACGTGACTTTACCGAAAAGGAAGCAAGAATAATGAATCCCGGCAAGTCACGAAAGCTTTAAATTAAACATTTTTGTTGGGCAGTTGAAGTTTAATGGGTGCCGTTATTTTGCGCGCAGCTTCGCGTGTCTTAAAATTGTTCAGCGGTGGCTTTTATATTGTTTAAAGTTCAGCGGCTTGTGTCGGCGTCGTCCTTTTGATGTTCTAATAAGCTGTTGCGAGACCCCCTTTAATAATTAACGCGCAGCGGGGGGAAGGAGGGCCCGTACAGTGTTGTAGTCATAGATAGTTTTTTTTACCACGCAAGGTCTAAAAACAGATGTTAAGTTCATTATTTAAGGCTGTGTGTGTGTGTAAAATATAAAATAATTCGTATCGATCCAGAACGGAAGCATCTGTCCATTGACTCGAGGCCGAGGGTAGATTTTCCGCAAATAGTTAAAATAATTAAAAGGAATTAACACCTCTGTATTTGTTGATAATTTAAGGGTTCCCTTTTAGCCGATACAGAGGAATCGCCGTGACCTTATTCTAAGATCCACTGCTTTGTTTACCCGGTGATGATGATTGCGTACATGCCCTTCGTCAAAGTCCACTGATGGACCAAGGCTTTCTTCCCCCATGCCCTGTCACTCGTGGGTTGTTGTTGTTGTTGGTCAGCAGTGGTCAATGCGGGTTGGTGAAGGGGGGTCAGCCGGCACGGGTTCAGATAACACCGCCGATGGTCTCTAGCCGTGGCAGTGAATCGACGAACCAAGCCAACAACGCGCCCCCATAATGGGAATCTTTACGCCGGACGAATCCAATGAGCTCTACAAAGCTAAATTTCTATTTAAAGCTTTCGTGACTGCAGGGATTCATCTTCTTGGTTCTTTCGGTAAAGTCACGAAAGAACCAAGAAGACTCTACAAAGCTCTTCATCACGGGTGGCCCCGTGACGAAATGGTTTGTAGTGTGGTCAAAATGTGGATTTAATAAAAATATATGTTGTGGTGGGGTACATTTGTGGGACTCCACGCTTGCAGCAGTCGACACACGCATTCACCTTTTATGGTATTTATACAAAAGATGCGTTGTCATTTATTCTCCTTCTGTAGTTGCAGATACGCATGACGTCTGCGTTGTTATCGTCCAACTCCGAACAAGGTGCCATGGCCCAAAATGTTTGTTCATTTTCCAATATATATTTGGCTGTTCCGCTTAACATGGACATTAGAGGGTGATCTTGTGCGCGTTCTTTACCACTCGACGTAGCCAAGCCCGCATGAGATTATGTCTGTGCACATATCGTCTGTCATTGCCAAAGTTGTGATGTCTTGGCAGGTGATAGCGTCCGTCGCTTAAACACGGTTGCATGCGTAAGTCCTTTCATCACCATTTGTGACTCGACCTAAAATGATGACCATGTTTTGGACTGACTAATTGCCCTAAATGGTCTTTCATCTGTCTAGCAGGTATGCTGGTGGATGTGATTAAAAAACTATTTGCTTGCCTTGACGCTAATTGTATTAATACCTAATGTATTACTCTACTGTACATACCCACTGCTTAATTTTGTGTGAGGATGTGTGTACGTGCTTGTTAATGAGCTGCCCCCTGTTGCCTTTTGTTCCGCTACCGGATTGAATTCAATAGTTGCCCGTTATGCAAGTGATTGAAGATGTTGTGCTGTGGGCTATCCTGGGGTTCTCTGTTTGAGTCCACACTCTTATGTGCAGCAATTGGCTCCCCCACCCTCCCTGCCCCACAAGTCTCCCTGTGGCTTGAAATAAGTGGCCAGCGCCTGAATGTAGCGGGAAAGAAATAAAGGCAGTTCTGTGTGCCACTCTCTGCCTTGACCTCTTGCATACGTCGTCATCCAAATGAACTTATGGCTTCATGGCAGCATTTACCAGTGCAAGCTTCAAAATCTTTCCGAGTGATGGCCTTTGTGTAATTACAGTAATAATTCACGGTTCTTTGTTCACAGACTGCTGGATAAAGGTCACTCTTCCCATGCCGTTACGGTCATGCGGCGTGATCGTGCTTTTCCATGCCAGCCCCGTGTCAGTTAGCAACGGAGGACGAGGCTCGGGGCTGGTTCGGATTCAGTAAAACCTTGGATTGCGAGCATAATTCGTTCCGGAAACGTGTTTGTAATCCAAAGCACTCGTATATCAAAGCACTCGTATATCAGTTGTGATCACGTGACGCTCGGCAGACAAAGCGTATACGTACTACTCGTATTGCAAGACCCTCGCTCGTTTATCAAATTAATATTTATTGAAAAATTTTCTCGTCTTGCAAAACACTCGCAGACCAATTTACTCGCAATCCAAGGTTTTCCTGTATATCTGTCGTCACAGATGTTCGTCCGTGGCTGGCAATCAAACTCGGGTTATCAGGCGTATTGTGTGCATTGTGCTTACCACTTTCCTATGTCTTTTACGTTTTCACACGTTGCATTACCCAGTAACGCGAACCTGCGAGCGTGTAGCTTGAAAATGAATCGAGTGGCATTTTGAATTCGCCGCAGGGCTCTGCCTGAGTACACTAGTAAACGTAGCATCAGGAAAAATCCTTGCATTATTTTCATTACACCATCAGCAGTCAAAATATAGCTTCGGCATAGTTCTTAAACAGCTCTTTTGATTGTTTTTTTTAAAGGCTTCTGTTATACGTAGCCTTATAATGCTTGATGGCAAGGATTTTGGGCACATTCGGATTTCAACCGCGTCCTTCTCTTGTTCTAATGGATTACTTTTTTCTTCCGACAGACAAATCGTGCAGAAGTTAGCAGCCCTGTGTAAAGCCTTTGTGGCACTTGCCTGGCTCTTATTGGATTGGCACGACATTTGAGCACGGCGCTGCTGCTGCTGGTTTTGGTGATGGTGGTGGTGGGGGTCGTTACACATAGAGCTTGACCTCTTCACTCGAGTTGGCACGAGTTTGTGATGAAAGAGCATTTCCTGGCACGTACTTTGGTGGCAATCCTGTTTGCCCTCCCCGCCCCGGCCAGTGTTTGTGCAGAAAACGTGGGGGTATGGGGGGGGGAATATTTTAAAGTGTTCGGTCTGTGCTGTGACTGACTGACAGTTATGTTTTCTGTCTATGTTTGTGTCGCCCGCCTGTTGTGTGTGGGCCGAATTTAATTTGCATGCATGTATTTGCGTCGATGGGGGTGGATTTGTGCTCGGTCGTTTTTGAATGCAAACAAAATGTGCAAAGAACTAAATGCATTTTTATCACATTGTGTGTGTGCAGCATGCTCCTCCTCTGATTGCGAGAGCTCGGCTTAAAACAGAGTTAGGATATACATTGTTTCTTTTGTCCTTAGTCAGCTAGTGTATCTGTTTTTTTAGAACTGTGCTATCCGTATAAGTAATTGAAATTCGTAAGTCTATACGTGTGCAAAAGCTGATTAAAAATGTAATACCGCATGGAGTATTACTTGATGAAATGATTCTCTATTGTGCTTACAGCCAGAAAAAGCAAACCCTTAAGTAGATTTTACACAATTGCAATCTAGGAAATATCTTTATTTCAATCTGCTTTAAGAAATTGTCCATTCTCTCCTGTAAACGGCAGTCTTTATGGTTGCAATCAGAATATAAAAGTTTTGGCAAGCTATATAATATTTTAAAAAAATTGCCATACATACATTGTGGTTTGACCGACAAATGCCAACGGTGCAATATTTTCGGAGCGTGCTTTGCAAAGTTGAATATCAAGGTGCACGTCGCCGATGGCGGGGCAGGAGCGATAACAGGCGGCACTGCGGGTTTAGATGCTCCCAGTGATGGATGGGTGCCATGGAATGCCGCGCTGTCTGGGAAATGAATCTCTAAGCCCCCAACATTTGAGGCAGCGGGCTCAGCCGTCCAAGTAGATGCGCGCACAGGAGCGCAAACCCGACCACCTGGATGGCACCATGGCTCAATCTACCCGAGCGTTTACTATCGCCATCTGAAGTCGCTTATCTGTTGATTTGCCAGTCGACGGGTCGTTATGTACAATACCGTTTTTGGGGGGTGGGGGGGGGTTCCCCTCTTCTCCCTTCTTCTCCCCTCTTCTCCCCTCTTCTACCGGTTGAATTCCAATTGTGCCGTTGGTGTCATGCTGTCATTAGATTATGACATTTACATTCGGAGATCCCACAGTGAGAAGTGCACCACCTTGCCAGAGAACGGCCCCCCAGTAAGTTATGTCACAGAACTACTGAAGTCTTTTCAAGAGGCTTTTTTTTTAATCACACTAAGGGCAATACCTCTCATTGCCCCTTCAAAGAGTGTTTGCTGCACGTTATTAAAATCACAATTCCTAATCCTTAGAGGTGGAATATGCCAAATTTTACATTATGCTTTCATTTGTGCAATCATTGGTAACTGGGCTGAGACCATTCGCTCACCACACATGAGAACCCAGTTTACTCATGGGTGACTGAGCCCCATATTCAAACTTAAAATTTTATCATTACTGCCTCAGTGCTCTTGACGGTTTCACATATTGAGAGGTCACCTTTGTGCAGTCATTGATGCTGCTATTTTGAGATGCTGCTTTGGAATAAATAGTATGTGCACCTTCAGGTCTGGTTGCATCTTGACTCTAAGACTTGGCAGCTTTCCAGCACTCACTTGGGGATGCATATGAAAGTGCCATGTTAACAATCTCTTGACATCCTCGTGGGAAGAGATTTCAATCTGTTGCGGTAGTTCCACAGTAATTACCAAAATCGCTCTCATGCATAACACAGGAAAACAACAGGCGAGTGTCGTGTACCAAGTATAACTTTTGCTGCAAGTCTGCTATTTTTACTGCTGAAGGGGCACTTTGATATCACACGACTGCAGTCAGATTGTAAAACAATCACTTGGCATTTTGTATGCATTCGTGCTCGGGTGTGGAACCCATGTGTTGGGCTCTGGCATTGTCTTCTTGACAGATGTTTGGGACATTAAGCGATTTAATTTATGTATGTTAAAGAACAGTGAATTGCTTGTTTTTCAGGCTGTGAAAATGCTTCCTGATGGGAGAGCGGAACGTCACCAAGAACTGAGATGAATGGTGCTGCACATCCTGCCACGTCCCGATGAAATGTTTTGTCATGCAGGCAGGCGATAAATATTGCGTTTTTCAACCACGGCTAAGCAAACATTTATGAGCGAGGTTTGACCTCATCATTTCCAGCAGCCACGTGCGGCTTTGGATAATGGAAATGAAATTCTCCCTTTTTATTGCCGCGGGCGATTGATCTGCCAGTCAAGTTGACGTATCAATGACGGCCGTCGCCGCATCCCCAATAATTTGCCTGTAAAGATGCCCGTGGACGCGTATTGATCGAGTCACTCGTCGCGCATTGAGCCCTCGCAATGGAATCACTCGCCGACTGTCCGCAGCACAGAGAGGAAGCCTAACAGAACCGTTACCATGTCACGCGCTGGATGCATTGGTTGCATTCAGTGGTGGACCAACGGCATGCGCCTGACGCGGCTGATATGCCTGCTGCTCGTCATCCTGGTGACGATCCCGCTGGTGGCCCACTACTACCTGGCCGTCGACCTGGACAGCACCGGTGGAAAGGGGAACCACGTGCAGAACCGCGACCCCGGCAGGCCACCCGTGGGGCCCTGGCACCCTGGCGCGAGCGGCGCCAGCCTTTGCCAGGGCCGGCACGTGGAGGACCTGTGCCGGATCCGCGAGTCGGTGAGCGAGGAGCTGCTGCAGCTGGAGGCGCGGCGCCAAGAGCTGAACGGGGAGATCGCGAAGCTGGGGGCGCGGCTCGAGGTGGCGCGGCGCGGCGTCGAAGGTGCCAAGCAGGAGCTGCAGCAGCTGAAGAACACCATCAGCCAGACGGAGCGCTCTTACCGCGAGATGCTGGCGCAGAACCAGCCCAAGCTCTCGCTGCCCATTCGCCTGCTCCCCGACGACTCGGACCCCATGCTGCCGCTGCCCAAATCCGCGCAGCAGTGCCGCTTTTACAGCTGCTTCGACTTCTCCCGCTGCCCGCTCACGTCGGGCTTTCCCGTCTACCTGTACCCCTCGGAGGGTCTCCTGGGAGACGCGCTGGACCCGTTGGTGCGGCAGGCCGTGCAGTCGGCGCTGCGGGCCAGCGTGTATGCAACACAGGACCCCAAGGTGGCGTGCCTCTACGTCGTGCTGGTCGGTGACGCGCAGGATGGGTCGGCGCTGCCCGCCGCCGACCTCGAGCGCCACCTCCACGCGCTGCCGCACTGGCGGTCGGACGGACGCAACCACCTGCTGCTGAGCCTGTCGCGGCGGGCGAGCGCCACGCGGAACCTGCTGGACGGCGTGAGCACGGGCCGGGCGATGCTGGCGCAGCCCGTGTTCGCCGAGGCGCAGTACCGGCCGGGCTTCGACGTCGTCATGCCGCCGCTCGTCAACGCCATGGCCGAGCCCAACTTCCTGCAGCTGCCGCCGCAGGTCCCAGCCAAGCGCAAGTACCTGCTCAGCTTCCAGGGCGAGAGCGAGCTGAGCGTGTCGCGGGGCCGTGTCGGCGAGGAGGGCGGAGAGGGCGAGGAAGCAGGTGACCGAATTTCACACGCGGCGCTCTGGCCTGCGCCCGACCTTTGTACGGTCTCGTAAGCGAAGCGGGCTCAATCCTGGAGAGTGCTTGCATGAGGGAAGCCACAATGCGGGAATGTGGTCAGCAGAAGGCAGTGCAGCAAAACACGTTGTTGTACTGTACTTCTATGGCACCACGTCTATTGCTAACCCCGCCTTCGGAGTGGTCAAATCACCCCCACGATCTGTACGGCATGGGGAGGCCCTCAACCAACAGTGGCTTGACAAAGGGACTGGCTATGTACTTTTCATTGTGATGCATGGCATGTAAACGTGGTTTATGTGGTGGGCATTCAATTTGTGTTCTGCTGGGTCCAAGAGACCCAGTGAGATGTCTTTGGTATGTAGGTGTTACAGGCTCTTTGCACGACCCTTATACAAGACATTTAGCATCTTATATACAGGGATCAATAATTCATATTTTGTGAGCAACTATACATTACTTGCTGCCTGTACGTGTCTTCCAGTCTCGACCACCGGAATAGTGTCGAGTATTTTAGAACTGAATTTCTAGGGTTTTTTTTAAGTCGCTGAGATGTATATTTCAAATTATAATGTCGTCACTACAATAATAACACGAATGATTTGTTATAATATACAGGCCTTTGTTAATCCGCTACTGGATGAAGGCCTCCCCACGCTGTGCCGATCATTTGGGTTGTGTGATCATATTTCACCATGCTGGTCAGCGCAGGTTGGTGAAAGGGGGTGCTCGGAGCCCGTTCACATATCGCAAAGCTGTGGCTGGCAAAGGATGTCAGATTTGCCGGGTTCATTAAAACAGGGGTTAGCATACTGTGCTACCACTCCATGCCATAATAGCAAGCTTCTATTGGACAACCCAAAATACGTGATTTTTTTTGGATTCCATCTTAGTTGAGTATGAATGCACGATGCAATGCCAAGCAGACCCTTATTAGCTAGGCATGCAACAATACATCTATTCATTGCTTCAGATGGATTATTGTACCCATTCTACTTGCATGTAAGAATCTATTTTTTTCGATTGTGTATGTGCAGCCAATTTGTCAATACACTAATGAATGAGGGTCTCCCCACGTCGTGCGGGTCTTGAGGGTTATTTGAACGTATATTTGCTGCGCTGGTGAATGACGGTGAGGTGCATAGATGTGGCATCTAAGTAATGTACATTGATGGATTTTTTGTCCTTAATAGAGGTTTTTTTGGGTTAGATCGAGTAAATATAAAAGTGTCGTTAAACCCGCCACCACCCGACACAGCCAATAATGAAGGTTTGTCACGTAAAAAGAACATGCCGATTCATTACTAGTACAGCACACCGGTGTGTTGGAGCGTAAATCCATAAACATTTACAATCTGAGTACGACGTTTCGCCAGTAATTGCAACTAGCTTCCTCAGGCGACAGCCAGATTTGTACTAGTAACGAATTGGCATATTCTGTTTACGTGACAAACCTTAGTAATTGGCTGCCGGGTAGTGGCGGGTTTAACGATACATTTGTATTTAGGCAATCTAACCCAAAAAAATACCTGTATTATGGATGATATTGGTCACGAAAGCGTACATGTTTAAATGGATTTTGGTGTCCTACCAAATGCAGGCCACCATAGAGCCCCCGATAATTATATTTGGATTTATTTCTGTCCTTGTCATTTATAGATTTTATAGCTTCATAACACCGTATATTCTACATGCACTGCAATGGCAGACATAGAATGTGTGCGTGAATTGCTGTGCGACCCCGAATTGTGACATTGCTCCGATTCGTAGAGGGGGTCAAACGTATACATCCCCTTTGTTAGCGATAGTCTTGCGGAAACTGAAGCCGAGCTCTGGCGCTGATACTTACCCCTAGCCTGAATTCGAACTCGAACTATAACCCTGGTGCTGCCCTAGGTTCCCCGAGATTGTTTCCAAGTGTGAATCAATGCCCATCTTGAAGGAGAGGGCACTAAATGGGACATTGATCTAGAGCGCAGTTTTAGCGTGGTGTCGCGTTTTTCTCATCAAAGCGCCCTATCGGTTGTTTGATTGTGTTGTAATGGCCTCTCCAATGCTACCCAAGTCGAGGTAGGAACATTAACGTCAGATTAATTAACGGCATGGAATAGCCTCAATTAACTTTTACCGTCCCTCGTAAAGTTGTTTTGTGCTTTGAGAGTTAGTTTTGTGCAGCATTTTTTTACAATTCCATAAAACACGTGTGTTAAAGTTGTTAAGGATAGGAAGGGTATGAATTTAATACCCACTGCATTGTTGGCTGTGCTGTATTTCTACTTCACAGTTGGCTTAATTCTTTACGCCACCAGCAATTTGATGATTTACTTTGGTTAGGGGTTTTACTATTCACATGAGCTCAGACCAGATATTTCACTTGTTGCTACCACCCAAAACGGCATCGCTTGAGTGGTTCCAATTTCGTTGTGTGGCTAACAACAGTTAATTATAAGTTAACCATTTGACATTACTGGGTTATAAAATAATCTACTCTTTTGAGCCATGGAAATAATTCGGTACTAAAAGTGGTACCAATTCCTGTTCTGGTCCATGGACTATCAGGATCACGATTGGATTCTTGAATCAAAAATTTTCTCTACTCTTTGTCATCTTATGGTTATTGATTTATTTTACAGCCTTTGCGAATATTCAACCAATTTTAACATTGAAATATATTTTGTATGAACATCGATGCTTGTGTTGCGAGCATTATAAATAATTTAAATTGATGCATTGTTACGTGCCAAGTATATAGTGTGAAAATGCTTTCAGAAAAATACACGCATGTATTTAATAAACAAGCTTCAATTTTGAGCGCGATCCGAGGAAACGAAAAACACTTTTTTTTTTGTTAAATCGCCTTTCAGGAGGCGGCGAGGGCAGGAAAATCGACCTCTACGACATCCACATCGTGTCCGTGCTCAAGGCGATTGTCGCCGGCGGCCAGGAGAGCGTTCTGATCGACTTGACGTGCGACGGCCCCGCGGCCGGTGGCGGCGGCGGCGGCCCCGCAGCCGGTGGCGGCTCCCCATCGGAGTGGGCGCTGTGCGGTGACCGCACGTCGCGCATCGAGGTGCTGCGCCGCTCCACGTTCGCGCTGGTGGTGGCCGCCGGCGACCCGCGCCTCTCCGCGTCGCAGCTCGCGTCGACGCGCGTGTACGAGGCGCTGGAGGCCGGCGCCGTACCGGTGGTGCTGGGCGGCGACCGCGCCCGCCTCCCCTTCGCCGAGACGATTCGCTGGGAGCGCGCGGCCGTGCTGCTGCCCAAGGCGCGCGTCACGGAGCTGCACTTCCTGCTGCGCAGCGTGCCCGACAACGACCTGCTCGCCATGCGCCGCCAGGGCCGCTTCCTGTGGGAGACGTACCTGGCGTCGGCCGAGAGCGCGCTGGGCGCCGCGCTGGCCACCGTGCGGGCTCGCGCCCACATTCCGCCGGCACCTGTCCCCGAGGAGCCGTCGCCCGAGATTCCGCACCGCTCCGCCAGGGTGCCCGCCGACGGCCTCAACCCGCCGTCCGAGATGGGCGACCTGGAGCTGGGGCCCGCGGAGAACGAGCCGCCCTATGCCTCGGAGCGATACAAGCGCAATTACACGCTCGTCATGCTGGACGCCGACCGCAGCTGGAACTCCCCGCCGGGACCATTCTACCTGTTCCCCTTCACGCCGCTCGACCCCGTTTTGCCGTCCGAGGCTCAGTTCCTCGGCTCCGGCGCGGGCTTCCGGCCAATCGGCGGCGGCGCCGGCGGCACGGGCAAGGAGTTTCAGGAGGCGCTGGGCGGGAACTTGCCGAGGGAGCAGTTCACGGTGGTGATGCTCACGTACGAGCGCGAGGAGGTGCTCATGGACTCGGTGCGACGTCTCAACGGGCTGCCCTACCTCAACAAGGTGGTGGTGGTCTGGAATGCGCCCAAGCTGCCCTCCGAAGAGCTGGTGTGGCCCGACATAGGCGTCCCTGTCACGGTACGTGAATGCTATTGCGCGTACGTAGCACGGCAGAGCGCGATTGTTTTTTGTCCCAACTTTGGCGTGCTACGTTGTTGCTGGAGGAGACCTCCACAAAGCAACGCGGAAATAACATTGGGATCGATAGATAAATGGCCTTTGATATATGAAGCAATTGGCGGGACCCCGGGGTCCCATCACTGCCCCGGGGTGGGGAAAAACCGCGTAGCGACACGAGTCTTGCCTTACCGACAACAAAACTAGTGTCAATCGATTGGCCTCGTCGAGAGCTACTTGGGGGTTTAATTGCCAGGGTTTCATTAAGTAAAGAAAAACAACCAATTTCAATGTGTACATTTTGTAAAACAATTAGAATGCAATTAAGATGCAATTAAAACAGTTAAAAAATGTAATATGAATGAAGATCCTTTGCATTTAAAAAAGTACATGTTCATGCTAGGAACTTAATTGAAAATGCTAAGCCACGTGGAGGTGTGGAACAGAATATAACAACAAAACACTGGAGGTGTGGTACGGAAGATTAAGTTTTGATGGGTAGAACGCGCGTGCAGGAAGAAGTAGGGAAGGTTGCTGACGTAAACATTGGAGTGGTCAAGTAAAGAGACCTAACGGTGATGCATTACAACAACAGTCCTTTGAGGCCAGGTGTGAATTTGCAACAACGAGAGCAGTGGTTCTTCTTCTTAACCTGGGGTGCACGCTGCACCCCCTGGGGGTGCGAGATGCCCTTCCTGGGGGTGCGAGACATGGCCATGAAACCTCTATGTATTTATTAACATAATAAAAAATTTTACGATTGAGTACGAAAGGGTGCAGGCTGCAGTAAAGGTTAAGAGCCATTGAACTAGAGGATCTTCGGGAAGGAAGCAATCGCGAGGGTGTGGTGACGTCTTCACCTCGGTGTTAAGTACTTAATTAATGTTTGTATCTCATTGCTGAGAGGAGGTACAGAAGTGTCCCCAGCATAATTCGTACATAGTGCTTCACGAATGCTGATACGTGTACATATACTAGACGTGCGTGACCAATCCGTAGTCATTGGTATTATGGTGACTGCTCTTCGTGCCACTGTTTGTAGATGTGTATCTGAAAGTCAAGCTGTTGATGCAGGATAGTGGTGTGCCTGGATAAAGGCAAAGATATGGATTTAATGAGCAGACCTTTTTTTTCTTTGACATCATAGATGTTTTGGCATTTCATTATTTATTACTATTATTTAGTGTTAACTCTCCTTGTGAACTTGGGTTTTTCAATGGAATGTCAAGTGCCTTTCATTGTAAGTGGCCATTTGTGCCTAGCACACCTATTGTAATGTTATGGGTGGATATTTTTCTGAAGTGAATTTGTTTGTTAAAGCTGTGTTTTATCTGCACTGTGGATTCTGCCCACTGAAAAACAACCTTATTACTCTGATATCCATATTCCTTGTTCATCTGCTTTACTATGATAAGGGCAGCTTCAGCTTTAATATAATAACATATTTAGAATTTTACATTTTTATTTATGTTGTAAATCCATTGCTGAATGAAGAGCTCCGTGTGTCGTGTTAGTCATTAGGGATTTGCTTGAACAAATATCACCACGCTTGTCAGTGCGGGATGGTGAAGGGCGGTGGGGGTGGTGCACAGGACTGGTTCAGCTATCACCCGCCACTGATGTTATCCGCGGCCGGCAAATCAAACTCGGGTGGTCGGCTTTGGAATCGTTGCTCCACCGTTACGCACCCAGTTCGTTTTGTTGTTGGCTTGTGAAAAGGGTGCATTGTAAGTCCTCTACGGACAGTCACAATGTGACTAAAACACACCTCCGGCGTGTGCTGATATACTTTCTTTTTTCGCCGGCGCTAACTGCGGGGTTGATGCGTATAGACGGCAGCGATCGATGCGGCTTGGAGTGCTCTCGAGCGCAAGCTTGCCATGCCTCGAACAACCGCGCACTCGCAGTTGTGTTTTTGTGTGCGTGTGAGGTTCTATTTTTTTTCTAGAAATATTCCAAGATATTCCATGACCATCCCCCCCCCCCCCCCTCTCCCTCCCACATTCTCATTGCAAACAAATACATTAATTCATAAGCTGATGTGTTTCAGTGGGTGGCATTCCGGCCGGGTTGATGGGTGGGGGGGTGGCTCGCGTGACAGAAAATAAATAAGCAGAAATTTTTGCGAGGATTGCAGCTCGTCTGCATTTCAGCCTCCTTTGTTCGCCGACCCGTGGAACGTCTGCAACCCCCGCCGCAGCGCAAGTTTGTGCGTCTTTGAAGATAGCATCTGGCTTGGCTTTGTTCTGGTTTTAAGAGGCATGCTGCCATGCAAGTGTGTGTGTCTCTTGGGAAATAAAAAAAAATATCATGGGTTTTTTTTCAAATGGTAAGAATTCAGTGCTTGTGGCCAGGGCTGGTAATTTGTAGGTGTCCTTTGCTACTTTCATCCCCAAAAAGCGAACAGTTCTTATCTCGTAGTGGCAAGTGAAACATCGTGTATAATTGCTCAAATTAGGATGTGAAATTGTGACGCTGATAATTGGCGCGTCAAACGCTTGTACGAGTTGCAGTTTAATGGGTTTGGCTGTGTTGGCTGATGGGAGGGTCTTGCGACAGAAATTTGGCCAGGGCATTGTGGCCTAACCCAAAAAAATGTTTTACCATTCGATTTGTGTGGCTGCAAGACAATGTGTCCCTGTGGTGGCTGCGCTTGACCAGCCACTTTAAATATATTTTTTGTTCTCATTGATGTTCAAACTCAACGTGGGACAAGACCGAGCCAATGTAAGAGCTATTTGTTGTTCATGTTTCCTCATCCTTTCCGATATAAAAGCATGACAGAATTCTCAAAAGATTTGCATCAGCACTTTGTGGAGCCAACGACAGGGAACCGAGAAGTGGTTGTCGTCGAGATGCAGGTAGCGGTTTCTAATAACCTATGACCTTGCCTGTCCATTAGTCCAGCGGTATCCCTGCTGGGTCGGCCGTTGAACAATACGGGCTGGAGAGATGTATTGAATTCTGTGTGCCTAAATGCAGTTTTGTGTAACCAATCGGGCCAGCGTTTGTTTTTTTACCAGGTGAGAGCTTGTGGAAGTAGCCAAGCCCCTCTTACAGAGGGGACCTGGAGGACAAATGCGTAGTGCAGGCTTCTTCTCTGAATACCTTCACGAGGAGTGCTCTTACAATAGGCTTATCTCTCACTGATAATACGGGCATAGAGCCACGGACGCATAGTCAACCCTTTGCCTCCGGACACTGCCGAGTATACACAAGGTGCATCTAAGAGGCTTGATCATTCAGTGTGTCTGTGTGTGTCTGTGTGTGTTTTGTGTTAAGAACCTTGTCTTTTAAGCCAAAGGGTTTGCTCGTGAATTGTTTGTAATTTTCATCATCAGCCATGATTAATCCACTGCTGGATTATTGCCTTGCCCAAGCCTTCGCCATCTCTCACTATCTTGCGATGCAGCTATCCATCGAGCACCTGCACATGAGCAGTTCTCAATGCTCCATCTCCACAGTGGACGTGATCTCGGTCGTGTTTTCCCTCCTTTGGCTCCCACTCTGTCATGAGTCTCAACCCCCGACCATCGTCACCTCTCGTGACCTATGCTGTCCAAGCCCACTTAATACGTTTATCAAGTGGGCTTGGGAGCCATGGTGGCGATATGTTAACTACCTCGCCTGGTATACAGGAAGTTGTGGGTTCGATCCCGAACCTGACACCTGCTGTATATTTGGAGTTTCCATGTTCTCCCCATAGTATTCTGGGTCCTCCAGTTTTTCCCTCCACATTTAGAATCAACAACACACATTTAGAGTAGTTGGTTGCTACAAATTTACACACGACGCTAAGGCACCTCATTGAGCTATCATTTGTGATAGCCAGGTCGCTTGTGAAAAATAGCTACGTAGCTCAGTGGGCCTTTCCTGGCCGAAGAAAAAGAGTTTCGTTTTTTAGTGAGTTTTTTTGATCAGGCAATGTGATGACACTTATATATTGCGTGTTGTTGCCCCATAATCCTATGGGTTACATTATCGCTGTCCCCCCCGGCCGCATGTTGCAGGTTGTGAAGACGAAGAAGAACAGCCTGAACAACAGATTCCTGCCGTACGACGCCATCGAGACCGAGGCGATCCTGTCCATCGACGATGATGCACATCTTCGACATGACGAAATCATGTTTGGCTTCAGGTGGGTTTTATACGAAAAAACGTCCTTGGGCAAATGGTGTTTTGAAGACGTTGGACCGCATTGGATTATTCCTGCAGAGCACTGAGCCGGCTCCGCTGAGTCCCTGGGCTCGAAGGTGGGGTTCAGCCCGCCCGTGCTGGAAGCAGGTTCTCAAGTGTGGTGGCTTGACGATGTCAACCTTGTCACCAATGACTGCAAAATCACGTTACGTAAAAAATATTTTTTTATTTTTATAAAATAAATGCTTTAATTGACGTGCGAATACATAGTCTTTGCCGCGTTTTAATGGTTATCATGCTGGGCTTGCAATCCAGAGGTCGCGAGTTCATTCTGCTGGCACGGCACAGTTGAAATAATGGTGCAGGTTTCTTAAATCCCCCCTCGTGTGTGCCTCTGTATAACCCCCCAGCAGTATAAATCGTTCATGGAAGAGTTGGCCAAAATACCCTCTTAGAAGGGGTCTCTCGCGGAGGCCCATTCCACCAGCAGTGGCGTGACCAATCGGTTTACTGCGCCTTTACCCTCTGCAGGGCATATAAAAGGTGTGCCTCCTGGTGTGGCTTAAAAGAAGCCCATTCGAATGACTTCAGTCGTCATTCTGTGATGTTATCTTCAAGGGGCTATTCTGACACGCGGTGGTGGGGGAGTTGCCCGTAGTGAGGGTTACTGAATGGATATTTCCTCATCTCTGCGGATGCCCGTAGCACAATTGGATTGTAATTAGGTGAGGATTAAAACACGCCATTCAAAGGCTACGAATTAACACCTTCAGTTATTTGGACGCCTTTTGCTCAACAAAAAAATGCCGCATTCGTTTTCCCCTCTCTCAAACTGGCCAAACCAGTCCAGTGGAGGAGTGAGTGGGGAGGGGGAAGTGTGGTGATCAGTGTCCGGGCACATGTCACTTGCTCAACGCGGTAGCGGTTAGTGTGGTGTGGCTTTTGCTTTGAACTGATGCGACCTTTCGCTCCCCCCTCTCCCGCCTAAAAGAAAGGTCGGCAACAGGTTGGATAGTGGGAAATAAGGTGCGTCCGCTCTCGCTGTCTGCCCATCGCGAGCAGGCCACGCGAAACATTGTGGTTACCAAAGGTGGAATGACGTGGACCGTTACATTTACATACAGGGTATATAGTCATTAACACTTGCCGTAGCTTTTTTGAGAGCAGCAATGAACACTGATTTAATTTATTTCACGAACGCTTGTTACACGTGACTCATGCAGTTAGAGCACCAGATATGCAAAATAAATAAATATATTTTTTGATTTAAAGCTTTCGTGACTGCAGTAATTCATATTCTTAGTTTTTTCGGTAAAGTCACGTTGAAGAGAAACAACAAAATAACAAAATATATATAATATTTTTTATAACAAACTCACCGTTTGAGTTATGGTCGAAACGTCGTGAGAATTTTTTATTGTTTTATATATATTTTGTTATTTTGTTGTTTCTCTTCAACGTGACTTTACCGAAAAAACTAAGAATATAAATAAATATGTTTGTCGATGTTTATATTTGAGTGGGTGTCACTGATGACTCTACTCGACTGATGATTCCTAATGAGAACAAAACCGGTCTTCCCTTGTCTCCGTTTCACCTATGCCTGATGGGATGGCTAATATTTTCAACCCTTTGAATTGAGGGTCTATGCAAAAATATGCCCACACATTCAGCTCTTAAGCTGGTGGTCTGGACAAGGCTGAGAGAGCATCGAACATGCAACGTGGTGACCACGTGGTATATAATCGGTGTTGTGCCTTCCCGTTGTTTGTGAGCTACACACCATTCGTGTGTTGTGAAATTTGTTTGTATCCAGCTTGCACACAATTTCCTTTTCTGATGGATTTTCTCAATTTAAAGAATGTTGGAATTGAATTTCACCCCCTTTCTTGTTTTCCCCGCATTTATTTTACACTGCATGCGTGCGTGTTCGCTGGCTGGAACGTCAAATTGCATCTTTGGTGGTGTCGCCTACACAACGGGGTGGGGGGGGGGGGGAACTGTCCCGGTGTTTCTCTTCACCTGGGTCATTTTGGCGCCCAGGGTTTGGCGGGAGGCACGTGACCGCATCGTGGGGTTCCCCGGGCGCTACCACGCCTGGGACTCGCTGCACCAGTCGTGGCTTTACAACTCCAACTATTCGTGCGAGCTCTCCATGGTGCTCACCGGGGCAGCCTTCTTCCACAAGGTGAGATCTGCTCATTTGCATTTTAATCGACCCACGGAGCATTCCCTTTTGTAGTTTAGACACGGCCCAAATGACTGAAACGAAACAAAACTATTTTTTTTATTTGACCAGGTAAGGCCCACTGAGCTTATGTAGCTCTTTTTCAGAAGTGAGCTGGCCGCAAATGATAGCTCAACGAAGTGGCTTATTACGTTGAAATTTACACCACCCAAATACTCTAAATGCACGTTGATTCTAAATGTGGAGGGAAAACCGGAGGACCCGGAGAAAAATCCACGCAACTACGGGAATAGAGAGACACATGCAAACTTCAAATATACAGCAGCAGGCGTCAAGGTCGGGATCCAATCCACGACCGCCTGTATACCAGGTGAGGTAGTTAACATCTCGCCACGCCAACAAACAGCCCTGATCTTGCAGCTGTGTGCCCTGGGCCCCATGTTTGCATGCTGTGCAACACAGGGCTTGAAGCTCCGCCATTGAGGTGAAAACTCGTTAAGAAATAATTATCTAATTGGAAGCTGTAGTGAGCCACGGCATTATAACTCTTTCGTGATGCAATTGTGACGCCTCTCTCACAGTTTAATATCGCCTTGTGGTCATCTCACCGAGAAACTGTAACTAATCATGCCTCGCAATAATTTCGTTTTATTTCATGTAAATTTGATGCCGATTTCCTTTAGGCTAATGCTCAACGAATTCGCAATAATAAATTCGAAAATACGGATGGAGTCGGACAGTAGAGATGAGATGAATTATTTCTTAAATATAAACACGACCCCAAATTGTGAAATCCCCTTCCTCAGCAATCCGTGATGTCAACTCCCTGCCCCCTGTTCAAGTACTGGCTATATACCTTTTCTTGTCTATCAAACAAATATGCCCACTGTTCTTCCATAGCGTCTTGAGACACAGCTTGCATTTTGTCACTATATTTTACATGTTAGATACTGTGAATAGAGAAACTAATGGCCCTGCGGGTGGTGCGCTGTGCTGCAGTACTACGCCTACCTGTACTCGTACGTGATGCCCCAAGCCATCCGCGACATGGTCGACGAGTACATCAACTGCGAAGACATCGCCATGAACTTCCTCGTCTCCCACATCACGCGCAAGCCGCCCATCAAGGTGACCTTCATCCAGTGTTTTTTTTAAGATCTTGGTTTTCAATTTTTAAAGATCTTGTTTTTTTTTATTTTATTACCCTTTTCTGTGTTAAATTGCAGATGCGCTACTGCTCCGTGCCATGAGAATTCTCGCACGTAGGAATGGATTTGCCTCGGTTCGTAAAGAACAGATCCCTGGAAAGGTGGCCTAACACAGGTCCCGTCCTATCTCTGGTCTGGTCTCGTCTCCGTCCGTTTGCTCACCCCGCAGGTGACGTCCCGCTGGACGTTCCGCTGCCCGGGCTGTCCCCAGGCGCTCTCGCACGACGAGTCCCACTTCCACGAGCGCCACCGCTGCATCAACTTCTTCGTCAAGGTGTACGGTTACATGCCGCTCCTCTACACGCAGTTCCGCGCCGACTCGGTGCTCTTCAAGACGCGGCTGCCCCACGACAAAACCAAGTGCTTTAAGTTCATATGAAGGAGGAGGTGGAGGAGGGGGAAGAGGAAGAGGAGAGGCGGTCCCCGGTCTTCGTCTTTGCCACCGACCCCGTCAGCGAGCCTCGGCCGGGGAGGCGGGGGGAGCCTGTGTGAACGATCTGCGGAGTTTTTAACGAATGGCGCTTCTCATTCTGCTCCTCCTTCGTCGTATGGTTAGAGTTGGTTTTGGACGCCCTTTCTGCAAGAGTTGCGGGCGCCTAAATTATTCCTGTTAGAACTGAAAGCCCCCCTAAGGCTTGCGCGCGACGATGTTCATCGCGAAGAGTCGCGCGCCGCCCAGGGAATGCGCCCAAGGGACGCTCGTATCGACTGTCGGGATTTGGTTTCGCTGGTTTTTGACGCCTATTTATTTCTCACACGTGACTTGAACCCATCGCACGAAGCGAATGCCGAATGCAGTTTATGACGCGTAAGTACTGTATTTATTTGTGGTTCTGTTGACCTCCCCCTCCCCCCCCGCGATGATGGAAAGGCACATAAGTGGCTTTCGTATTTTAGACGTTAAACACGGTATGCTGCCAAGCCACAAAAGAAACATGCCCCGCTACGCAGGCTGTTTCCATTAAACAAAGCGACGTTCGCAAATTTGTTGTGCAATCTTACCGTATTATCTGTAACACAGGTTTTTTTGGTTAGATCACGCAACTACAGATGTGTCGTTAAACCCGCAACCACCCGACACGGCCAATTAGTAAGGTTTGTCACGTAAACAGAACATGCCAATTCATTTCTAGTGTACAGCACACTGTTGTGTTGGAGAGTAAATCCACAACATTTACAATCTTGAGTGACTTTTCGTTAGTAATTACAACTAGCTTCATCAGGCGACAGCCAGATAACGCATTCATGCATATTAAACACACTGTAACCGATGACTATACAAGATTATACACACGCATATATATACTGTAGCAACATTTGTTGTGGCTAAATGTCAATTTCAATGGGAATGGACACAAAACGGCAAAATAAAGATACAGATGTGAAACTCGCGTTGGCACAGCCAGCCAATAAAAAAAGCAGGCCACTGAAAAAAAAAAATAAAAGCCGCTGACCTTTCGATTGTGCTGGGATATTGCTAGGCGGCGACCTTCATCTAACAATGGGTGAAATAAAATGAGACCGGTATTTTGGTGATTATTCTCCATTTGGCGTGGCACGCGATTATCAAGCTGTGTCGTCCCCATAAGCTGCGGTGTTATCGCAGCCACGAGACTCATTTTGAGCACTCCACCCCGTAATTATATTGTAATGGTTTATATAATATATACACACACACGTGACTCATTGCGAGACTGTCATCGTTATCATTCATTTTCTAACCACTGCTGGATTAAGACCTCCCGACGAGGTCGCTGATTGCCTGTTACTCCGTCTCCGCCATGGTCATCCTCTGCGGGTTATTTCCTCCTTTTTGGCTACCATGCCATCGCCAGCCTCGCCCATCGGCCATCATCCCACTCTTGTGATGTCTCGCCCACGGCCACTTGGACGAAACATCGCTCCGATGTCTCTGTTGTGTAATTCCCAGGCATGTACCTCTGCATGCTTCTTTTGCGTACTTTTTCATTTTTTTTCCTGTCATAACTGACATTGTGCACCAACGGACAACACTATTTACGCACATTGGTATGCTGCTTTTCGTTATGAACTTTTAAGTTTAAAAGCACCACATGTTGCCCTCACTCACCTCGTTTATTTCATCATTTTGATCCTGGCCTGCCTTAAAAAAATTGTCAAACTCGTCTCTCCAACAATTATTTCGTTTTATTTAGCAAACTTGTACATGACCGTTGGTGGCATTTGCATCTCAACCGTGCCGCCTTCTCCGTTCGATTCTTCCATCATTTCCTGTCGTAGTTCACTGCCGTTTAATTCTTCGGACTGTCGTCGGCACATGTGGGATGGTAGATACTTTATTCGATCGATTTAAAAAATAACAAAAAAAAACATTGTAGCGTCGCTGCGAATCGCTTTGGTGTGAGCGTATCTCTCGCCCGACTCCTGTATAGTAACCCCCTCTATCTGTAAGAAATGGTTTTTAGACCAGTGCTATGTATTGTTGCATTAAGGGCTCGGGGTTTTTTGCATTAGTTTCCACAAACCCCCACCGCTCCCCCCCCCCCCGTTATAATTCTGCAAGAAGTTGGGCGCAGTGGCGTTAACGTTTGGCCGTTTGTACGGGAATCTTTATTGGCGGCAGGCAGTTGTGGGTGGGAAAAAAAAACCCCGTGGAAACCCGTATCGCTCTTAGTTGGGCACAACGCGCATACGCAGACCCGATCGCACGGACGGGTTATGTACGTACGAAAGGAAGATGATGCGACCTTCAGACGTGCAGCAAAATAAAGAATTAACCGCATTTTAATGGAAACATAGCCGTCCCGATGACCTGCTTTGATAAAACCGGATCTGCCGGAGGCTTTTAAATTTCGACCGACTTAACGAGGTTAAAAAGGCGGACGGTTTTGTTTTGTTGTTGATGGACTTTTGTCACTCATGCCCGTCGCTTTTAATCATTTTTACGCTCATTGTCTTCGTAACTTTATTGACACGGAGCCATCTGTTCAAAAATATCAGTTACACTGCAATGACAAGAATACAGATACATTTTAAAATCCTACGGGAACAAACTTGGCGTTTAGTTTTGTCTCCTGTAACAGACCGTGCTCGCTTCGTCATCGGTGCTTTGTTCCCGTAGCGGCGAGAGCGTGAATCGTACCCCATTGTCTCACCACATCCTTGGACGGAACTTTTCTGAGTTCTGTAAAAAGTTGAGTTTCGTTTCGACATTATATATATGAGCAGCTGTGCAAGATACTGATCGAAAACATCGAAAGATTATCCTTTGTAATACGTTTTTTTATACTCTAAAAATTCGAGTTCGTGTCTCCCGAGTTCTTGGAGGAGTTTGCCGGTGGCAGACTTTGATTGTGCTCGACGAGATGATTCCACTGTGTAAATTGTCCCAGTTGTGCTGTATTTCTTTGACGTGACTTCGGGTTGTGCCCACCATGAGTTGTTAAGGCACGATGCCCCACCTATTCAGGGCGGCACCTGGTGGAATCGGTTCTTGAAATGTTCCAGAAGTTCTTTTGCGCAATTGGGGAATTGAATTCAGACCCCCCCCCCCCCAAAGAAGCTGCGCAGTGTGTGGAGAGAAACGTCGGACATCACGCCGAGCAACACGCGGTACGGCCCCAAAATACACATCGGGGGAGCTGACCCAGGTAATTGTTGATGTTCGTTTCGTATCGTTAGTTGATGTCGCCAGTCACAATTCTGCCCAGCCATCGTGTGGTATATCGACAGTGTTACTGTATTTGACTAAATTTTGTATTGATAAAAGGCGATTTCAGAATGTGCTCGCGCGTGACGGCAAGCGTATTCCCCGGCGCGTCGCACCGATGCGTCATACCGATGTGCCGATCGGAATTCGGGCAAGTTGCTGCCTGACCACCGGCTAGGTGCATTTAAACCGGGTTAACGTTTAAACCGGGTTACACTGTACTCGATTACAATATAACGATAACGACTGACTATTTTTGCGAGCCGTTTTTATATATACAGTATATGTGTTTTTGTGTGTGAAATCCCGAGGTTACTCACCTTTGAACGGCCGTGAAGAAAGTAATGTTTACATAACATGTTGTCTATGTCCTGTTGGCGTGTGCCGATGTTATGGGATGCCTGTAGTTAATACGAGTTGCATTCTCTTGTAACGTTGTGGATATTGTCGATTCAATTAGGCTAAGTGATATTTATTCAATTTTTTGTATATATTTTTTAAGCTTTTATCGGGTGCGACACTTGGTTTAACCCCACGTCACCATTTGTCCACCAGAGTGGGAGTCGGGGTCCCGATGTGGGTATACGTAGCCCGTCAGTCTTACACGGGAGAGCCGCGTGTACAACGTAAGGATTATTAATGCCCACACTTTGTGTTACAAATGCAAAGCTATATTAGCTCCATTGTGTGTGTGCGCGCGCGTGTGATTTTCGTGCGTGGGCGAGTTACCCTTACGTGGGGCTTGGCAGCCACTGCTCCCCAGACCGTCGGGCAGTTGGCCTCGACCAAATTATTAACCCGGCAGCTTCGGCTGCAGCTTCGTCGTCGTTAGTGAATGCGTTCGTGAGCTGCTATGGTGCACCCTGGCCAGGAGGAACCCCTCCGTGAGCTCAAAACGGCACTCGTTTAATGCCCTAACGGCAAAGCTACATCCTCGCAATGTCAATAGGTTACAACGCATGAACCCTTTCCCGTTCCGATGGCGTATGTGTACGTCGTCAGAAACGGAACCGGAAGAAAAAAATGTCGTAACTTTATCGCTACCGAGGCTCCCCCAAGGCCGTGCGGGAGGGCGTGCGGTACAGTTTGGCGCCAACTATCGGTGTGTGGTCGTGTCCCTACGGTTCTCTGCGGTGAGTCCAATGTCTTTAAAAACCACGGCATACGCTTCTCTAAATAAAATAAACGCTGAACCGCTTGCGCATTCCGAGATTCAGCGGTGAACGGGACACCCCCCCCCCACCCTGTAACTTTCAATCGTCTCGGGAAATGTTAGAGGGTAACAGGCATGGGTGAAGTGGTTGGCAACACTCACTGCTACGGAGCCCTAAGACCCGCGTTCGATTCCCAGCCATGGTAAAACGTAACTGGCAAAATGATATCCGAACTTGTCCCTGGCCCCTCCCTTCACCAACCTGCACTGACCAGCGTGGCGAAGCATGGTTGAACCCCTTCGTCGGGCAGCGGAGTGACAAAAGGGGGGGGTGGGGGTAGTAAATCGCGGTTCGGGGACCGAGCGACGAGCGGAGGAGCCGGGGCCCCACGTTGCCCACGAGGGTTGCGACAGCTCTGTCATGGCCACGATAGAAACCACTGGAATAAAGGCATCGAGCACGGGACGTTGAATAAAGTTTTATAAAATGCCCATCGCTGCGAGTGTGATGGTCCAGTCGTCTCTTGCCACCGAGTCAACCAACTTGCGTTGTTTCGCACCTCCGATATAGCACGGTTGTGCTACCTACGTTGCGAAGGAAGTTCAACATGCATACAAGCTGAAGGGGACGCCTCTTGCCCACTGTCGCGATGGAGAGAAGACTGCACGGCCAGTAAAAAAAAAGCACGCCAGAGTCTTTATTCACGTACGACTGTACAGGGGAATCGAACGCTGAACATCGGTGGAACTGGTTTTACAAAATCAATGTGGAAAGCCAAGTGGTTGCTGAATATCGTCTGACCAAGGATGTTTTGCTATTTACTGCTCGCCCCAAAGGTAGCCCTTTATTTAGCAGGTATTAAAATATATGGGGATAGTTTGAGGAGAGCTGTTTACGTTTGTAAGGGTGCCATGGTGGGGAGATGTTAACTACCTCGCCAGGTATACAATGTCGTGGGTTCGATCCCGACGCCTATATATTTAGAGTTTGCATGGTCTCCCCGTAGTCGCATGGTTTTTTCTCTGGGTCCTCCGATTTTTCCCTCCACATTTAGACTCAACGCCACGCGTTTGAGGTATTTGGCTGCTATAAATTCCCACGCGATAAGCCACTTGTTTGAGCTATCATTTGTGGCCATGTCGCTTCTGAAAAAAAGAGCTGTATAGGTTCAGTGAGCATTACCTGGTAAAATAAAAAAAGATTCGTTTTTTATCCGCACGAAAGCGCCACAAGGAATAGTCACCATAAGGGGTCAAGATTCCCCATTTCATCGTCTTGTTGGTCTCATTTGTAATGTTTGCTCATTTATACAGTGTCACCTATTATTGCATTTACACTCCTTTGTTCTGCCGTTGTTCATTAATACAATTAGTTTGGGAAGAAATTACGGAATATCACATGCACACATTCGATTATTGTATCATGAGCAAAGTAATCAATTTTATTTGCGCTCATCATACATGCTTCGAAACTGCGTGGGCAAGAATCTGTGTGTATACTGTACATCGTAATGACTGTTGCGGTCACTTAGATTCACCACAATGTGTAAATAATTGTAACCAAAAAACATTTGAATCTAATCCTGACTCCTTAGTCGTGACAATTCATTGAACCACAAGTGGGGGGGGGTCCAGAAAGATGACGTGACGAATTAAAAAAATTAACCATTCTCTGCATGTATTACAAGTTAAATTTCGATTTAAAGCTTTCGTGACTGCAAGGATTCATCTTCTTTGGTTCTTTCGGTAAAGTCACGTAGAATGAGAATAAAATAATAAATTGATAAAATAAAATAACACAATAATATTCTCACGACGTTTCGGCCACAACACAAGCGGCCCTCATCAGGTGAAGGGACGAGACTGTCTGGAAGGACAGCGCTGTTATTTTATTTTATCAATTTATTACAAGTTAATTGTTTATTTTACTCGATTAACAACGACGTGCCTAGTGAGGAGGTATAACTTACAATAGGTGTGAATCTGTTATAAAATAGTGTGTTCGTTTGTGCGCTACACCACTTCGCCTTTCGACTCCAGTCAAGAACAAATGACCTTTATAATCTGTGTGCTGGGCCAGACCACCCCACCACAGCAGAGAGCAATGCAGAAACATCCGTTGTGCTTTACATGCCGTAACAGATACGCTCCCCATCGTCAACCCTTGCTGACCGGTGTGGTGAAGCATGGTCGAATAACCCCCACGGTCAAATAACCCCCTATTTTGGATAACCCCCACGACCTGCGTGGCATGGGGAGATCCTCATCCAGCAGTGGCTTGACAAAGGAGAGCTGTGTGTGAGGAGCAACTGTACAAAATATATATTTTTTAAACGCCACGTATTTGTCAATAACAGTGTCCAACAGAGAAATGTGTTTTAAATTGGAAACCGTTTGGACAGCGACCCTTATTAATACCAGATCTCCCTCTTGGGCCATAGCCCGAGACGTTGCCTATTATATATTTGTTTCCCTCCAAGTCAAAAGTCAAATCGATCTCCTGCTCCTAAAATAAGCCACTGGTGCAAATTCCACATTTATATGATCGTGGGCAAGTCAACAACTGGACATCTTTGAAAAAGAGCTTCATAGCTCCTCAGATTTCTCCAGGATAAATACTGTGAGTCTACGCATCGCACAACCACTGTTGACTTCCCTACAAAGTGGTAGAAATTTGATCGACCCTGGACAAATGATGGGTTTGGTCAATGCCCTGGACTGTGTTTCAAACCCACGAAACATGTCAAGTTAGAAACATGCATTGAGAGCATTTGGCTGCTATACATTTCCACATGGTGATAAGCCACTTCGTTAAGCTGTCATTTGTGATGGCCGGGTTGCTTCTGAAAAAGAGCTTATAAGCTCAGTGGGGCCTTACCTGCTGAAATAAAAAAAATAGTTTAGTAATAGTGTGGAGTTGTTGGCCACGCGCGCTGCCATCACGCCGGAGGCCGCGCTTCGAAGTCAGAGCTTCTGCAGCAGCTTGAGCAAAACGTCGCGCAGCTTCTGCCGCATGATCTCGTTGTTGGCGCACATGATGTGCGTGGAGTCCTCCGAGGCCTGGATCACAGTGTCCTCGCCCGGCAGGTGGATCACGTGACCGTCCGCCGAGTCCTCCACGCGCGCGTCCATTATCCCGTGCTGCCAACGCCGGCCCGAAAATGGGGAAAAATAAATATACGTTCGCTGAGCTTCTTTCGCACCATGCGTAGCCAACCGTGCTAATCGGATGGTGCGGAAACCATGAGCATACCATGCGGTTAGGTTCCTTGCTAATTATGTTTTGGCTTAATGTGACTTTAAGAATCAAAGTAACCCCCCGCAAGATGTGTTCATGCTTTATATACATCGTAGGTAAAAGGCAACTCAACACTGGGCATTAACCTGCCAGGAGGGGGCGTAATGATTGCTGTGTAATCCCGATGAATTTGCCGGTGCGATTTTTACGAATTCCGCAAATTTTGACTGTCACGCCGGCTCGTTGCGCGTCAAATATTTTGTTTACGGCCCACCGCGTCGCGTTCTTAACCAGGAGGGCCTGCCGGATTCAAAAATGCAAACATCGGCAAGAAGCTGCGGCGGCGAACGCGCCACCGCCGTACCGCGTCAACGCCACCGTTAGTCGGGCACGTCGGCGGGGAGGGGGGGGTTTGTGGGGGCCGTTGTTTCACCTTCGCCAGGCTCTGCAGGAACTGGTCGATGGAGAGGCTGCCCCACAGCAGCGGCCTGGGGGGTTTGCTCTCCACCGCGTCCTCCGCGCACTTGCGCTTCCTGATGCTGCACGGCTGCACCACCTTGGGCAGCATCTGGGGTTAAGAAAAATGTTGTGAAGTGAATTTGTTTCCAGCTTGCATGCAATTTCACTTTTGTTTTAATAGATTTTCTCAATTTACAAAAAATGTTGGGATTTGAATCTCAGCTTTTTTTTGTTTCCCCCAAATGTAGTTCTCACTACGTGCGTGTTCACTGGGCAGAGCGTCTAGTTTGTTGTCCTTCTCCTCGCACCTCCGATTAGCACGGTTGGCTTACGTTCGGGTGCGAAAGAAGATCAACGTGCGTACGTAAACGGAGGCGGGCGTTCTCCTGCCTGCCCCTTGGGAAACGCGTGGGACACTCTCACGTGGTATCTCCTCGGGGGCTATATGTCGGCACAACAATCCGTAATGTTTGGAGTTTCTCCTAGGCCGTTCCACCGATTTCCATGAATGATAATTCATTTGAAATGACAAGGTGATGCGTTTACTTATGGTATCTAGGTTATGCGATTTAGAATGTACATTTTTTACCTTTGACCCAATGATTTGGTCATGGGACCGCTTATCCGCTCTACCATGGACATTATGCCGTCATTACAGCTCCGTCATGAATTTAAGATAATCACGTGACGATGTATAGTAAAACGGGATGACGTGATTATCGTACGATATATTGTATTGTCGCCATATCTCGCTCGATTCAAGAAACATGTCGTTACCTCATCTGTGACAACTTTTAAGTCGTGCTGTTTGTTGCTGGCCGCTTAACGTTTTGAGCCTGTTGGGGCTGTGCCCGGCAACGGTGAGTAAAGTCAATATTTCATAAACCCTCGTGATAAGACACTGGCTTGGTGGGGACGGTAGGGTGGGGGGCATGCCCTTGGGGATAGTGGGGGGGGGGGGGGGGCATGACCCTGGTAATGGGGGAGGGGTGGGAGGAAGGGGTAGGGGGCATGCCCTTGGGGATGGTGGGGGGGGGGTGTGGCACGGCGGCGTCACCTGCAGCGTGTGTTTGTTGTCGCGGGTGGACAGCGATCCCACCACGGTGGCCACCGCGACGCCCGGCTTGATCTCCATGGGGATCAGGGAGTCCGCCAGCTGCCGGTGGCGCACGAGAGAGCAGCAGCGTTACAGCTGGGACGTCACGCGCCACGACGGATCGACTAAAAGTTTTAATCGACCACTCACTTGTTGTTGATGAACTCAACTTTGAACTAAAAAAAAATTAGCGGCTGACCAGACACCCTGCCTCAACAAAGGCAGGAACCCCCCCCCTCGTCCCTCTACAAGGCCACGGCCATGCGTGACACCCAGCTGATGGTGTGATACATCATATAATAAAGTTATCTCTTTCACTGCTCGATTGTTATTTACAAACACACACCACGTGTTTGTGTTTAATCGTTAGGCTACACAAGCAGGCAGTCTCTCATTATTGAATAATTACAAGAGATAAATAGGTGGTGGTGGGATTTAATATTCAATCATTAAACTCGTCAAGAGGGCAGATTGTTCCCTCAATACCGAGTCGACTGTGCTTGCCTGTCTTAACCTAGGTTCGCTTATTCGAATGTAATCCTTAATTGGACATGATTACAATCCTAATTAAGCTTACGTGCTGGGTATTGGCTATCCAGTAAAGACGCAGCTTAAACATTAGCTCAGACAGGTGCTTACCTAACATTGGAGAATAGATTAATTAAGCTTAATTTGAACCACAATCGCCTGTGGCGGTGAAAATAGCATGCAGCGGTGAAAATAGCATGCAGCGGTGAAAATAGCATGCAGCGCGGCGCGGCCCTGTTCTTAACACTGAACCTGCCGCCACCCTAACATTATTTTGTTCCACCATAGCTCTGTTCAGCCCAAATTCCTGTGCCTTTCTATTCCCAGCAACCGGAGGGGATAGTCGGTAGGGGCTATGGTGGTGGTGGTGGTGATGATGGTAGCATTGGTGGTAGTGGTAGCGGCAGTGGTGGTGGGGAAGGTGGAAAGGGTGGCGTGGGAGGTGGTGGAGGTGGTAGCAGTGGTGGTGGCATAGGAGTTGGTGCCATTGGCGAGTGGCGGTGGCCATCACCTCTGGCGCGATCTCGATGCGCTCGTAGTGCCGCTTGACCGGCAGGGAGATGACGTCGGCGCGCCGGTAGGGGAGCGGTGGGGGCTGCGAGTCGACCACGAGGTCAGTGCGGTGAGCCTGCGTGGGCGGCGGCTGCGTGTACTGCTCGGGGCACACGATGTGCAGAGGCTGCGCACACAAAGACAAAGAAACCCCATGTAGGCTTACCAGGCTGTTGGGGCAAGTGCTTTAAGTGAGCACCTATGAAGGCTGGCACGGTACACGAGGGAGTGGGTGGCTAGCACCACGCCCGACCACCTTTGTCTCCCCGGTGGCGATATTTATACACATCGCCAGGTACTCATTTTAGGTTGAGTCGACCTAGGGGAGGCCCAGGACCAGTTTAGATAATCGTCACTGCTGTTGGCAATGAGCGGGAATCGACCTCGGGTTGCCGGGTTCGGAGCACAGTGCGCTAACCGCTATACTCCCGCTCCCCACTTCGACAAAGACATCCACACAGACACACACACACAGCGTGACATGTGCACACGTGATTACAATGAAACCCAGCAATGATTCAATGTTATAGCTGTACAGGGAAGTGCCTGCACAATTCTTTTTTTCTAGCACCCATTCACGTACACTACCGCTCCCCACACACACACACAGATCAAAGGTCCCCCGTGTAGCCTCTAAGGGTCTTCTGAGGCAAGTGCTCCCGAGCGAACGCCTATGAAGGCCGGCACGAGGGCGTGGCCAGCATCACGCGCCTGGCCGCCTTCACCTCTCCAATCCCGAGTTTTACACACTGCAATCAAATTAAGGACGAGTTGATCAGAATATTTATTTCTTACTGGAGGAATCCGATGAGCCGTAAAACTCTTTTTCACAGGTGTCCAGTAAGGGCAAGCTCAAAACGTTTCAAGGCTCAGGACCTGATCAGATAGCGCTCATCGCTGACGCTGTAGCCCCGATTGGGAATTGTAACGCGGGGCGCACGTTGCGCTAAAAAGCACGCGCGCTCGTCCGACTAACGCGGCACGGGTGCCGGCGTGGCCTTGCAGCACAGAGGGAGCGGCGCGTGCGGATCGCAGCGGGAGGCCGGCGACACGCGCAGACGCCATTACCTGCAGGTCCTTGAGCAGCTTGGACACCTGCATGAAGTTGAGGCGGGTGTCGATGGGGCAGTACACCGCCTTCATGGCCAGCGGCTGGTACGGAGCCAGCGCCTCCATGTACGGGAAGTCTGGCTCTGAAACCGCGGTCGAAAATCATCGTCGTCGTAATCAGCCGCTGGGTTGAGGCCTTCGAAAGCCGTCGCTTTTTCTCGCGGTCTCACGAGGCCGAAGACTGCCCCGGCTGATTTTGTCGCTGCCCACGTGTACCACGGTGAGCGTCGTCTCGGGCGTGTCCCCTCTTGTTGGCTGCCATTCCATCGTCGGGCTCGTTCATTCATCATCATCCCTTCTAGCAAGCGATATATCCTGCGCAATTCACCTATCGTTTTTTCTTAACAGTGAATATGCTCAGAGGCACAGCAATAAAGTAAACAGCATGATAAAGTTTTGATTTCAAGCTTTCGTGACTGCAGTAATTCATATTCTTAGCTCTTTCGGTAAAGTCACGTTGAAGGGAAACAATAAAATAATACAATATATAAAAACCAACGGCCGTTGGTTTTTTCACACCTGATAACGACCGTTTGTGTTATGGTCGAAACGTCGTGAGAATTTTTATTGTTTTATATATATTTTATTATTTTATTGTTTCCCTTCAACATAACTTTACCGAAAGAGCTAAGAATATAGCCTGATAAAGTCTCTGATTTTGGATCCTCCTACGTGCAGAAAAGTGTATGAGCGCTCACATTTTCACGCACATGCGCCGGTTGCATTGGTACGCGGTGAAATATTTTTTTAAAACTCTTTTTGAAAGTATTTAATTTCCATCTTTCCCAAAAACTATAAAGATGTGGCCACTGTTATTAGTAAACTGTGTGGCAAATTTAATTCGTGGAGTAAGTCGATCAGTCAACTCAAACACACCCCGAAATCTTGCCTCCCGAGAGCGGGGGAACCCCCCCTCCTCCTCCAAGCTCCGCTCATTGTGATGCGTGCGACGACGCTGGTGATGTCACATAGCCCCGCCCATCGCCTCCAGTCCAACAGGAACACACGGGAACCGGAGGCGATGCTTTTTTCCACAAATATTTCCGTGTCAAAATGATTAGTTGACTAAATGAACCGATAATCGGTATGGTAATCGACTACTGAACTAATGGGATATCCCAGGTCCAATAACAACCCAACAACAACCCAACGGTTCCCCTAACGAGTAAAGTTGTGAATGCTATTGGAGCAGACACGCCCGAGGCGGGGACACATTTAACACTGCCCTCAATAAACATGCATCCAGAGGGGACGCTAAAGTGAGATCAATTAGCAAAACAATCTCCATTCGTTAGCGCAATGTCAGAAATTTGTTGAACACAATTACACCGTGTTTAGTGTGCACTGTGGCAACAAGGCATGAATAATGTGTGTGTGTGTAAGTGCACGCACACTCAAGGAAAACTGGACAAGGGTCCCATTTCATTCCTTGCCTAAGGCCAATACAAAACGTGCAGTGCCACTCATTAAAAAGAGATGCGTAGGCTTGCACAGAGACTCTCAGACTTGAACACATGCTCACAGACTTGCATAGACATCCAGTCTCGCATAGAGACATTGAGACCAATAGTCCTAGAAAGACTCGGATGACAGGCGTGGCTATCGTGTGCAGGCGGTGCAACGGCACCAGGGCCTAGCCATCGAACAAAGACGGTGGTCACCGCATCGCGGCGCATTCAGATGCGCTTCTGCGGCCGTCTGGAACGCTCTTCTGATATTAGGAAGCCACTGGAGCTATGCACTTTTAAATAATCTAGATTGACAAACTAATTTCTTTCTCGCACCAGCGCCCATGCCAGCCACACTCCTCCACCCGGCGTAGCGGTGGCACCGCGGGCGCTGGCGGCGTACCCGTGAAGATGACCGTGTTGAGGTTGTTCTTCCCCCACAGCTCCAGGAAGTGGACAACGTCGCCGCAGCGCAGCGACGGGTGCCCGGCGAACACCACGCACGGCTGCCGGAACTCGGAGCTGAAGTCGCCGTGGATGCTCGGGTAATGCTTCAGCCGGTTCATCTGGATGAGCTGGTTGGCGCATGGGCAGACGGGTGGGCAGGCAGACGGAAATTACAGACGAAGGGATGGATGGGTAAACCAGGCAGACGTCCAGATGGATGGACAGATGGACCGATGGATGAGACCGATGGACAGACCAAGGAACACGTGGATGGACGAACGAACCAGGGATGGATGGAGGTGGAAAGACATACGTACACATGGGCATACGGAGATGTGTGGAGAGGAAGGTTGTGTCTGTGGTGTGTGGTCATGGAGGCTTCCACACTAGCTCTGGCAGGTTCGAGCCTTCGTGTCCTGGCATTCAGAGTTGACACGAAAGTTAATGAATGCTCTTTGAAAATGATCTGACACAACGCCCCTCTCTTTCCTGGGGAGACCTGGGTAATGGCACTGTGCACGTAGCTCATTGTAGATTTGCAAGCGCTGTAGTTACACACGTTTGTTTACATTTTAGTTTGCGTGACTGGTTCGCAAGAGTACTGAAGAAGTCGCAGGGCAGCTGGGAGGCTCAGAACCCGAGTCGGCAACGCTCACGCGCTCGGGTTCGATTCCGTGCAGCCACAGGGAAGTAAACGAGATCCTCAGATGTCACCGAGTTGATGGCCTCAACTAAATTAATTCACGGATTTACCCACGATATTGTAAACCATTCCGAGACTCTCGCGTCACATGAGGGCGGTTGCACTCTGCTAGCCGTGACAATTCACCGTCTGATATTCCCTATGTGACCCCGGTGACGCAACGAGAACATAATTGGGAGCAAAATAATGAATGAAAACACACCACGCACGCGGTGTTTTAACACTGACCTCGCAGCATATGGCCTGCTTCGTTATGCCCCACAGCATTAGCAGCTGACTGCGGGATTTGACCTCGCGAACCCCTTTTAATCTGGCTCAGCGGGGAGTGCGCTGACCGCTGCGCTGGACTGCCTTCATTTGCTGCTGAATGGCAAAGTGAATGGCTAATTGGCCAGTGTGCCACCGCATCTGGACATGGCTCTATTAGGCTATGGCAAGAAACGTGTATTTGACTTATTTATTTCATCGTGCACACGTAGAGCACTTTCGTCCATCCACTGTGTGGCCTTAAAAGGGAAAATATATAACAGATGACGTTTCGGGCAATGGCCCTTCTCCAGAGGACTTATACAAAACGGGCATTCTCAATCGCTGTTGTTGACCATCTGCCTTGCCAGACACAGCACTGAAATCTTTTCAGATCGATCGCACGAATTCAAGAACGATTATCACGCGAGAGTAAGACAACGGGAACAATAACCGTACCTCCGCGTGAAGAAATGGCGGCTCTGGCAAGTAGACCTTGGATTGCTTGGATTGACACAGCCTGCAGGAATAAAAATACGACCTGTCACGAATGAGAATGCGTGTAACACGTCATCGAACGAATCCACGCAAACTTACACTGTCTTTGGGATCACTGCGGTGAATATGGGTCTTAAAAAATACTGATATATTCGTGAAAATACACATTCTTACACTGATCAAAGTGATTAATGCATTCAATATAAACAAGTGGACAATGCAACTCCTTGCCATATCTGCCAACCCTCGTACACAAAAAAAATATTCAGCAATTTCCAATGCACTTTACAGAGAAAACACCAAGTGTAAATCCACAAGTATTTCGGGGTTAGATGACGTAAATATAAGTGTGTTGTTAAACCCGCCACCACCCGACACAGCCAATTAGTAAGGTAACCAAGTGTAGAACGTACGACACGAATCCAGCAATGGTAAGTCAACGATCTGCGGCCCAGGGGTTCGTACTGCTGAATCAGAGTATTTATTTATACTGGAGGAATCCAATGAGCTATAAAGCTCTTGTTCACAGATGTCCAGTCGTTTCACGGACGCCCGGTAGTTTCACACGTCGGCTACACTGGTGGGCGCGGCCATTACCACGGCGACCGCTCGCGCGCGTTCTGCTCACGTGCAGCGTCGCGACCGGCAACGCAAGACACACAGTGGGCGCCCCAGCGCTGCTCGCGTTCGCTGTTCCGGCAATGCGACGGCCGGCAGCGGCTGAGACCGCTCCAGCAAGTACACGCCCTCTGCCGGCTCCCGCTCCCCGCCTTTTCGTGTTCCCCCCACAACCACCACAGTGCTGTTTCACCCCCCACCCCCGCCGCCGCCGCCGCCGCCGCCCCACCACTCGGCGAAGATCTGCGAGAACTCGAGGGAGCTGCTGGCGACGGGCGAGATGAAGTAGAGTGGCACGGAGGAGAGGTTCGCCGAGTCCATGTACTGGTAGAGGCACTCCAGCAGATCGTAGATGACGCCCGACGGGAAGCAGGGCACCAGCACGTTGCCGCCGCTCCTGATCGTCACCGCTGCGACGTGCAACCACAGGAATTTGAAGTGAATTTTTTTACGTTGCCGAGATGTTAACTACCTCGCCTGGTATACAGGAGATGGTGGATACGATTCCGACCGTGACGCCCGTTGTATATTTGGAGTTTGCGTGTCTCTCTCCCCGTGGCTGCGTGGGTTTTTCTCCGGGTACCTCCGTGTTTTTCCCTCCACATTGAGAAACATGCGTGAAAGTATTTGGCTGCTATAAATTTCCATGTGATAAGCCACTTCACTGAGCTATCATTTGTGACCAGGTGGCTTCTGAAAAAGAGCTATACAGCTCAGTGGGCCTTACCTGGTAATTTTTTTCATAGTATTCATGTTTGTCTGTTCGTCTCTTAACTGTGATTCTCTCATATATATTATGGTTAGTTATCGTTAGGTTAGAAACACTAAAGTCAGTGTTCTCCAGTTTCCTGCTTGAAAAGTGGTTGAAGTTCTTCCCAAATCCTGGCCAGCTGGTTCAACAAACTTAAACAAACAACAGCAGCAGCAGACTTGATTTGGCGCTTCCGTGACTGCAGGAATTACTCTTTGGTTGTTTCGGTAAAGTCACATTTATTATTTCTACGTGACTTTACCGAAAAAACCAAAGAGCAGCAGCAGCAGCAGCTTTCATTTGTAAGCCGCTGAATAGCGTTAAGCAAACGTCTCGGAAGTGCCGCAAGATTGGAAGGGAAACGCATCGAGCAGCGGGCAGGGGAAAGGGATGACCATGGAGGATGGGAAGCAGGTCGGCGAAATAGCGAGGCCGCCGAACAAAGACGCTCACTGCATCGCGCGGCGCTTTCAGATGCGCTTCTGCGGCCGTCTGGAATGCTCTACCTTCCGATATTGGGAAGCCACTTTTAAATCTAGATTGAAAACTTACGTCTTTAAAACTGCTTTTTGTGTTTAGTTTGTTGTCCTTCCCCCGCACCTCCGATGCCTGGAAGTGTTAGTGCACATTAACATGAGTGTGCAAGCGAACATGAGTGTGCGTGCATGAGTGTGGGGAGCAGTGGTGGTGCTCTGCGCTACGAACCCGGCGACCCGAGTTCGATTCCCGCTCATGGCAAACACCGGTGACAATTATCTGAACCGGTCCTGGCCTCCCCTATGTCGACTCGGCCTCAAATGAGCACCAGGTGCGGTGTGTAAACATCATCACTAGGGAGACAAAGGCAGCTGGGCGTGGTGCTGGCCACCCACCCGCTTTTGCCGTGCCGGCCTTCACAGCTGCTCGCTATCAGCACTTGCTTGCTTCAAAAGTCTGTTTTGTTATTTTAAGTCTGCACGTGCATGCACACTTAGTCTGCCCTAAGATGTGTGCAGCGCGGCAGAGGCCTACGAACGTGAATGCCCGCAACAGGCACGGGCTGTTTTACGTAACGCTGCGTCAACGCGTCTACAATGCGAGCCTCTCGTTTCCTTGCCAAGGTTCGTGCACTGAAGCCCGATGCGAGAAACGCACTGACAACGCGCAAGTCATAAGTGCTCCAGTGCGCCAGTACTATGCAGCCAATTGCTAAGAGCAAAATCACAGGTCAATTTCAATGAAGTACATTCGACCATCGCACCGGTGATGGCAATTTCATACACGGCGCATCGACGGATTCTCATCAACTGCAATCTCACGCCGAGGAATGACACGAGGCTGCGTCTGCTCTTAATTTAAATGTTCTTGCCGCGCGGTGTTGCGGTCTCCTCCTTCGGTACGCACCCAGGTTGCTGCAAAAATCCCCCACCATGTTGTCCGGGTTTGCCAGCGGGATCTGCGTCAGCCCGGTCAGAATCATCGCGTCGCTGCCTCTGAGTGGCGCATGCTCCATGGGCTAGAGGGGAAGAGGGGAAGACGGGGAGAGGAAAGAAAACAACAGCGTTATTGTCCACGGAGCGATTTGCACCTCCGCGGCAATTCGATACTAAACGACAAAAACGAAATGCAAATTTTTATTTTACCGACTAAGGCCCACTGAGCTATGTAGCTCTTTTTCAGAAGCTACCTGGCCGCAAAGGATAGCTCAACGAAGCGGCTGATCACGTGAAAATTTAGAGCAGCCAAATACTCTAAAACGCGTGTTGTTTCTAAATGCGAAAGGAAAAACCAGAGGACCCAAACAAAAATCCACTCAACCAAGGGGAGAGAGAGAGAGACATGAAAACTCCAAATATACAGGCATCATGGCCGGGATCAAACCCACGACCATCCGTATGTATAACAGGCGAGGTATTTAATATTTCGGCAATGTAGCGCACACATTGCAATGATTCGGAACCTTCACCCAGCCATCCTATTACTCCCGAGCCATCCATGGGCTGTTCCTGGGCCATCAAAGTGTGTAAACGAAGCATCGCCGTTTCTGATTCTACAGCTCCCAGGCACGGTCCCTCTCATGCTGACTTACCAACTGTGAGCTGCCCCCCCGGCCTCCTGTGGCCACCGCTGTCCATACCTGCGGGTGAGTGGTGAGCAGCGAGGAGCCGGACACGTAAGCCACCTTCTCGTGCTGGGACTGGATGAGCCAGTTGCAGCTGCCGAGGCAGTAGCCGGAGCTCAGCGGCGTCACGGAGACGGCGCCGAACAGCTCCTGCGCGGCGGAGCGAGAGCGATTTCTTCGTGAACGGCGAGAGAGAGGGACGGCGACAAAGTCTGGGAGCGTGAGTCTGTTCCCCGCTGTGAGAGAGAGAGGGACTGTGACAAAGTCTGGGAGCGTGAGTCTGTTCCCTGCGTGAGAGAGAGAGGGACTGTGACAAAGTCTGGGAGCGTGAGTCTGTTCCCGGTGTGAGAGAGAGAGGGACTGTGACAAAGTCTGGGAGCGTGAGTCTGTTCCCCGCTGTGAGAGAGAGAGGGACTGTGACAAAGTCTGGGAGCGTGAGTCTGTTCCCCGCGTGAGAGAGAGATGGACGGCGACAAAGTCTGGGAGTGTGAGTCTGTTCCCTGTGTGAGAGAGAGAGAGAGCGACTGTGACAAAGTCTGGGAACGTGAGTCTGTTCCCTGTGTGAGAGAGAGGGACTGTGACAAAGTCTGGGAGCGTGAATCTGTTCCCGGTGTGAGAGACAGAGGGACTGTAACAAAGTTTGAGAGCGTGAGTCTGTTCCCCGCGTGAGAGAGAGATGGACGGCGACAAAGTCTGGGAGTCTGAGTCTGTTCCCTGTGTGAGAGAGAGAGAGAGCGACTGTGACAAAGTCTGGGAACGTGAGTCTGTTCCATGTGTGAGAGAGAGGGACTGTGACAAAGTCTGGGAGCGTGAATCTGTTCCCGGTGTGAGAGACAGAGGGACTGTAACAAAGTCTGGGAGCGTGATACTCTTTGGTTCTATTGGGTAAAGTCACGTAGGTAAAAAATAAAATAACAAAAATCACGACGTTTCGGCCACAACACAAGCGGCCTTCATCAGGTGAAGGGACGAGACTGTCTGGAGGACGGCGCTGGAGTGAAAAAAGCCACGCTCAGATCACGACCTTTAAGCTGTGTGAGAAGAAACAAAGCGCCTTGACAAAGGAATTAGCATATAATTTAGGATTGAAATGGCTCATTGAAATAGCTAAGTTAAAGTATACACATCCGCAGAGGCACCCCTTGACAAAGGAATTAGCATAGAATTTAGCATTGAAATAGCTGAGTGATTAGCTTGTAACTGGTCACAGAAATAGCTATGTTAAAGTCAGAGCATATACATTCACCGAGGCACCTAGTACAAATCAAACAGGAGAATTCCTTTGTCAAGGGGTGCCTCTGCGGATGTGTATACTTTAACTTAGCTATTTCAATGAGCCATTTAAATGCTAAATTATATGCTAATTCCTTTGTCAAGGCGCTTTGTTTCTTCTCACACAGCTTAAAGGTCGTGATCTGAGCGTGGCTTTTTTCACTCCAGCGCTGTCCTCCAGACACTCTCGTCCCTTCACCTGATGAAGGTCGCTTGTGTTGTGGCCGAAACGTCGTGATTTTTGTTATTTTATTTTTTACCTACGTGACTTTACCCAATAGAACCAAAGAGTATGGATCCTAGCAGTCACGAAAGCTTTAAATCTAGAATCTGGGAGCGTGAGTCTGTTCCCTGTGTGAGAGAGAGAGAGAGGGACTGTGACAAAGTCTGGGAGCGTGAGTCTGTTCCCTGTGTGTGAGAGAGAGAGAGAGACTGTGACAAAGTCTGGGAGCGTGAGTCTGTTCCCTGCGTGAGAGAGAGAGGGACTGTAACAAAGTCTGGGAGCGTGAGTCTGTTCCCTGTGTGAGAGAGAGGGGGTCAGTGACAAAGTCTGGGAGCGTGAGTCTGTTCCCTGCGTGAGAGAGAGAGGGACTGTAACAAAGTCTGGGAGCGTGAGTCTGTTCCCTGTGTGAGAGAGAGGGGGTCAGTGACAAAGTCTGGGAGCGTGAGTCTGTTCCCGGGGTGAGAGAGAGGGACTGTGACAAAGTCTGGGAGCGTGAGTCTGTTCCCGGTGTGTGAGAGAGAGGGACTGTGACAAAGTCTAGGAGCTTGAGTCTGTTCCCTGTGTGAGAGAGAGGGACTGTGACAAAGTCTGGGAGCGCGAGTCTGTTCCCGGTGTGTGAGAGAGAGGGACTGTAACAAAGTCTGGGAGCGTGAGTCTGTTCCCTGCGTGAGAGAGAGGGACTGTAACAAAGTCTGGGAGCGTGAGTCTGTTCCCTGTGTGAGAGTGAGGGGGTCAGTGACAAAGTCTGGGAGCGTGAGTCTGTTCCCGGGGTGAGAGCGAGGGACTGTGACAAAGTCTGGGAGCGTGAGTCTGTTCCCGGTGTGTGAGAGAGAGGGACTGTGACAAAGTCTAGGAGCTTGAGTCTGTTCCCTGTGTGAGAGAGAGGGACTGTGACAAAGTCTGGGAGCGCGAGTCTGTTCCCGGTGTGTGAGAGAGAGGGACTGTGACAAAGTCTAGGAGCGTGAGTCTGTTCCCGGTGTGAGCCGACAAAGCGAAAACCGCAAGCCTCTTGATTTGAAATAAAAGATTGATTTCATGAATTTGTATTCGAGTCAAATTGTTTTCACCTTTCAAATGAGTGTGGGGCAACGCCTATCTCCCGTTTCACGGTGTTGAGACGGTGGAGGAAATTCCCCACTGCTAACATGGCGGGAGTTCAGTTCAGCGTGACAGTCGGGGTGAGGAATGACGAGACGCGAAAGCAAGCAAAGAGTGCTACCCGTCTCGAACAAGCAGTGGGAAAACGTCAACTGGAATGGCTTGGGACATGGCGTAAGAGCGATGAAAAAACACATCGGAAGAACGGTGATGAACATGTCAGCATCAGAGGTGTCCTTCGAAGCGAAGCAAGGGGCATGAAGGAGCGTGGAGTGGATGTGGAAATGGCTCAGGAGAGGAGTGGAGGAAGAGGAGCAGAGAGGCAGACCCCACGTGGGTGGGAGCAATGTCAGGAAGAAGACGTAGGTAAGCTATACATCAGATATGTAATTATATTCTTGAATCCCTGCAGTCACGAAAGCAAGTCAAGATATGTAATTGTTACATAATACACCAGTTATTTTTATTTTTCCAAATTATGCTCTGGGCAACAGCATTATAAAGAAAAAAATGCCTTTGCTTAAGAATGACTTCACAAGGTCGAGCAGACGAGCTACACGTTGGTTAGCAACGCCCACGGCAGCTGCACAACCTAATCTCAACCTCGTGTACGTCAGCTAGATTGTAAGCGGCAGTGACCACCAGGCCACAAATGACACACACACACAGACAGACACGAGGATTAACCTGCCGTACACTCGGATTAAATGTGCCACATCCCGCGTGATCGACACAGCTAACCGCGGCATTGTTTCTGCAAAACCTCTTCACTCCGGGATGCCCTTGTATGTAGGGGGCAAAAAGTCATAACCCTTGGGGGATCAGGAGAGTTGTTGACGAACCTGCGCTCTCACCTTTACCGGGCTGGGAGAGAAAGAAGTGGCGTGGGCACTGCAGATGTAGCGCTCAGGCTGAAGAGGCCCAAGCGTGGGTGTCTGCCAGGACCAATGGGACTTCTATTTGTTTTGTTCTGCCAAATTAGAAATTGGGGTTGAACGGTGATTTGTGTACTGCACTCGGGACCCGGCTAACGTGAGTTTAATTACCTTCCACGGCCAACATCAGTGGCGAGCAATAATTGAACCGGACCTGGATCCCACTTTCACCAACGCACGTTGACTAGCATGGTGAAGTATGGTCAAACAACCATCTCAACCGATATGGTGTGGGGAAGCCTTCATCCGACAGTGTATTGCCGAAGCAACATTATTATTACATTATTATTATTAAATTTGAGTAAGCAATTCTAGATTTAAAGCTTTCCTGACTGCAAGGATCCATACTCTTTGGTTCTATTCAGTAAAGTCACGTAGGTAAAAAATAAAACAACAAAAATCACCTACGTAACTTTACCGAATAGAACCAAAGAGTATAAGTAAGCAATGTTTTGATAGTGAGCGATTGAAAGGCACCTCCTGGTTAAATAAATTGAGTTTTAGGACAAGGGAATCAATTAATATAGAACGCATAGCAGCCCGTGTTGCCAGAAGAACATGGAAATGGTTATTGATTCCCCGCCTGCATCTTAGGACTCTCAGTGCCACCCAGGCAGACGTCCAAACTGCTACCCCTCACACCCAACAGCGGTAACCGATCAATGTCGTTGCCTCCCCGTCGCTTAGGAATGCGAGCACTGTCTTGACGATGCTCCAGGGGGCTTGCCACCCATAAGTTTGAGAAATGTTGATAATTAAAAAAAAACGTGTGAATGACCTATTACATCTTTCGCGAGGTTCACCTGTTAAGTGTTCTAAACGCAACCGTGAATGTCATCCGTTTGGCCGAAGAGCAAAGAGCGATGTTTAAAACATTGCCACCCGTGGCATCCCGCGGCGGACGTGCCCACTGCCTTGAGTGTGCTGTTGCGGAAACGACGACCAGATCATCGACCACGCAGCTGCATTGGGAACGTTCAACTGGGGGGGGGTGTGGCATCAAAATAATCCGCAGCACGTCAACTGAAGCCATTTCCTGGCAACCAAATGTACGCACAGGTTTCCATCCATTCTGCGATATGACAGTAACATGTCTTGTGAAAACTAATTTCTTTAGAACTGCTTTTTGTGTTTAGTTTTTCCTTCCCCCGCACTCCTATTGTGTTTTTGAATTGTTTGTTGTTGTAAAGTTCTTACCCGCCCTGACTGGACACCTGTGAAAAAAGCTCTATAGCTCGTCGGATTCCTCCAGTAATAAATATTCTGATTCCGACCTCCGATTAGCACGGTGCGAAAGAATTTCAACATACGTACACCTCGGGCATGCACGTGGATGACGACGGCTGCCGTGTCCGGCTAATCCAGGTTGCGCCTCGGGTTAATCCCCGCCTCCTCCTGCACCTCGCGATCCGCCCGCCAGCGCGGGCAGGCGAGTGGCACGGCTGGCGGGCGAGCCAACGAGCGAGTTAGCTAACGAGCGAGCGCGCGAGACAACCCACCGTCCTCTGCGAGTAGCCGACGAGCTGCACCTTGCTCAGCGCGGCGTTCACGTCGGCCATGCCGTAGCACTTGCGCCACGCCGCCACCTCCGCCGCGTCCTTGAGCGGCGCCGGCAGATTCCTGCAGGGGGGGGGGGGAGGATGCGACTGAAACCGTGCGGAGGTCCGGCAACGGCTAGGACGCAACGGACTCTCTCCGCTTGTTGGAGCCCGACTCTGAAATCGTACAGTTGGCTTGCGATTGCTAAATAGAGCACGATTACATTTTCCTTCTTCTCCACGAGCCGACCCCTCTCTCCGTGTGTGGGGAACGGTGGTGCAGCGGCTAGCGCGCTGCACGGAGAATTCAGCGAGCCGGGGATAATCATCACCGGCCACCACCGGTGACGATTATCCGAACCAGTTCTGGGCCTCCCCTAGGTCAAATCGGCCTTAAATGAGTACCTGGTGCGGTGTGTAAACATCGCCATCAGGAAGACAAAGGCGCTTGGGCGTGGTGCTGGCCACCCACCCCCTCGTATGCCTTGCCGGCCTTCATAGGTGCTCGCTAACAGCGCTTACCCCAACAGTATGTTATAGGCTACACGGGAGACCTTTGTGTTTGCATGCGCACTCAGGCAAGGCCGACCTGAGGATGTCCTTGTTCTTCCACTTGCATGCCGTCTTGGGCTTGGGAACCCGCTCGACAAAGGACACGAGCTCCTCCATGAGCTGCCTGCCGGGGCAGACACACAAACCCGCCAGAAGGCATCACTCACCATGCACGCACGAGCCCCAGTGGCTAACTCTGCACGAGCCCCAGTGGCTAACTCTGCACGAGTCCCAGTGGCTAACTCTGCACGAGCCCCAGTGGCTAACGCTGCATGAGCCCCAGTGGCTAACCCTGCACGAGCCCCAGTGGCTAACCCTGCACGAGCCCCAGTGGCTAACCCTGCACGAGCCCCAGTGGCTAACTCTGCACGAACCCCAGTGGCTAATGCTGCACGAGCCCCAGTGGCTAACTCTGCATGTGCCCCAGTGGCTAACTCTGCACGAGCCCCAGTGGCTAACGCTGCATGAGCCCCAGTGGCTAACCCTGCATGAGCCCCAGTGGCTAACCCTGCATGAGCCCCAGTGGTTAACCCTGCATGAGCCCCAGTGGCTAACCCTGCATGAGCCCCAGTGGCTAACCCTGCATGAGCCCCAGTGGCTAACCCTGCATGAGCCCCAGTGGCTAACCCTGCATGAGCCCCAGTGGCTAACCCTGCACGAGCCCCAGTGGCTAACGCTGCATGAGCCCCAGTGGCTAACCCTGCATGAGCCCCAGTGGCTAACCCTGCACGAGCCCCAGTGGCTAACCCTGCACGAGCCCCAGTGGCTAACCCTGCATGAGCCCCAGTGGCTAACCCTGCACGAGCCCCAGTGGCTAACCCTGCATGAGCCCCAGTGGCTAACCCTGCATGAGCCTCAGTAGCTAACCCTGCACGAGCCCCAGTGGCTAACCCTGCACGAGCCCCAGTGGCTAACCCTGCATGAGCCCCAGTGGCTAACGCTGCAGGATTTGTCTATTTAACTGAGTGAACGCTGACGACTTATATGTTTAATTTCCTTTTCCAAGAAAGACCTCGGTGATGTGAATTATTAATAATTTAAATAAGCCACATTCATACATTGTATTCGAGTGGATAATAATGTATGTTTATTTAATTCACCCAAGGGAAAGATGGCATTCATTTCCCAGTTTTCAAGAAACACCCTGGTGATATCAATGAATAATAATAATAAAAAATAACACGTGGTTTTGTGGTAGTGGTGGCAGGGTTGGTGGTGGCGGTGGTGGTGGCGGTGGTGGTGTTGGCAGTGGCAGTAGCCGTGGTGGGGTAAGCAGCGGCCGGGGCCGGAGGGAGACGCACCGCCCGATCTGAAGCGTGGGCTCGGTGGCGTAGACGATGCCCGTGAAGCCGGTGCGCTCCGTGACATACGGCAACGCCATCATGCTGTGGTAGTTGGAGATGAGGATGGCGTCCACCGTGGAGAGGTCGATCAGCTCCGTCTGTTTCGCGCAAGGATGTACGTGAGTATGTTTGTACGTACGTTTAACTTATTTTGCACCGTACGTAGCCAACTGTGGTAATCGGAGGTGCGGGGGAAGGACAACAAATTAAACACAAAAAAAGTTCTAAAGAAATTCGTTTTCAATCTCGATGATTTAAAAGTGCATAGCTCCAGTGGCTTCCTAATATCGGGAGGAAGAGCGTTCCAGACGGCAGCAGAAGCGCATCTGAAAGCGCGGGGCTGAGTACAATGTCTTTAAGAACCACGGCGCTACGCCTCTCTAAATAAAATCAACGCTAACCACTTGCACGCTCTGAGATTCAGCGTTGAACGGAACTCCCCCCCCCCCGCAACTTTCAGACGTCTCTGAATGGGAAATGGTTAAATAGCCGACGCCATTTACGTTAACTATCAAGGTTATACGTTGACAGTTAATGCCGTTCTTCACCAAAGCGTGGGCGAGTTATCGCTTGGGGTGTTGATGGAGTGGAGCATGTACCTCGGGTATGCAGAACTCCGGGGCAGAGTCTACGAACGTCCGGCCAGCACATTCCTTCAACTCCTGACAAAAGACATCATCCGCGCGAACTCTCAAGAGCAGAAGCGCGTCACGAAAAAATACTTGCCGGATGATTTGGCCGTGGGCGGTTGAATTTACAGAAAGAACTAAATGCTTCAGTTGATGGGTCACCAAGGTCATTAGTTCCTTATTCCCATAACAGTGTGAAGCCTGAACCGATAATTGCTGTTTTGTGTCGCCACCTACGTAACCCAAAGATTGAGTGTACTGTGCAACGAGCTTACTGTGTGACGTCTGAACTGTGTGATGTCTGTACCATCGCAGGGTGCTCACAAAATAGAAGCTACCAGCTCACTGGGCCTTGCCTGCCGAAATAAATAAAATCCATCTTTCTATTATTTGCAAGATTTATGTAATGAAACCACACTCCAGGATTTGGTGGATTTATCACAATTTCCGGTCACGATTTTGATTAAATAATTTGTATTGCCTGACTTGTATATTCCGTCTTTTTTTTGTTGCGTCTCTTTCGCATATACGTTGCATGAATAATCGATTCTTACACGAATCATTCAGTGCACGTAATTGTGAGCATAAGAATCTATTTCTGTTCATTGGATCGTTACAGACTCAATTTAAAAGCCAAACGATTTACGCAACTGTCAGGAGTGAACGCTTCCGCCACCACTGACCTTTTCCAGTGTCTTGTTTCCGTCTTTGGAGACCCAGTTGGGCAGCTTTGCCAAGCGAGCACTGAGAATGATAAACAGATAAACACACACACACATGCTTTACTTATCCCAACAATTGATGCGTATCCTAGCTGGCACTGACAGTAGGCGGATCCACTGAACATACTTTGGTTTCAAATTTAGATTCGCAAGCAATGAAGGTTTTTGGTCTTTGAAGAACAAAATACATACAAGGAAAAGGAGCGGCCCTCCAATTGCCTGCTCACAATGCTGCTGTCGAGTTGCTCACCGCTCCTTTCTATCGTATGCCATTTTGGCCTTAATAGCTGCTCATTAACAGAACTTGCCCCTTACAGCCCACATGGATAACTGGGGGATATTTGCCCTCATTATGGTGTAGATGTAATAAAAGTTTATATTACTGTCTCAAGACTTTTTTAGGAGGGTCCTGCATTTATTCCAGGGGATACCGCTCAAATTTCTACACAGAAGGGTTCACTATCCACTTCCCGTACTGCCACTTTTGGCCACTTCACAGCCCAGCGGATTTGGGAAGATTCACCAATCTCTGCATGATCCACCAACCCTTGCCTCCAAAGGACTGAATTGCAGGTATGTGCCAATCCACCCGGTTTTTGAAATTGAAATGCTGTTACCCATCAGAACGTGCACACTAAAAGTGGGCAATTGTCACAATTCCTAGCCGGAAATCGCAAATCTTCTCCTGGAAACAAAAACGTTTCAAATGCCTGCGGCGGATGCCCACGTAAGACATTTCGATATAGATTCTGCCCGATATATATATAAGCCGGCTGGGAGAGAACGCTGCGGCCACCGACAGAGCTCACCTGTGGACGAGCGTGAGCGGCAGGAATTGGAGCGCCGACGAGAAGTCCAGGCCACAGTCCAGCATCACCGTGGTGGCCTTGAACTTGAGGACGTTGCACGGCAGGGTCGGGTGCCCGGACAGGCAGTACTGTGGACAGCGATAGGGCGTGTCGTTGGGCACTCAGGAAATCGTGGTTTCAACTCGAGTGGTCGCCCTCATCGTTACCGTGGGCGTAATCAATGGCGGAGCCAGGATTTTCAGGTAAGGGGGGGCACAGCCCCTCCAGCAATGAAAAATGATAGTTGTTAGTAAGGACTTGTCCCTTGCTGTTTATTCGACGCGTGTGCAGCGATGGCGCAGCCATCGATCGAGGGTCGAATTCGAACCATGTGCGATCGGCATCGCGCTCGCTGAAGGTATGCCTATCAGGGAAGTCGTGTACTGTATACGCAACTGCGCACAATTCTGAGTCATTTATAACTGCCTTCCCGTTACTTATTGCCAATTATGGACTCAGACTATTGTCCTATCATCTCAGAGTCCCTGGCACGTAATAATATGCTACACAGTGGCAGTGGGGGTCGCAAAATGCCAATTTATTACTAATAAACCCCAATGATCCGATCGAAATAAGGGATTTCGATTAAATCATTGGGGGGGCACGTGCCACCCCCCCACTGGCTCCGCCAGTGGGCGTAATGACCATGACGATACGACACTCCCGTCGTTTGCACAGTGGATGTCAAAGATCCCCTGATGTCATTCGTATTGTGTGCCGGAGTTATGGTCCAAATTAAAAAAAATACCCGCTAATTCATCGATTAGGATAATATATATAGCAATCGTCACCCCCTACTGGCAGACTACTGCCCCATGTCATTCTTTATAAATGAGACTCAACCTGGTCTCTTGAGCTCTAACCTGGTTCAACAAAATAAGCTCAGGGTGAATCATAGCTGGCAGTAGTCACCAATCGTAGCAGTTGCAGCATTTGCTATTGTAACAAAAATTGCTTGCCCAAATCTGGACAAATTTAATCACTGCTCTGCTTCGTGGGCAACTGTGATGTAAACTTCCAATCAGGTCGCAAGCAGAGGTCCACATGACTTCCCAAGGCTGTGTGCTCTCCTGACCAATCACTATTCATCAATAATACTTTTCCACAAACTGTTTTCATTGGTGAGACTAAATTCTGTCACTCCATACCACTGCTGTGCCGAGTTGCTACATTTCGTCAGAGTAAATGCTTTTCCGGTGGTGATTGCCGGAGACAATTGCCCAAAAATTGTCCGAGTGTATCACGGTGGACCGGTGATTGCATCAACTATCAGCGACAACCGCCGTTCACCACTAAGTGGTGGTGACGTCACCGTGGCGCTTGTGCTATGAAAGGTGCACTTTCAGGCCACGTGAAGTGTCGAAGGCCCGCTGGCAGGTCATAGGACAGACCCAGGTGCCATGGGTTGACTGAGACAGCTGGCGGATGCACCAACTGTGCTCCCCCACTGTGCCAACTCTCTGCGTTTTAGCCGCTCCGCTCGTTGTTGTGAGCGTCGATCCTCTGCCCTCCGTTGTTGCTGGAGGATGACTGCCTCCAACTCCTCAGCAGCATCTTTCACAAACCTACTCCTCGGAGGCAGATTTTAACACCGCTGGTACCGGCCATCGGCACATGCGACAACACATCGAGACACCAACATTCTCCTGACGTGTGGGGGTGTTCTCTGGTTACTTCGGTTTCCTCGCAACATAAAACACGCTATTTGAAAAGGTGGCTAAACATCCCAATGTAGAAACCTAATTAAAGAGTCTTGAGACTTAGCGAGGCTTTCCTGGATAAATCACGTTGCTATTAATAATACACAGCAATGCATTTGGGTGGAGCGGTGGTGCGGTGGTTGGCGCAAAGGTTGGCGCACTGCACTATGAATTGGGTGAACCGAGTTCGATTCCTGGCCCTGGGTAAGATCAGTGGCAAGCGATGTCACAACCAGTCCTGGGCTAATCAATTACTTTATGAAGGGCTGTACATCATACATTGGACGATAAATAATAATACATTAATAATCCAGGCTGATGTCTGATTCTCAATCATCCACATTCATTGTTACAATAAGGAGCTTAAGTCCTGGCATGTGGAAGGAGCTTACTTCTCATCTTATTCATCCCCATAGATAATTCTTAGTAAGTAATGAGGCCAGCATGCTCTGTCATGTGATCTGCTGGTGAAAATGATGCGGGTTTGTTTACATGTGTATTGCAATGCGACCACCATGCATGGCAGGTTGCGATAGCATGCTGGGCAGTGCATGCAGCAAATGTCATTGCTCCGCTGTATTTCTATGCTCCCGCGTTTGAGCACCCTCCCCCCCCCCACCCCCTCGCCAACCCGCACTGACTGGCGTGGTGAAGTATGGCCAAATAAACACCAAGACCTGCAGTGTCGGGTGACTTCGTCCAGCAGTGGATTAAGGGCTGTATACATACGGTATATTTCATTGACATGTGACTATCTGCCTCGAAAACAATTGCAGTCTCGATGGGCTCTCCTGTAGGTTTACATAAAGAACTAATGATGAGTATGATAGTTAAGACTGCGCATAACTCCGCCTACTAACTTGCTTTTAGCCTTTTTTTTGCCAACCAAATGTAATCATGTCTCCTCGAACGATAGGATAAATAAGCCAGCTCAAAGTTGAGCATTAATACGATTTACAGTTTATCCAGCCTGCTGCTTCTTTGAATACAGCCCAAGGATTATCATCTTTGCCATCCTCGCTTCACTCCAGCCAGCGTGTCACCGAGTACGTCGGAGCGCAAACGTTGTTCACATCCTCCCATCCCTCCGCTTTCCTCCGATTCCCCGCACCTCCGATGAGGACGGTTGGCTTCCTTATGGTGAGAAATAAATTCAACATATACACATGCACCACTCTCCAACTCTCACCGCTATTTTCCAAGTCCTCCCTTGGCATGTCACTCCATACCTTGCGTGGATGACCTTTGCTCTTTGTCCTTTCCCCTGTATATTCATTCAAAGTCTATTGGCAACCGATTATATAGTATTCATCCTATGAGAATAGGTTTTACCCTTTTTTCTGGCAACAAAACAGGTGTTAAGATGTTAAAACACCAAACTGAACCTTTTACAAGGAATCATGTCTGCATTAACCACAATACTTGTGGTCAGAATGCATACTAAAAACATACTCTGATAAAAAAAAAATAACTAAGAGATCACGACGTTTCGATAACAACACAAGCCATCATCTTCAGGTGAAACAATACAGCAGGCGGACTGCTGAGGTAGGAAGAAATGTTGCGAGAGAGCTACTGCGGCCAAAGGTTATACAGTAAAACCTTGGATTGCGAGTAACTTGGTCTGCGCGTGTTTTGCAAGACGAGCAAATTTTTTAAATAAATATTAATACTGGTAGGAACGAAGTTGTAAACTGAGTGTACCAGCCTGCAATAGATTAATGTGTCCGTCCGTCCCCTTTCAATACTTTAACGAAGTGAAATCTCGTGCTGTTGGGGTGTAAAAATAAAATTGCGCAAAATTCCAATGTTCCTACCAGCCCACCCTGCAGGGACCTGTTTTGATAAACGAGCGAGGACTTGCAATACGAGCAGTACGTATACGCTTTGTCTGCCGAGCGTCACCTGATCACTACTGATATACAAGTGATTTGGATTACAAACACGTTTCCGGAACTAATTCTGCTCGCAATCCAAGGTTATATTGTATAAGTTTGTGGTGGGTACAACCCAATGGTAAGTGGGCGGGGCTAGGGATGTAATTTGTAAGTCGATGTAAAATCGCAAATAAAGCTGTCTCTGGTGTGGACCAATCAGTTTCAAAGACAATGCCATATATTATCAGAGTATATTTTTTGTTTGCATTCTGACCACAAGTATTGTGGTTAATGCAGACATGATTCCTTGTAGAAGGTTTCAGTTTGGTGTTTTACCATCTTAACACAGCTGTTTTGTTGCCAGAAAAAAGGGGAAAACCTATTGTCATATTTTGGTACTGGCAAAAGGAGGTCCCATTATTCATCCTGTTTTGTGTGTCCGTACCATCGCATGTTTTTTTCTAGATCCCGCAAAAACGCAGTCTACCATCAACATTTGACAATGTGGACCCTGACATTGCAACTTCTAAAGTCAATCAATGTCAATGGGTATAGCTGTTACATTTCACATGCAATAGTTATACGTGTCACCACTATACAGTGCCCTAATGCAACAATCTCTAGACCCTTTACAGAGGCACAGCATTAGCAGACGGTAAACGCTTTTGAGTGATCCATTTAGGCCGATGCTAAACTGGGATAAGTCTCAGGACCGGGTTTAACGCATTAATTTCTAAATCTGAGCTTTCTTGCATAAAAGTGTCCAGCTGTTGTAAACTGCACCACCCCCCCTCCTCCCTCTCTTCTGAAGACAGAGCTAGAATAATAATCTAATGAAGGTATTGCTGTAATGATGGTTATCTGAATCTAACACTGCAGAAACATAAAGTGCTCACAACACACGAGGCCAGTCTTTCTCAATCGACATGGGTTACATGTTAGGAGCTCTTTGTCACTCCACTGCTGGCTGAAGGCCTCCCCTCCACGCGTTGCGGGTAGTGTGAAGGGCTATTTGACCATACTTCGCCACGCCGGGTTGGTGAAGGCGGTGCGCATAGACGTGGGGGAACATAGAAGTAGAGTACAACGATGCATGTTGACGCCCTCTGCTTCTCACCACGTAGCCTCGCAGTAGTCTGTAACACGCTATATATACACACACACATAAATGTAACAATACCGTACACAAATAGCTATAGATTATATACATGCCAATGACCACTACTCAGATGTGTTGCTTTATATATACACACGCGCGCGCGTTATGCGACATGAGAGATTGATTCGGAAGGTTCAGTTAGCGAGCATACATTAAGAATCCTGCAACAGCATAATGCCTGGACGCATTTGTCTCTTCAGTGCTGACGCTCACTCATTCACTCACATACACGCCACAGGAAGCAATAGTCGACTTAAGCGAGGCCCACTACAGGCTTTAATTATCACTCGCCACCCGTGACGAAAGTCGCGTCGGGGAACGCAACCGGGGTCGCCGGTTGCGGGAACTTCAAACCGCGCGAACACTGTCACTGCGGTGACCGGGATTACAGCTTACTCTTTGGTTCTATTGGGTAAAGTCACGTAACTTTACCCAATAGAACCAAAGAGTATGGATCCTAGCAGTCACGAAAGCTTTAAATCTGGAAAGGATTACAGCTTGCCAAGCCGACTTCGGTGGCGGATCGTACCCGCGTCCCGTCGCGCTGACCGGCACGGCGAAGTACAGGTCAACAACGCGGCGGAGGGCCTGAGAACGTCCAGCAGTCGATGTGGAAACTCGTGTACATACAACCATGGGGGTTCGATGAGCGAGCTTAACAACGGTAGTTAACGCTGCGTTGGAGCGCGCTAAGCGAGACTAAGCGGGTCCATCGCGCGCGTGAGGGGACGACTGTAAAGGCATTTTTTTTGTTTAATTAACCGCGCCGTGCGAAGAGCAAGCCAGAATTATCTCACCAGCTTCATGTCCCTGTGGTTTTTTGTTGTTGTTCTAAGAGGTCGCCGCCGGAAAACAAAACAAACCACCACCCCCTCCTCCTCTCTCCCCCCTTCGACGGATAATAATATTAATCGCGAGTGTAATCGAAGTCGCGTCAGTGCTGTGATGTAAACAACAACAACAACCAAGGCGCTGCCGTTAGCAGCAGGCCAGGGTTGTCGATGCCCGTCTCAGTTGAGCTCGCATGGCCGTGCCCACGCCGGGGTGCGCGGCAGAGGCGACATGCACCGCCGTTGCCGCGAGCTCTGCGTGGGCTTGGTAAAACCACGTGGCTCTCTCAAGCACGCGGCGTTATGGGGCCGTCCACTTGGCGCGTACGCATGGAGGGGGGAGCGGGGGGTTAACCCAAACGCGTACGCTTGTGTATGGGGGGGGGGGGGGTCTACTGACAATGTTCGTACGCATAGGAAATGGTGGGGAGGGGGGGGTGAAGCCTCGATAATAATTTGTCTACATTGGCTTTCTGTTTTGGACTATCTGTTTGCTTAAACACGTGAATATTATTAATCCTTGATCGTTTCTGGGTGGATTAAATATCGGCCGTTCTATAGGATTCGGGGGGGGGGGGGGGTCAAGCGTACGTACGCAGGTGTGGGGGGGGGGGTGTAAAAAGTACGCGTGCGTACAGGGAGTGATCAAGTTTCGACAGATTTTTGCTTACCTACTAAATGGATGGCCCCCTAACACACACAAAAAAACAAATACGAACCGCGATTCGGTTCGTAAGTCGAAAACGCAATAGTGTACTGGGTTTAAATTCCCGCAACAAACAACGAACAAGGATCCCCCCCCCCGTATAGACTGAATGACAAGCTGTAGGGGGCAAGTGCTGTTAGCGTGGCCAGCACCACGCCCCACCGCCTTTGTCTCCCCAGTGACGATGTTTACACACCGCACCAAGTACTCATCGCCACCGCTCCCACTGTGAGCACGCGTGTACACAAAACCAATAGTGGCGGTCCTCGGCTTATGAACGCGATTCGTTCCTGCGGGCCGTTCGTAAGTCGAACGGTTCGTAATTCGGGACACAATAATATACTGGATTTGAATTCCCCCACACACACACACAAACACTCACTCCCAGCACGAGACGGAATCATCATAGCATCTCACCGAGGATCGTTCAATTTCCAATAGTGAGTGTCGCGTTTTAAGTCAATGTTAAACAAATATATGTCATGGAAGCTGGTTCGTCAGTGTGAGTGTCCGTGCAGGTGTTTGTAAGTCAAGGACTGCCTGTACAGACATTTCGTCTCGAAACAACAGCGTGTCTACGGCTATTATTTAGCTAGCTATTCATTTCCACATGGTGATAAGCCACTTTGTTGAACTTTCATTTGTGGCAAGGTCGCTTATGAAAAATAAGCTAATAGCTCAGTGGGGCTTTACCTGGTAAAATAAAAAAAATAGTTTATTTTTATTTGTATTTTTTTGTGATTTGTTTACTTTCAGTATACTTTGCACGCCTATAGAGTTTTTGTATTGTTTGTTGTAACGTTTTGACACGCCCCGACTTGGCATGTGAAAAAAATAGATTTACAGCTCATTGGATTCCTCCAGAATAAATAAATAATCAGATTCAATGATGACCACCGATGTACATTAAACTTACACGAATCTTTCGTCTCTCTCTCTTTGAGGAATCAAGAAAAACCGTCTAGTGTTTAATCAATTAACCGTCGGAAATATATAATAGTCGACGGTTTTTTGTGTGCCATTTATTTATTTGTTAATGATTTGCTTACCTTTCCAAGACTGTACTTTGCACCCATATCGGTATTTGTACTGTTTGTTGTTGTAACTTTCTCACCCGCCCCTACTGGACAGCTTTGAAAAAGAGCTTCATAGCTACTCTTTGGTTCTATTGGGTAAAGTCACGTAGGTAAAAAATAAAATAACAAAAATCACGACGTTTCGGCCACAACACAAGCGGCCTTCATCAGGTGAAGGAACGAGACTGTCTGGAGGACAGCGCTGGAGTGAAAAAAGCCACGCTCAGATCACGACCTTTAAGCTGTGTGAGAAGAAACAAAGCGCCTTGACAAAGGAATTAGCATATAATTTAGCATTGAAATGGCTGAGTGATTAGCTTGTGACTGGTCACAGAAATGGCTATGTTAAAGTTAAAGCATACACATCCGCAAAGGCACCCCTTGACAAAGGAATTAGCATAGAATTTAGCATTGAAATAGCTAAGTTAAAGTATACACATCCGCAGAGGCACCCCTTGACAAAGGAATTAGCATAGAATTTAGCATTGAAATAGCTGAGTGATTGGCTTGTAACTGGTCACAGAAATAGCTATATTAAAGTCAGAGCATATACATTCACCGAGGCACCTAGTACAAATCAAACAGGAGAATTTAGCGAAACACAACCACGCTCAGACCGCGGACCTTTAAGCTGTGTGCGAGCAAACAAGGTGTCCTGAAAAAGAAATTAGCATACAAATTAGCATTTGATTGGCCGATTTTAGAAAAGAGGTGGTGTACGTGCCGGTGGACTTGCCGTTTGGCGCGGGAGGGGGGAGTTTACCTATTGATGGTGTGAAAAGGGAATTTATAAGAGCTGCGAAAGTTTGGGGTACCACTACTTGATGAGCTTCATAGCTCATCGGATTCCTCCAGGATAGATAAATATTTTTTTAAAAATAAAGAAAGATTAATTGCCCGAAACGTCACCTATTATAACATTTAGAGTGTTATTGATATGGGACGTGTTGAGCTTGATCCTTAATTGTGCGAGTACACCACTGATAATGCACGAAATAGCATCAAATAGTGAACGATTAAATTTTAAAATCTCACTTCCGTTTCTCTCGAGTGCATGCTCACTTGGCCACTTTGTGTGACGCGCACCCACATGGCTCGGAGCGGGAAGGCGGAGTAATGGGCGAGAGGGGCGGGGAGGGGACCCAGGGGCGGGGGGGGGTGCCAGGAACGGGGGGTGGGGCCAGGGGCGGGGGGGCAGGGGCGGAGCTTAAATAAGGGGGCGGGGTAATGGGTGGGGCATGCGGGTAAGGGGGCGGAGCAAAACAAATTAGGCGGGGCAATAGGCGGAGCTTGAACCTTGAACGCCTGCTGCTGCTGCTGTAGATGCAGCAGCAGCAATGCCACATGCAGGTGGTCAAGCCCAGACACCCGCGAGAGCAACAGCGGAGTGTATCATCGCAGTGATGTCTCCGTTCGTATTTGTGGATCGGGCCATTGGCACTCGTTACACGCTGTACTTAGGGCCTGTTCCGGATGACCACAGTCGCACACTGGCGGGGAGTTTTTAATGTTACATTACAGCATCGGGTTTATCCGCATATCTTGTCATGGGGGAGGGGGGTGAAGTGCTTGAGTGAAGAGGGGCGGAGCATCGAAACGAGGCGGGGCAAACTGGGGAAGAGGGGGCGGGGTGTATACGCGTTAAGGGCGGGGCCTATAAAATAAGGGGCGGGACCAAGTTCAAAGGTCGCGTCGCCGTCTCCCCACAATGCGCCGCGGCATCGCAATGGAGGCGCGCGGCTGAGGAGCGGAGCGCGGCGCTCGAGTTGGAAGCGGCGGCGGCTGCCGGGCCCAGCGGCCCCTCGACGATCGTCCCAGGCTCGGCGAGCGGCCGCGGTCAGTTGGAAAGCGAACGCGCCGGGGTGTCGCTGGTTGGGAGGTGGTTGCGGCACGCCGGACATGTGAGCCGGTGAGTACGCGCGGCGCGCGCGGTCGCGGAGTTGTTGGCGGCCCCCCCCCAAGCCCCCCCCCAACCCCCCCCAACCCCCGCCGCCGCCTCCTCCACCCCTACCCCGGGCTCCTCGCGAGGAATCGATTCGTGCGATTTAATGTGACGCGCAATCGATTCGTGCAACGGGGTTGGGCGATTCGGTGGTTCGCCTCAAATCGGTTGTTCGATTCCCGGTTGTTTTGTTGGGCCGCGATGTTTGCCAGCCGAGTTGAGGCCCCCCCCGCCTCGCGCGCGCGCGTGTGAGGCGATTCATCGATAGCCTCCGATTCAAAGGGAATCGATTCTCATTGTAGTCTTTGTACTTTGCGCGTCACAGCCAGTGTCTTATAGCAACAACAACAACAAAAAGTCAAATACGTTTTGTCAATAGGAATAATTTAGCGGGTGACGTTTCGGGGCATGACCCTGCGCTACACAAGCTGTAAACGCGCACCTTGGAAAATGAAAAGTGATAGGCGACGTTTCGGCCAACGGGCCTTCTTCGCGGCACATGGATAATAAAAAAAGTCTGCATTGCCCCGCCTTCGTCCTTTAGCCTTCAGAGGAAGTTTCGCGTCAAGTCGCACGAGTTGTCGCGCGAACAGCGAAGCGCACGAATCTGCTGTTCGCCACGCGCCTTTCAGCGAACGGAGATATAACGGTCGTGGTCCCAACGATCGAAGCGATCGAGAGAGTAGCAACAACAACGACGACAAACAAACAATAAGAACAATAATAAGCTTGAGTGAAAGCCGTGGCGCCACTGGGTTCACGAGCCGTCTTGGTAGGCGCGATCGTAATTTTCTAAAGGGAGGAATCGATTTCCGTGAATGTGTAATCGCGAGAGGAGGTCGGAATCGATCCGAACCCCCCCCCCCACCCCCCTCCGCCCGCCACGCTTCGGTCGCCTTTGTCCATTGTTGAGTCCGGGCCGCGTCTTTCCTCCCCCACACCGTGGCCGGTGAGGGACGCGGCGGTGGCGGCGGCTACGGGACAGGCGGTGGTGGTGTAGCAGCAGCAGCAGGGGAGACGGAGAGCGGCGGGTGGGGGACACGAGGGACGGAGGGGGGGGGCAGTGAAGGGAACACGAAGGGAGAGGAGTCGGACGAGTGGAGTCGGGCAAGGGATGACCCAGGGAGGGAATGGGAGAGGCGTTTACAGGAGAAGCATCGTAGAAGGAACGGGGAGTGAGCGTGCGCAGTGGTGGTGGTGGGGGGGGGGGGTAGTGAGAGGACGATGAGAGAGAGGGGGGACGGACGTACGAGGAGGAGGAGGAGCAGGTGTAGAGGGAACCGGAGGGGACGCGGGAGGAGAGCGAGTCGGGGGAGGGAGGGAGGGAGAGAGCGCCGTGGTAAGGAGATGAGGACGGAGATCAGGGGCGGGAGCAGGAGGTAACATGCAGAGGAGGAGGAGGTAGATGGAGGGGAACGGCGGTAGTTAGGAGTTTGGGGAAGCAGGAGGTGGTGGGGACATCACGAGTTAGAGCAGTGGCAGAGTTGGGGGGGGTGTGCTGTGGGAGGGTCGTGAGGTAGGGGGAGCGGAGGGGGGGGCATCGGCAAGGCAACCTGGTGAGAGAGAACGGTGACCAGGGGGGGGGGGGTGGGGGGAGTCCGTGGGACTCGACGGGCAGGGCTCGGGGTTCACACGCTCGGGCGGGGTTAGGCGGTTAAGTGACGGCAGCATAGAAGGCGATTAGATGGACTGGGGGACCCCCCAACCCCCTCCCCAGCCTTGTCCTCCAGGTGACTTTTATTCATCACAAAGGGCTGCACCAATCTTTCTGAACGATGAATGTTTCACGGTTGTGAACGGTCGATTGTCAAAACGTAGGACGGAGTTGGAGCTAATGGAGAGGACCACTCCCCCCCCCCCCCCACCGGGAGATGTCCACCGCGGAGATTGAGCTCTGTGTGTGAAAAGCCACTGGAGTTGCAAGGATCTAGCAGTGGATAGATGATGGCTGATGTGAAGTTTAAAAGTGACATGATAATGGAGTTAGGGATGCACGATAATTGAAGCATTGGCAGAAACTCTTGTTCTTGCGTAAAACTATAATATTATTAATGATATTGATGATAATAACAGCGTGAAGCTACATTACTAAAGGCATTAGCTGGACCTCTTGCCCCAGGAAACGTTTTTGTTTAAACTACAGTAATGAGGATTGATAGCATTGCATTGTGTGCTCATTAATTAGCGATCATAAGGAACAGGGAAAATGTCTCTTTCCAAAACTGTAGTAACAAACTATTAACTACCACACTATTCAGTTAACACTTGACGAGCAGAATTTGTGGTACAGAGGTGGCAACAGTGGTTCGGGCCATTGTGCTACGAACCCGATCGATCGAGTTTGAGTCCTCGTCATGGCTAACATCAAGTAGCGAAGTGATATTTGAACTCCCAAAAATTGACCAACCCACATCGGTTGGAGTGCTACAGTACGCGATTTGCAAGTGGATAAGGTCGCTTCGCTTTTCCCGTGATTGAGATAATGAGCATCAATTTGTTGGAAGTTTGCTCTCGTTCTCTAAACTTGAATTGCTGTCGTGACGATAACGGTGCTGGGGCGGGGGGGGGGTAGAATGGCAATATCCGAGCCCTGCTCGCCCAGGTGAATGTGATCAACATGTGCAGGACCGGATAATATCTCCGCGCTGTCATTAATTTTACTTAAGCAAGTCTCGGGACCATTTCTAGAAGGATCCTACATGGTTTGACCAATGTTAGGAAGAGCGATGATGATGATGATCATGTAGTAGGGCTACATGATTGAGGAGGCATTATTTACACGACCTAATATTTCAAGGTACTTTTGATCATACAAAAATATTGCAAGTGATAATATTGATGATTCAAGTGGGCAGTGGCCGTGATGATACGCTCTAGTGAAAGCCAATGATAGGTTTAGGGATAGTGATTAATTACATCACCGCAGTTATACCTGCAGCCTATTATAATGACAGGATAATTACGATTGCAATAGCGACAATATTTGAGTGGTCATGATTATTAAAACTATTTCACCGTCATTCGTGGTCAGGGGGAGAGGGTGTGTGGTACATATTGCAAGGGAGTACGTGAGTTGATTTATAAATGTGTGAAATTATATCATACGTTAGAGTAATTGGTGAGTAATCATGGATGCATCTGCCAATGAAAATAGCTACGAAAACATTTTTAATCCACACGCTAACATAGAAGGATGCTAAAGACTTGAAGCTTTTGTGACTGCAGGGATTTATATTGTTGAGAATTGTATTGTTTTATATTTTTATTATTTAATTGTTTCCCTTCTACGTTATTTTACCGAAAGAACCAAGAATATAAAGACCTTTCGAAACTCATTTGATGGTAAACAATGTAGGTTTTCAGAAGTAACCAGCGAGTAAGAACAAATTTCGTCACACGTGCAGGAGAGCGTCTGTTGATTTTATTTTTTATTCTCTCGCAGTTACTACGATAGTCAGGGTACTTCATGGAATGGACAATTTGTAAAAATATTGATGTTCAGTATTCATTCATTTATTCTCAACTCTGTTGGGTCAGGCAGGAGGGGTACTCGGTTGAAACAAAATTCAACTAGAGGGGTGCAGTAGCCAAATAAGGTTGAGAACTACTGATTTAAAGTGTACATACGTGTAACAAGAATTATTAATAATGAGGATTATATAAATCTGCAGTTAGTGGCACGATTCGGTAATGGATATTCTTGCATGGCATATTGATTGGGAACGTGCAGATACCATAACGTGTCGTCCAAGGATCGTTATCAGCCCTTTGTCAAGCTTTATTGGTTATGGAGGTTGTTGTTCGTACTTCACGCTGGTCGGTGTGGTGTTCGTGAAGTCAGTAGGGGGTACAGCTCGCGCATGTACCAGTCATCTCAGTCAGCCAACCCATGGCACCTGGTTCAGTCCCGTGACCTGTCAGCGAGCCTTCAACACTTCACGTGGCCTCAAAGTGCATCTGGCCTTGCACTGGCGCCGTGGTGACGTCACCGTCACTTAGTGGCGAATGACGGCTATTGGTATTGGTGAAGTTGGGAAGCATAGGCAGACGTTGGTGCATATTGAGTATATTACAGCAGTGGATTTTCTACACTGCCCACCACGGATGTTAAATGTCACTGGGTATCGAACTCGGGTCGGCAGGTTCATCTTGCAATTCACCACTACATTGCCCAATATAATAGTATGATTATTATTTACTTATTCAGGGAAGCCTCAGTCATGGTTTGGGATGTTTGGCCATTTCCGTTTTAAGGATTGTTTTACATGTGGGAGGAAATGTATGCATACAAGAGGATAGAACGGAAATAAACAGATGGATGGGTTCACAAACCCACGTGCTGTAGTGTCTTATCCTGGCTATACAGCAGTTGTTTTCAGGAAAAAGTACCTTGATACTTGAAATTAGGTTTCTGGGTAATTGAATGACAAGCCGACAATAGTTACAAGTGAGCCCTATTTGCAAAAACACACGTAGCGTGTCTCATCACTATCCTCGTCATGATAGTGATCGTGAGGAGGATATTAAGTCACAGTGAAAATGTTTGTGGTGGTGCCACCTGTGGTCCAGCACTTTTAAGGTAATAATTAATTGATTGTCTAGATTGTAACATTTCCAAACCCTTTGGGCTGTGAGGAAGCCAGGGAATTGCAATCCAGCAAGTGGGATAATGAACTAATCTGTGCTGAAATTTGAGTTTGTGGTTTTCCTCTTGCACGCAAGACGTTTGCGGATGTAATTGACTGAAAATCCCCATGCTGGGCCATTCTGAAAATATTTTATACGTAATGTTTTTCTAATTTTGTGCACTGTTATTCAACTTTTCACAACTGCCAAACCACGACTGTTACAGGACACATGAATGTGTATGTGTGAACGCTTTTCACCCCAGTTGGCACAGTGGGGGGCACAGGTGGTGCATCGGCCAGTCATCTCAGTCAGTCGACCCATGGCACCTGGGTTTGTCCCTTGACCTGACAGCGGATGTCCGACACTTCACGTGGCCTTAAGGTGCACATAGCCTGGCACAAGCGCCGTGGTGACGTCACCGCCACTAAGTGGCGAATGTCGGTTGTTTTTCTCACCCCCAGATAACAAAAAAAATGGGTATCGTTGCACGTGAAAGTAAACAAATGCACACAACTTCTCTCTCGTACAAAAATACATAGTGTAGACATAATTAGAGATTAAAAAAAGCCGAACCGTGGCAGCAAAATACTTCTCTGAAAACTTTTCAGTGCGCAAGCGATGGCTGGCACATGGGTGGTGTTGTTGTGTGGGTGTTCAGCACATGGGTGGTGTTGTTGTTTGGGTGTTCAGCACATGGGTGGTGTTGTTGTGTGGGTGTTCAGCACATGGGTGATGTTGTTGTGTGGGTGTTCAGCACATGGGTGGTGTTGTTGTGTGGGTGTTCAGCACATGGGTGGTGTTGTTGTGTGGGTGTTCAGCACATGGGTGGTGTTGTTGTGTGGGTGTTCAGCACATGGGTGGTGTTGTTGTGTGGGTGTTCAGCACATGGGTGGTGTTGTTGTGTGGGTGTTCAGCCACACCCCCCCTCCCCCTGCATTGTCTTCCGCGGAAACCGTTTTAGTTTTTTTTTCGGTTAGTAACGTTAACCGTCCTGGGCCGTGCTTCCTTGGTGACACATCACGCCAAATTAACCGCACTTCAGTCGCCCGATTTGTACAGCGCCCTGGGCGGTGTTTGGTGTCGCAGAGTCAGCACCCCTCGTTTGAGTTTTTAGTAACGATTGCTTGGTTATGCGTTGCGTCAAGCTTAATAGAGCCCTTTAATGGGACAGTTTAAGCACGCCCTGTGGTGACGCACATTCCATCGTATGTAATGCCGTGCTTAATTATGGGTGATTTCATGGGGGTTTTTTTCTTCACAATTAATTGCTTGGAACATCTTGACAAAGCATTGCAATTATGCTGTTAGGTATGTACATTGTTAATGGCATGTGGGAGTTTAACAACAACAAAAACAATTCACCATTTAGTTGCTGAAGTTTTCACTGGGGAATAATCTTCTCGGTATCATTTGGCATACCTTGATCTTTTTGCCACACAATACTTAGAGGAAACGCATCTTGTTCCAGGCAGTCCTGGTAAGGGCTGCATTGCAAATTATGAGTAAACATCGGCCTCATTAGATGCCGCGTTGGTTGGGCATTTTGTCTGGTTTCTTTGAAGGTTAATTGCAGTGTAACTGATCAGTGGTTAATGCTCTGCAACATAATCTGAAGTATTTGAGTTACGTAACATGTGGTTAGTTGTGCAGAAAAACATGGAAAGTACCTAGGGAAGTTAAACATTACATTTGGCCTCTTTATTTACCCAGATTTAAGGTCATCGGATACACATTTCGTTTTGCAAGGCATGCCTGAGCAAATTACAACTTATACATTTAAAGTTCGAGTACGGTAAGTCCTTGCTTGACGCGTTTTCGTAGTAACACGGTTCTTCTATCAGGAAACACTTTTCGCGCACTGCGGAACGCGCACCGTTATAACGCGCTTTTTAAGCGGTCGATGGCGAACTACTTCCTTGAGCCGCGGGGCTGACCGCTACAATAGAGTACGTGGAATGATACAGCACACGGCGGCGTACCCTCATCTCGGTTTACCCTGCCGTGGGATGACTGCCGGCTGTTTTTACAGTGCAAATGTGATTCGGTATGGTAATTATTTGCTTAACGAGGTTTTCGCTTAACACGGCACTTTTCAGGAATGCATGTACTGTGTGAAACGAGTGATTACTGAACAGACAACATCTCAGAGTCCTGTAATGCATTGGGATAGAATTGTGAATTCAATTAAAGGAAAATATTAAAGATGGCGATAAGTGAAAAATATGATTAACATTTGGAGTTAACGTTTGGGAGTTACGCAACCACAGTATTAGATTGAAAATTATAACTTTTAAATGGTTGGCCTTTAATCATGGGTGGAGAGGTTAAGGGAAGTCTTGAGCAAGGTCTTAAATGTGGAAACAATCCGTAGTACAAAGTGAATATGGCAAGGGATTTTAGACATCAAGGGCAGCAGTTGAGAGACTGCCCATTGTAAAAAAGTAGCAGGGCTTGTAACAAGGCCAGCAACTAAAAAAACACAATACAAAACTAAGCCAGTTACGATGTATTTATTTTGATTAAAAGAACACAATATTTACTTGGCCGAGGGGGGTGGATCTTAGCACTGAGTCAGCACTGCTCTGATCAGGGGTTTGAATATGATTGGTCCCCTGTGATTAAACTGGGCTGTAAAGTGTATTAAGTTTTGATTTGAAGCTTTCGTGACTGCAGGAATCCATACTCTTTGGTTCTTTCGGTAAAGTCACGTAGGTATAAAATAAAATAAATCACGACGTTTTGAGCACAACACAAGCGTCCATCAGAAGCATCCCATCATCTGATGATGGGACGCTTGTGTTGCGCCCGAAACGTCGTGATTTATTTTATTTTATACCTACGTGACTTTATCGAAAGAACCAAGAATAAGAATGTATTAAGTTTATGGTCTCGGTAGATACATCAGTGACTGCATAAAAAATATAAATTATTTGGAAATATTCCAGCACTGTCGACCTAGATTCATGGTTTTAGTACCTCGTGACACTAATTAAGTAGGTACATATATAAACGTGCAATTCTTATCAGCTATGTTATCTTTTTCCACGCAGTTGTCCCACTCATGTGGGGCTCGCCGTCATTGACAACTTTCTCCACGCTGCCCAGTCCTGCGCTATCTCTCTCTCCGCTCCTCGAGCCACCGTGTCCGATTGCACCACATCGCCCCCCCCCCCACCTCTTCTGCCTTCCTCTTGATCTCTTTCCTTCCACTTGCATTACTTGCACCTTCTGACCCACGTAATTCTCCTGTCGCATCTCAACATGACCGAGCTACCACCTTTTCTCTCATCGTCTCTGTGATTTCTACCACCTTGAGTCTTCCTCTCACTTCGTTTCTCACCCTGTTCTTGCTTGTTAAACCCAACATCCACCGCAACATCCTCATCTCTGTCACTGCCATAGCTCGGTCCTCCCTCTTTACTGTGCCCCAGTACTCGGCTCCATACAAGAGCATCGGCCTCTCCATCGCCTTGTACACTTTTCCCTTCCAACCAAACTCGGGCGGGGGGAGGGGACCCTCTTATCGCACACCGCACCAGTCATCTCCCACCATTTCAGCCAATCCAGCCTTTGTTCTTGTTCTCCTTTTGCCTTCTAGTGATCCATTATAACCTACGTTACCGTGCCCTCTGTCAGGGCATTTTTGAAGGTGCATCACTGAGTGCGGACAAGGGTCATTAGAAAGGACTTCAAAAGTAGTTCTGTGATGTCACCTTCCACAGGCTGTTCTCTAACACATGTTGATGCACTTGTCTTTGAATCAACATTATGTTCATAGGGCAATTGAAATAAACATTTAAATGTTCAGATCTTGTCAGTCCACCGGCCATCCTCCCTTTTCTCGACGTGCCCTGCCCAAGCCCGCTTACTTTCCTTTACAGTCAAAATGTTGTCACAGGTAATTGAAATAAAGTTGTAAAAGAAAAGCACAGTAACAAATGCACTCCAGACTATAAACGTTCCAGCTGACCTGACGCGTTGTGTGTGTTTGTGCCAACCGCCCCATGGCGCTGTCACTTCCGCAGGGTGCTCGTGGCCACTGCTTTTCCTGCTCTGTCTCCACGCCCTGTTGCCTGCGGGCGCGAGCGAGCAGTCATGGCTGGCTACGGGGACGAGCCGCGCTACACCATCGAGCAGATCGACCTGCTGCAGCGGCTGCGTCGCTCGGGCATGAGCACGCAGCAGATCGTGCAGGCGATGGACACGATGGAGCGGCTGGACCGCGAGCACGGCGAGAAGTTCGGGCGACGCGGAACGTCGGGAGCGGCTGCCGAGCCCGCCGGAAACTTTGGGGCGCCATCGTCGTCGTCGACGCCGTCGTCGCATTTCACGCCCATGAGTGGGGCGGCGCAGACGCGCGACATCAAGGTGTGCGTCGCCGTCGCCTCGCGGGTTGTGAGTGACAGTGTGCGAGTGCTTCACTATGTAGCGGTTAGCGCTCTGCGCTACGAACCAGCGACCCGGGTTCTATCCAACACCACTGACGATGGTCTGAACCGGTCCTGGGTTTCATCCCCTAGGTCGACTCAGGCTCAAATGAGTACCTGGTGCGGTGTGTAAAAACATCGCCACTGGGGAGACAGAGGCAGAAGGGCGTGGTACTGCTGTCCCACTCCCTCGTGTGCTCTGCCGGCCTTCTTAGGTGCTCGCTAACAGCACTTGCCCCAACAGTCTGAAAGGCTATACGGGGGATCTTTGTCCTTGTGCTTTAGTATAAACCCAGCGACCCGAGTTTGTCTCCCACAACCGACATTAGTGAAGAAAACCTGACCTGGTTCCCGGGTCCTTCCCTAGGTCAACTCGGTCTTAAACGAGTACCTGGTGCGGTGTAAACATAAGCAACGGGCATGGTGTTGGATGTCCACCCTCCTTGCCCCAATAGTCTGTTAAAAGGCTTTATAAAATCTTTATTTCTGGCATGGGATTGTGCTTCGGAGTGTGCTTGTGTGTGTCAAGGGGTCTACGTATTTGTATGCGTATGGAGGGGTTTGTGGAACACACAGCATGTGGCCTCAAAGTACACCTAACTTGGCACCACGACTTAGGTATATGGCACGTGTGTGCGTGTAGTCTTTAACCGACAACACCTGATTCTTCCCGTTTGACATTTTTACAGCAAGTCTTTGCCACTCTGCATAGCCTTGAAGACCACCCAGCCTTGCACAAGTGTCACATCTACCTAGTGCTGATTGCTGGCTGCTGCTGTGCATAGGGGTGTGAGTGAGTATATGTGTGCGCTTTGTCTAGAACAAAAGCTCGAAGAACCATATGTAAAAAATATGCTTTTTCAATATATTTTCCAAGGGCACGCACGGATGATGTGGTTTCCTTGATGAGCTGCCGCCTAAGCTTTCTCGCCCAAAATCTGGTTGGATGATAACAACTTGTTTTGCGTGCAAATATTGCACCGCCATATGGCATATTGTTTATATTCAGGGGTACAATAATTTATAAATAATTTAGGTGTGTGTGTGTGTGACGGGAGCCTGCTTCCAGAGGGATCTTTGAAATATTAATTATGGCGGCTATGTGGTCTCATATTCAGTTTCGCCACTCCGCTCGCTCACAGCAGGCGTTGGCAACACGGAAATATGAATGTGCAGATCACCCACTCGGGCCACAACTCAATTTAAAACAGTCCAATTACAATAATTGGGGTTTAGTTCTTGTTTAATAACGATAAAGTAATTTGCATATCTCTGTCAATCCACCGTTGTATCAAGACCCTCCCCATTCTGTGTTGGATGGTGTTTCACCATCCCTTGACTAAGTTGGTCAAAGCCGGAACTTTGTGAATGTGGGTTGGAGGCTGATGACCGCTGTCCATGTCACCCGTCGCTGATGTGGCTGGGATTATAACTCTGGTCGGTGGGTTCACAGTGCAGTACGCAAGCCATTGTGCCAACAAGTCTGCCTCATTTCAAAATCTGGTGGGAACACCTGGAAGCCATAATGATGCCGTAAGAGGTCTGTAGTGCAAAAAATGTATGGACAAAATGTGTTCGTGTTGGAAAAATTAACAACCCAATTTAAGTTTCAACAAATGTGGGAAAAATATTTTCTCAAAATAAAATTACAGAAATACCACCTGCCAACTAAATGTGACAAAATTGTACTAAAACTCCATTCAGCTATATTTTTCACGTGCATACATTGATTTACGATGGCATTTATTTTCCCAAGAAATGCTCACTGAATCTCAAGCCGGTTTTTTTGTTTTATTTCCTGAAGACGCTTTCTAAAAGGTCCTTGGGAATGTTTGTTCCTTGCCGTTAACGAATGGCGTCTGGAATAAAGCAAGAGTACCCGGAACGCACCCATACCAAAAGGGATATAAAACTCAAATCTTCGCACAAATAGATTCAGGAAGTCCACTGGTTTACCAGCATCTCTTGGCCATCTTGCAGCCAATCCTCCCCCTGCCCCCCCACCCCCCCCGTTGGCGAAACTGATGATGATCCCCTTTTTGCTCGCCTGGGCGCAGACGCAGTACGGCAGCCCGACGTCGTCACAGGGCCACATGTACGAGCCGTCGCCACCGCCCTGCAACCCGAGCACCACGAACCACGCGCTGCGCGAAACGCCCACTGCCCTGCCGCACGAGCGCCTCGCCAACGGTTTTGCCTCCCCGCGCTACTCCGGCGGCAGTGGCGGCACACCGTACGGCTTGGCCCACCTACGCCTGTGCAGCTTTGAGGCGAGCGAGGAAGACCTGGAGCTGGAGGAGCGGGTTGAGGACCTGACAAGGTGACGCAAAGCGACGCGGGCACGTGGGGGGCCGGCGGCGGCGGCGCAAGGTTGAGGCTTTCGAGTTGCTCAGGTTGTGGGTCGCCTTCTCCATTCCTGCGATGGGGGAGTTGGTTGGTGACGTTGATATGGCCATGTTGAGTTTGGCGAGTGAGCCACTAGCCAGCGAATGATCGAAGCGGACTGTCGTGGTACTTGTGTGGTCATGATTGAGGTGGATGATAAGGAGACGTGGGTTTCGACCACCCGTGATTAAACCATGTTCCCCGCTGTAGACAGTTTTTGCTTTTAGCCTGATCACAAATGATCACACACACACAGACTATTTTATATTCAAGCTCTGAGATTCAATGGTTTCAATTTGATTGATGTGCAACAAGTACTCTTTGCAGGGCATGTCCCTGGCACGGTTAAAGAGGACATTACTTTAGAATTAGTTAAGCAGCATAATATTCTAGAGCCATTCTCTGACACAGAGTGGTACTTAAATAACTGCGATATCCTCGTGGGAAATGTCTTCATCCAATAACGTGACACAATAGAACAATTGGATTATCACGTCACATGATATTAGCAAAAGTTTTGCTTGCTGAATTCCTGCCCGAATTCCTCGCTGGCTGGCATGCGGCCAAGTGCATGTGCACGGTGGTGACGTCACCGGGAACGTCTGCGTGATGGCGCCACCTGCATTCCACAGCTTTGAGCCCGGTTCATGCGTCGTCACGCCCCCCCCTAATCCCCACCCCTTTCATGCATCTCACGCAAACACATAGGATACGCCATCATACTATATTGGAAAAAGGTTGCTTGCTGGTTGGCTGGCCGGAGGGAGGGATGGACTGATGGTCACGTCCAAAGGACGTGCGGGCTGCTCATAATTTGTACAAAATAAAAATATCTCTGGCTTTTCCAGTTGTTGCATACGCACTGGATACAGGAATGGACATAATTACAGCTTTAAATGCAATTGTCATTCTGCGGTGTTTCATATTCTTGGTTCTTTCGGTAAAGTCACGTAGAAGGGAAAGAATAAAATAATAAAAATATTAAACAATAAAATTCTCACGACGTTTCGACTGCAACACAAGCAATAATCATCAGGTGTGAAAACCACAACAAGAATTTTTTTTCAAATTTTATTGTTTCCCTTCTACGTGACTTTACCGAAAGAACCAAGAATATGAATCCCTGCAGTCACGAAAGCTTTAAATAAAAATTCTGCAGTGTGTTTGCGCGATTCAAATCCACCCATAATAACGATGTGTTTAAAGTAAACAGTGCGTGTCCTGTCAGTAGCCTTGCCACTGGAATGTGACTTTACCGAAAGAACCAAGAATATGAATCCCTGCAGTCACGAAAGCTTTAAATCAAAATTCTGCAGTGCGTTTGCGCAATTCAAATCCACCCATAATAACGATGTGTTTAAAGTAAACAGTGCGTGTCCTGTCAGTAGCCTTGCCACTGGAATGTGGAATTTACACCACTGGCTTGGTAAGGAAACTATAAAGAAGACTGCTCATCACTTGTTTGATATTGTAGACACACTACCTTTTGTATTTAATGGATGTAGACTATATTTTTAACCCTGTCACATCCCTACACCTTTGTGTTTTGGCAATCCAGGGTGTATGTGAATATGCTTATGAAAACCACTAGTGGCACTATACAACAGAGATCCCAAACATCTAGATTTGGCGCTTGGCTTATTTATATTCTAATTTATTTATACAGGAAGACCCTAATGAATCTTACAACTTAGGAGAGTCCTGATTTAGGGCCATTTGATCAATTACTTTTTAAGGTTGTGTTTTTTGCATAATAAATGCAATTATTGAGATGAATAGTCCCTTGGGGAATTTCAATTTTTAGAAGCATACATATTTCAGTACTCGATAATATGCAACAGTTCTTCCGTAGTATTGTTTGTCGCGTGTGATCTTGTTCTAGGAATTGCTTAGATTCGAAAATACGGAATTCAATTCATCCTTCATATGACCTGGGACAAGAGATGGTTTGCCATGTGAATGGAATGCGTTTTCCAGACGTGGACCGTTTCCCTACACGGCGCAATGTTGTGGTGTTGCAAGCTGATTTAAACGCTCGCATAATTAGCGCACTGTTGGAAGTGCAATTTAGAATAATTATTGCACACGTTCGGATAGGTGACGCAGCCACGCTGTAAATTTATTGACACTTGCGTCTGATAGAGACCGCATCCGCAATGGAAAATGTATCCTTTGTAAATTCATTCGAATAGCCCCAGTGCTTTTTGGCCTTTGCTGATCTTCACCGGCACCTGATGTTCAGCGTGTGGTATCAACAGGCATACTATTTCATCCTCTCACCGGTTGGTTGTTACACAATGGCCAGGGTGTGTGTGCTTTTGCCATCGCAGAGAGAGAGCTAGATCCCCGCTCGAAGGGTTAACCCTAAATCGGATCACAGATCTTTGTGTGTGTTTTTTTATTGGGGTCTGCTTCACGGGAGTCGCACGGGATCAGCAATCACATTTTGTCTGCACGGAGGGAGGAAATGGGGTTGGGATGGTTCAAGGGAAAAGTGGGATCTTGATGTGTGGTTGAAATCTATTGATTTAAAATTAAGTGTTAAAACATACCCATCTAGATATATGGATAGATTTACTTCATTTAAACACTGAGCCCGTTGGTGATACAATCTGTGAGCCGTTTAGAAAAGCACTCTGTGTGGTGTATTAGAAACGTGTTAAAATGCATTGCAGTGTGATTTTTTCTGTAAGGGCTCTAAGAATTCCTAGATTCAAATAATTTATGATGGTTATGATACACTTTGGGTCATTTGTGTATGGTATCGATAAGTTTAGATGGATATAATAGATTTTTCTAACATGCTAGGATAGTAGCAAATAGCTTAATGCTCCTATGAACTTTTCTATACAACGCAGTGGAAACAAAATATTCTTAACTTATATTCTATGTGACTTTACCGAAAGAACCAAGAATATGAATCCCTGCAGTCACGAAAGCTTTAAATAAAAATTTATATTGTAAACCTTTATTGTGAAAATACTGTACATCTTATTGCAGAAGTATGTCATTGCTTCAATGGATGATGCTATTTTATTTCAGAAACTAAAACGGAGCATGTGGAATGTTTTAGTGCGTTTCGATTGAGCACTTTTCGGAAAAACCCGGGCAAATTCCTTGGAATAATTGTTTGTATTTGTACTCATGCGTCCAAGCACTTATCCAGGCTCCACCTTGCTTGGCTTCTGAGATCTGACGAGGTCGAACGCCACTGTAGCAGGCTGCTGGGAGCTATGTTGCAGTATGCAGAAGAGTGCAGCAAATGTGTTGTACGGTACTATGCTCCCGCGTCTACGCTCGTCTTCGTAAATTTGCGCTGACCAGCGTCATGAAGTATGGTCATGTAACTCCTATGATCACATCTTGTGCGAAATTAATTATTGTTGGTTTTAATTTTCTGTCTAGTGATAATGGAATTGTATGTGTGACTGAGTAGAGCTGTGTGTGTGCGTTTTCTGAAATCGGCGTCGCTGTGTGTCTGACCCGGGTCTGGTCTGCAGGAGGGACAGTGTCACGGTCAAGGAGGAAATCAGGGCATTCCTGGCCAGCAGGCGCATCTCCCAGGCCATCGTGGGACAGGTCACAGGTCAGCCCAACCTCAGAGCCACTCAGTCTTTTGGGTGCTTCTTACTTGATGAGCACAGGGGAGGATTGTGAGTGATACGGACATTAAAGCCCCCCCCCCCGCCACGGTCATTAAAGCCCCCCCCCCCGCCACGGTCGCCCTGCCCCTCCGATAGTGCAGTGTTTGAGCCATGCTCATGAGTGTTGTGCATAATGTGATATCGTATTGCAAGCTAGGTTTACGTTTTCCGTCGGTCTGTTTGTTTATTGGTCACGTATATAATTTCCCTGCTTTTATTTGCAATCGCTGTGAACAGTCCCTTCCCATGTAACATGTCTGCTAACATCATGGTACCTCCTTTGCCAGTACCAAAATATGATAAAAGGGTTTTCCCATTTTTTTTTTTGGGCTGTACGCCTTTTGGCGTCATCTGGTCTAACACCGTTTGAGACGAGGCTGGAAAGAAAGCTGTCTCTGGTGTGGACCAATCAGTTTCAAGGACAATGCATGCATTATCAAAGTATGTTTTTGTTTGCATTCTGACCAGAAGCATTGTGATTAATGCAGACATGATTCCTTGTAAAAGGATTCAGTTTGATGTTTTAACATCTTAACACCTGTTTTGTTGCCAGAAAAAAGGGGAAAAACCTAATATCATGTCTGCTAACGTATCAGCCTTCATGGCTGGATCCTCCATTGAAAAAACGTTTTATAGCTGTTTGGGTCTTGCCCAAATAAACTGACTGACTAACCGACTGACTTGCCAATTGTTTGTCATTCAGAGGTATAAAGATGCTTTGATTCATTGGATTAAAATTGATGTTTGTTGCTTACGATGCATGCATTTCATAACATATGCAAGATTCGCTTGTTTATCTATTTGAATACGCTGTTTGAGAGACACTGCAGCCCACCAACGTAGAAAAAATGGTTGTTAAAATCCAATACATTTTGGACTTACATGACATTTAAAGGAAATTGCATTTCGAGATGCGATACAGAACGGGTGGGCATATTTTACAGTGAAACATTCTTGACAATTCATCAAATCGCGGGGATTAGAATCTTTGCAAGACGGATGCCAATGCGGAGAGAGAGGTGGGGGGGGGGGGGTGTGACTGCTCGTCAATGGAAAAGCGTTGTGAAGCAGAATGGAGGATAGCCTGTAATGCTGAACAAATTCCAAGTCTAACAGCCGTGTTACACAAATAAAATAAGTAACATTTTATCAGTACAGAGGTTACAATGTATTTCCAGCCACTGCTGCCGAGTTAATACTTTAACCTCTGGCTTGCGTTTTAGCGATTTTTATGACCAACGTTTAACTCGTGAGTGAGTTTCGGCAATGTGAGGTTTATACTTTTTTATTGCCATTGGGGGAGACCGCTGTTGGGCTGAGGACGAGGGGAGGGATCTATTAAAAACACGCGACATGCCTGCGACCGGGTGTGAAACCATATCACACCACTGGCTTCTCTGAGCACAGGAGTGGAAATGACATTTCATCCATTACGTGTAGAAAGGATAACCTTTCAGGATGAAAAACCTCACAAAGCGCTTTACAGCTGAAACTGTAATCTGCAGTTACTATACGATGCACAAGTTGAGAGATTTAAAATCGGCGCAATAATACGGAGATCATGACTGCCAAGTTAAACATTATATTTTAACTCTTTTTTTATAAAAAAAGTGTTTTTTGGGTGTCATGGAAATATGGACACGGAGTCAGCGGGTCTTACTGAGGGCAGCGAGGGATTTAGAATTTGGAACGGCTGGGAGCCGTCATGTTTTGTGCATTTTTTTTGTTACAAAAAGTGCCTTTGATGATCCTTAAGCCACGTCCAGAGTTTCTGAAAACTGTCGGCTCTTAACTCGGAGGAACAAAAGATTTGCAGGCGAACCTCGTCTATTCACCCTGATAACTGGGTGGGGGTGGAAAAGGGGTCCTTTTGTGAATAGTAGGGGAGGTGGGCCTTCTTTGTGAATAGTTGGCAGTGTGTTGTGAGACGTTGCGGTGTTCGTGTGTTTGCATGTTGGCGTACAGGCGCACCAAGGTTGTAACTTATGAAGATCTCTCGCAACAATAACAATGTGTTTTTGCATCTGAGAAAATTTTTTTAAATTTTAATTTGCAAAATAATTGCAAATCATGATTTGTTTGAATTGTTAATCGCTTTACCAATGTTTGGCATGAGAATCGATGGTGGCTGCACGAGCCTATTTATTTCATGTATTTTTTTACTGTGTTTTGCTAAACATGAAGTGATATATTCTTGGATGAATAATTTACTTTGGTTCAAATAATAATTATCTTAGATGTTTGTGTTATTAATTTTGTCTAAAAGTGTTGCTTAATATACGTTTAATTAAAATGCAAACCCAGTTGATCGTCTTGGTGACCCTAGGTTACTCTTGAAAATGAGACCCCCCTGGCTTTGTGAGTTCTTCTTGCCTGGTTAAACAACAACAAAAACCTTGACCAGGATCAAATTGATGGAACTGTGAATCGGATATTCTCTGCACGATTTGAATTCTGTGACCACGTCCAATGTGAACTGAACCTTCGTACCCCGAGTAAATCATTGTTGTGCAAATATGAGGTTTTGTATAATCGCATGAAGCCAGGAACTCTATAGTTTATTTTAAATATTCCAAAGTAATTAATTGCAAATTGGGACTTTTTTCCCAGTATCAAAGTATGAAAAATAAGAATAGGTTTTACCCTTTCTGGCAATAAAACAGGTGTTAAGATGTTAAAACACCTCATAGAAACTTTTGCAAGAAATCACGTCTGCATGTCAAATTAATTGCATGCAAGAATTGTCAAGGTTTTTCGAAACATTGTGGTTATTAGAAATAAGTCTTAAACGGCAAGTGGGAAGTTATTAAGTGAACACGATGGTTCTTGTCAGAACATAGCAGTGTTTGCGTTTAACACATTCCTGCGGAGGGAGCTGGTATGAACGTTGGGTTGCTCGGTCAATGGCCAGGGTCAACGGCGGCGTGGTGTATTCCGCAAATATGCCTGACTGTGAGGGCGGGCACAAGCCGGCGTGAGTAGGTTAAACGTTGAGTTTTATAAGGGCACCACGGAGTGACCAGCCCCTCCTCACCCAGCCCCACCCCTCCCACCCTCCACTCAGCCCCACCCTCCCCTCCCCACCCAGCCCCTCCCTCCCCACCCTCCCCAGCCCCTCCCTCCCCACCCTCCCCTCTCCACCCAGCCCCACCCCCTCCCATTTTTGGATGCATGACGGACGGACACAATAATCCCCTGTGGGCTGGTGTAACCAGGAGGTTCCTACCAGTATTAATCCTGATGAAACTAGAGAATGCATCCTCACTGCTGGCAAGTAGATGTTGTCCATCGCAAGCCAGTGACAGATTTGTTTTATTCAACGTAATCCTGAAACCTTTTGTCAGTGGAGAGTGCTTGATTAGCTTCTTTAGTGCTATGTTATTAAACTGTGTAGGCATAATACCTATTATGCCCCATCCAAGTATTGTAAGCAATTGTCTGGTCTCCTGTAATTGCCCAAATCTCTCCCCTAGGAGCATGGCTTTTAGCACTGAAATAGAGACAGGTGGCTCACAATCTTCTTAGGTGGCATTGGGAGCCTTGTTAGCATTAGATGTAGAGTTTCAAAAATGATTGTAAAAACTGTTTTGTTGGGGAGAATTAAGGAACGATAAATGCTCCATTGCAAATTAATGGTCTTGCACCACCACACAAACGTGCACGTCGTTAATCCAACACTTGAAAGGCAATTATTGGTGACTCACATAATTGTGAGACTCCTAACCCCATTGGACAGCGAGGTTTGCAGGCGATGGTAGTAATAGCAAATGGGTTTAGGAACCCGTCTGTACACACCTTTCATTTTGCCCAGTCGGGTTTCTCCCACCTGAAAATATTTCTGAATGGAATTGGCCAAACATCCCAATGTAGGACCCTCGTGGGAAAAACAAACGTCTTGAGACTCGGCAAGGCTTTCCAACACAAAGCAATAAATAGCCACTTGAATATTATCAACACGAACTGTCTTGCACAGAGAATTGCATCTGTAGCTGCTAATTGCCTTTCGGAGGTAGAGATTGGTCACGTTTGGTCGACCATTCATTTTTAGCTTGGGCTCTGCTCGCCTGTGTTTGCAGGAATTAGCCAGAGCTACATCTCTCAGTGGCTGCTGCAGCATGGGCTCGACATGAGTGACGGGAAGAAGAGGGCCTTCTATCGCTGGTACCTGCTGGAAAAACACAATCCAGGTACAGAGCCAATATGCCGTCCTGAAACCGCACCACCTGAACCCTTTCCCGTTCCGTGACATCAGCAGGTTTTGCAGCGTGGTTAGAGTCCCATTCACCGCCGAATCTCAGATCGCGCAAGCGTTTCAGCGTTCATTTAATTCGGAGAGGCATAGCCGCCGACTCACCGTAGAAAATTGTAGTGACACGACTGCACTGTAATAGTTGGCACCAAAATGTGCCACACGCCTTCCCGCATGGCGTTGTGGGAGGCTCGGTACCGATAAAGTTATTTTATTTTGGTGCGTGTGCATCATCGGAATGAGAAATTGTTAATAATTACCATCGACTTGTAACTTAAAAATATATAATCGGCTGATGTTTCTGGCAGAGAGAGAGTGGAGAGAAATTCGAGCTGACTTTAGGCTACAGAACAAGTGGGTACATGGTGCGAGCTGATGGGCTGCTCGCCAAGGGCTTGCTCGTTTTCGGAGGAGGGCCAGACGCTTTATTCCGATTGAACGGCGAGTTTGGAGGATGGAAACGTAGCCAATTTTAAATGGTGATTGAGGGTCAGTTCGACACCCGTTGGAGGGAAACTCATAGGATAGGGTAAAGGAACCGACCTGGAACATTCGGGAAGGTCTGGGGAGAGGATATGAGGCCTGCGTAGGGGTAATTCGGGGCTCCATGTGGAATACTTCTCCCCCCACGTGTACGTGTTGTGCTGCAGACTCAATACACGGTCCTTCCAGCTCCCTGATTAGTACAACACTCTTTTACAGAATTATAAGCAGCGTGGACTTTCAGAAGATAACGTGGCAATGAAGTGTTGTGTGTGTGTGCGTGCGTGCGCACTTGCTCTGGTAGGAGCGACCCTGAGCATGCGGCCTGCACCCAGCCCCCAGCAGCAGCAACAACAGCAACAGCAGCAGCAACAACAGCAACAGCAGCAGCAGCAGCAGCAGCAGCAGGACGAGATGTTGGACTGGCGCACGGGCACCCCTGCATCGCTTCGCGTGCGGCGCGGCAGCCGCTTCACCTGGCGCAAGGAATGTCTGACCGTCATGGAGAGGTGGTGGACATCCTTCCCCCCCCTCCCCACCAATCCCACCAACGTCGGTAGCATGCGTTTCACCTGAACGTTGCAGTTGGAGGGGAAGGAGAGCTTGGGTGGTGACCCCCACTATGCAGCCCGCGGCGTTGTCTCGTACAGCGCGTGGGCGATGCGAGGCTTTTTGCTTCCCATCGGCCCACGTGAAATATGTATAATATATGTTTTATTGAGGCAATGCTCGGGCCCGATGCATCACGTTGTCCGTACACACATCGTCAACAATACGCCAAACCGGTTATGAAAAGCAGGGGATAGAATAGATGGGGAATGGGCTCGCTGCCCCAAAGCATACGGGGGCGGGGGGGGGGGGCAGTGGGTCCCACCGAAAGGGGTAAGGATGACTTTTTATTTAAAGTAAGGGGGAAGGGATGACGGGGGGGGGGGGGGGTTGGAGAGGGATATAACCGAAACACTCCTGACATAAATAAAATAAAAACATAAGAGGGCCACCTAAATTAGCATTTTTAAAAATTTCCATCCCTCTGATTCCAGCTCCGATCTAATTTGCAGTGGTTATGCCCCTTATCCTCAGGCCCCGTCTCCCATCGGGCCTCAAATTCCCCAGGCCCGCATGATGTTTATCAGTTTAACACGGGCATCTTAGCTGCGCCAATTGAGTACAAGTAGGAAATATTTTAGACCTTGCAACCCCGTTTTTTTTTTATATTTTTGGCTGTTGACGTGGCCCCAGTGGTAGCACGGTTCGCCTGCTTGTTGCAGAGATTGTCACGATTCGACTCGGTAAGGTCACCCTGGTTATTGCAGCGGTGTCTCTTGAACCACGAAATAAGCGTCGCGTGCTTCACAATGGACGTGAAACATTACCTGGCGTAATTTGAAATGAGCAGGCCGCTGTGAGTCGGCGTCAACGTCCACGCTTGCCAAATTCCATGAAGACTACCGACAATTTGGATTACATTTGCAACATCGCTCCCCGTTGTTCATCTACTGCATACTGCGTGAAACGTTAGCACCTTTGTGATAGCCTTGCCACCAAAAAGAATGAAGCGAAACCCAATGTGCTAAATTATTTCAGCACGCTCTTGCCTTTCAAGTAGTTTCGAGCACGCAGTAAATGCGTGCAGTCCTCGTGTGATCAAAGTTTCGTGTCGACTTATGTGTGGTGCACCAGAGGTTACTTGAAAGTTCTGTTCGGGGAAGGAAAACGTTCCCCACGCCTGCTTATATACAGAGAACACTGGGGTTCTTGTAAGACTATGGGCAGAAGCTGCATTGTAAATGTGGAGGGACTGGAAAAATCATCTTTACTGCTGAGTATGACTACCCGAGGTCAAAACTCTAGGCTAAGCTAACCAACACGCTATTTTTTATTGGCCAGACAGAAATCCCGACACTATTTTCCATTGCCATTCCAAGTTGCCACAGTTGCTCGCAATGAATGCATTGCCGGTGACAATTGCCGACACCGGATTGCTGTAAAGTCGGTTGTTATTTATCGTGGCCTTAAAGCTTTGCAGTGTTTGTCGTACGTGACCTTATTTTCAAGTGAAATTGGCCCACTTTGGCGGAACAACGTTTTGTAGAGGTCGGCAACAGTCGCATTCAACTTCTGGGTCATGGTGGTTCTACATATCCCTCTGTAGCCTTTGGCTTGTGTACGCCCCGGCGACAACCGGGCCCGTTTTATGGCGTCATTTTGTTATCGCTGCACACTGGCGGTGTTAAAACGGAGTGGCCAGAGTTCAGCCTGATCACTTGACCACGTCGCCTCGAGTTGCACACCACTGCCACGTATATCGTAGGACATGACACAACACAAGCGGTCGTCCTCGGGCAGAAAAAATAATAATCTAGCAGTGGAACTAAGTTGAACGTCTTTCACACCGTACGTAGCAAACAGCGCGAATCGTGTGCGAGTTAATTTTTCTCTAATTTCACCACAATATGTTATATTAACAGGAATGAATTCTGTATTGCTGTCCGGGTCCGAATGCTGGACTTTGACAAGAAAAGTGTATAGTCATATTCTTGGTTCTTTTGGTAAAGTCACGTAGAAGGGAAACAATAAAATAATAAAACAATAAAAATCTCACGACGTTTCGACTGCAACACAAGCAAACATCATCAGGTGTGAAAGCCACACCTGATGATGATGATTGTGTTGCAGTCGAAACGTCGTGAGAATTTTATTGTTTTATATTTTTATTATTTTATTGTTTCCCTTCTACGTGACTTTCCCGAAAGAACCAAGAATATGAATCCCTGCAGTCACGAAAGCTTTAAATCAAAATTTAAGTGTATAGTCTTTTAATTTATGTACTCGTGAAAGGCACTGAAGATGCTAGGAATTCCATGTAAGAATCGGGTAAGCGTCTTGTAAGTTTTAAATATAACGTGACAAGAAAGTGAAGATGTGGTGAGGAGTGGTTGCAATGGGGGTAGGACACATGAAGGGCAGATATCCAAATGATGGGCCACTTTGTTAAGCTGTCATTTGTGGCCAGGTCACTTGGGAAAAATAAGTTAATACCTTAGTAGGCTTTGCCTGGTAGCATGGGGGAATAGTTTAGTGTCGTATTTGTTTGGGTGATTTGTTTATATTTCTTGTACTTTGCATGACTGTCATGTTTTTGTATTGTTTGTTGTGTAACGTTCTTACCCGTGCCCCTATTGGACATTTGTGAAAAAGAGCTCTATAGCTCATGGGATTCCTCCAGGATAAATAAATATTCCGATCATGAGTTTACATGACATTAGATTGATACCCAGAGGTCAGGTGAGCAAGGGAAAGACCTCAAGCTCGATTGCGGAATGCTCTGAAAGTGGACTTTCGAGATCTACTACAGGACAAAGCAAAAATATGGAAGTGATGTTAAAGTGGCATGGGCCTTGATGGCTTTATGACTTTGACATCAAGCATAGAGCAATGGGTTACTTGTAACCGCATTGTAAAAGAAGTAGGCATTGCTTCAGTGATTGTTGTTACTGGAGTTGCTCTTTAAACCAGTTAAACCAGATCGCATTAAGTAGCGCAGGTGCTGCGGTTATAAATACACTCAAATGTCTTTTGTGCACGCGATTGCTCACTTTAAAATTCTGTGTTTTTTTACCGAATTGCCTCTGCGATTATGTTTGCAGCTACTTCAGTGAAAACCAGTACCCAGATGAAGCGAAGAGAGAGGAGATAGCCAACGCCTGCAATGCTGTCATCCAAAAGCCTGGTACGTGTGTGCGCCTTCCCAACGACGTGCCGGTAGATGCCCCTTGCCTGGTCTGAAATAACTCTGAATGTTAGTGCTGTGTGGTCGAGCTTGATTTTTAGGGAGGGGTAATTACCGCGTAATTTGTGACCAGATGTCCCAGTGACATCAACTGAGAAAATGCACACCGAGTTAACAATTTCCATTTTTGTCTCGGTGTTAAGGGTTACCAGGCAATTAAAGTAATACAATTCAAGGCTAGTAGTCAAAACATAACAGCAGCTGCTACAGTTACACGCACGCACATGTTATCCGTGCATCGTTATTCCGTTTCGACAAGAGCCGGCCTTGTCAATGGTGTGGGGTTGCTGTAAGTTTTCCCAGCTAGCTTGGCGTTGCGGGGGGAGCGTTTTTTTCCTCCCGTCGGCTGCACTGTTAACGTGTTGCTCCCGTCGCTTTGCCATCACAGGCAAGAAACTGTCCGAGCTGGAGCGAGTCACGCCACTCAAGGTGTACAACTGGTTCGCAAACAGGCGGAAGGAGATCAAAAGGCGAGCCAACATAGGTACGCCCTCGAGTTCACGCGACCTTCGTCCCGTTTAGTCTTTTCCACGACTCGGCTCGAAAATGACCCAGCGCCCCCCGGTGTGCTCGCCACCAAGCCGTTTTTAACACCGGCGTGCAGCGAACGAAAAACAAAAAACGTCACCTTCGGCATTGACGTGACATTATAAGGGAAACAGGAATCGAATCGGAATGTTTGTTTGTACTGGGGGATTCCGATGAACCATAAATCTCTTTTTCACCGATGTCCAGTCGGGTGGGTAAGAATTTTACAACAGCAAACGGTACAAAAACATGATACGAGTGCAGATACAAGCAAGGTAAACAAATCACCGAAACACATACAAAAAAAACCATCCCCATCCTGCCAGGCAAAGCCCACTGAGATATTCACTTATTTTCCAGATGCGACGTGGACACAAATGACAGCTCAACAAAGTGGGCCATCGTTTGGGCATTAATAGCACCCAAATAATAAAATGTGGCGGGAAAAACCGGAGGACCCGGTTTTGTCTGGCATTCGCCTTTTTTCGGGGCCTTCTTTATTTTGGTGCACACTTGTAACCCAGCGCCGGAGGCAATGGGCCTGCTTCCATCGCGCAGAGTTGTGACAAAAATAACAACGCCAAACCCCCCCTCTCTCGGCCCCGGTGGTGGTACGGCAAGCGCAGTGGCGATCGGTACACGAATGTTGTTATGTAGGCTCGGTGGGGGGGGGGGGGGGGGGGGGCGGACACAGAGCTGAACAGAAGAGAAAAAAAACATTACAAAGGAAATAGTTACATTACAAGATGAAGCATTTTCTAGAGTTGAATCGTGACGCCTAAGTTGTACAATTCGCCTATAAAATCACCAAGCCCACCATGTACATTGCTACTCGAATTCTGAGCTCGTGAATATCGGGTCTCGTGCTGGAACGAAGGACCGAGCGTAGGATCTCTGCGATGGAGGTACGATCTTCTTCAGCGGTCGTGACCGCACAGCTCTCCGATGTATTTTTCGGGGTTATTGTTTGGCCTCACGTCTATGTTTCGCTCCGCGCGATAGAAGTTTCTTCAGGAATTCGGTTCAGGTCTCGGAAGAAGCTTCTGGCACACGGGCAGCGAGTACATCAGGCGTCAAACCGGGCAACGCGTGATATTACCCCGAAAACGCATTTGAGAGCCTTTAAGCACATGTGTGAAATCCTACAGTGTGGTGACGGCGCGTATATGTTCCCGCTATGCAGTGTCGTAACAGCACGTTTGTCTTTCCCAAAGAAGCAGCGATACTGGAGAGTCACGGCCTGGAGGTACAGAGTCCCGGCGTTCACTCCATCTCGGACGACGTGGAGGGCCCCGAGTATTCGGAGCAGGTGTGCTGGGACCGGGGTTTATCGCTGCTGGCGTGATCATTTCTCGCGGGCTCCTGCCACGACGACGGTTTTTGACTCCTTGTTTGACCGGGGACGTTCTTACTTGTGGTGCCGTCATCGACCAGCCATGACCTGCCCTTCGAGTGGTGACGCGTGTGCTACCCAAACCCACTTACATTTCTTAACAGTCAGTTTCTCAAACGCTAAGCTTCGTGACTCCCCCCCCCCCCCATCTTTTGCCATGTTGCAGCTTTCCATGATCACCAACCCTCAGATGTGTGTAATGTGCAGCGGCTTTGCATGGAAAAGATCAGCAATTAGCGGACAGCTACATTGTTAGGGGTCCGCGTGAAATAAAGTTTACGAAACGCTGACCAAAATTGGCAAACAGACAGCCCAATATATACGAGGGCCTGTATTGTTTTTAACCCCCTGGAAGCGAGTGGACTCGGCAGGTTAGGGCATGTCACAAAAAGAGGGGAGAATCGCATCGCTAAAAAGAGGTGGACGTGGAAGCGTCGGGATGGAGAAGTGGCTTGAAGTGGTGAGCCAGGATGCGAAGGGCTGTAATGGACCAGGAGATGGTCGCCCAGGACAGGAATGAGTTGAGAAATATACCGAGTAGAACGCGGACTGCGTGAGTGGGGAAAACACGCGGAAGAAGACTTTGTGTAGCCCCTATTACGCTCTACGGCTCAACAGCGCCATGCGTACATCGGGCTGGTTCAGAACGCACAACTTGCGTGTAAATTGCCTGCAAGCACGATGATTGGCACGCACGATTATCTGAACTGCGCCTCCGATTAGCACGGTCGGCTGCGTACGGTGCGAAAGAAGTTCTACATACGTACATCTTGTCACTTTTTTTTTTGCATCTCCCTGACCCTCTCGCCCCACCCCCTGACCACCCATCTGCCCTGCACCGATAGGACGAGAGCCAGAGCGAGCACCAGCCGGACCCCATCTCACTGGCGGTGGAGATGGCGGCCGTGAACCACTCCATCCTGGCGCTCGCCAACCAAGGTGGCGGTGGCGGCGGCAGCGGCGGCGGCGGCGGCGGCGGCAGCGTCAAAATGGAAGCGCCCGAATTCGAATGAAATGGCGATGGAGAAAAACATAAATGGAATGTTAAAAAAAAAAAAGCAAAGGCGCTGCGTGGCACGCTGGAGGGGAACATCCACGGTGCGACGCTGTTCGGTCGCGTGTGCAGCCAAAGACGCACGTGCGAGCAGCAGTGTTTGATGCTTGTCGTAAGGATCCTTTCGGGCGTGCGTAGGCGGCGTTTCCTACAAATGGCCTTAACGCTACACCTGATGGGGGTGTGTGTTGTTCGTACATGTCGGGAGAGTCCGGCTAACCGCTGGGGCACCTCTTGCACGCGGACTGCTGGTTTAGAATTCTACGGATGATGATGATGATGATGGCAACAGAAGCGCTGGCAAACATGCGTTACATGGTGTACTTGCCTGGTCTGAAACTGGACGGGCGAGCTCGTCTGCTGAGATGTGTTTTTTTTTGCACTATCGGATGCCAAACATTTATGCTCGCATCTGTACGCTGAATCTACACCACTCTGCCCGCTGATGAGAAATACCAACGAGACAACACTTGAATCAATCTCCAAGCAGAAAGCCCCCCCCCCCCCCCCCCGTGTGCGCGCCAATTTATTTTCAAACTTAAGTCTGCATTGTCTCGCGCAGTCTGGAAAAACAACCTGCGTAGAATGCAAAGAATGATCCGTTTGTACACAAGTCAAGCACCTTTGCTAACATCGTGTGTATAAAGTATACGTTGCCTTTATTTAGCATATGCATAGGGTATGACCAATGCCTTGTCAAAGCGGTTAGGGCAGTGAGGCTCTGTGGTGGCGTTGTGTTCGCCCCCCCCCCCCCCCCTTCCTGGGCCCCCAGCTAAAAACCCAACCGAACCCCTAGCCGACAGTCACCGGGGTGGTTCTTTGCCTGCGCTGCCGCGTCGAGGTAGTCTGTGCCGCCACCAAAAAGCCTCGAGGGGTGGGGGCGGAGGGGGGGGCGCCCCCCACGGCCCTCGCCGTCGGCGTGCGGTCACTTGGACACGAGAGAATGTACGCCCACTGCCCTTCTGCCGCGTCGCGCTCTCTGGGGGAGACGCGCTCCGTCCGCAAGCCGAAGACGATCCGATTGTAAAGGCCGGGACGAGGAGGAGGGCCGCCCCCCCCTGCCGGACCAAGGACGTGCGTAATTAAACGAGGATCAATCTCTGCTATTTACGAAGTCTGAGCCTCCACTAATAATTACGGGGGGGGGGGGGGGGGGCGGCAGGGGGCCGGACAATGACAGATGTGGCGTCAACTATAATGGGTGAGAAGGATGGTGGGGGTGGGCACCGCACACCCCGGCTGGCCTCGTCCCATTGGTCGGCGTAATTGCGCGTTTCGTCTGCTCGTCCCGACAAAGGTGACGCGCGAAAAAAACAATCCCATAGCACGAAGGCTGAACAGGGGTGCTGGGGTGGGGGGGAGGCAGTGGGTGGTGTACTGCGCACAGATTTATTTTACATTTTGCTGCTCTGTGTAGTCGGTTAATGATGATTGATAAAAAAAAAGCAAAATGTTCTCCACATTTCACTGTAACGGTTGGGTCCAGTTTTATTTCAGATGAGGTGCTGTGCTAATTTACTTGACAAGGTATTGATCCAATCTCTTAATCACCTTTGGGTACAGTGGGTCCATTTGATCGGCATTTAACGGTTTGCAAGGTGACTTTAACGGTTTCTTTTCTGTCACGTTTGTCAAAACTCAACGTGTAATTTTTCCCTACGCGGTTCGTAATATTATTTTACACTCGGCATACTCTCACATGCAGCATCGCCGTTTATCCTGCGCACGACTCATTACGCAGTGGCTGGATGCCCTTGTTTATGTTTATATCATCCGAAGCCTCACTTAAATTGCGTAACGTTTGTGTGGCCACCCCTAACGCCACTCTGCGGCTCACTTAGCTGCCTCTCCCTCTTCCCTCCGCTCTCATCGCCCTCTCTCGCATCCCTGACATGGCAGTCCTCCCCCTTCCTGCCAGGCGCTCCTCCCTGCTGTTCATCTTGAGCCGTGCCCTCAGTGTCCTTCTTGGGCACTTCCATCTCGGAATCCTTTCCCGTTCTTTTTTTCCATCCACCCGTCGACGACTACTCGCCATCCCTTTGGTGTGTCCATGGGTAAAAAAAAGTGTTGAGATCCGATATTCAGAGCACACAACCAAGTAAGACGATTACGGCTTGATCTAGAAACGTGGTCAAGGATGAGCAAACATTAAAATAAGCAGATGAAATTGAGGAACTTTTAACACCAGTTTATTAAATATGTAGACTTTTTATTTTTGCAAACGCGAATTAAGGCTCATTGCGTTTGACTGTACATACCTTTCCCTCGGTTGCTGTAATCTTGTGTGGTTTTTTTAAGCTTTCCATCTGCTCGCCGGATAGCCTAGGAAGACGAATGCAGGCTTAGCAAGCTGGAACAGCCACAAGCTCGCTTGGATTTGTTGAACCGTGCAAATCTTGCCACAGCTTGTTCATATTTGGGGACTGAGATAGTACCAAAGTGCTCTGTTTGCCGTAGAAGGGATATTAAAGACCCTCTGAAATCTGCCAGGAGTAGACCCTTACGTGCCAATGCCCAGGCCAAAAAAAAATAACCCAATTCCTTTCATGGGAAATGCGTGTGCTTGTTAAAGATAATGTGTTTTTGCATCATCACCTTAGGTTTGGTTTCCTTCAGATTAGATGCACAATGTCCTCGACAAGTTACATGGAATGTGGCAAGCAGGCCTGAGCCTGGATCGTACTTGGACAGGTGGATAAAGAGGTCGTGAAGAGGCTCGTGGGGTTGTGGGTCGCACAGCAGCGAGCAGTGCCACAAATCCATGCCCGTGCTCGACCACTGTGCTGCTTGCATCACTACGCCCTCGCCTGCAAACTGCAATGACGAGCGTGGCGAAGCATGGTTGAATAACAGTCCACGGCTTTGGGCGTGGGAGGACGTCCCTATCCAGCAGTGGATTTGTCCCGTAGACGGATTGGGTTTGAATGGAAATGAAACGCGGCGTGTTCTCTGCAGTGGCGGCGGCCGTAAGCCAGCGTTGTGTTACACGAACAGCTGTGAGGACGGGCAGAGGCGAAGTTCCAAATCTCCCCCCACCCACACTAACGAAATGTACGGTCGCCTTGGATTCAGCTTCTGATGACGTCGTGTTGAAAGGTAATACGCCTGCTGAGGCTGCAGGTGCGTCTCGATACAGTTTTAGTTAACGGGTTCGAATCGCGCTGGTCTTTCGGAAAATACTTTTCCAAAGTTAGAGCAAAAAAATCCAATAATCCACGAGTGCCTTTTTATTCGTGGATTCTTGCCGCTTTTGCAACTGGCCCCGTAATCGGCGGCACACCGCGCCTGCCCTCCCCCCCCATATATCAATGCAGACGATTGAGATTTCTGGTTGTATCTTTCGTCGTTAGCATTCCCCTTTTTAATCGGTGGTCAGTTTTACACCCGTCACTTCAACCTGTCCCCCTTTGCCCGACCCGTAACTCGCGCAAGGCTGTGTTGTTTCGCGCCACTGGGGAAGTTGACGATTGTGTTCGGCATGCAAACGGCGCGTCGATTCATGAGTCCAGTCGAGTTTTACGCTCGCGCGCGTCCCATCATGAATGTGACAGCCTATTATAATGTATGCAAATTACCTGTACGGTATACATTTCCATTACGTGCGGGTTAATACAGTGAACAAAACTGCACGAATGAGACGAAGCTACTCGACACAAATACGGGACAGAATGTTAATCCTGGAGACCCTCGAATAATGCCAATTCATCGAATCTTCTTGGCAGATGAGATCATCGCAGGCCTAATCGTTATTCACCATTGCACCTTAATCTTGGACCTCACAAGACTGCGCTTAAAGCGAGCGAGAGAGAGAGAAAACCAAAGTTTTGTGGCTGTGGAAGGTCACCTCTCGGCGGGGGGGGGGGGGGGGGGGTCACGCATTGGGCGCCGTGGGCGAGGCGGCGTCTCCTGGCTCTTCCTTGTGACCCCCCCCCCTCCCCCGAACTCGTCTCTGCTCTGTGGCCGCAGGGTCCGCAGGGTCCGCATGCCGACATGGAGGTTTGTCTTGGAGCAGGTGGAGTGTTTTGGCGTTGACTCACTTGGGTTGGCCCTAACCCGGCAGCAGGAGTTTGAAACCGCTCGCTTCTCAAGGGGGGGGGGGGGGTGCGAGTCGTCGTGCCGACCGAGCGGCCCACCTTGCATAGTTTTCTACTGCTCGCTGAAGCGTTCTTTTTCAGTGTAACTATTTATATGAATGTTAACATTCATTTTGTTGGGGAACTTTAATTTAATTTTAAACAATTTGTTCTGTGTGTGTGCGCGCGCGTGCGTGTGTGGTGCAGTGGCTTTTGTGCACTGCTGAGATCTGGATAATCCTGGGGTTCGATCCCTGGTAATGGATCCCATCGGTGGCGCGTATCTCAGTTGCTATCGAGGCCCTCCCCAGATTCAACTCACCTGTGATGAGTATCTGTTGAGTATGTGATGAGTGTCTGATGAGTATCTGTTGAGTATCTGATGCTGTGCATTCACGCTGCGATGGGGGGGGGGGGGAGAGACAAAGGTGGCCGAGCATATTGCCGAACCAATCGTACGACCGATCCCCTCGTGCTGTGTCCGCCTTCACAGGTCTCTCGCTCGCCCCAACAGTCTTGAGAGGGGGGGGGGGGCATACGATGGGGCTGGTGTGGGTTGGGAGAGCTTTGCGTGCGTGAAAGTCTCGCGGTGTGGTCTGTGGTCTGCATCGTCGGCGAGTTGTGCCGTGCAGAATGACGGGAGATTGCCCGGTGCCACTGTGACGAGGTAACTTGTGAACGCCGCTGTCGGGTGTTTTGGGGGGCAAGAGTCCCAAAAAGAAACTAAGGTGCCCCCCCGTGCAACCGTCTTTGTTACTTTGCCTGATGGTTGGTTGCCGACTGTGGACTCACTTTACACTCACTCACACTGGGGCATTGACTGTTCAATCAGAATTTCTTTACAATAAAAGCGTTGGTGGTATTTGTAGTATAACGGGCTTATAGTATTACACTGTAACGTATTTACAGATTTGCAAAGGTTCATTTAAATGAAAACCTATGATTTTTATACTAATGTGTTAAATTTGTGTAATGTTTAGTCATATTAATTTTTAAAGGAGAATTGTTATGGGGGGTGGGGGGGGGGGATAACTATAGATTGTGTTGCAGTCTTGTAGGTTATGAAGTTTATTGAAATCTAAGTTTAGTTCTTTGTATTTTTTCTAAAAAATATAGTTATTTTTACTAGCATTGTTCGTAGCTATACGCTTATCTACTGGTCATCGAGTAAAGTGTTATCAGGACTTGTCATGTTTGCATTTGCTTGGATAGTGTAATCTATAAATTGATGGTTAAACCGAGAGTAAAGTTACCAGTGGTGGCCCGAGCTGTCCTTCCAAATATTGTCCTGAATTCCTATCCGGTGATTATACAAAATGCAGATTTTTTTTTTAACTCGTGTGTTCCTTTTGCAAACATCTGCCCAAAAGTTAACGGATAACTAGGTAAAGCACTTAAGAAACACCATTGTTAATGCGCTTTAAACTTAATCTCGCTGTTGCCAGGATGTGGCCGGCCTATTTTTTTTGCGTGGAGAAGGGTTCCAACCCTTCCCCAGGACAAATGCAGCGCTTCATACGAATTGGTGTTGTGTTCCCCACGTTGCAGAGTTGTTTTTAATGCCACACGTAAGGTGTGGCTAGTGGCATCATGATTACACCTGTTGCACATCCAACTCTTGATTGTGTCGCCTTGCAGGTCCACACCCACCACCTGACGTGTGGTATTTAAAGAACACCCGTAATTAAATGCCCTGGAGTTTTTTTGGTTTGCGTAGCACTGCAAACAACACTGTGTCTCAGCATCTAATTGATGCTGCTTCATATCGACACCCGTGTGTGTTAAGATAATGGCACAGATTTCTAATATTAAGGCAATTGAACATTTAAGAGGGCAATTCCAAACTCTAATGTAATGGCATGCACTGGTGTAATTGCACAAGCCAGTCTTTTGTTCCTTCACTCATGCCACTGCTGTGCAACATTACTTCCAGAACATTTGACTTTTAGGAAGTATTTAATTTCGTTTCAATCTACCACTAATAGAATTATGTTTAAAAACGTGTGCAGCAAATGTGAACCTGAAGATGGCTGTGCAACAAGCATTTTAGATGTAATGTCTTTAGAAGATAGGAAGAGTGATACTACTGCGTAGGTCTTCACGGTTATATGGCTGCATCGCTCTCCGATGTGTATGCGGGGTTGTTCCGCGTCTCGTTCGGCAAAATGTCCCAATGTTTCACTCCGCGTGCTTTAGAGCTTCTTCGAGGAACTTTTAATCGAAGAGGCTCCCGCCGCACGCGGAGTGGAACTGAAACTGACGACGCTCCCCCCCGCAACGTGGAACGAAACATTTGGGCGTTATTGTGAACAACTCGTGGAGGTGCAACTCGTGGAGAACGCGTGGGAGAACTATCGATAAAGTGCTTTCGAGAGGGATATTGTGGCAACTTTCTTTTGAGAGTGAGCGTGACATTAGTGGAATATTGCGTTGGTGGGAGCGGGAAAAAAAGCCGGTAACTTTTTTCTTTTAACATTTAAATGGTTTTCAAACCAGCAGGGCATACCACCAAAAACATATGACTGTGGATCACATGTACACTGGGCACAGATTTTATGATGTTGCAAAGTTGCGGCTTTGGGATGTGAAAATACAAGTTTTCCCGGCACGAGTCATTTTAATTATGCTTTTACTAATTGTCTCAAGGCCGAATGATTTATTTAATTCCGTGTAAGGGTGGCCCAGAAGATATTTGGTTGTCGTGTTCTCAAGGACATTCTTCCATATATGTAGCTGTCTTTTTAGTTTGGGAGTTTGTTCAGACGGCATATATGTAGTGCGTTCCTATTTTCGACATTTGGTTTAACACTATTCTACTGTGCTACGTTTTTGCTTTTTATCGTGTTGGTTTAAAAAAAAAGGCATTTGGAGTTTTCGTTTTTTGTGGATTGTAACGTTCCATCCATTACCCCGGACGTAGTACGCTGCTGTGTAAATAAAGTGTAGCGGCCTCCTATATACACACCGCATGTCGTTGTCATTTGCGTGCGCCGTGGAATCTATTAATTTGGATCTGATTTTTTTCTGTATCGCAAGCGCCTGCACTTGATGTCACAATGCACCCCGTGTCAACACACCCCGGGCCTGCCAATAACATTGAGTGAATTTCATGTTCCGTTTCCAACGCACAGCAGTACTCTCGAATGAGTTTTGTTTGAAGGTATGGTATGTTGAACTTATTTTCCACCGTACGTACATAGCCAACCGTGCTCATCAGAGATGCGGCCGTGCTTATTGTTGGCAACCGATAGGATGCTAAAGTTAGTCTCTTATTATAGTTTGTCTTTTAATGAAATGAATCTCTTATTAAAGTTCGCCTTTTACTGCCCTGGCTGCTTCATCTAGCGCTAGCCGCTCGTAGACCATCCTATGGATGTTTTCTTGATACTTTAAATGAAAAATGAATAAAACTTCATTCTAATTTATTGCCCGTTGGATTTCCAAACCAAAATTCAGCAGCACTTAAGCACACAAACCCCCAGACCGGTTTTCGACTATGTGGGCCTCATCAGCAGTTAGGTTTTGTTAAGCCCGAGTTTGTGTTCAAATATTAATACAACTGTCGAGCTCGAGACCGATTCTCGTGAAGACCTCCCCCTTCAACCAGTTTTGCTTTGGGTGCAATACCTCACTGTCCGCCGGGTGGCGCCAACACTGAAATCAGTGTAACGACTCCACGAGACGCTGTTCTTGTGACCCCGACTCCAACAGCAGCTCCCAGCCTCTCCTCGACCCCTTTAATCCTCAGCGTGGTCATCTCCCTTGACCCCGTGGCCACGCCCCTTCTCTAGCACCTTTTCCATGGCTCTCGGGCCGTGAACCGCACCTGCCCCCTTCTATCGCTTGGCCACAGTCCCTGTTCTCGATCCTTCTTGTAGACCCCAGATCGTTTCCGTCTGTCTGCCCATTAAGCTGTAATTACCCCCTGTGCCCACTGTCAATTCACCTGTCATTTCTAGATTTAAAGCTTTCGTGACTGCAAGGATCCATACTCTTTGGTTCTATTCGACTGTCATTACCCACCTGTGACCGCTCGTCCCCTGTACTGCCTTTACAAATGTACAGACCCGACGCAGACGGTTTCACGGGGAAGCTGATGCGACTGTGGTCACCCAGAACGCAACCATGGGACGTGCAAGTCAATGCCCGAGGCATCCCCACAGCGAAGACCTCACTCCCTGGGTTTTGATCTTCCACCGATGCTTGTGGTCCACCCCAAACCGCATCCACTGCACAAACCGTGGCAGAAGTAAATGCGGATACTACCTGGTGGTGATGCAAAGATGGAACATTTTCAACTTTTTTGCAGTCGTGGTGCGACTGTGCTCATCCAGAACAGACGCCGTACAACGTGCAAACGACGAGGCAATGCCCCGGATACACAAATACGAAGGAGACATCGCAGCGACGACGATGATGATGCACCACTCCGCTGCCTCCTGATGCGGCTGCCTGCTGGCTTGACAACCCCGTAATGAAATTGTCGTCGTTGCTCTGCATCTCCACCGTCGGCCGTACGACGAGAAGACCACCAACCTCATACTCTTTGGTTCTATTCGGTAAAGTCACGTAGGTAAAAAAATAAAACAAAAATCACGACGTTTCGGCCACAACACAAGTGGCCTTCATCAGGTGAAGGGACCAGACTGTCTCAAGGACAGCGCTGTCCTGTTTTATTTTTTACCTACGTGACTTTACCGAATAGAACCAAAGAGTATGGATCCTTGCAGTCACGAAAGCTTCAAACCTAGAACCACCAACCTCACCAAATACCCCTCGCCACCACTGGACTCAACCCCCGATCCACCCCCCCCCCCCCCCCCCCCCCCCATCACTTCTAAGACCGCACGTGGCTACTGCTGTCACCGCCGCTGCTGCCAACGGAATTGTAACTGAAAAGCGGCCTCGTTTCTGTGTTAGATTGCCGCGCGTGATGGCGGCAGCAGCAGCAGCAATGTGTTTATTGTTCAGGAGCTGCGATGCCAATGTCGAGGTCTGCTGCTGCTGGCCACGACGAGCGAGCTTCATCGCAGAGGGAGTTCGGTGTCGTGACGCTTTTCCTGCTCCCATTCAAGGAGCTAAGACCACAGTGGGTGTCCGCCACGGTTCGGAGAATTATTGTTGCGGCAGTGTCGATTGGCGGGCGACCGGGTTGAGGACGTGGCTATTGTACAATTTACACTTCTGATTTATTATCGGGTATTAATTCATTCAAATATCTCATCACCAGGCAAAACTGGGGGGGGGGGGGGGGGGGGGCAAACGACGTTAAAAGTTCACTGCCATGATTATCACGCCCGTAGTAATATTCGGGGCGACCACTGGGTTCGAATCGCGAACCTCCGCTACAAAGTGGCGAACGCGCTGCTTACCCGCAGTCACCAGGAGAGGTACTCTTTGGTTCTATCCGGTAAAGTCACGTAGGTAAAAAATAAAACAAAAATCACGACGTTTCGGCCACAACACAAGTGGCCTTCATCAGGTGAAGGGACAAACTGTCCAGCGGACAGCGTTGGAGTGAAGAAAGCCAAGCGCAGGTCGCCTCCTTTTAAGCTGTGAGGGGGTAAACAGAAAACGCCTTGACAAAGGAAATTAGCATAAAACACACCACTAACAACGCTTGGAATTAGCACAAGATGATAATACACCACCCTGGGAGTTTGGAATGCCACCACCTGAATAAATATACTGCACCACTGAAAATTAGTTTAATGTTTGGTTCGATTTAAAACATCTTCCAATGGTTGCTTAATTTGAAACCATCTTCTCGGTTGAAATTGTGTCTGTGTTTGTAAATCTGAATCGCCTCGTGGATAAATCTCTGATGATAACCTGTCGGTTTGCAAAGGACCTTGGTATCGGAGAAAATTATATCGTGATCACCCACAGCGTTGTAACAGTGATCAGCTACGGCAGAATAATTCGTCCTGCCGTGTTTCAAATCTGATTTGCGCTCGCGAATTCGGTCAGAGACATGTCGTATCGTCTCCCCGATATAGCAATCACCACAAGTGCAGCTCAATTTGTAAACCCCGGGGTTACAAATTGAGCCATATATAGCAGGCGTTACTAAAAAGATCTCCAAAATCCTAAAGAAACACAAGATCCTGGTCCGGTTCAATACAGTACACAAAATCCGTGACCTGATCCCATCCGTGAAGGCTGTCATTCCTGACTTACAGTACCCCGGAGTTTACAAATTGAGTTGTACCTGCGGTGATTGCTATATCGGGGAGACAAAGCGACATGTCTCTGACCGAATTCGCGAGCACAAATCAGATTTGAAACACGGCAGTACGAATTCTTCTGCCGTAGCTGATCACTAACGCTGTGGGTGATCACGATATAATTTTCTCCAATACCAAGGTCCTTTGCAAACCGACAGGTTATCATCAGAGATTTATCCACGAGGCGATTCAGATTTACAAACACGGTCACAATTTCAACCGAGAAGATGGTTTCAAATTAAGCAACCATTGGAAAGATGTTCTAAATCGAACCAAACATTAAACTAATTTTCAGTGGTGCAGTATATTTATTCAGGTGGTGGCATTCCAAACTCCCAGGGTGGTGTATTATCATCTTGTGTTAATTCCAAGCGTTGTTAGTGGTGTGTTTTATGCTAATTTCCTTTGTTAAGGCGTTTTCTGTTTACCCCCTCACAGCTTAAAAGGCGACTTGCGCTTGGCTTTCTTCACTCCAACGCTGTCCGCTGGACAGTTTGGTCCCTTCACCTGATGAAGGCCACTTGTGTTGTGGCCGAAACGTCGTGATTTTTGTTGTTTTATTTTTTACCTACGTGACTTTACCAAATAGAACCAGAGTATGGATCCTTGCAGTCACGAAAGCTTCAAATCTAGAACCAGCAGGTGTTCCTGTACTGTGATCGTGCCCCATTGCAAAATATAACTCTTTTCAATTGTGCAACCGGATTGCAAACCGAATGCATGGTGCAATTACAGTGCAAGTGCATCGCTAGCGATGCAGTAAAATATTCCTGCGTAGGATGTCATCCCATCGATGGCTCTAACAACGTCAGTGTATCCAGGCCTTAGGTCCACACAACAAAAACACGTTCCAAACCTCGGATTGCGGTAACTTGAGTCATAACGAGGATTTAATGAAACAATATTTAGGCTCATTTTTACGTGGGTCCTGCATTACAATGTTTGGTCACTACCATTAATTGGTGTTCGTCGTGAAGGAATCCAGAAAACCCTGGAGAAACCCCACAAGCATGAGGTGCAAGAACAGAAATTTAATTTATTGGCAAACTCGCAGTCACACGCCTGCTACGCTTGCTGGCGACACACGCAAGTTTCGCCCTTTGTGTAAGATGCTTTGTGTCAGATCTGATGAGAAAGGCGGACCCACTTCAGGAATCGTTCGGTCAGCCAGTGACTCGAACATCCCACAATTCATTTCTTCACAGGAATCAAAACGTATTCAATGGTACCTGTATAAAGACAGCTCAGGATACAGATTTGGGCGACTGCAAAATAAAGGACATTCGTCTAAAAACATTTCGCAATTGTCATTATTATCCTAGGAAGACCCAGATCACAGACACCTACGAAGCAAATAGAAATGCTGAAAAGTGTCAAGATGCATGGTTGGTATTACGCTTCGATAGAGGAACACATGCATCACTGCAAATTAGAAACGACTCAAGAAAAGTGCGATGATGACTGATGGTTGAGGCTGGAAATGGCATTGAGTCGAGAGATCCAAACCAAGAATTAAGACCACAAAAGCAGATGGAGAAAATGGGATCATCTCTTGTGCAGCAATAGCAAGATGGACAGTGGCATCGTGGGATTCATGTTGCAGTGGAGAGAGCATGGTTGATAACGACGCTCACCAACACCCTACACTTTGATCAGGTCGTGTGAATGGACCCAATGCCGCTCGGTCTTCACCGCGGACTCGCACCCAAGCAACCAACGCCACACAAGTGAATATAATCAAAATCGTTACAAGCGAGGGTTTTTTTTCTCCTTTCTTTATTAGTAGCGTAATTTATACTCAACGCATCACTAATACATCATTAATACAGTATTAATAAGTATCGTTGCTTGGTGAGCGAAAAAAAAGCGTGAAAATTGAGGTCAAAAAGCAGACGGCACTGGGCTGAAAAACGTGGCTCCATTTGCTACAGTAATACGTGTTATTTTGTTTGTAAATAAAATAGTTGCCATGGAAACAAAGAAGTATTTTACACGTACGTGACACGTAACAGGTTTGCGAATCCCCAAATCAAAGACGGCAATTATTATGGGCAGGGGGACATTTTTTTTCATTTCTTCCAAGTTTCAGCACGCGCGCGCACACACACACACGGTGCAATTTCATTTTTAAGACAAGGCCAGAGAGATGGGTGGGATTCGCTTTTGATGCGTTCCAAACGTGCGCACATCACCACATTCACAAAGCAAATGGGGCTCGCGAGCGGGCACCGGTAGCAGCCACGATAAGGAATTCGCCTGCATGCATCCATTTACACAGCGGACTGTCACTTGGAACGGTTCATTACTTGCCACGCGTATTTTAAGTTTCGGTGGTAGGTGGTGGTGGTGGTGGTTTTCTTGATCGTGAAAGAGCCGTAAGGTTGCCATGCCGGTGCCGAGCGGCGCGTCACAGGTTTTGTACTCAAGAGTCTGAGGTGGGAGGGGGGGAAAACCAGAAAACTTTCCGTGCCCTTTTGAAAATGAACTGCGAATCCAAGAAGATGAAAGCAAAAGGTGAATAGATAGTTTTGAGTGCATTTTTCTTTTAAACTCAAATTCCCTACTGTACATCGCTTTATATAGCCGGATCGGCACCGATTTTACAAGGAAAGAAATTTATTACATTATAATTTGTTCCATGGTAACTACGTTAGAGAAGAGGTGAGCAAAGTATAAAGCCAAACGTTAACTATGTATATGCACAGCAGTCGAACCATGATAAAAATCCAAACAAAAATGTAAGCTGAAACGTATTAACAGTGATAAAGAATAAAATTACACGATAGTATTAACACGAAAGGGTAACGACTCCCATTCAGTTATACAAAGCTTGAAAAATGTCCACTCAAGTTACTTGGGTATAATTTATGTTACACCACATTACAGCTAGATAAGAGAATGTACATCAACATGTAGGATTCCACAGCATTCAAACTTGGCTTGTTTTTTAATTTTTCTTTTTTTAGCAAGATTTTCACATATACAGTAAGCCGGTTTACAATGTATACAAATATAATGTACAATCATGTTAATTATTACACTGTGCACCTCTAACATACACAAAGTGTTTGTTTTGATTACCATCAGTATTATTCATACATAATAAGACATCATACACTGTATACAGGGAAGAAAATAATATTAGCCCAAGCATGATTAATATATTTCATACAATACTACAATTAACAATGCATCCAATCTCAGATTACATAAAATCCAACGTGGTTTCTATATACGTATGGTATCTAAGTTAACAACACGCCTTAGGATCCTACACAACGCTTACAGACCTGCGAAAAAACGACACTGCAGGACAGAAGGGGCCAGAGGACGTTGGGCTTTCCCTCTGCTGGCCACTGAGATATTAAGAAATAAATTGTGCCAACGAAACGGCAGCATCGGGACCGGTTAACTCGTGGTGTGGGCTGCACGCAAAGCACAACGGCTCAAAGTCGGCTCCCAATTCGACACCCCGGGGAGGCCGAACCGGTCGATTCTTCTTCGATACGCAGGCCCTGCCACCCACTCCCAGCCGGGCTGGGGTGGCTTGGAGGTGGTTTAAAAGCAGAAAACCCGAACACCTCATTCAGCCTCCGGGGGGGGGGGGGGGGGGGGGGGGGGGTGGAACGGGAAAATAATTGGCGTCGTCATTCCAACGAGATGCTGGATGATGACAATGACGGCCCCGAGCGAGATCCCATTCTCCGGATGTTAACCGTGAATTACAAAAAAATAAGAAAACACCCTCACAAGTTGCAAAAAGCTGCTGCTACTACTGAAACCACGCAGTACCATGCACCACTCACCGCCTCCCCCCCAAGCTGGATTCGATTCCCCTCCTCCTCTACCCACCGGTGACAAAAAGAAACTAATGTTTAAAAACCCCACATTTTCTTTTGAGGTCAAATCAATGTCCGTGCGCACCGCTCGGTGCTGTGGTGTGGAAAGATGCAGCGCAGCGACACACGCTCGTCGTCGATCACAACGGATCCAATATTCGAGGTGGACGCATCCTCGCTTTTAATCTCCTGTGACTACGCGCAACGTGCTTATCCGTCGTCTCATTTTTCAAACTTCCTTTCCTGTCCTACGTTTTCAAGAAGGCAAGCACGGAAGGCTTGTGGTGGTCAAAGTAACCCCCCCCCCCCGTAAAGGTCGGTGGCGAACGCGTGCCCCCCCCCCCTCTCCCCAAAAAATACATATGTATACGTATAAATATATATGTATGCTTGGCAAGCGCACATGTACACACACACACCACACGAACCTTTACACGTGTACAGCGATAGGTGGTAAAAGTCTTCGAAAAATGCAAACGAGTCAATCGACGCCCTCCAAACGAAGTCCGAATGGCCACGCTGTCGAGCGTAATCGGCGTCGCCTCAGCCGCCACGTGCGGTGTGGCCTGACACGAGTTGGCAGACGCAGTGGGGGGGGGGGTCCGCGCATCGCAGCAACTACAAGACGACGTTCGGGTGCAACTCGCACAAGGTGGTCCGGGAACCAACGGAAGGGGGGGGGAGAAGCCAAGAGACCACTCGTTGCAGACCGCGTGAATATGCATTATCTGTTGTTGAAAAATCGAGTCCAAACATCTGACAAGTTTTATAAAGACATTTAACACGAGTCAGCTTCCCTGGACACGAGCACATGTAAGGAACCACTTAACACCCACTCTTCTCCTGGCCTCTTTGTTATGTACAGCAATTCACAAACTATGTAATATGTTGTGTTTTTTTCTCACTATGGACACTACAATAAATCACAAACCGATGCTTTTGTACAAATTTTTTTTAACCTCAAATATACGCAAATCTACGACTAAAAACTTGTACTGCAAATCTCAAAATTTCTTTACAAACTTATGAAAAAATGGACACTCTAGTTACAGGTTAACGCGGGGTAAAATTAAACGCTACTCAATTTAAAGGCTGCGAGTGGCGCGCCGAGCATCGCCCTCGCAAGCGGCCGTTTGTGTGGGCGACCTCTGAGTGGGTTAAAGATTTAACAACGTCTCCTTCAGTGCCCAATGCGGGGGCCAATGTAATGTACAAACCTATTTTACAAATGGCTTCTACAGGGAGGCGCCGATTGGTCAAGCGACGAGGACCGCCGGCGTGTGAAAGAAAGGGAACACGCGCGGCGCTGGTGCCGACGAAACGCTCGCGCGAGAGATTTTTAAAAACCAAACTCCGCCGCAGCCGCTTGGGAGGAATCGCGTGGCGAGTGGGCAGGAGTAAGAGAACCAAGAGAGGTTTTGTCTTTGTGATGGTTATTTATATTAAAAAATAATAATGTACAGAAAGGAAAATTATTACCTCGGGAAGTAACACACTGGTTAATTATACACTGGGACGTTTAGGGGGGGGGGGGGCGGGGGGTCCTTTCTAATGAGCCCACTCACAGGTCGACGGGGTGAAGGCAGGACGGAGCAAAAGAAAGGCTGTCCCTTTCACCTGCTCGGCCTTCGGCATCGCAACTGTCGACCTGGGAATGGAGCCCCGTGAGAGTGGGCGATGGCGGGTGGGTGCTGGGGACGACGGGTGGCTGGAGGCCCCTGTTTCAGATCATGCCGTTGGCCGTGGGCACGCCGAGGGGCCCCAGATCGGCACTGTTCTTCAGGAAGTACTTCTCCAGCTTGGCCAGGATGTGCTTTCCGTACGTGTACTTGCGCAGGGTCGCCACGTGGGGTCGGATCTGCACACGGGAAAGCGCACGGAGAAGTGGGAGGGGCGGCGGCCGGTCAACAAAACCTTCGGAGACCTTAACGCCGTGGATGCACTCGGGGAAAATATGTAGGGCAATGGTCGGCAAAGCATGAATGGCAACGGTTGTCTCAACTTTCCATCGGCAAAATTAGACCGTATACGATCGTTCTTTTCACCGAGTGGGCAGCTTAGCCAATTTACAATCAGGTTGCAAGACAGATGCCAACGTGACCATCCAAGGCTATGCGCCGTTGACCAAACACTTTCCATCGCCTCGTCTAAACCCCATTCTCTTAACCAGCGGTTGTATAAAACACGTTGCTGGCGACGACCGACCAGGCATTGCCACCGTTTCCTAAGGGCGTTAATTTTCTCTTGAACACGAACAGCAACGGACTAACCCCTCCCACCCGCCCGCCCTCCCTCGACCCTAACCCCTCAAAAACCTCCGCCGCCCCGTCACCTTGTGCATGAGGATCTTGCGCTGCGGAGGCTCGGCCACGTCGATCATCTTCTGCACAACATAGTTGGCGTACTGATCCTTCATCATGGCGTAGAGCGGTCCGTGCGAGCCCTCGCCGCTCGCGCACACCTCCTCGATCAGCATGGCTCGCTCGGCGCGCGACGAGTGGGACACGCACTTCTCCACCACGTTGCTGCCGAAGGGAGGAATCCCGAGATTGAACGTTGTTAATTATCGGCCATGTCTTTTTTTGTTTGTTCATTATATCACGGTGGGTTGAGCACAGGCTCCAGAGACCCAAATAAAGACCAAGCAGCCAGCCAGCGATAAACAGCATTTTTCAAAACATTTATGAATAGGTTTTACACTTTCTGGCACTAGAACAGGTGTAAAGATGTTCAAACAGCAGATAACTTTTGCAAGGCATCAAGCGTGCATTAACTGCTCAATCCGAGCTATAAGTATTCTTGCATTGTCTCTGTACTTACTGTTTCGCCCTTTTGGCGTTCTCTGGTCTGACACTGGTGAGACAAGGCCATAGAGAAGGCTGTCTCTGGTGTCAGTCAATACGTTTCAAAGACAATGCCATATATTATCAGAGCATGTTTGTTTGCATGTTTTGCCATAAGTATGTGTGGTTAATGCAGACTTGATGCCCTCCAAAAGGTATCTGTGGTGTTTGAACATCTTACCACCTCCTGTTTTCTAGACAAAACGGGGTAAAGACGATTCGATTCTTACCTTTAATCATTTTTGATACTGGCAAAAATGTCTCATAGATATAACAGTGTTCCACTTGCAATAGTTAATAATGTATATGTTGCCTTAATTCAGCAAGGTTATGAGAGTTTGGAAGAACAACCTCTGGGAGGAGATTCCAAAGCAGCACGTACTGTTACCAATGATAATTGAATATGTATTGGAGAAAATGTATGCACTTGCATGTTTTCTGTAATGCTTTCTAACAAGCATGATAGATTGCTAACATATGCTTATTCCTTTCCCTGTTTTGTTTCAACGTATTATTTTGTCAAACGCTTACAATGGACACAAGGCGTAACTATTAACACACCTCGGCGTTTGATAAACGGGCGTCATTTGGGATGGAGAGATTCAAATGAAGAATGTCCGTTTTGTCTCGTTTTTAGTCTTGTTAGTGAGGTTTTCATTTTACATCTGTTCGCCTAAATATATTATGGGCAGGTAAAGCTGCATTTTTCCATCAACTGTAGACAATCAATTCTAACGTGCAAACTTCAACGCACATTATCACGAGCGTAAAAATATATATTTTGGTCGCAAATCGATGCCCGATTGGACGCGATGAAAGCCAAACATATCTCGTGCGTGTCTTAAACTCCACGAAAGCTGCGTTCCCCTTTTTTTTTTTTTTTTACACGGCGCACACAAAGCGGCCGATTTCTCGGTACCCCCTTGCGATTTGGTCAACAGGCCCGACGGAGCAAATCGAGGGCCACCGCTCCGCGACGTTACGCTTCGTGGGGGCCGCCGTATGGCCGCACGCGGGGCGGTGTGGTGCGGGCTGCCCTGCTTAGCTGCGGGCCATGGCGTACCTGGCGAACTTGTGCTGGCTCAACGCGAGCACCTTCCCTCGGAGCTCCGCCACGATCTTGCTTTTATCCTCGGGCCGCCCGTGCTCCAGGACGTGCTGGATCACGTAGTTGCCGTACTGATCCTGCCGGCGACGACGCGATTCAATATTAAAAGCGGTGAGCTGCGGCAGTTTAGGTTTTTTGTTATTTCATGAAGTGTTTTTTTTTTTTTGCCACTTGGTAACAACACGCGAGCCCCGGGCATGCCACACCGAACCAATCCCGGGCTGGGGACCTCGCGCAAAATTAGGGAAGACGAAGATTTAAACGGGGAGACGGAGAATATTAGTAAACAATGTCCAGTGTCCATCCACGTTTCCAATGTGTGTATGTATATAAAATACGTCATAGCAGGCGATATGCAACTCTGGCTGTCGCCTGATGAGGCCGGTTGTAATTATCAAATTGTGTTTTGGGATTACTCAACAAGACACCGGTGTGCTGAACTAGTAAGGAATTGGCACATTTTGTTTAGGTGACAAACCACATTAATTAATTGGCTGTGTCGGGTGGTGCCGGGTTTAACGACACATTTATATTTATGTGCTCTAACCCAAAAAACCTTTCATTATAAATGAATCAAACATGTTATTCTGTAGGCAGCAAGTTTACACAAAGATCCCCCGTATAGCCTTAACAGACTGTGGGGTGCAAGTGCTGTTAGCGAGCACCTATGAAGGCCAGAACGGCACACGCTTACTTACAACAACCGCCATTCGCCACTAAGTGGCGGTGATGTCACCAAGACGCTTGTACCAGGCCATGTGCACCTTACACACACACACACACCCCCACAGACACGGGGAAATTTGAACACTCATGGGCGAGGGGTCCCACCTGCACGAGGGCCTCCGTGTGCTGATGCAGCTCCTCCAGGATGGGGAGGGTTTGCTCCGGGGTGCAGTGCTCCAGGATCCTCTGGATCACGCGGCAGCCGTACGGGTGCGTCGACAACGCAAACACCTTCGCACGCGGGCCCAGCGAGGAGTTACAGGGCGGGGGGGGGGGGTGGGGGGACGAGGACGAATTAATTATTCGTTCCTTTTTTGAGCGAGTAGAATTTTCGCGCCAGCTGTAACCGATCGGTACCACGTTTCATTAAAATACGCCGAGTGAGTAAAACGTTTGACATAGAGAGCCCTGTGTTAAGCTTGTACGATTGCCCGACGCCCTCTGTCCTGGGGCTGCGAGGCGCAAAGCTTGAAGCTTCGTTCAAGAGACGCGATAAGAAGTTAAATCAGTCAAGACGCACGTGTGCGGGCGTTATGCCCCATTTGCACCACTAGAAGGGACTGTAACGTTGACTGTTACTTTCAATAATTGTTCTCATTGATGAAAGCTTTGATTGTGTGTTGAACAGCCTGAAAAAATGGTTTTCGATTTGGTGACTGAATATTCCTTGAATTGTACATTCACTGATGATACTTAGAATGTGCAACACAATCAGGCCTTATGTTTACAGAAAGAGTAGGTTTCTGAAGTAGCCTGCTCGAAAGGGCCATTGCCTAGTCTGCAGAAAGGTCATTGCCTTCTCTGAAAAGCCATTACCTAAAAATGAATCAACTTTGAGGACTGACCATTACCCACAAAACATTGGCCCACCACTTAACCCGATTTAAGGCAGTGTTAACGAGACCTGTAACAACGCGCCCTTTTTGATTTCCAACACGACATCCGGACAGACTCACACGTGACGGGCGAGCCCACCTGTCCGTGGAAGGCGTCGATGACGAACTGCAACACCACCGGCTGCACGCACTCGATGCACTTCTGAACGACGTGGTTTCCGTTCTGATCCTTGACGCACTTGAGCACGTGTCCGTCAAGCTCGGCCACCATCTCTGTCTGCACCGCCCGCATGGCGCAAAGACGCATTAGGCGCAATTTACAACGCTGCACTCCTCCGCCAGATAATGCCGACCGCTCGGCACTTCACCATTTCACAATGCATCGATTGTTCAATTAATATCATCATACTATGATACTGGCAAAAAGGTAGAATTAATATCGATTGTATTGTACGCTTATGAACAAATCACCCTATCTCATTAAACATCTTCCCCTAAGCGAGGCCGAGCCTGGTCAGTGTTAGGATATACCGTACTAGGATGGGTGACCACCAGGGCTTGCCAGATGATGTAGGCGTGGGACTGCGGGATTTCTACGTGGACGTCTCTGCAACTAGATGCGAAGAATCGCAAAACCGGTTGCTGCGGGCGATTAAGTTGCATTGATTTTGAGAGCAATTTAAGCGGTGTGAACCGATGGACTGCTCAGGTGTGGACCCAGCTTAACAGTCTTGTTCCTTTCGTTGCTCCTCTTCGACGACGACCTATGGACGCCACTCCGAATCTAGCCTTGCCATACTTGGCTACAGGTAAAGTGTCAGCGCCCTGAACATGTCATTGATACCTGCTGTTCTTGCGGGAGAGACTCGAGGGCACGCTGGATCACTCGGCACCCGTACATCTGCAGCGCCAGGGGCAGCACGTGGCCACGGATGCGCTGGGCCAACGCGAGCTTCTGCTCCAGACTGCCAAACTGTAATAACGCGGGAAGGTGGGGGTGAGGGGGAGTGGGGGAGGGAGGTGGGCAAAGGAGGCGGATGTCACAGCAGGGCAGTTGGGCGAGGCAACAAGGGATCGAGAGGGCTAGAAAGGACCTCGAGTAGAATGATTGGATTTTCATTTGTAGTGACATTAAGGGGAGAAACTTGAAGATCAATCTGAAAAACTAATTGGTTGCTGCTGTTCTTTTTAGTTGGGAGTATTTTCTGATTTTTTTTTCTCGTTGGAAGCTAATTTAAATGTAAAAAAAAGTTACGATAAATACAATGTACAGAGCTGATAATTCAGTTAACTTATACCTTCAATAACAGTTTTTTGTTCACCGTTTTTAAGGTTGCCAAGGGGGGGAAAAACCTCGCCGATTTTGGCAAAACGATGGCGACCCACAATGATGAAACGGAGATCTTTCTTGCCTCTCTCCCTTCGACGACTGCTCACCTCAAAGAACTTCTGAATGACGTAGTTGCCAAAGACGTCAGTCATCAGCTGGTAGGAGGCCTGCAGGATCTCATTGAAGACCAGCTGTCGCTCCGCCTGCCCCGCGCGCTCCAGCTTTTGTTGGATGAACCTTGGGCGGTGGGGGGAGAGACGAGGGGGTGGTGAATGAAAAAATTGTGACGAGCGGACAAGCAAGCAAGCAAGCAACAGGCCCGACGGCTCGACGCAATAGCAACGGACGTCAAAGCGCGCGCCGACCGATGCCGAAAAGCTCGACGTCGCTGGTGCAGAGAGACATCGGTCAACCTGAACGTGCCTACGTACGCACGTATGGTGAACCTCCTTTTCGCACCGTCGGTAGCCAACCGTGCTAATCGGAGGTGCGGGGGAAGGACAACATCCTCCAGCCGCCTCTAGCGCCGCAGATGTACGGGTGCCAAGTGACCCGGCACACCCTCGAGCCTTTCCCGCAGGAACAGAAGGTGTCAATCTAAAGCCTTCCAACGGAAGCCGGCAGCTCAAGAGTCAACATGCGGAAAGTGGGGCTACTCTGAATGACAACGACACACGGAACTGCGGTGCGAGACAGATCGGAGCATCCATTGGTCACTCGGCTGCTGGAGGAGCAGAGCGCTATGCAAGGGCCTCACGCCACGGCGACAGACCGGGCCACGTCATCATCATGAGCATGATGACACTGGATGCAGATATGACCGTGGTGGCCACACACAAGAGGAAGCATACCCGACTGCAGCAGCACCTTTCTTACATTGCCCAGACTAAATATACCAGCAATTGATCATTTTACCTGTGTCTTGGTTTCAGCTAACCACCGATAAAAGTTACTGCGATCTTTTTATCGTAAAAAAATATATATACTTTTGCCCACAAATGAGGACAACTTCCAATCAGGTGACAACGGTCACATGAATACCCATGGATGTGTGTTCTGTGGACCAATTGATGTTCACAAACCACTTAAAAAAAACACATTTTTCGTTGGGTAGATAGAACCGTCAGAATCAGATTGCCGTACCAAGTTACCATAACCGTTCACAGCAAAATGCCCTGGCAGTGACGTACATCGTGGCCTTCACAGCATCCCTGGCCGTGGGGTGTCACCCTCACCTGGAGCCGTGCTGGTCTTGAGCAAACTCCACAATGTGCCCCGTGAGGTCTCGCAGCTGCAGGTTGGGGAAGCGGTTGTTGCGGAAGTCTTCCAGCAGGCGACTGCGACCAGGGTTCAGTCCGTCCATCTTCCCGCCGGGTCCCCCTCCAACGCCTCCGCCGCCGACGCCGCCACCGCCGCCGCAGACGCCTCCCCCGCCGCCGACGCCACCACCAGGGCCACCGCCAGGGCCGCCTCCGGCCCCGCCGCCGCAGTAACGGAACCGCATCGCCGGAGCTCCGCCGCCCACGCCGCACATTCCACCCGCCGCGCTTCCGCTCCCCCCGCCGACGGCCGCGGCGGCCGCGGCGGCAGCGGCGGCCGCGGCGGCCGCCGCTTGGGTCGGGAAGAGCTGGCTGCCCGAGTTACCGAACAGCGCCGAGGCGGAGCCCACGCCGACGCCCATGCCGGCCGAGCTGCGGAACTTGGCCTCGGCACCTGGCGCCGCCGACACGAAGCGCCCGCTCCCGCTCGTCAGACCCCCTGGGGAGGAGATCACGGCAGTTGGCACGAGTCCGCACTGTCAGGGTCGCCTGGAGAGGCGCCAGTGGTGCTTTAAAAGTCCATCGATTAAACTTACTGGGTTTGCCAGTGCCATTGGCTCAACGTCGCTACTACGGCCGTGTCTGAAGCTGTTGTCAATTTACGGTGATGAATGGCCTGCAATCCCTAAGAGCATGCAGTATTGCACACTCGGCAGCTGTTGTTTCAGTGGTCAGTTCTACCACTGAGAGCGAGTTTTCTCCGCTCTCCTTGTCAAATCGTGCCCTCTAAAAAAAAACAATTTGTAATGACTCAAACTCAGTGTAGGAAATACTCCATGCTGTTCTGCCTCCTGAAGGCACCTGCCATGCAGCACACAATTGTGTCGAGCGCATATAGACGCAGTACAACACACAACACACGTACTATATGGGCACACGAACCGTACGCAGGTAAAGCGGATTTGCGCAGAGGCAGGCAAACTCACCTAAGGCTGGCGACCAACCAAGGTTGAGGTTGGACGCTGATCCATGCGAGGGGATGGACAGCGAGGGCGGCGGAGTGAGTGAGTGGGGTGGTCCGTGGCTGGCTCCCAGCATGCCGAGCGGTCCGGGCGAGGTGGAGAATCCCAGGCCGTTGTAGAAGGGCTGCCCGATAGGTGCCAGGCTGCTGCTGGGTCGCTTGTAGTCGAGGCCTGCGCCCAGCGAGTCACGTCGTAGCCCCAGCGGCCCCCCGCTTGCGGCGGACGTGCCTGCGGATATAGCGGAACGATATGCCTTCACGTCGTGCGGGCTGGCGGCTCCACGTTTCTCTGGCCAGGTTTGTCTTGCAAAACTAAGTCGGGCCGACACGGAGGACGTGAACGCACCTCGCTACGCACGGCGACCTCGTTAAAGGGCGCGCCGCCGTGAATATTGATGTGCGCGCAGTATTGCCACCCCTAGACATAGGCAAATAAACTTTAATGAATATTAATGAGGTCCGTAGCAGGGTTTAATGGATAAAGTTTGCGCCCTTTCACTGTAAACCCACATTCTAAAATACACGCAAATGGCATCATGTGCTATTAAGCATGCAATATTAAAGGACTTTTTACATAATGTGACTGTGCTCTTTGCCCCCTCTAGATATGAAAATACTTACGTTCCGAGAAGAAGCAATTGCACTGGGCAAGCACTCGCAATTAAACCAAAGTTTAGAAAATACCTCCTACTTTAAACAAATCTGTTGCCAGTTAACTGGAAATAATTTTAATAATTGACCTTTTTAATCCATTAAAACCTTAAAGTCTCAAGACTTTGTTCACGAGGATCCTGCATTAAGATGTTTAACTAACTCCGTAAAGGAGTTTGGCACATGAGAGCAAACCAGATTAAAAGAAATCTGACCCAAAGAGAATATTAATCAACACACGAGAGGGGCTGTACCGATGACATGAAGACAATAAAAAAGCTCTGCGTGGATGGATTCAAGAATCCCCTGCTTTACTGCCACCTCCTGACAATCTGAACGCACTGCCAATCCCACAAATTCTGGCATAAACCGTGACCGCAACACCACCCAGCAGAAAAACCTGACAAACGCTGAAACCTCCAGTGGCTGCACTGACCGGTGTTGCCAAAGCCCAGTCCGGAGCCGATGCTGGCGCCCAGCGACGCCGGTGTCGGGCCGCTGTGGTTGCCGAACCCTCCCCCGAGCGGTGAACCCGCGTTGCCGAGCTGGTGGGCGCCGGGCGACGGGCCGGGCGAGAAGAGCGATCCTCCGCCCCCGCCGCCGCCGCCGCCGCCACCGCCCCCGCCACCTGACATGCCGGCGCCTCCCTGAGACGGGCTGGACAGCGGCCCTCCCATCCCGCCGCCGTGGTTGCCGTAGAAGGCCGACGGGTGGCCCTGGGCGGCGGCGGCCGCTGCAGCGGCGGCCGCGCTGCTCATCTGGTGCTGCTGCTGCTGCTGGTGGTGCTGCTGCTGCTGTTGTTGCTGCTGCTGTTGCTGCTGGTGCTGCTGTTGCTGCTGCTGGTGGTGGTGCTGCTGGGACTGCTGCTGTTGCTGGTGGTGCTGGTGATGCTGGCTGGACAGGCCCATGCCGCGGAACAGCCCGTTGATGGTGCCGGCCAGACCGCCGGCTCCACCAGCGCCACCGCCTGCCGTGTGCGAAGCAAGTTGTTACATCAATATTTGAACCGATTGCACATTTTGTTAGGTATTCTAACTAGTTAGTAACTGCAAGCGAATAAAAATAATTCGGTGGACACCCAGCACGTGTGCCGTAATTTGTTTGTGCTCGCTGATCACTCTGGGAAACCGCATTATTTCCAATCAATGAGTTAGTAAGGTCTTTTATATCCTTCTAGGTTGCGATATGGATTTAAATGTTATTGTAGTTATGTTATATTGGCAGATTCATTCATGATTATTCACGAAGAACTCGCATGCGTGATATAATGTCACAAATTTATAAATCACCCTCACGTACCCCCTGAGACATTGCCATGTATCCCTAGGGGTTTGCGGACCCTCAGTTGAGAACCACTGGTCAAACAAATATATCTCCTCTTGTATGTGAGATTAACCATCAATACATGCAGATAGGAAACCATTCATGTGCCACTCCTCTTACATGCTAAACAATGTAAAGCAATGTTCTCCTCATCCCAGCTCTCGTCCCCCGCCCACTCACTTTAGAAACCCTTATAATAAGCAGTTGCATTTGGAGGCTTGCCCCCTCTTTTCTCTCCACCTGATGAAGACCGCTTGTGTTGCGATCCAAACGTCGTGGGTTTTTTCTTTTATTTTTTTCGATTATTAAAAATTTGTATTCAATTTTGTTATTTTTATTTTCTATCTACGTGACTTTACCGAAAGAACCAAGAATATAAATGTTGTCAATCCACTGTGAGATGAGGAACTCCACAAGCCACGTGGGTCATTGGGGTGTGAGGGGCGTGAGGGGGCGGTGGTGTGGAGGTGGGGCGCGCGGGGGGGGGGTGGGCCGGTGTCTTACCGGCCTGAGCTGCCGCGGCGGCAGCGGCCGCAGCCGCCGAGGGGTTGATGAGTACGGGCGTGGGTCCCATGAGGCGCACGGGGCCGCCCAGGCCGGAACGGCCCGCGCCGGGGTTCATGACGAGCGCGCCCGACGCGTCGTAGTACGCCGGCGTCAGTACCTGGTAGCCTGTGCCGTGGGGGTTGGGGCCAGCGAGCTCGGTGACTCCACGGGCACACGGCGAGCGACAAACCCGTGTTTGGCACGGAGCGGCGATTGGTTCCGCCCCTCCGTTCCTCAGCGATTCGATGTTATCGTTAACAAATTCAGGGGTGGATTTTTGGGTTCTTTGTTGTTCTTTTCACATTCTCAATTGTAATTTGTTCATTTGCGTTTTGTTTAAAGCTTTTGTTGGCTCAATTTGCTTCCAAGTAACAGTCGCATAGCTTTTGCGTATAATTCTTACAGATCTTAGTTTATTTTCCCACGTATAATGCAATGCATGTATTATAAAATCTTAAAAATAAATTGATCAATGGATCATGTAGATGCCCATCATCATAACCATCCATCATGCGCCGCGTGTCAATGCAAGGTAGACAAAACCATGTCATTCCATTCGCTCCAGGTGTTTGTTCATCCACTTTGGTTATTTCTTTCAGATCATGCATCCCACACCAAGCCCTCCTCCTTACGCTCACAATATATACATCGCATCGTGCGTCCGATAACTTATGCAATTTGTACACAAATATTTTTGTTAATTTAGGCTGTGACAAATAATAAGGAACTGAGAAAGTACTAAAAAGTCAAGGCAAAAAAATGAACAGACAGTACAAACAAGACGGGTAGTACCCACGAGGGAGTTCACACAGAACAATAAGACAACAAAATAATTGGATTAAATAATTTGACCCCAAAATCGTGAAAACTCATCAGATTTCGTGGGGAAGTGGAGGGGTGAACCATCACATGTTTAACATCAACATTAATGTAGACACACATGTATGTGCACGAGTGCATGCACACGGCCACTCGCGAGTTCGAGTAAGTGTGGGGGGGGGGATAAAGGAGTGCGCGTCGCACCTTGTACGCCTGTGGTCAGGCCCGGTCCGAAGGCGAGAGCTTGCCCAGCTGTCACCGCACCCATGGCTTCCCCTTGCTGGCCTTGAGAACTCTGGTTAGGGGTCATAGGTCGCTGACCACTCCCAGCTCTCAGCATCTTTAAAAGAAGCACACGCGCATGCACGACGTTAAAGTTGCACAGCAGTTTAACACGTAGGCTTTCGCGACCAGTATTATTCATAATAAAGGTTTTAGGGTTAGATCGATTAAGAATAAATGTGTCGCAACCACCCCCCCCCACCTCTGATCTCGAAACCTGATGGAGTTCAATGATGACGTCATCCTGCATTATTTAAGACCGGAAGCAGGTGGATGTCTTCACTCTTCTGGCAAATCGCCTGAAGATGCTGGATGTAATTACCAGCGAAACGTCACAGTACTCAAATTCTAAATGTTGTGGATTCACCCTTCAAACACGCCGGTGGGCCGAAGAAGAAACTAATTGGCGTTTTGTTAACGTGACACATTTTTTTACTGATTGGCCGTGTCGGGTGGTGGAGGGTTGCGACACATTTATACTTGCGTGATCCAACCCAAAAGCCTTCATTATGAAAGTAGCACAGCGTCCGTCATTGCAGCAGGGCCTGTGTGGCAATTAAGACAGTGGCTACAAGAACGTGTTTTTTTTTCCAGTTGGATGCTCTCGTTTGAATGTAAAAGAAAAATAGTTAAGATATGTACAACATATAGAGCTGATAATTCGGTGAACTTATCGTTTCAATAACACCGGTTGTCAGTTTATGTCGCAAAGATGGTTTTTATGTCACGAAACCACTCCCCTTCCTCCCGTTGTATAGCCTTTAAGAGACTGCTATGGCAAGAGCTGTTAGAAAGCACCAATGAAGGCTGGCATGGCAAACATCACGCCCGGCCGCCTTTGTCTCCCCAGTGCTGATGTTGACACGCTGTACCAGGCACTCATTTTGACCTATGGGAGGCCCAGGACAGATTCAAGTATTCGCCAGCGTTACTGGTCACAAAAGTAGGAATTGAACTCGGGTCGCCGGGGTTCGTAGTGCAGCACGCTCACACACCGGTGGGCAACCACAGCTCGAGACACACGCGCGCACAAGATGCCGAGGGCTCACCTGCTGGCTGGGCTGACCCGGGTTGCCCTGCTGGTTGCCGCTGTTGGAGGCGGCCATGGCAGCGGCCGCCTGTGGCTGCAGGAGGTTGGCCGGGTACACCCCCCAGGGCATGCCGTAGTACTGCGGGGGAACCACAGTGGGACCTGCACCCGACAGCCCAAAAAACGGGAAGGTTAACGTCAACGTTGTCATTTTGTCGTCCTCTAAAATGTTTTTAAACCCCCCCAATTATGAAAGTGATATATGGTCAAATAAAAAAAAATGTATGAATCATGACAACATTCACAAATTGGTGGTATTTAATGCAATAAGAACATCTATTGTGTTAAATTAGGAATGTGGCTGATATGGAAGAATGACAGTTCAACACGTACACTTTAGCGACCAAAATTACTCAGAGGCTATTTGAGGTTAGATCGCGAAAACCTAACCCATCTAACAAAAAAAACTATATTCTGGATTGTAGAATGAATGCGATCCAGTTTCGTTTAGTGTCCCATTCACATATTTCATACTACGTAGGAACACAGTTTGTGAAAATTCAACTTCTCATGGATTATTGCAACCATACAACTGATTTGTAAAATACTCTTTGGTTTTATTCGGTAAAGTCACGTAGATAAAATAAAACAAAATAAAAGAAAACAATTAAATCACGACGTTTCGGAGGCAACACAAGCTTCCGTCTTCAGGTGGAATAGTCACAGCAGAATATCTGTGTCAGGAGCACAGTTCAGGGACGACCGGGATTATATATAGGTTAAGGGGGGGGGAGGAGTCAGTTAGGGGTGTGGGTGGGTGGGAGGGCTGGGTTAAGCAGCCTTTTGATAGACTGCAGGGGGTTCGAAGGGAGGGGGTGGTGTACTGCAAGAGAGCGGGTAAAACCCACTTCGCACTGCACGAGAGTGGGTAAAACCCACCTTTTGTTATACTGCGTGGGGGGTCGGGGGTAGGAGGAGACATGCTGCATGTGCACAGCTCCATTTTTTGAAAGCGGCGACAAACGGCTGTTCAATTATAAGGTAGCTAAAGTTTGATATACAACCACTGAGAAAAGGCTGTACAAAAAATTAAAAGGCAGCTAACGTTTGACTTGATTTACAACATCTTTCCAGTGGTTGCTCAATTTGAAACCATCCTCTCGGTTGAAGTTGTGTCTGTTTGTAAATCTGGATGACCTCGTGGACAAATCTCTGATAATAACCGGTAGGTTTGCAGAGTACCTTGGTATCGGAGAAAACAATATCATCATCACCCACAGCGTTGTAACAGTGATCAGCCACGGCAGAAGAATTTGTTCTGCCGTGATTTGTGCTAGCGAATTCAGTCAGAGATATGTCGCTTCGTCTCCCCGATATAGCAGTCACCGCAGGTACAATTCAATTTGTAAACACCGGGGTACTGTAAGTCAGGAATAACATCCTTTACTAATGGCATCAGATCACAGATTTTGTGCACTGTGTTGAACCGGACCTGGATCTTGTGTTTGTTTAGAATTTTGGAAATATTTTTAGTAACGCCTGCTATGTATGGTAACGTGATGATTTTGATTGGAGTGTCAAGTGGTTGTTTCTGTATGGTGGGAGAAACGTCGTGATTTAATTTTCTTTTATTTTGTTTTATTTTATCTACGTGACTTTACCGAATAAAACCAAAGAGTATGAATCCTTGCAGTCACGAAAGCTTCAAATCTAGAATTGATTTATAAAAGTTGCAAAGATTCATAGTTGTCACCATATTGTAGTTTCACACGATTAATTTCAGTCATCTGTAAACACTCCGTGTACAACAAAAAAAATAAACACCACACTGATGCTCTAACATATACAGTTGTGCAACTGTATTCCTCCAACCGTTGTTTATGTAATGTCTCCCTTCTATCAGCAAAATGTGAGGATAAAAAAAATACAATGCACCTGAGGACAAGGCTCTTTTCACTTCAAAATGTGTATTTCTACCGAAATGCCACAGACACATAATACCAGAAAACTCTTTTCTTCATTGATACACACTCGTACAAACAAGCAGCCCAGGGATATAGCAGGCAGGCCACAAACGCTAGGTTACCCGTCAGGGTGGCAGCAGCCAAGCCCGATGAGTAGGGGTCAGAGCCAGGTGGACCGGCTGCACCGATGATGTACGGGTTGGGGATGAAGGCGGGGGCGAGGCCAGTTGAAAACATGCCTACCGAGGGAACACCACAGAAACGGAGCACACTGAAAAATCCACGCGGCGGAACCTACACCAGGCTGGCTCGCGGATGGCAAGTTGAGTACCCAGTGAGGCTCTCTTCCCCCTCTAATGTTCGCTCGGCCTGAGCTGAAATTTCAGTGAACGTCTTCGCCAGTTTATGCCTGTCCCTGCATGCTGACCTTGTACTGCGGCAATACTGGTTTGAAGAAAAGGTGCACACGGCTGGAAATGCTGGCTTGTGAAAACAATTACGCTAGTCACAGTATTAACATGTTCTCTTTCCAAAAAAATAACGAGCACAAACGGTACTTCCTTTGCTAGCTAGCTGCATCAAAAGCTCCCTTTGTGATAGCCACCAAGTAGGAAAAAAAGGTGCCTCTTCCACAATCTAATGTTACATTGGAATCAAATTCATATCGGCATTGGGGGAAGGAGAGGAGGAGAGGCTGCATCATGAGGGGCAAAGTAGCAAAATAGAGCCGTCTAGGTTGCAGCTGCGGACAACGCGACACGCGCAGAGACTTCCATTCTGTTCAACAGGACCGAGAGGCGGCACGAGTGAGCAAATGTGTTTGCAATCCAAGCGAGCGGGCGCGCACGTTAAGACGATTGCAGTGTCCTGGACAGGTGTGCGGGCACCTACCCAGCGGTGGCTGTTGTGCAGTGGCCAAGGTATACTGTTGCTGCTGCTGTTGTTGCTGCTGCTGCGCACTGGACATCTGCTGCTGCATCGCCAGAGCACTGGATCTTTGAAAAAGCTGGAACCACACGCGTTTGTCGATTCAGAGCTGGGCGACCCAAACGATCGGTACATGTGAAACATCTGCACGGACGAAACAGTTCCGACTCCTTGGACAGAAAAAATTCTATTGGTCTTAAATAGTGACTTTCATTTGAGGACAACGAGTTATATAACATAACTAAGAGTACAATATAAACTGGGTAAATACAAGACAATATTACAGTAAACAATGAGAATATATAGTTAGCGAATTCAAGCAAAAGTCACTGAGGATAACTGGAAAAGAGCCATTGAACTATAAGACCTTAGAGCAAGCACCCGCCGAGTTCAAACTTATGTAATGCAATCATCGAGTGGTGTCGGCTCATGCAAGGGGGCTTTTCCACCTGCTGCTGTTGCTGCTGCTGTGCCCCATAGTCAAACAGCCCCATGGGGTTGCCTCCGCTGGACTCCATGGTGACCTGGCCACCCGTGTAGTCGAACTGCAGGGGCTCCATGCCCATGGGCTCCATCATGCCCGACGGATCCATGGGCAACGACTGCCCGTCCATTCCACCGGGGCCAACGCCGCCGCCTCCCCCTCCACCGCCGTAGTCCTCTCCAGGCTTGTTCACACCCACCTGCATGCCAGGCCCACCCCCCACGCCCACGGGCACCCCCACTCCTGCCGCCATCGGGTCCACTCCGGGGTTTCCGGGGACACCCAGGCGCTCGACAACCTCGGCCGGTGATGAATGACAGCTGCCAGGGGCACGGCTGCAGGTGAGAAATTGTCATTATTCATCGTCAGTCACGATAAATCCGCTGCTGGATGAAGGCCTCCCAAAGCAGTCGCCGTCCATCACGGTCCTGGGATGCAACGATCCACTTACCACCTGTACAGAAGCTGATCTCATTGATCCACCTCTGCAGTGAACACTCTTGGGTGTGTTACTTCCATTGGCTGCCAATACTATTTGTTACTCTTGCCCACTGACCATCATGCTTCCATGATTGTTATAATTACTGTTGTCACTAATTAAAACAAAAAGGATGAGCACATCAAAGCGGCATTTTATGAACATTTACAAGCCGAACAAACTATTTATATTGGAGTACTAACTGATTGACAATATTCGCAAGTAAAAAGCCACTTCATGATTATACTGATTACCCACATAATTAAAGTGTCACAACTTACATTTTAAAACAGTGAATATGTCCAAGGTGATTTTTGTTCCTTCCAATTACAATACAATTGTGTTATCAGATCCAAGTCAGAGCACAAAGAATTATCCACTCAGCATGCTCACAATAATTAATAATCAAGGCTCCTGTGCAGGGCGACAATGACGTAGAAAAAAGCAGGGTACCACCTCGTGTCAACCGAATTAACCTCAATTATAACACCAAACAACTAAATCAAAATGTAATTATCAGGGGTGGTCTCACGGAGTCTCACTTTATCACGGAAATCCTACAAAAGGGATGCAGCAACAATATCGATTCTCACACGCATAATATTTTTTTGATTGATATACTGCAGCAATAGGTTCATATCACCATACAGCCATTAGAGATGTTACAATTATCCACACCATAGTGGGGGGGGGGGGCGAGAGAAGGCAAGCGGAGATCCTGCACCGAGATATTTGGCCAATTCTCATGAAAACAATGTTTTAAAAATGCGGGTAGTAAAATGTATCGGCCACAAAAAGCTTACTATGCACGAGGGGGATATAACACGTAACAATCGGGACACAAAATAAAATCGTGGGGGGGGGGGGAGAGAAATTATGACCGCTCTCCCACAGGGGGGTAGGGAAGGGGGCCAGCGCACATCTCACCTGAAGTCCTTGCCGTCTGAATCGACGCCATTCTGCAGGCCCAGCCCGTTGGCCTTCCCTGCCACGTCTCCGTCGCCCTCCACTTTCATGCCACTGCCCTTGTCGTCCTCAAACCCCGCCACCTTCACGCCCTTCTTGTCCGCCTTGTCTCCGTCCGACATGTCACACTCGACGGTGCCCTGCGTGACAGCGCATGTCGCCGTCAAGCACGCATACTTGCTCAGCACTCGCTGGCAGTGCGCGCTCTCTTTGATATATTGTTGCCGAGGGCATCCTGACTTGCTGATGAAAGTCAACTCGAAGTTGATCTAATGTTCCCTTGATCAACTGAATGCTCATGTGAGTGATGAATCAAGAGGCCCTCACCCAGTAGATTATTGCAAAAAGGGCTGTACGTGTTCATTAGACGATTCTCTCCGTGAAGATCTCAGTGCAGATGTCAGTGAATTTCTCAATGATAATCTCAGCGTTGATAATGATAATGGGGTTATCTTGCTGATGTCAGTGTTTTTGCAGGAGATGACTACGATAATCTCAGTGTTGATATTGGTGACAAATGTCTCAGCAACCATGACCTTAGTGTTGATGGAGCTGATATAATCTCAATGATGACGACGATGACAATCTCAGTATTGTTCAGTGACGTTCATCAGCCTTGGACAATGAACGCACGCAGAGTGCCGACCCACACACAATAACGCCCGACATTCTCCTCCACAGAAGACACGCACACATGCGCGGGGGCGTGCACACGTACGTATGTGGACTTGCGGAGACGAGTGTCGAGCTTGTCTCCAGGTGACGAGCTGAGCACGTACTCCACCATGCTGACACCAAGGCCGCCGGTCTCCGAGCGCGGCGACAACACAGAGCCCACCTCGCTGCCGCCGCCGCCAACACCGCCGGCCTGGAAGCCCGGCTGGCCTGGGCGACGCTGCACCATGATGGGCTGGGACACCGAGTGATCTGCACCCGGTGGTTATATCACTATTAACAACAACGCTTTAACCCCTACGCCGGTTGGCGTCCCAGAGTAATGTTCCCATGCGTTACAGTCAATGCATCCAGTTGAAATTAATGCAGAGTACCACAGCCTACACTTAATCTCAAGATTGAGCCAAACATGGATTACTGTATCAGAGGGACATCCCAACACGTGACTGTGCTGTTTGCGCAAAGTGCCGATATTGCGTGTGATGTATTTTAGAGAAGGAATATTTCATGACAACTGCAGCAACCGCCACCTTTAAAGGTTTTATTCTATGACGGTTGCCATGAGGGGGTCAACAGGGGGGCAGCGAGGAGGGGGGGGGGGGGGGTCTTGATTCGGGGGCAGCCAGACCAAAATGGTCTGACAACCACTGATTTAATGCACAAATCTCCTGCATGTAAACCGAAGCAGTCTTGAAATGTGTAATTTTGATTTGAAGCTTTCGTGACTGCAGGGATTAATATTCTTGGTTTTTTCGGTAAAGTCACGTAGAAGGGAAACAATAAGATATATATAAGCAACAAAGTACATAAAAAATAATATTACACAACATATTCTTGGTTCTTTCAGTAAAGTCACGTAGAAGGGAAACAATAAAATTATTTTTTTTTTATATTTGACAACCACTGATTTAATGCACAAATCTCCGAAAGAACAAAGAATATGTTGTATATATAAAATATTTTTATTATTTTGTTTCCCTTCTACCTGACTTTACCAAAAGAACCAAGAATATGTTGTGTAATATTATTTTTTATGTACTTACTTTGCTGCTTATAAAATAACCAGGTGGATTCCTGCGGCTATTTTGCGCTGGATACTGGCTGAGTTTTTGGCATTAACATTCTACCCTGAGTAGCCTTAGTCTTATACTGTGAGCCTTAAGCCGTAAACGATGAACCAGAAGAATCCTCAGCTGCCCTTTAGTCTGGTTTTATGTGTGCAATTGAGTAGATTAGTCTGTGTGAAGCCATACATAGGGCGACTTGCTCATGTTTACACATCCATTTATGTAATACAAATGAAAACATAACATTATCTGCTGGACGTTGTGACATTGCATGATCTGTGACATCACGTCACTGTGACCGCTATCTGGAAAATACTCAACTTATTCAATAAACAGACACAGGGACTGTTTTCCACAAAAAATACATTTGGTAAATCAGCCAAAGGGGCCTTCTGGAAAGGATGATGTCCAGCAGAATTGTATTTAAGCAGGCACACTCTGAACTGGTTTTTAAACTTTTAGAGTTTCATTGCCAGTCTGACCTCTCAAACAATTTCTGCCGGATTGCCTGATACAGGCAAGAACTCACCGCGTACACCGTGAAGCCTGTTCAGCACAGTATAGCAACATTGTACACATTTTGTCGCGTGCTGTCATTATGGATTTGTATACTCAATTGACTCACACTGCTATATTGATGAGCCCGCTAATGACCCTGAACCGTGACAATCCTTGACATTGTCGAGGGGGCTAAATCGTTACACCTCACACAAACATCTCTGCATCTTACGAGCACGGTTTGTTAGGCACACGTTTAGAAAATTGTATGCGTACCAGAGGCTCCCCAGGCATTCTCCCTCCACTGGTCTTCCAGGAAAATTCCCTTTGGGCCATCCTTGCCAGTCTCATCTGTCTCCCAAAACTTTTTGCTGGGAAGCAGCTGCTGTCGGATGTGCAGCGGGGCAAGAGAAGGGGGCACGGCGCACGCACGGCTCGGTTAGCGGTATGGAATGTGACGGGCGTTAAAATTAAACCATGTCATGCAGTCGCGCGCATCCTTCTGTCGACAGCAAGCCCCTACTGCTCACCGTCACATTACGAGGTGACCCACACACACACACACCTACGGCTGCAGATTAGTTCCTGACCGACATGCAACAGTTTGTTATTAATTTATATCAAAAGTTTTGTCTTCTCCCAGCTTTTGTTTCAAACATACTATTGGTGTCATGCCATGCATAGCCCTGCATGCTACAGAAAGGATTGAAGGAGAGACGACAGAACACCTTCCGATATTCCTTCGAATGTATTTCTGTTAGCCGCAGACTACGGGATGCGCTTTTCCACACACCCTGCTACAAAAGGCATATTTTGTTGCATAGCAGCCCATCCAATATCTTTAATTCTCCAAGGTGGAATTTTGTAAAGTTAATTCAAAAATCTAATTTAAAGCAATGTGTTTCTTGTGCAGTCATTTGCAACCATTTCAAGACATTTCAAGACGCTAACGTTTTTTTATAAATAAATACACCGTTAAAAAATAAATAAATTTATGCAAACCGACACACCTGATGACGACCGTTTGTGTTATGGTCGAAACGTCGTGAGAATTTTTATTGTTTATATATATTTTATTATTTTGTTTCCCTTCAACGTGACTTTACCGAAAGAACTAAGAATATGAATTACTGCAGTCACGAAAGCTTTAAATCAAAATTCATTTCAAGACCATCACATCACTACACGTGAGAACCCTGTTTATAATCTGAGCGAGTAGCTTAAACCCAAGTTCAAAACCCATGTTCCATCGCCTAATTTAATTGTGGTGTCGAGTAAAATGCTTCAGAGGGGCACCCAGCTGCAGAGATGCTTCCCCATCCGCCTCAGTAACGAGTTCTGCAGAGCGGCGGCACGTGGCTTTTATTACAATGTTTAGCTAATATTCACGTGTCTATGCATTACAGTTATTTAGTTTGGCTTTATGCACCTCGGTTGTCTGCTGCACATTAAGCTGCTGGGGCCCATTCTCAGCTTGATCTCCATTTCAAAGATCAGGTGTCCCCTTTGTTTTCAAAAGATATTTGCCCTGAAGGCTGCCGTTTAAAAATGAGGGCCACACGTTTGTTCTTCAGTTCGGAGACGCGGCCAATAATTCAGCACACGGAGCATGACTATTGGCTGTTCTGAATTGAATGGCACGATGATAAAGAATACGTACTTGCTGGGATGCTTTATAAAGAAACTGCAAAACACACCGATGTTCCCATCAACAAAATTGTATTGTAAGACTTAATAACGTAGTGTGTTGTGTGTTAAGAGCAACCCAAGCTTGAATCAAATATCATATGGACCTTACACGTCAGCAGAAAAACACCGTTGTAAAAATATGAAAATCAATTACGACAATCAGTATTTGGTTCAATTCTCGTGACAGCAGCTTAAGACTATTTACAGAAGCAAACTCTTGGGTAATTTCTGAATGCACTTTTGGAAAATATGTGCATGCACGCATGTGCTCAAGTTGCTTGTAATCAGAAGGCAGTTATCAAAAAAATGCGGGTATTCAAATGACATCTATTCTTGTGCTCATGATTCATAGAATGGAAATCTGCCAATTAAGATATTTGCCTCTGTGGGGACAAACAACTATATTGTCTAAATAATGAGCAATGCAAATTAAAGACATGGAATGCAGTGGCAACCATCATGTCACTCACAAGGCAAACTACTAAATGCTACGGAGCAAAGGTTGCTTTGAGCTATTTTCCTTACATCTCCTAAGCTCCTCCTTTCCAGTGCCAGTGCTTGGAAGTCCTGGTTCAGCTCATCCACAGAGCGGACCTGAAATAATGAATACATGTATGGAGACAGACGCACAACACACACACATACACCACAAACGCACGTAGCGTACATACAACACACGCACACAAAACACGGACAGACGGAACGCACAACGTCGTTCTGTAAATAAGTTTGAAAACTTTCAAGCTCACTGCAGGTCAAAACCTGGATTTTCATTAAATGGTGAGAAAATTATCTGCTTATTCCACACTTTACGGTATGCGCTATGCATTTATATACAACTTAAACGTACAATTACGACAGAATTGCGCACAGCAGTGAAATATAATTGCATATACAGTGCAATTTAATTACTGTGGAACCTAATCTCTCGGTATTTGCAATGTTCTACAAGGGCGCATTTTTACATCTCAATGGCGTAAGAGTTATGCAAGTTGCAACACATCTTTCATTCTATCCGTGATTGTCACTGGTCTCAAAGCAGACCGCTGAATAACGCTGCACACATAACGTGCACAATGCCTGAATACATCTCCAAGCATCACGTTGTGTGTATTAACCCGCCTCGGGTCAGTATCAAACGCTCATGCTCTCTATGGCGCACAGAGTAGATTTTTTTAAATAACATCTTATTTATCCAGCAGAAAGCTCATAGAGTCAATAGAATCTTTAAGGAGGGTCCTGTAACGGGATGTTTGAACAGTGTTCTTTTTTTAAGAAGTAGTTTGCAGTGTGGCTGACAACCACTGACTGAGAAAACCCCATGAAAACGAAACACTCCAAAGGCCTGTAGAGATGAGTTCACAAACCCACCTATAATGTACTGCCATCCCCTCAACACCCCAGCAGGTTTGGGAGTCTCACAAACTCTGTGTGCAGCCACGAACGACTGTCATTCCAAAATGCAACAAATCCGGCTTCATATTCTTAGTTCTTTCAATAAAGTCACGTAGAAAAGAAACAATAAAATAATAAAAATAAAAAACAATTAAATTATCACGACGTTGCGACTGCAACACAAGCAATAATCAGGTGTGAAACCCACAGCAAGAAAATTTGTTTTTTAACGTTAGCACCACGGAGAGCGATTTGGCAGTTATTCAGATGGACGAGTCCATCGATGTTCGGAAAAGAGGGGGGAGACAAAAATAATGGATGCGGTCTGAAAGCCACCGTAAGCGTGAACAATCAATTAAGACCCGAAATGGTTGATCAAATCCTTCCAATGATTGCTAAGCCAGAATCCATCTTCTCGGTTGAAATTGTCTGTGTTTGTATGTGGATAGCCTCATGAACTAATCTCTCATGGTAGCGGTAGCCAGATGGCTTGCAAAGAACCTCTGTCTTGGAAAATTCAATGTAATGTGAGCCTACTGAATTATAACAGTGATCTGCCACGGCCGAGGTGTTGGTCCTACCGTGTTTTAGATCTGCTTTGTGTTCACGAATGCGATCCGAGACATGTCGTTTGGTTTCTCCAATGTAACTACTACCACAGAGGCAACTTAGTTTGTAGACACCAGGGTACTGTATGTCCGGAATCACATCTTTACAGACAGAACCAGATCACGGATTTTATGTAATGTGTTGAATCGGACCTGGATCTTGTGTTTATTCAAGATTTTGAAGATCTTTTTTGTGATCCCCGCAAGGTAGGGTAAAGTGATGGTTTTTAGAAAGGCTCCTCAAGAAGGTCCTTCTTCATGGTTGGAGTGATAGCTTTGCGAATTGTGTAGTCGGAGTAACCATTAGCCTTAAGAGCTTGGTGTACGTGCTTGAGTTCACTGGCTATGGGTTCCTGATCGGATATGCATTGGGCTCTATGGTGCAGAGTCTTGATGAGGGAATTCTTCTGGGATGGATGGTGGTGGGAATCCGGTTTCAGGTAAGCATCGGTATGGGTAGCTTTCCTGTAGACAGGGTGGCTCATTGAACCATCAGGTCTCATTTTATTAGGACATCCAAAAAAGGTAGCTTGCCATCTTTTTCGACTTCCATGGTAAATCTGATGGCTGGGTGTATTGGAATTGATGTGGTCGAGGAATTAGTCTAGCGCAGGCCGGCCATGTGGCCAGATGACAAATGTCATCCACGTACCTCTTCCATAAGGTTGGGCGCAGAGTGGCAGTCTGGATGGCGTCAGTCTCAAATTTCTCCATGAAAATGTTGGCTACAACCGGAGATAGGGGGAAGCCCATTGGGTGTACCCTCAGTTTGTTTGTAGAAAGTTCCATTCCAAGTGAAGTATGTATTGGTTAAGCAGTGTCTCACCAGGGGGGGTACCTCAGTGTTTAGTCCTTGATGAACCAAGTCTTCAATGATTGCGATGGTGTCAGGTACAGGAACTTTATTATTTTATTGTTTCCCTTCTACGTGACTTTACCGAAAGAACCAAGAATATGAATCCCTGCAGTTACGAAAGCTTTAAATCAAAATTTAAAATCCTGCTTCGTCAAACTGTTATAAGTGCCTCCAAACTCTAGTCGACCATCTACAGGCCACGTGTTGCTTGAGGTGTACTACTATTAGCGCCTTGTCGCCTACGAGCACCAGCAGCGTCCAAGGGACGACACACACCTCAGGCTTGTTTTCTTAAGAGAAATAAAGTGGCAAACCTCGAGTCCAGTTGAGAAATAAGTTGCAACATTTTTCATTCTATCAGCGGAGAAACACCAGTTTCTTGTATAGCTAAAGCAAAAACTGAATGCCTAACTGGTGAGGTGGCTTGGCGGTAGTGAGGGGCTCGCAATCAGAAGTTTTCGAGTTCTAATCCTGGTTGGGAGTTGACTCTGTCCATCACCTCTCCAGGGTCAATAAGAATACTTGTTTGGAGAGGAGTGAACAGTGGTTTTCCTACGGAGACTCTCTCCTGTCATAGGAATGTGGATTTTCCACCCGTGGCTAAATGCGTATTTCTAGCAAGGCATCATCGGCCTTTTTGGACTCGGCACCTGAATGTGGCATTGACACTGGTAGAGCAACAATACCTAAAACTGTTTACGCATAAACATGAATTGGACATGGATAAGCACAAGATGATCTGCCCCCATTGCAATTAATTGAACGGCCACAAATGAAGGTCGCAATTTGATTCAAGAATCTATACTTTTTACCAATTAAAATGTGGCATCTTTAGTGGCTACAGGATATTGCATTAAGAAATTACAAAGCTCATTAACGTACGACTAGCTAAAAGCCTCACGCTGTGCATTTCACTCATGGGCACCAGAACAAACAAGTATTTCAGTAAAAAAAATCACGTAGTAAGTGATCGGAGACCAAATTAAATGTGGAAAAGTTGCAGTCTAGACAACAGACACAGACAAATGAGACATTAAAAATCAAAAGGCTAAACTGTGCTTAAGATTACTTTTTTTGTCTACTTCATATCCCATCTAAAAATAATGTCTTTACTGTCGTGTTAAATTGATTCATTGTGGGTGCATTCAGAAGATTTCTGGGTAAGCCGTTCCTGCAACTTTGGTGCCAAAACACCACATGCCCTTCAAAAAGTCTTAATTTTGTCAGCCATTATAAAATCAAAGACTATCACTTGAGTACAATTAAGAGCGGAAACAGTTTTGCAATAGTTTGGCCAAACTGCGCCACCGTGAAAATAGCTTAAAAGTTATGGAAAAATTTAACTCGTTATTTTCTAACCACCAACTAGTGCAGTTCATACAGTGGGTCGTACGGCACACTTTTTTTACACCAAGCCTTTGCTGCAGAATTTTGGAACCTTTAGCTATTATTTTATGTCCAACTCACAGCCCAAGCCTCCACCACCTGACCTTGCTAGGTAGTCTTCCATTCAAATACTATCTATATCATACCTGCTTATTCTTCGAAGATCCAAAACGATCAAGAACATTCAGGGCAAATTGGGAATAATTAAAGAATGCACCTCGATGCCTGGCCGTAAAACACTGGTAGCCAGCCAAAACAGTGCCGTGTCGTTGCTGTGACATATTTTTTGTACCATCCGAGTCAGGTTACCTTATCCGCTGACCTGCATAGCACAGGCACACGTAGGCATGCTGGTCAAAGTTTGCTCTCGACCCCCCCCCCCCCCAAATAAAAATACAGTCGCATGTTATTAGCGGCGAAGGTCTCTCCGACGCAGAACACTCAACAAACACTGGTCAATGGCCCAGAGATAACATGGTGCTACTACATGCCAGGTGCATGCATTAAATCAGTGGTTTCTCAACCCATGGGTGGTGGGGGGATGCCAAAGACTTTCAATGAGTGGGGGGGGGGGGGTTTGCAAGCTATGGCATTGGTAGAGTGCAGGAGAATTTCCAAGAAGCGTAGGGAACATCAGTGGCACTGCAACATTAACCAAATGCCTCATGAACATCACGATGACTGGGAGGCATGGACATGTGATCACTCTGCTTTGTTGTGGTCGTAGTAACATGGGTAGGGGGACAAGGGCTGAAGCCTGAGGAGCAGTGGTTATGATTTGGAAGCCCACTATAACAAAAAAGTTGAAAACCATTGCCTAAAGTGAGAATTGAACTCCAAAGGATGAAGCCTAGATGAGCAGCAGGCAAAAGTAAAAAAATCGGTGGACATGTCACTATTCACCATATATTCGTGAATATCACGCTCTAGATATATACTTTGAGTCATGCAGGTTAGAATCATAGTTTTCCGATGTTTTAAAGCATATTTGTGGCACCCTATTTTGTATTTGTCATAACACTCGATTACAAATGCACCACGAAGCCAAGAATATCAATCGATAGATTTTTGTTTGGTGGGGGTGGTGAATCATTATCTGTCTAGTTAACAGGATTTTAACAATCACCCAATCAATGATTCAATGACACGTTGCAAATCAAGATAAGGATTTGATTGAAGAATATTTCTCTCTTTGTAGTTGGTTGTTCCAATAGGCTAAACATTGCACACCATCCCGTGGCACATAGGGAATTGGGCAAGTTTAAGATATTAAGAGTCCTGTGGATGCCAACACCAACGTATAAAAGCGTTCAAGCGTAGCATGAATCGTAACAAATCAATCCTTGTCA